CCCCTCTTGCCAGAAACACCGAACGAAAAGCCTGGAAAGTAGTAAAGCAGATGATTGATACACAATGCACATCCCAAAATAGCACAACAGTACAGAAAAAACCCGTGAGGAGGCCTTTTTCCCCTCCCCTCCCCTTCCAGTTTACCCCAATGCTCCCGCTCCGACCATGTCCACCGCTAACCACGTTCATCTCCTTGCATTATGCATTGTGCATCGTACATCGTGCACCACGGAGCCAGACGGACAAGTCAAAAAAGCTTAAAGCTTGCCTGCAGGCGCGGGAACCGCATGGAAACTTTCCTAGTCAGGCCACCGAAACCCCGAGTTTCTCCTCATAGCTCCATGTTTTGCCCATGGAGAACATGGTCTAACCTGGGGTGAACCTGGACATGGACGCTGAGATCGCTTGGCGAACCAGGCGTTAGGGACAGAGTTAAATTAGCGTGGGATGGCCGATTCAATAGACAAATAGAATGGTCGATTGTGGATGACCCGTACTCCGTACTCGTACAGGAAGGTACAAAAGTACGAACAAGTACAGGAGCTACATGGACGAGGCGTTCTCTTCGCTAGGCGTCCGTAATGAGATTGACAATTGAGATTGCTTTTCCGCGGGCGGGACATGGTGCCCCTAGGACGCTATACACGTAGTTGGATAGTGCAAGACAAGCCATAAGCTGCACGACACAAAAATGCCTCATGGAGCTTTCATCGGCAAAAGCGGACTGTGATAAGCGGGTAGAGCTACGATTTGGCAGGGCGATCGCCCAGTGGGGCCATAGTTACGATGCTCCTCTGGCCCACCGGTGAGGGTCTGATTCAGATGAGACCCATATTTGCCCTCTCTGTGCCGGCTGTGATTGCTGGAAATGGGCTGATGATCCATCCCGCTACTGTAGGTACACGGCTGCGTGTGAGCCAAGAATACCTAGGGTGGCTCTTTCGGGTGTATACCGCGGCTTCCATCTGTTTCTGCCCACGGGGTGTATAGGAGATTAGGGCTGTTCGTAGAGGGTCAATTAAGTTTGGGGAAAGTTTTGTGGTGTAGAGCGTGACTTGGGGTGTCTTCGATTGCAAAGAGAAGGTGCTGGCGGTGTGCCTGCTTCACCCGATGGGCAAAGGAAGGAACGGGAAAAACGGCAGGTCAGTTGTTAGTCATCTGTTTTGAGGGCACTCGATTGGCAGGATGTGCGGCTTGTGACTATACCCGAACGGGAATTTCGTTCCTTTCCGACCGCAATTGGCAACGGCCTGTATGATGCGATACCGGTAATAAATGAGCATGGAGCGCGTTCCTGGACGGGCATAGTAGCACAGGGGCGAAAAGGGAAAGGCGAAAGCGGCATGATAAGCTGCTCATGACGTGAGAGTTTCGCTCTTATCTTCCCTAGGATCTATGAAGAGTGCCGATTTCCGAATTGCCCTTCCTAATGGCGAGAACCAGAAAAGACTGGAATTTCTATTCAAATTTTCCGTTTCATAGTATGGTAAAGAAGGGCCCAGCTGCAGCTTATCCATGGAACAGCTGGTCCTTGAAGGCTTCTAGAAAACGTCTCGAACAACCGAGCTCATCCGCACACGCACAGCTCTTGGCTCCACCACTTCCTAAAACATACTCCGTAGAGTCTAGGCAAATTCGGCGCCGGTGAGCCCACCCTGAAGCCCGCACTTTCTCCGACCTCTATAATGTTCGCGGGCTACACCGATTGTTCGCGGGTGGCAACGGGCTTCGATGAAGTTTCTCTTACGGCGTGGCAACTGGTTCGGGTCCAATATATCATGAGGCATTTTACGTGCCTTGGATTTGGAGGTCTGGGGAATCCCCGTGCCCCAACTCCTTCACTATGTCAGCGGCGCGATCGCCCCAAGGCTGAAAGCGCCGGATCCTGGTCTGTCTGCACGTGAGCTTCCGGTGCAGTGACAGTGACGCACGGTCAAGCACACATGTGCATGGAGATGAAAATCATTACCGATAGTCATCGACTCACCTCCGTAGATGTAGTACTACCAGGATATGTAAATCCATGGGACTGTGCGAGCTTGTAGCATTGTGGTTGCAATTCGACATATCCAGCCATCACAATTTACTTGCTACACATCCGCGACAGTCTGCCTTGTGGGACAAGCTACGAGTTCCACGGGTCGCGCGTGGGGTTCTTCTCTCGACTCGACGACTGCACGTCGAGCCAATTCAACCGCCTGGCCCTGTGAATGGGTAGAATACTCTCCACCATCACCGATGCATACAGTAGACCCTGTTCCTGTTCCACCACTATACAGAGGTACCTATGCGACCGAATATATATCTAGAGAGCCCTAGAGGGAAAGAGGGATAAGCAAAAAAACTCGTACTTTGTCTCGAGGGAATCGTTCCCTTCCCCCCCTCCAAGATCGCGTACGGGCTTGGCTGACGTGGGCAGCACCCAAACGGCGAGAATCCCCCGGAATTGATCGTAACTCAATTCATCGACCCTCGCACGGGGCTGCAAGAGGACACAGCGCAGCGCCGTCGCGTCGCAGGTTCTGCCCTTCCCGCTACCCAGCCGCATTTGATTTGGCCCACACCCACACCGAAGCGGTCGGTTTCCCGAACGAGGTTGGCTCTAAGAGTTCCCTAATTCCCCTATGTAGAGTGGATAGCTAGCTGTGTTAGTTGATAGCTGGAGAGTAAGGGGAGATTTCGGAGAGTCTAGCTCAGATGGTAGGCCGTGGATACGGCAACTCGACCTACGTAGATTACCCAGGTGTGCGCCCTGTCTGGCCCTGTCTGGCCCTCCACGTCCATCTCGACGAATATTATCGGCCTCGGCCCCTCTAATTATTTGAGTTATGAGTTGTCTGCAATTGGTTCTCCAGGACGGGATGTCAGCCGCGGAACGCGCCGGTAAGGGATTCCAACTCGGGTAGACCGAGACATACGTAGAGTGCTGAACAGTATCAAGGATGGCTCGAGCACAATAGTAGACGTCAAAATATTCCCTGGCAGAGATGGAAACTACACTATCAAGGTTCGGGGAAGACGTCCTGCGAACCCGGGGTGCAGGCTCTTCTTTTTGAGTTGAGGTGATGTCCGGATGGTCGTATCGGCCAATAGTAGCCCCTGCAAAGTACATCTTGGAAGATCGATAGAACGTTCGCGCTGGCAGTCGTCCGCATAGTCCGGCAAGAAAGCTTGCCTCACAACGCCGGGATTATTTCCTGTCTACAGTAGGCTCACGCACATCAGGCGATCCGAGTCAAGCTACGTGGTGCTCGTCATATTTTCTTTACTCCGATAGCTGCCGATTCCTCCAGAAGGAGCGGAATCTCGGCACCCTGAACAAAGGTGAACAAAAGCAAACCCCGAATCTCACGGAAAAGTGACCATCGTGACGCCAACAGTCAGTGTTGAGTATCACCCTCGTGTGGCCCCGTCCACGCATTTGGGAAACTGAGTCGAACGCCGATCAGCTCTGAGCGATGAAATCATCAGAGGGGCGGGACTCGGCCGATGATAGGACCGCGGCCGACGAGACTAGATGGCTCTAGTGAGTGGAGTGGCCGGGCCCGAGGGCGAATAGAGACCGCCGAATTAAATGACGCTTCTGGGGACTCCACGAGGTCCATGGGGGTAGTGATCGACCGTGGTTGGTGAGATACGGAGTACGAAGGGGGCAGCTTGGGCGAAGGATGGTGGCAGTAAGCGTAGAAGGCCGTGTCTATAATTTGCACTTGGTTTCTTGCGTTATGACATAATGGTAATTTTACGCGCTTGGGGAAATATGCCAGAGTTCTGCCGTACATAGCTCATAGCTCGGGGTTTCTTGGCTGCTTGCGGTGCCCCTTGCTATTGATCTTGGTATTGGCAATGGCATTGGTGATGGCAATGGCAATGATCACGGATATTCGGATCGAGCGGCGTGAAAAGAGTGGAAGTGAGGATGAAAGAGTTTTTTATTCATTTGGATTTGCGCCGTTGCTGGCTACTATTTGGTACAGGGGAGAGAGGGTGATCTCTCGGGTTATCCATCTGTATCTAGCAACATGCTCCTGCAAGGGCTATGAAGCATTCTAGGACACACAAAGATTCCAGGCAAATTCTCCGTTGCATAACTTTGTGGTTAGAGTAAAACACAAATACAGTAGTCTCTCTACGTAGTCTTGTTGCATTTACCTGAGATACCTTAGAAAAAAGCTGGGTCTCGGGCAAAGAAATTACTCCAGACTGAAAATCGCGCATAGTCAAGCTGGGAGCAGCTGGGGCACCGCACTCGGCGAGGCTAGAAAAGCAGTACGATACGACGCGTGAGGGTAGCTTTGTGGAGGCCACTCGGCACTCTCCTGCCGGTCGCTGTATTTTTGAAATTTTCATCACTAAACCGAATCTGGTATCATCACCCCACTTTGCCTGTACCTAAGATACCTAAGTGGCTGCTCTCGGCCATTTCCCTCGGGGCGCGTTGGAGTCGTAGCTTGGTACTGTAGGGCAAGGGGCAAAAAAAAAAATAAGAAATAAGAAATCTGAAAGAAAATACCGAAACAAATACCAAAAACATCCAGGTGGATACCATGAGATGGTACCTCACTCCAGCGCCTATCTCCCCCAGCAACGACATGTACCCAGTTCTACTCTACCATCCTATCCCAAACACGGGATTCACTTCATTTTACTTTTTATTTTTATTTCTTTTATTTTTTTTATTTTTTTCACCCCTAATTTCCAAAATTTCCTACTTTCCTACTTTTCTAACCTTCTTTAGGATAAAATAAAAAAAAATAAAAATTCTATTTCCCTCACGCCCATTATCCACACTCTCTCACTTTGCCCACCCACCCCCCGTATTATAAAGTCGTCCACTCCCTCACACCCACATTCTCTCTTTTTCCTTCTTTCTTTCATAGGAAGCTTCCGTCTCACGCCATAAGTGCTTTCGTGTATTGGTGTGTTTGCAGCTCATATCATTGGGTAACCGAAGGCTTTACTAGCCAAAATGGCATCAACTACCCAATCCACTACGCAAATGGCGGAGCGGAGGATCTCCTATGCCCCCGATGTCGAAAACGGTGACCGCCACCGCGATAACGACGCTGCTGATGGCGGCAACCTCGACGAGTACTCCGCCCTGAACCGCTACATCTCGACTGCCCGCGATGGCCGCCGTGGCTCTACCTCTTCTGGTGCTGCTCTCAGCGAGAAGGGCGCCAAGAAGCCTTTCTGGAAGTTCTGGGGTGGCAAGGCCGAGGGTGTCGATGAGGGCTGGCAGGCCCCCGACGAGTGGCTCGAGACTGACCTCCGCGCTGGTCTCAACTCTGGCGACATCGAGCCCCGTCGCAAGAAGTGTGGCTGGAACGAGCTGACGACTGAGAAGACCAACATCTTCATTCAGTTCATCGGTTACTTCCGTGGTCCCATTCTGTATGGTGAGTTTAATGCATCCCTCTCGACGCGTCTATCGATCCATTGCTAATGTGTCTTTTCCCTGTAGTTATGGAACTCGCTGTTCTGCTCGCTGCTGGTCTGCGTGACTGGATTGATCTCGGTGTTATCTGTGGTATTCTTTTGCTTAACGCTCTCGTCGGTTGGTACCAGGAGAAGCAGGCTGCCGATGTCGTCGCTTCCCTCAAGGGTGATATTGCTATGCGTGCTCTTGTTATCCGTAACGGTCAGGAGGAGGAGATCCTTGCCCGTGAACTCGTCACTGGTGACATTGTCGTCGTTGAGGAGGGCACTGTCATCCCCGCTGATGTTCGCCTGATCTGTGACTACGAGAAGCCCGAGATGTTCGACACCTACAAGGAGTATCTCGTCAACGTCAACGATGACACTCTTAAGGAGAAGGCCGACGATGATGATGATGATGATGATCCTCGTGAGGCCCACCAGGGTGTCTCTCTGATTGCTTGTGATCAGTCTGCCATCACTGGTGAGTCCCTCGCCGTCGACAAGTACATGGCCGATGTCTGTTACTACACCACTGGCTGCAAGCGTGGCAAGGCCTACGGTATCGTCACCGCTACTGCCCGCCAGTCCTTCGTCGGTAAGACTGCTGCTCTCGTTCAGGGTGCCAAGGATTCCGGTCACTTTAAGGCTGTCATGGACAACATTGGTACCTCCCTGCTCGTTCTCGTCATGTTCTGGATTCTCGCTGCCTGGATCGGTGGTTTCTTCCGTCACTTGAAGATCGCTACCCCCGAGGGCTCCGACAACAACTTGCTCCACTACACTCTCATTCTGCTCATTATCGGTGTCCCCGTCGGTCTTCCCGTTGTTACTACCACCACCCTCGCTGTCGGTGCTGCCTACCTCGCCGAGCAGAAGGCTATTGTCCAGAAGCTCACCGCCATCGAGTCCCTCGCTGGTGTCGACATTCTTTGCTCTGACAAGACCGGTACCCTCACTGCCAACCAGCTGTCCATCCGTGAGCCCTACGTCGCCGAGGGTGTTGATGTCAACTGGATGATGGCCGTTGCCGCTATTGCTTCTTCCCACAACGTCAAGAACCTTGACCCCATCGACAAGGTCACTATCCTTACTCTGCGCCGCTACCCCAAGGCCCGTGAAATTCTCTCTCGCAACTGGATTACCGAGAAGTACACTCCTTTCGACCCTGTTTCCAAGCGTATTACCACCATCTGTACCTGCGATGGTGTCCGCTACGTCTGCGCCAAGGGTGCCCCCAAGGCTATTCTTAACATGTCCGAGTGCTCCAAGGAGGAGGCTCAGATGTACCGTGACAAGGCTACTGAGTTCGCTCGCCGTGGTTTCCGTTCCCTCGGTGTCGCCGTCCAGAAGGAGGGCGAGCCCTGGCAGCTTCTGGGCATGTACCCCATGTTCGATCCCCCCCGTGAGGATACTGCCCACACCATCGCTGAGGCCCAGGTTCTCGGTTTGTCCGTCAAGATGCTTACTGGTGACGCCATCGCTATTGCCAAGGAGACTTGCAAGATGCTTGCCCTTGGTACCAAGGTTTACGACTCTGAGCGCCTGATCCACGGTGGTCTCGCTGGTTCCGCCCAGCACGACCTTGTTGAGAAGGCTGATGGTTTCGCTGAAGTCTTCCCCGAGCACAAGTACCAGGTCGTCGAGATGCTCCAGCAGCGTGGTCACTTGACTGCCATGACTGGTGACGGTGTCAACGACGCCCCCTCCCTGAAGAAGGCTGACTGTGGTATCGCTGTCGAGGGTTCCACTGAGGCTGCCCAGGCTGCTGCCGATATTGTCTTCCTTGCCCCCGGTCTTTCCACCATTGTCGATGCTATCAAGCTTGCCCGCCAGATCTTCCAGCGCATGAAGGCTTACATCCAGTACCGTATTGCCCTGTGTCTTCACCTTGAGATCTACCTTGTTACCTCCATGATCATCATTGATGAGACCATTCGCTCCGACCTGATTGTCTTCATCGCTCTGTTCGCCGATCTTGCCACCATTGCCGTCGCTTACGATAACGCTCACTTCGAGGCCCGCCCCGTCGAGTGGCAGTTGCCCAAGATCTGGGTCATCTCCATCGTTCTCGGAATTCTGCTCGCTGCCGCTACCTGGATCATCCGTGGTACCCTCTTCCTTAAGGACGGTGGTATCATCCAGAACTTCGGTTCTCCCCAGCCGATTCTCTTCCTTGAGGTTGCTCTTACTGAGAACTGGCTCATCTTCGTCACCCGTGGTGGTAAGACCTGGCCCTCGTGGCAGCTGGTCATTGCCATCTTCATTGTCGATGTTCTGGCTACCTTGTTCTGTGTCTTCGGCTGGTTATCCGACTGGGACCAGACTCACCCCTACGATCCCGCTGGCCCTGGCTTCTCCCACAACAACGATGTCGACATTGTCACCGTCGTTGTCATCTGGGCCTACTCCATCGGTGTTACCGTCATCATTGCCGTGGTCTACTACATCCTGACCATTATCCCGGCTCTTGACAACCTTGGCCGCAAGACCCGCTCCAAGGCTGACACCCAGATCGAGAACATGATCGCTCATCTCTCCAAGCTCGCCATTGAGCTCGAGACCGACAAGGAGGGCAAGTCCCGCTACACTATCGGTGCTCGCGCTGAGGAGATCGAGGAGGACGAGTAAATGCTTCTACGGAACATTGCTCCTCCCTTTGATGGGCTAATTTTCTGAACTCGATACTGGTCCGATGTTCAAATTAATTTTCCTTATTCTATTCTGATCCCCCTTGCTCATATTCTACCACGCAAATGTGTTGCTTGCACCATCTATCTGGACATGCATACCGTGGGAAGCTTAAAAAGGCCAAATCCGTCTTTTTGGCTTTCCGTTTTACCGTACCATAGACTTGCTTGTTTCATTTACCCCTTGGCTTCATTTGCTTTCGAGTCGATATAGTCAAGTTTTCTTTCTCTACGTGTATGTATGTCGTTAATAGTGGTCGTGAAATTACAAGGGATTCTAATCTAATCAAACTGGTCATTCTAAATGTAGAATTTGTAGCATTCCAATCCTCCTTTCCAACCTTGGAATCTCCCTAGTTCAGGAATTCCGCCTCATCTCCCCCTACCCCTGTACTTTAGCCCCCGCCCTGGATCTACCGCGCTTCTAACAGGTGGAAGCCCAATTCCCCGTCTCCCACTTTCTTGTTCACCTTTTCCCCAGCAATTTTCCACCATGTGGGGGAAATAAGCTTCTCACAACCCCAATTTCGTGGGGAGATGCGGAGGTCATACTAGAACAATGCCGTTCTACCTGCACCAACCTCGGACATTGCGACTCAATTGGGACAATGACGTTGAAGATTTTCCGTCTGCGCAAATATCACTAGACGAATTACTATACTCTACCGACTATAAGAAGCAGCTCAATTCACATCTAGTAATACTCGTGTTCACAGACAAGACTAGACTGGACCAGGTCTTAAACCAATGCTAAGATGCTCCGCCTACCCTCCATCTTCCTAGCCCTATGCTGGCATATCCTCAGCGTGACCTCCGCCGCCGTATCTCAAAATTCACGAACCCAATGCCAATTCAGCGGCACCCATTGTCCATCAGGAACAATCCTCGTGTCAGCAACCGACTCTCGCGCAGATTACACAACAATCCAAAGCGCAATCAACTCTCTTCCAAATGATACCTCCTCCCACACAATCCTCATCCTCTCAGGCACCTACAAAGAACAACTCAACGTAACCCGTCCCGGCCCCCTCACTCTCCTAGGCCAGACCAACTCCCCGCATGACGCCGCCCAAAACACCGTAACAATCACCTGGGCCGCCGCCAACCTAGACTCAACAGGCCAAAGCGTCGACAACGTCTACTCCAGCGTCCTGATAGTCTCACCAACTCTCGATGCCAGCCTGACCGGCTCAGGAACAACCGGCTTCGCTGTGCCCGATGATACACCTTTCGGAAACAAGGACTTCCGTGCGTACAACATCGACTTCACAAATACCTGGGCCGAGTACTCAGACGGCCCAGCACACGCCCTCAGCTTTAGTCGCGCAAACGGCGGATTCTACTACTGCGGATTCTACTCCTATCAAGACACTGTCTACATCGGCAAGCTTGGGAACGCCTACTTCTATAAGTCCACTTTAGCCGGCGAAACCGATTTCCTCTACGGCTTCGGCACAGCATGGATCCAATCCTCTGATGTTCTCCTCCGGGGCTGCGGAGGTGGGATTACAGCGTGGAAGGGAACAAACACCACGTTTGAGAATAAGTATGGCGTTTACATTGTCGATTCGACGGTGAAGGCTGCGAATTCCTCTATCGCGCCGGATATTAAGGGTTCGTGTGCGTTGGGCCGGCCGTGGAATTCGGAGCATAGGTCTATCTTTGCGGACTCGTATGAGGATGGGAGTATTGATGCGAGTGGGTATATCAATTGGGTTATTAGTGGGGTGGGGAGGTATGAGCAGGGAATTACGCTGATGGCGGAGTACAAGACTTACGGACCTGGTTTTAATGCGACTGGGAGACGGGTTGGGAATGTTACAACAGTCCTGGACAAGAAGGGGTATGCGCCGTATAGTGAGCCGAAAAAGGTCTTCCAGAATCAGAAGGGTGTGTTTGGGGATGTGAGTTGGATTGATTGGGAGACTGTTTCTGCCTAGGACTCTATACTGGTGATTGTGTAGGGAGTGATGTTGATATCAAAAGCAGTACATACTCCCCCGAGACCATGACTTGTAATACGCTTCAACTGAGCCTGGACCTCATCACCTTGAAACCCCAGGCAATGATGATGATCACCCACAATATCCATCCACATCCAACCCGAACACCCTAAGTGGGCTACCCGCTCATCCTCGCCCCATCCACATCCTCGGCAACGTGAATTCCAAGACTCCCAATCCCAGGCTCCGCAGTCACCAACTCCCCCAACCGTCCCAGTCTAGCCAGATACGCCGCCCCGGTATCCGCCCAAACCCTATACTCCTGGACCTTCAAGCCTTTGGCACCCGTATCTTCCGCAACAACAATCCGATAAACGAACGTTTCATCCCACGCCTGGCCGGTGGATTTCCAGACGAACTGTGCATTCCCGCGTAGGCAAACGGCCATCGAGACCTCGTCAACTAGCCAGTCGGTGTCGGGTTCGAAGGTCATGTTTTTGATATCAAGGTGTTCGGATAATAGAGCAAAGTAGCGGGTTACGCCTTCTTGGCCGGTGAAGTAGCGGCCTAGGAAGGGGACTAGTTGGGGGAGGCCGTGTTCGAAACAAAGAGGTGGTGGATTAGTTGTAAATGTTGAGAGGAGGTTTGGATTTTGGTCAGGTGGGGTGGATAGGGCGGTTAGGAGGGATTGAACTGCGGTGATGAGGGATTTACGAGTGACCATTTTGTATCTGATGGACAAGGTTGGAGGTGAGTTGGTATGAATTGAGAACTTGTTCATAGGATCCCGGCTACTTCAAGGTGCGAAGTTGAGGCGGCGATGGGACTTACATAACAATGACGTGAAAGTAAGACGGTTCGTTTAAATATGTTTATTTTCTTTCTCTTCTGTTTCAGGTTCCTGAATTTCTCCGAAATAGTTCCCCTGATAGTTCCCAGGAGGGTCGACTCTCGAAGTTCGCTCTCCGTACGAATGGACTTCCCTAAAGGACGCCCGGAGAAAAGCAACCCCCCATTCGCATTGGGGAAAAAAAAAAAAAAAAAAAAAAAACTCCAGTGCCGGCCTTCGAAATGAAAGCAGTAAGAAAACACCAAATCAGAAGATGATTCGGAGAGGCACAAGGTAAAAAGAAAACACCGGATCCCTGTTGAAAAATCATACATCCCTTCGCCACCATTTCTAGACCACCAATTGCAAGATCACTGCCGCCAGGACTTGCCGCAGTTCATGCATGTACAGAACAAAGTCATCGGTTCATCAGCACTGCGAGTCTGAGCCTCGGTGTAGGTGACCTTGCGCTGCCCGCACTTTCCGCACTGCAGACTGGTACTGATACTGCGCTCTTGCTGGGGAACCATGGCATTGTCCATGTTCTGTTTCTTAAGCTTCTCGTCCTTCTCACGCTGCTCTTCGGAGCGCAGCTCGTCGCTAGTCATACGCACAAACTTGTGCGCGGTGATTTCGCCGGCAACAATGCGCACGCGCAGCGAGACATTCGACTTATTCTTCAGGTTCTGGAACAAACTGCGCATCTTTTGCTTGTATTCCGGCTTGCTCTCAGGGCCCAGGTGATCGTATGCAGCGGCTTCAACTTCGCGCGCCTTCGCCAGCACAACCTTGGGCGACTCAGTCGAACCCAGACACAGCCCGTCGTACATCAGCCCCGTGCAGCTGTCACGGACGGGGTTCCCAAGCTGGTTGACATCCACACCATCTGCCTTCCATGTCCGCTTATCCGGTGGGACTGACAGCTTCGATGCCTTATCAGATGGAGTCGCTCCTGTGGGTGTCGATGCGCCAGTGCCGTTCGCCGGCCGGGGAGATCCGCTAGATCCTCGGCTTGCAGCTGATCCACCCTGCTTCTGTTTGTTGACTTCATTCCGCCACTTGGAGACGATCTCGCCCGACAGCTGTGCGACTTCCTTCGACGAGTGTTGCTTGAATTTGTTGACAATGATACCGATGCGAGTAGATCTCAACAGATCCTCCGATGCCCGCACGCCGTTTTGCAGGTCCTTCAGCATGCCCAGAATCACGGTTGCCGTCTCCTTCTGTGACGCAGCCTTCGTCAAGGCCTTGGCCTTGGCATCGATTGCTCTGGCATCCATAGCCACGGTAGAAAGCGTAGGGTCGTAGTCAGGTGTGATAGGAGGGCGTTTTTTGTAGATGAGTTCCCGTTCAAGTCTGCATAGTAAAGTCCGTCAGTACCTGAACATTATCAATATGTGAAGAAACATGTTGTGAGATTCCCAGATGAGCCGGCAGTCGGAGTACTCGAGCAGCGCACGCCGCGCATCGCTCAAGACTAGACTGAGCCAAAGGGTAACCCCAAACAATGTTCCGCACACAATTTTCTTGTTCTTGCCGGGCCTCCGTGGCAGCTCTGGTGATGTACACCGCAGCACCAAGCTGCACGTGTCTGGCATTTATCTTCGGAAAGATGCATTCCAAAGACTCGGAAATGCCCCGACAGGCCGGTAGACACAATGCGCGCGTTCACGTGTAGCTTGCGACCGCGGAGGTATCGCAAATAGGGCTTGGGTAGGGGGCGGTTTGCGCGGACACTTACACACCGAGGACGCGGTGAAGAGTAGGTGGGAAATAGATGGGACAGTAGGAAAAGAGAGTGTAGAGAAAAAAAGGCCGAGAGCACAAAAGACGGAGAGTGGTGAAAGAGTGGGCAACTCGGTCGCGCGCCAAGACGTCTCTGCCCGATTCGGAAATTTCTCACTGATCCACTCGAAGTATACAACTATTCACTTCATATCCTTGTAACAATCATTTCTACGGAATTTGGAGGAGAATAATAATAAAGAATGGCCGCCTGATTATCAGGGGTGTATTCACATCTATTTGGAGTTTCTGTATCCTCCCAACACGTCAGAGCTCGGCTATGCATCGAGGGAAGGTGAAGGGGTCGGAATTATGTGCAGTCGTCATCGTCAACGGGGTATAAAAGACATGGGGAAATTTTTGGGATTTGGCGTTCAGTGTCGTCAGGTCCTCATCTCATGAGACCAAAGGCCAGGACTGGAACCACTTCGTATGAGAAGGTGCTGTGGACTGGCCAGTTTCGCAATGCAGAGGTGATGACTTCAGAGTCCGTCAATGATGGACAATGAGATACCAGGACTAGAGTGGCAGTCACGGGTTATATGACTTAGAGGCCAGTCTTGCCCAGAGCCTCGGCCAGCGCATCAACATCCTTGTCGGACTTCTGGGCCACCTTCTCTTCCTCGGCGAGGTCGGCGTCCTTGAGAATCTTCTCGGCCTTAGCTTCTTCCTCTTCCTCCTCTTCCTCCTCCTCTTCCTCCTCCTCATCGGACTCCTCCTCCTCGAGCTCATCAAGCTCATCAACACCCCAAGTGTCCTCGGCATCGTCATCGGTTCCATACTCCTCCTGGCGGGCCTGCAAAAGCTCACGCAGGGCGGTGACGCTGTCGTCATCCTCGTTGAAGATGTTTCCATTCAGCTCGACACGACGCAGGCTAGGAAGGGCGGTCTTAGCGGCGAAAGCGAGCTCCTTGACACATTCAGCCTTGACCTCGTTGTACTGCATACGAATAGTTTGGAGCTTCTGGTTCTTGTTGGCGGCTAGAGCCTTAGCAACCTTGATACCACCACGGGCAGAGAGCAGGCAGTCACCGACACCGAGCTCAATCAGAGAAGGCCAGCCCTCCAGAACAGCAGCCAGAGCAGTAGATCCCATCAAAGTGAAGGTGTTATCCTGCAGATCCATAACCTCCAGGGAGCTGGCGTGACGAAGACCATTTTTGAGCAGGTGCGAGATACCCTCCTGACGGATACCGTTCTGGGTCATCTTGACCGACTTCATACCGGCAGCGTGCTTCTCGTAGGCACGAGCCCAAGCCTCCATACTGCCGTTCTCGAGGCGGTTGCGTCCACACACAATGCTCTCCAGCAAAGCAACCTCCTTGCCGTCCTTGCGGGCCTCCTCCTTGCGCTCGGCAAGCTTGCTCAGAGCATCAGCGACGAGAGTTCCCGCAGCGGGACCGAGGCCGTTATTGTTGAGGATCAGGTGACGGAGGGGAGTGTGGCGCGAAAGGAAATCGACCAGGGGAGCCTGGGTGTTGAGGCCGAAGGCATTGTCGGAGAGGTTGACGGTGTGGACGGAGGGAATCTCGAGAAGAGAGTCCAGGAGGGACTTCAGAGCCGGAGGGATCTCGGAGAGGAGACGCGAGGTGAAGATATCGGCAAGCTCGGCGATCTCAAGGCTCTTCTGGGTAGCGATGACAGCGCCGAGGCGCTCGCAGGCACCGACACCCAGGGTGTTGCCGCCAAATCGGATCTCGGTGTAATCAGTGTTCTCGACCAGAGGCTTGATGTGGGACTCAATGTCCTCTGCAGTGTCGAGCTTGAGGCCTTTGCCCTCGAGCGAGAAGACCTTAGGAGGGGCCATGGCGGGGTAGTTTTTCAGGGGAAGGAAAGAAATTGAGATGAGAAAATGGGGTCCGATTTAGAAAGAGATGACGGGAGCAGACTGTCAAGCACGGGAAGGAAAGACCGCACCCGAAAAAGGAGAAATTCAAGAGGCAAGACAGGGAGGCAAAATAGTAACAAAGCGGGATGTTTTGGCGATAACAAAAAAATCAATACGGGGAGTGCTACGGACCAGTTGCGCAGCTAATTACTAATCCTGGCGTGGTCTCATCGCGACATGGCGAGCTTTCTGTCTTGATTCACTGTCGCTCACTGTCGCTATATATTCTCATTTCCAGTCAATCTCTTGAACATACCAATCCATCGAAATGTCGTGGCTCTTCGGTTCTTCCGGTATGTCCAATCCATCCTTCTTCGCTATCCACACTTCCGCCATCTCCGATGCCTGCGCAATGCGCATGGTCTACACTACTAGCCCAGAGGGTGTCGACCTCTCGCTAATACTCCAGTTACAGAGAAGAACGCTCCGGCTCCTGTCGAACCCAAGACCCAGTCCGCGCAAACCGAAAAGCCCAAGGTACGCCCGAGACCGCCACAAGAAACACGTTCCTGGCAATCAAACTAACTCTTCTTCGTTATAGCCCTGCTGCGTTTGCAAGGACGAGAAGACCGCCCGTGACGACTGCATGCTGTTCTCCAAGTCCGATGACCCTCAGAAGGAGTGCCAGTCAATGGTCGAAAAGTACAAGACCTGCATGGCCGGCTTCGGCTTCAAGGTCTGAACGACCTCGGAATTGTCTGTATATTACCACTGTACCATAGCATTCATCGGCTGGTGTTTTCTTTTTTCGATTTGTGGATATTCTCCAGTTCGGATCTTCGCAAACATGGGACCAAGAGACTGTATTGCGCTTGCATAGAGTTCGAGTTTACGAATACAACCTCTCATCTCCCACAACCGAAGAACAAACGTGACAAGAAATAATTAAGAATGATCGAATCTAGTCTAACATCACATTTTACCCAAGAAAAGTGCGTATAATGGGGTATCAAAAAAGTGCACAGCCACCCAATGCGCTGTCTCACTGCTTCTTCCGACTCTCTTCTTCCGCCGCCTGCAGATCAATCCGCCGACACTGGGTGATTAACTTCCACATGCACCAAAGGTAAATAATTCCAAATCCGCCGGCTCCGACGAGGGCGTTAAGAACCACCCACAGGTCCGGCTTACCCGGCAGTGGCTCGACGAACGCCTCGAGAACATGCCAGCCAATCATAGCACTGTAGAAAGCAAAGTGTAAGAGTTTTGTGAATACGTTGAGCTCGAATTGCGAGTTCGGGTCGTCGAGCGATGATCGGCTTCGGTATGTCTCGAAGGAGAGGGGAGGAAGTCCGATAAGGTAAGCCCAGAGAAGGGTCATCACGGCGTACGGCACGCTCAGCTCTTCGCGCTTGAGAAGCGGGTACATGGTCCACGAGCCCAAAATATTGGCCAGGCCAACCCAGGCGCGGTTCTCCTTATTCAGGCCGCCATCGCCGGCGAGCGAGAGGGTCATTGGGAGGAGAGGGAGGAGGACGCTCTTCTCGTGCACTTGGAAGGAGAAGAGAAAGAATCCCCAGGAAACGCAAGACATCGCAGGGAGAATAAGAGAGGCTCGCGGGTGGCGGAAAGTGATGGCACATGGAATAATGATTGAACCAAGGGTGGCGCCGAGTGATGCTCGTTGGAGTAGCGAAGTCTCGAACCGGTTGAGCTTGTAAAATGTGTGAATGGCACACCAGGCGTTAGCAACCTTATCTTCAAAGATACCTCGAGCGAAGGGAAGCACGCGGTGAATGGTCTGTGTCAGCTGGAAAATAACTGCATATGCCACCGATTTTTTGTCGAGGGAGATCGGTAGAGCCTGAAGTAGAGGAGGCTGTGGCGAAGAAGCGATAGACTCTCGAGCCTCAGGACCCGTTGCGCCGACCAAGAGCGGCGCGAACAGCAGAGCAAAGGCGGCAGCCGTAATCAGGGCGATGTTGATCAACCGAGGGATATGAATTCGGGGGAAGACACAGACTCCCAAAAGATAGGCGAACATGACAGGTGCGTAGTAAAGCGCCATCTGCTTGAAACCCAAAGCTCCGACGAAAAATATACAGGCCCAAAGCATACGTCCGGCCAGAATAGCATCCAAACTCGCAACCACCAGGCCCAACATCACGGTGTTGTACTGGAAATGGCCATGGTCGATAAGAATTGTGGCGGGCTGGAGGAGAACGGCGACAAGAGCGATCGAGGCAGACCACGCATGCACACCCTGCATCCGAGTATAACGACGAAGGAAGTTGACGATGGCCGGAACGTAGACGAGGTATTCGGAAACGACGACAGTGGCGCGCATATAGACCTTCAAATTGGGGTCCTCGAAGCCGCGGGATTTGTCTAATGCGAACCATGCAGGCTCAATGGCGGTACCGCTTCTTCAAATCAGCCGATGCGTCTTCAGAACACGAAGGTATACATACATCTTGCCGAACAACCAACTGTGGTATGCGGTCAATGGGGGGTAATCGAGGCCCCAGTACTGCAAGTCGTAGAGATACCACTTGGCCATAGGCAGGTGCTGGGTGATCTCCATCCAATGCCTTTGGGCCTCGAAATCACCGTGCATCGGGGGTACCTGGAACCCTAAGTGATGTGAGCAGTAATTCAATACGAGAGGACCTAACATGCCTACCAGAGTAATCCCACAGACCGACAGCCCACCGGAAGAGACCGACAGCCATAAGGATAAGAGGTAGGATCAGCCATTGGGACACGCCGGCCCGAGCAGCCCAGAGGAACGAGACGAGAGGGAAGGTGGGCGACTGTTTGCCATCTCCATTGTCAAAGATTAGGTTGTTATTTGAGCCCGGGTTGATCGGGAACTTTCTCTTCTTCCGCGGACGGTGCGAGGAGGGAGTGGGAGGGGCCATCACGAATCGAGCTAAGTGGCGAATCAGTATGCCATCGACTATACCAGTCAGAATAATCAGTCTGTGAAACGCGAAGAGAAGTATAGTCGGCCAACCTTGGGGAGAGGACTCAGGGTACCGCGGAGTGACATTGAACAGCGCAGCAACATGAGAGGTTGTGAGGTATCCGCAATGTCTCCACCGAGCGGCAAAGTTAGTGCCTGTTAGTGCCTGGGCCTAGCTCCTTACGGTAGGCGGAAAGCCTTTCTGCCAGCCTCCGATTTTTTTTTTTTTTTCAGAAAATTTTCTGATAAGAGAAGCTTCCCCCAGCTGCAGACTATTTTTTTTCTTCTCTTCTTCATCCTCTCTCCCATCCCCCTTTGCTATCACATACTCTTGTGTAGCACTTTTCTTGATTTATCTTTCAAGAAAACATCATCCATAAGTACATATCCCCCTTCCACTAACTGACGCAGCTGCGTGGGTTCCCGTACTTGCAAATTTTTTTTTGTCAGTACACAGTACTTTCAACAGACTTTTAAGTGGGCTTTTTCACATCGAGGGCTGTGGGCTTGATCTTTGCATATCTATTCTGTGGGCTCTGTGGGACATTTCCTCGTGGGTTTCATATTCTAGTTGCGTATCGCCGGTCTCTGTGGGCTTGAACTCTGTCCGTTGCGGGTTACTCGTGGGTATCGACCAGCTTGTGATCAGATCACTCCTGGCTGTTGCTGTTTCCATCTCCTGAGGGTTGTTGCATTTATCACATCTACACGGGTGTATTTGAGGGCTTGTTGGCTTTGCCGCACATTTTCCAAATCGCTTATCACCTGATCCCCCAAACCACTGTTAGTGGGATGTGAGGTGGACCCTACTTTTTACAGAGTGCTAACATTCTTTCCTCGCTGCAGCACACACAATGTCGAAGACCAAGGTTTCCTCCAAGGTTGATAAGAAGGCCGAGAAGGTCTTGAGCAAGGCCAAGGACACTGGTGTCACCAAGTCCAAGGACGTTGCCAAGAAGGTCGCCTCCAAGGAGAAGGCCTCCAAGAAGAACAAGAAGGAGCCCACCCCCTCCAGCTCCTCCGAGTCCGAGTCCGAGTCCGAGGAGTCCTCCAGCTCCGAGTCCGAGGATGAGAAGCCTGCCCCCAAGAAGGATACCAAGAAGGCCGAGAAGAAGGTCGCCAAGAAGGAGGAGTCTTCCTCCGAGTCTGACTCTGATGAGGAGATGAAGGATAACTCCTCCAGCTCCGAGTCTGAGTCTGAGGACGAGAAGCCCGCCGCCAAGAAGGTCGAGAAGAAGGCTGAGTCTTCCGACTCTTCCGACTCCTCTGACTCCGAGTCCGAGGCTGAGGCCCCTAAGAAGGCTGCCGCCAAGGCTGAGTCTTCTGACTCTGACTCCTCTGACTCCGAGTCTGAGGATGAGAAGCCCGCCAAGAAGGATGCCAAGAAGGACTCCAGCGACAGCGAGTCTGACTCCGACTCTGACAGCTCCGACTCTGAGTCTGAGGACAGCGAAGAGACTGCTGTCTCCTCCAAGAAGCGCAAGGCTGAGGAGGAGCCCGTCGCTGCCCCCAAGAAGGCCAAGACCGAGGCCGCCCCCGAGGGTGCCTCCGCCAACCTGTTCGTCGGCAACCTGTCCTGGAACGTTGACGAGGACTGGCTCCGCAGCGAGTTCGAGTCCTTCGGTGAGCTCTCCGGCTGCCGTATCGTCACCGACCGTGAGTCTGGTCGCTCCCGTGGGTAAGTCATACATTCTTGATTCTTTCACCGTCGTCACATTTACTGACTACATCTTTCAGATTCGGTTACGTTGAGTACACCAACGCTGCCGATGCCGCAAAGGCCTACGCGGCCAAGAAGGACTCCGACCTTGACGGTCGTACTATCAACCTGGACTACGCCACTGGCCGCCAGAACAAGCAGGAGGGTGGTGACCGTGCCCAGGCTCGCGCCGGCAAGTACGGTGACCAGACCAGCCCCGAGTCCGACACTCTCTTCGTCGGCAACCTCCCCTTCAGCGCTTCCGAGGATTCCATCCGCGACCTGTTCTCCGAGCAGGGCAACATTCTCGGCATCCGCCTGCCCACTGACCCCGAGTCCGGTCGTCCCAAGGGCTTCGGTTACATTCAGTTCGGCTCCATTGAGGAGGCCAAGACTGCCCACGGTGCCCTCAACGGCGAGGAGCTCGAGGGCCGCTCCATCCGCCTTGACTTCAGCACTCCCCGTCCTCCCCGTGAGCAAGGTGGTGGCTTCGGCGGCCGTGGTGGTGGTGGTGGCTTCGGTGGCCGCGGCGGCGGTGGTCGTGGTGGTGGCCGTGGCCGTGGTGGCTTCGGTGGTGGTCGCGGCGGTGGCTTCGGTGGTGGCCGCGGCGGTGGTTTCGGTGGTGACCGTGGTGGCTTCAACAAGGCCAAGGGCAGCATCCCTGAGTTCAAGGGCAGCAAGATCACTTTCTAAGCCCGTTACTGACTGTATTTTGCTATTCTCATATGGGTGTTCATGGGCCATCGGAGGCCCCGGTAACTAAAAAAGTTAGCTTGTATTTGATAGTCTAGGATGATTGCAATGTAATCTCATATTTCACATTTTCACGATTTTACCTCTTTTTCTCCCTTGAAGCGTAATAAGAGTATACTGCCATTTGCCTCCGCCCGACTTCCCCGCATGTCCCAGTGTCTTTGTTGTCACTCTTTCCTTCACACGCGAAAACAGAGCTGAATGAATGTTCCGATTTCCCTTAAAATCAGGATTTCAGTTCTTCTCCTCTCCTTTTATTATCTGTATTAAATCTATATAATCTACATCAGTTTCTTCAGGTCTATGGTGTTACCCCCTCTCATCGGTGGCTTCCGTCACGGGCTGCAAATCACCTGCGGCGTCTGCTGATCACCTCATCATACACTCCTTGTTTCTTCTTTACTCCCCTTTCTTCTCTATCTCTGCCCTCGTTACTCCTTTGGACTCTTTTATATCGCAAGATCTGGGTTTACTGGAGTTGCTCTCTAATTGGAACTGCAAGAACAACCCCCCCCCCCCCTCCAAAGGTCTTGGTGTGTTGGGCATCAGTGATGGGGCCGATCATCTCCACATTGATAAGATAACCTCATTGATTGCCCCCTTCCCCACGCCTGACCGCTGTTCCACCGGGTGGCCTGATACTTGCAACCTGAGTGCCATCTCCCTATTTCTACCTCTATTTCTATATTCTATCCTCCCCTCCCCCTCCTTTACTCTTCACTTTGGCCATGCAACCAAATCACTGCGACCTGCTAGGTCAGGTGCGCGAGCCCAGAGCCGCAAGTCATCCGATGCGCGATGGCCACTCGCGCGATTCTGGTCAGCCCCGACCGTCCGGTGCGGTTGGCATGAGATCAGAAGCCTCCGGTATGTTGATTCCCTTATATACTCGGACGGGGTACCTTTTCCCTCCTGGCGATCCAGTTTCGACATGCAGACGCTTTGTTCGCCTTTGATTTGTGCTTCAAAATGTACTCACTGCAGTATTACATAGACTCTTGGATCGAAGTATCATCGCAGCCGTCATCTTCATCCTTGTCCTCGGCTGCTACAAACGACGATATCATTACAACTGGTCTCCGTGTGGACAGTGGAGAAGGCAGAATGTATCAGCACCGCAGTCGACGACGACGTCTGCAACACCTCGCCGCCGTTACCACAGCCCAGGTAGATTACTCGTCGAGGGAGGCTAGCCTGGCTAGCAGCAGCCAAGAAGAATATGAAGAGAGCGAGAGCGAGCCTGATCCCAACTTGAGCAGCTCAAACGAGGACATAAACCGCCCCGCTCTACGGGTTCCGCTATCCACACTCCCCACTCCCTCCGATGCAGATGCAGCCTCGAGTGACGATGAAGATGACGATGCTTCTACTGCTCTTGGGATGGGCATCAGCCCATCTCCCTTCGTCCCCCAGCCAAACGTCTTTTCTCATCCACCAGCGACAAGCGACCCCTCATGGACTCGTCCAAATGAGTCGCGCCGATCTCAACCCAGTGTTCCTTCCACCTCCAGCCGGCGCACTTCAATCCGCCGAGACTCATACCCGCCCAGCACACGATTCCGTAGATCCCAACAGTCTCAACACAGCCCCTTCAACATGATATCGCCGTCCCACCACGCAGACCACGATGCTGCCCTCCGAGCCAGTCTCTCAACCCTCTTGTCCTGCGCGGCCGCTGCCCGGGGCCTCCCCAAAGCAGATAATCAACCTATTTCATCCGGTCCCGGCCCCTCCCAGCCATCAACCTTCCGTCTAGTCGGCGAATCAGTCGCCATGGGCGAAGAAAGCTGCGAAGAAGCCCCCTCACCACGATACACAGAATCAAGTCCCTCAGTGGGGCCGGCCCGCCGACGACATCCCCGCACCGCTCCTGGCCCGCCCTCCAAAGCCAAGCGCCGGTCTATGTCTCCCAAAGACCGCAGCGCAAAGAAGAGTCGACATGCAAGTATATCAGACTCAACGAGCCCCGTCAGTCCAACCATCATGACATGGGTCATCAGCGCGGGGGTCGTGGTCCTATTTTCTGCAATCAGCTTCTCGGCCGGATACATGCTCGGTCGCGAAGTAGGTCGCGTTGAAGCGGGGATGATGGGGGATGGAAGTGTACCTGGCGCACGCTCATCAGCGGCTTGTGGACAGGAAGCTATGAGAGGAGGGCTTAGGCGGTTCCGATGGGGAACTACTGCTGCCAGCTCTGCTAGTCTGGCGTGATGTGAACATGTCTCATGATGTGAATGGTCATGAATGAATGCTTTGATGAGAGTATGATGTGGATGCGAGAGCTCCGCTATGATTTCCTTATGCCTTGATGTACTCCACGTTCCTTGATGTTTTTTTGTTTTCTTGATTTTGGTTCCAGTCAGCAGGTGGTCGGTGAGCTGCTGCCGGCAAAAATTGGGTTGCTTTTCCTCTTGTTGTGGCTTTTGTCACTGGTGTTGGAGCTTGGGGTGCATTTTGCTCGGTTTATGGTGGTTTGATGGTGCTCTCATGTTGACCTCAATGTATACCCTGTTATATTGTTGTCTCTTGATATATGCAGTCGTAGAGATGATAGTCAGTAATGCTAAAATTGGCAAACCAATTAGTACAGCTTTCCAGGGCCATTGAATCAAAAGTAGCGTATGCTCTCCTCGCCTTGGAAACAATAAAGGTAGGTAGGATCTTGAAAGACAATCCCCCTGAGCCAAAGTGAGGCGAACAACGTCAATAGCAACGAGGCTAAGCAAGGACCCGAGAGCATCTTACTGCCCTGCACCTCAACCAAAACTCCTTGAAAATCTCCAGAAGGGAGGAATCCAGTTTCCCTCACCTCCACGCAAGCTCAAAAGCTCTACTCCAATCTGACCCTACGCCCCCTTCAGCACCAGATCCAATTCCAAATTCAAATCTCCAACCTCTCCCCACAATCCCAATATCACATTACCCCATCTAATAATTCCTGCAGGTTCAAAGCACCGTCGCAGCCAAATCCAGACCTCATACGACATAGATACACAAACACCGAGCCCATCAATTAAGCCCCCACTCTCCAAAACCCGAATGTAGATCATGGGTCGGGTCGATCACGATCACGACGATCCACAAATAAGAACATACGCTGTCTAATTATCTAAATTCTGAAATACAAACTCATAATCAAGAATTGCAACGTCCCGATAGGGGTGTGGCTGGTGTGTCTGGTGAGATAGGGGGAAGTGGAGTAGTCTGGAGAGAAGGAATCCTTTGACCCAGGAGCCTGATGGATTGGGATTAGAATTAGGATTGGGGAGGGCCTCGTGGAGCACGCTCTAGAATGCGATCCTACCGTTCTGGCCAGATCCGCCACCCGCGCGGTATATGGGGCTATTATGACGTGAACCTCGTACCGGATGTGATACAATACATTGGCGAACTTTAATCTTTGTGGAAGGCGACCCTTCAAGATAGGAGATAGGGGTGGAGTGAGGCCAATCAAGGCAAGGCTCCTCACTACCTCACTACAGATCCTTACCGTTGCAGGTCACACAACATGAGCCTGAACCCAGGTGCCAACCATGGAAACGGCAGCCGGCACCTGGGAGCAGCAAAAAAAAAAAATAAGAATAAAAATAAACGTTAGACCCGGCATCCCGAATAAGGTATTCGAGTGCGAGTTCGCATCAGCATTGGGTATAGCGAGCACTATTGAATGGATCCGCTCGGGACGGGCCTAGGAGAGCTCGGGCGCGGGGAGACCGGATTTCGATTTCCTAGGGCATGGGTGAAGATCAATGCAGCTGGATGTTAGCAATAGGGAGTATTTCATTGGGGACCATTTACATTTTTGCTGCAAATATCCAGACCCTAGGGGAAGCTAGTTTGCCACCTGTGTAATGGGGTAGGTGGGTTCCCGGTATTTGTGTTCAGGGCGAGCTAGTGCGTACTGCGGAGGAGAGGATCTGCGCAGGGGCCCGATGCGAGTCAATGCGTGGTAATGTTTTTTTGCTTTTGTGAGCCCGGGTACCTGGTTATGTGGTGATTGTGCTTTGGGGGGGGGGGGGTTGTAACATTGCCAAGGTCCTAGGTTGGGGATCCGGGTTGTAGTTGCGTGAAACGGGGGTTGGTTCCAAGTTCGGGCTCGGGAGGGGTTGGCAGCTCCTAGGTTGCGGGAGGTCCACTTTCGAGGTTGAGACCCGTCCAATTCTAACATTAAAGGTTTCAAGATACTAGGAAAAGATGTGGTAGAATGATTGGGTGATAGTCGTTCTTGTATAAACAGTCTGCTATTTACATGCTGATAAAATGTGCCCATATGATATATATATCCGTTCCCCGTACCCAAGATCCAACGCCGCGCTTGTCGCTAGAATAAAAATGAAGTGGACTTGGCCACGAAGACAAAAGAAAAATAAGCAGGTCAGTCCCCCGCTCGTCGAGGCTGACTGTGGTCGTATGTCCAGATGAATGAATGACAGTGGAGCCTCACAAGGCAAAGTTATACAGAAGAGAATTAATCGTTAAAGGTCGAAAGTAGGCGGTCGCGTACGCCAGAGAAAGAAAAGTAGAGGGAGTGCTCATGTAGTTGCCTCGGATCGTCGGCGATATTTTAAATCGTCCCGGCTAAGGAGTCGGCGGAGTTTTGAGACAAAGCGACCCGGCAGGCACTCTATGGTATTGTTAGTGGTGATCAATCAAAGGGAGGAAAGGAACGTACCATTGCTTCGTTGCACCACTGGAGGCTCTTCCAGAGGCTGCGTGGTATAGGCTGCGGCCCAATAGCCCGTGTGATGGTAACCGGTGAATGTGCAGCTGTTGGGGTTGTATCGTGGCTGCAGGGCTGCGACGTGCGGATAGAGCTCCGCTAACGGGGAGAGCAATTCATCTGGAGGCGGCGAGCGCCGGCTGTCGATGCTCGGTCGGGACTATTCAAGAACGTCAGCGAATCCGGGATATGTATGAAGCAAAGGACTGACGTACGTATAGTTCATAGTTTGTCTTGTACATTTTGGAGAGAAGAAAGGCGGAGAACGGACAAGGCCGAAGATGATTCAGTCACCAAGATATCGACTTAGAAGGTGCAGGGTGGCTCAGTTGAGGACGGAGATAGAAATCTGCAGAAATCTGCAGTTGAGACGGTGAGATGCAGCATTTAAAAGAGATTGTCGCAACGTTCAGCCGTACGGCGGAGCCAAGTACGGGCGGGGCAGGGTTCACGTCAATCTGAAGAAGAAACTAGCGAGCCTTAGCCCGGTGATCTCGTTAACCAGGAACCCGGGAGTCGGTCAAGCCCGATGCGTTCTTGTGATTGGGCGCAGATGCGCTCGGGCGCCCGCCGTCATTTTCGATTTGGTTGAATCGAGCGATCCACTGTATCGGGGTGCCCGAGCTAGGATCATGGATCATGGATCATGGAACATGGCACCTGAAACCTGAAACCTGCAAGCCGAGGGCCTGCGACTCAAGATTCCCTCGTTCTGGACCCCCTTGCACGAGTCCACGTTATCAGGTACCACGTCATCCTGATATCGTTGCCTGCATTGCCTACATGTGTGTAACACGCACATGTACTGTACCACCGTGGTAGAGCCGATGCATGATCGACACGATGTGCGATCCCCCGAGCATCTCCCATGTATTTGTGGCACACTTTAGCACTATACGGGGAGTCTGTCAGGTCGCACAGATCACCGAGGATAGTATGATACCCCTAGGATGAAAGAAGCATAGTTGAGCGAGGCTTCCAAATCATTCCTCAATTCCCGAGTCCCTACACGATAGTCAGTGGAGTCATCCGAACTATTGGGACGCTAATTTCCATATTTGGCGGCCAGGATCTGACCCGGGCAGACGATTGGACCACAATCCCATTGCACATCCACCGAACAAACCCGAAGTCACAGCCACAGCCTCCTTACCTCTTCGGGCCAAACGCACAAACCACATGCTCGGCCACGCCGTGGCGCGTGCTGTGGCTAGTGAATTTTTTCTTTAACAAAAAAAGTGTGGCTCAAGCTTCCTAGCTAGTACCATTGGTTCTATTGTCGCCTTGCTCCTCCACTTGGCCCGAACTAGCCCTTGATCTTCAAATGTGATCGTTTGGGACACCACACTGCGGACCCCTCGGTCTGTCCGTCAGTGCTCACCCTATTAAGGACCCATTCGCCCCGGACTGGTAGACCTCAAATCTGTCAACCTTCAACTTGGATCTTCCTGAACTACCTTGATCTATACATGTCGACTATCAATCATGTCACTGAGCATGGGTTCCGGAAGAGAATGCTGGGAAAACTCTCCGCGTATGGATCTAAGAGATCCGTATTCTCGCGATCCTCAAAGTATGTCCTCGGAGCTCCCCATCCCAAGTCCCATGTTCTGAGACCCCCCTCCAGGATCTGTCGAGCGAGAGGCTGAACGCTCCTCTGATAGGCGTGAGACCCGCCCCGAAGATGTGGTTTACTCAGAGGCACAAGCCGTTTTGAACGACAGCGAGTTTGGTCGTGTCGACCCAACTGGCTGGTACCCGCACTACAAAAATTGTGTGCAATATTTCGTTGAGCAAGGCCAGCACATTCCGACTGTGCAATCCGTGGCTGCTTTTATCAACATCCGTCTGCCATGCCAACGACCTCAAGACATGCTCGCACAGGGACAATCCGCTGCATCATTTGTCTCTTTGCGTCCCTACGTTCGCCGCCTGATCATTACGGCGCAAGACTCGTCACTCGTCATGCGCGCATTCTTCGGCGATGACTGGGCTGCCGGCGTGGGCTGCATCTACAAGCAGGAGCGCGCCAACTACCTCTTCACGGCGAAGAGCAGCGGCTGGGGCGCGACCAAGACAGCTTACGATATCCTGCCCGATGAGCAGGCACCATTCCTGCGACCCCTGCGCGAGCCCACCGAAGACGAGATTCGGGCGGCCGAAGCGCGATGGAGCGAATGGCTAGCGATGGAGGATTGGATGGTGGGGGCTCGGAGTCCCTGGTAGGGATGTAACCCCTCGTGATGAGACATGACCATTTCCTTTTTCAATTTATTTCCAATCTTTTCAATTCTATCATTCATTCGGGCCAAAAGGAGTCGTCTCTGGCGTTGCAGATTATCTTCGGGTGGACGCTATCTATGCACAATACCATCATTTCGAGCATACGGATCCAGGAATCCAGAGTCCACTCATTTCCAGAATCAAAGATCAAGTCTTGACAATACCCTCCCCAAATTGATCGTCCGCGCCAATGCAGAGTTGACAGTGATCGCCGGCGGATCCCCCTGTCAGAATCAATAGTGCCGCACCGCCACAGGCACAGACCAGACGTGACAAATACCTAAGGCAGGGAATAAATTAAAGATTCGATTTCGCGTGCCTAGGTAAATTAATTGCACTATAGTCGTGTTTGGGCCCTCAGATGTAATCATTTAATCATTTCAAAAGGCACTATCTCTGTCGGGATTAGATCGTCTTCCCGTACCCACCGCAATCTGACTCACTCCAGATGTGTCAACCTCACCAGGACGAGACGTCCCCTGAACAATATTTCAATAGCTTCCTAGTTTATTCATTCATACCCGATCGGCTCTCAATTGTGATACCTCGCCTCCGATTGCCTACCATCCAGGTATTCGGGCCCGGCATTGAGATCCTGTTTCCCGACTCATCACCCCAGGTTATCTCAAGCCCCCTCAAAATAACACAATGACAATGGCCCAAATCTACGAACATGATGCAACCAGCATTCTCCCAATCCTAGCATCCCACCTTCCAGACTCAATAACCTGCCTCCGCCGTATCCAACACGGCGTCGCTTACCCGTCTCCCACCGCCAAGATCCTGGCCACTTTCCCGCCCTCCGCTACCCCTGACCCTGACAGTTCGTGGCTGGCTGCACGGGTGGATCTCTTCCTGGGTCGCCAGACCCAGATCGTGCTCTACAGCAGCCTAGAGGCCCGCACGTTACTTCCCCCGATCGGCTCCGTCACCCAGAGTGACGGGTCCACCGATCCCGTCTTATCCACTTTTGACGCAGACCCAGCCGAGCTGGATATCGCTCGTGATCAGCTATTGGCGCTGATGCGATATGTCAAGGATCATCTGTTGCCGGGATATCTAACATCCCTGTCTCAATCCGAGTCTGCCCAAAGTGCGGCTGAGGATAAAAATTCAATTGTCCCGAACACTAATGGCGTTCCACTCATCCCGCCCCCCAGCCCAAAGGCTTTCTTATTCGGCGCGTTACCTTCAGCTCTCTTCGTGTTGCTTTTGCGCGATCGAGTTCTCGCTGATACGAACGGGGAGGTTGATCCCATTCCCGGACTGCGGATCCATCGCTTTGATAACCCGCCGTATTATACGTATCTCTTCCCGCGGGCTGTTTTCGGCGCGACAAGTACATCGGTTTTGCCGGATGGGTATAGGTATCATGATCGGAAGGGTAGAGTCGGTGTTCTTCCGGAGCATTTGGATCTCGTGCAGAGTCGGACGAATATTCCTAGGCCGCGGGAGCAGTTGTTGAAGATGCCTGGGGTTGCGCTTTATTGCGAAAATGATGGTGATGCTTCCCGGGAGGGGAAGGAGGAGATGCCTATTGCGTGGGGATTCCTGGGTGTTGATGGGGCTGTTGCGACGTTGCATGTTGAGCCTGAGCATAGGGGGAAGGGTTTGGCGCTTGCGCTTTCGAAGAAGGTTATGAGAGAGGGCATGGTGCCGGGGGGTACTTTTGGGGCTGAGAGGTCGGATATTCAGGACGAGGAGGTTAGGGGAAAGCTTGGGGAATGGGTGCATACTGAGGTTGCGCAGTATAATAAGGCGAGTAGAAGGGTAATGGAGAAGATTGGGGGTGAGGTTATGTCTACTGTTATGTGGACTGTCATTGAGCTGGTTGATTAAGGGTAGCCCTAGAGGGTTTTTAGAATAGGTGGAACTTATTAGATTTTGTTTGTAGCCAGAGATGCGATGTCCATGACTAAATGATTTGTGCGTGCGATATATACAGAGCTTCTACTTGTTCAAAGAACAACAATTCCTGCGTAAATATAACGTTTGAAGTCGCAATGCAACGCCGAGGGCTACGTCTATCTAGACTGCGGCATAACCCGCCGTATCTTGAACCCAATAACCCGTAAATAGGTCAGGTTTGGGTTAATTTTATGAATTTGCTTCCGTGGGCTCGGAGTATTGCTGATCGTTCAAAGAGCACATTTATCTAAGGCCTTCTGTTTGGCCAAGTGAGAGTAATTGGGTCAGCTCTTTAGGGCCAGCGAAATGTCAAATGGCCAAGATAGCCAACAGTGTTGCAGGATTGAGTTTCTATCTTATGTAACACTACTCAAAAGCGTGCGCCAGAGAATGAAGAATATTGGTGTTGTCGGAGTGTAAGTGAACACATCACCAGGACGAAATAGTATGAGGCTTCAAAGACACATTTTGCACTACTTAGTCCCCTCGGCGTGCTTCCATGCCACCCATACCAACCAAGTCCCAACAGAGAGCTGTAAGAACAAAAAGAGAGTCCAACGGGCAGCCAAATACGAAAGGCACCACCATTAGTACGGTACCGAGAAATCAGTTCCGGCCGGCTGTCTACAGTATGACTTAGCTTAGTAATAATTATTTGGATCTAGTAGAGGTACATTCTTTCTATAGATCGTCACAAGTTTAGCATCAGCGAAAATACTCCAGAGAGTGTTTTTGATGGGCTTGTGAAGTATTTCGTTGATGGTAGTAGTTATGCGGATATTCTGCGGGAGTACGGAATATATGAAGTGAGAAAACCGGAGGTGGTTTTTATCGTGTGATCACAAAAGTCTATTGTCAAAAGTCTAAACATTCAGGGTTATTCTAGAATTCTAGAAATTGTATCCTCTAATAGAACCATCGGAAATCCTCGCTAGCAGGTCCATCCTGGATATTCTCCGTGGGAATATCCTTCGCTTGCAAATGAACACCCTGTACTCGGTCTCGCTTTTTATTATCCATAATCATCCAAACACCAAGAAGCAAGGTAAATATGATTCCAGCACCTCCAAATGCAGCAGTAGTGACCAAAGCCGGGATGTACTTTGGTGCGTCTTGGCTGCGGAAAATATTGGAGGCCACAACGCCCATTAGGTTAGCCATTGGGACGGCGATACTTGTCAAAACGACACGACGGCTTTCGCTGGCGATGTTGTTGTTATACCAGACGTCGAGGAGGACGGATGGTGCTGATGTACCCCAGGTCATCATGAAACATGCGAAATACGCAACGCTTATGTCCTTCTCGACGTCAATGGCGGCGTAAATGACCATGCCGATAAATGTGAACAGGAAGCCCAAGGCAATGAACGGGAAGCGCCATCTTGTCCAGTCACTAGCGAAGGCCAGGATGAGTAGCACGACGGCGCCGGAGACATTAGGCGCCACGGTGTACAGATTTGTCTTGACAGGGCTATATCCAAGACGCCCAATGATGACAGGCAAGAAAAGCTGGACGCCCTGAAGAGGCACACCAAGACACATCTGAATAGCGATAATGGCCCAGCTGGTTCCGTGCTTGAAGATCCGGAAGGCATCTCGGATGTTCAGCTTCTCATCAACCACCGCAGAACTGTCGATCTGGAGTCTGAGACAAGCCAGCTCTTTCTCCTCAGGAGACAGGAACTGCGCATAAGCGGCTGACTTGGGAAGGTACCACAAAGCGAAACAACCGAAGAGGACAGTTCCACAGCCCTCGATGAGGAAAAGGTAGCGCCACGGGGCCAAAGGGCCCGAGTGGATCTGGAAGACTCCAAATGCCAACAGGCCAGAGAATGCAGAGGCGATACTCTGCGCGGCATAAAAGATAGCCAGCCGGCGAGCCAGCTCACCTCGGCGGTAGAAGGTTGTCAAATAGTAAATGACCAAGGGGAAAAAAGCACTTTCCGCCATGCCCAAGAACCACCGAATGGCAAAAATGCCACCGAAATCGAATGCAGCCACCACTAAAGTAGTGCACAGGCCGAACGTGAGCATCATGCATGGAAGCACGCGATTAGGACCGAACCTCTTGCCGAGAAGTCCGAGGAAGGGTGCCGTCAGGACGTATGGGACGAAGAATATACTGAGAATAAGATTGTATTGGTTTCCGTGGATATGGAGGGTATCTGCGGAAATGTCAATGACCTTCATAGAAGATTCCTATGTAGCGAAGTACATACCCTCGAGACCTGCCGTCTTTGCATTTCCCAAGTTGGACTTATCCAGGCTGTTGAACAAGTACATCACTGCCAACACCGGGAGAATACGAAAGTCGAATTTCCGAACCAGAGTTCGCTCCGTTTGGGGATCAATGTCCACGCTGGCAATAGTAGTGGCATGGTGCTTTGAAGGAATGTCCTCGTCCGACATGGTGGCAAATGCAAATGCAAATACAAATACAGCTGTCGATAGACCAGGAGCCAGGCGGCGGAGACTCTATAGATATAGATGTACAGAATATACCACAAGGGGGATCAAAGTGCCGTTATCGAAGGGTGTGCCCCCAGACACACGATCGTTTACATAATTTAAGGTTCATCGAGAAAGATAAGCTGCGACTTGGCATTTGGTGGACCGCCAAGTGATAAGCCGAGGCCAATGAGATCCCGATGGACCCCTAATCATTCCGATCTTTTTCTGTGCGGGGTTTCGTCGGCTTTATTTTATCTTTACCATGGTCCCTGATAGGTATCTGAATCTGTGTGGAACGGTGCCACTCTCTACGCCCCCCGCTCATCGGCTGTCAAACTGTGGCCAAAGCCTTTAGCCGCTCGGGCCTATGCCTTAACCGGAGAAATCATGATTAGGATCGGAGGTTTCGTCGATTTTTCGGAGGAACTCGAGTTGATAGCCGTTCTATGAACGTGTGATTGTATGCAAATGATGGAATAGAGGTGATAGTGAATGAAGATTTTTCTATCATTGGGAGACTGGGGGCCTTGGGGGGGTCTTTTTTAAAATTTGTATTAATTATTCTATTTATTATAACAGCAGCGATGATAACAAGGCCGGAGTTCAGGCACATAACTATCTATGAGGCTTGCCCTGAGCAGACTCTATCTACAAACTTTCAATGCCTTCATATCGAAGTGTGCTTTCAAAGCTCGAGAGGCCTGGCCCTTCCTGCTTCTACCTCGTTCCACTAGGGTTATCCGACCGAAACCAGTGTTAATGACCCGAATCCCAAAGGATTGCGGCAGAACTCAAGATAAATAGCTAAAAGGTTGACTATATTCTGCCATCCATTTTGCAATACTAGTTCCATTCTATCCAGAAAGCTCTTCCGTCTTTCACTGGTGTCTTTTACCATTCATTCGTTTCCCAAGCCATCTCACAACCTATGATCATTCATATCTAATTAGCCTTGAAGTAATGCCTATCATATACTGTTGACCTTTAGTATCTACGAAGTCATTGCAAATTGTAGGAAGCTTCCATAGAATGTTTCGGGCGGGTTTGTCAAAGAGCTACTCATCCGGCGTCTAACTTGTTTTTTACCCACCCGACTTCTTTTCCTCATTTTCTCCCGGAACTTTCGGTCGATGCAATTATAGAGCTTATCGTTGGCCAGCAAGCGCCAACAAGGATCTCAGTCGTCCAAAAACTCCATGTTACGAAGACAGACGTTGGGCGTCCTAAGACTCATCAGGACAGCCTCAGCTGAACTCTGTTTGAGACCCAGCTTTTCCAGCCTGTATACTGTCCATAGAATACCAAAAAAGACCAATCCGATACCGCACGATCTAGTAGCTATGTAGATTTATTAGTGCTTGTTGCTAAACATTTTATAAATAACACTGCTAGCAGGTAACTGTGTAAACCAGGAACCGAATCCGAGCATATTAATTTAACGCCTACGCATTTGTAATTATTTGTTCCCAATAGGAGGAGGCGGCAGAGCCCGTCCAATCGAGACTTGTCGGATACGAACTGGCGTAGCCACATGGCGCAATTACCCAGTCATGCTGACTTTCCGATCCCTTCGCTGGCGAAAGGTCTTTCAGGCGTCCAGTCCCTGTTTCTTCTTCTCACTGATGTGGGAATATAAACATGGAACGATGCTAGGAAGCCTGAATTGACAGAGCATCCTCTAACTTTCTGTCATCATCAATATCTTCCCCGCTTCCCTTGCCCACCTCCTAAGAATCCAGCTCCTGTGACAAGAGTCGATGAAGACTTATTTTTTTTTTGAAAAGGTCACTTTCGGTGGATTCTATCCCATCCGGTGGGAGAATATGGCAAAACCTCGTTGGGCGGATGGACCATGGTCGCTAATCGAAACCCCTTCCAAGACCAAGGATATGGTAAGCCGTACCCCAGCACTACCCCGATTTCAATATTCTCATTTTGCATAGTCACAACACGGCGCGATCTTCATTGCCAATGAGATGGCATGTACTCATAATTGCATTATCCGCGGCATGAACAGTATCTACTTGCAAGCAGAATATGTGCAGAAACCAGAAGACATTGCAGATTTCCTTATTTTCGTCAGATCATGGGCAAGTTGGGTCTCTGATCATCACATTCTGGAAGAGGGGACTATGTTTCCAGGTTTTGAGGAAGTTGCTAGGACCCCTGGCCTCCTAGGCGACAACGTGGAACAGCACCACGCCTTCCAGCCGCAGCTGAAAACGCTCTTAGCGTATAGTACCGACACCAAACCCGATAAATACGTGGCCGAGACTATTCGAAAAACTATTGAAGAAATGGCCCCTAGTTTCCACCAGCACTTGAGTGATGAGATTAACAGCCTTCTCTCATTGCAGAGCTATAATGGGCAAGCGTTGCTTAAGGTGTATAAGCGCGCCGTGGCAGAAGCCACAAAGCAGGACAAGGTAAGCCATGTCTTGACAGAAGATCGAGGTTCATACTGATCATGGTTCTACCCGTAGCATGCCGTGCCTCCGTTAGTGCTTGGCCTGCGGGACGTCACTTATGAGGGTGGAAGCCGATGGCCTGCCCTCCCTCCTTTGTCTGAGTGGATCGTACACTATGTGTTTGGCCGCCGTTACTCTGGCGCATGGCGTTTCCTTCCTTGCGATACATGGGGCAAACCTCGTGCGTTAGCTTTTGGACCTAAGTCAGAAGAGGGAACGACAGTTTAGCAAGAGGGCGTACACGATTTTATACATTTGCCAATATTGATTAGCCTCGAGCTAAGATCTCACGAGTTATTCCTGCTGCTCCGAAACTTACCGTATTTTACTTCATAAGCCACCACCTTAAAGCCCCTCATTGCTTCCCCTTGGACCAGTCTTATCCCGCTCATAAATTCACTGAGATCCCACGGATATACACGCGCTTACCAGGAGTATCAAATCTCAAGGAGCGCACATATTACCACGATTAACTCAATCCTTCACTGCATCCAATTCTATATCCGCGAAGCCACCAGTGGAATAGGATCAGAGCTGTCATTATGGCATGGTGACTACTTCTGTCTGAAAGTCTTATCAAGTTAGTCTGTGTTATACCCTGGACATTGGGTTGAGTTACTTGATGGTACAATGCGTACTTGCACAGGATTTCCCAACAGCCTCCGATTCACCAATTGATGCAATTCAGAAGCATCCTCCTACTTCGCTATTTTATCCCCTTCGTGATGCAATAGAGAAGATACACCGCTTCACGTCCCCACTGTAGATCACCCGAAGCGGTCTAGCGCCCGATGATCGGATTGTGGCACGAGTCACCAACCCGCACTTTATCTCCCTACCTCTATCCCTCCTTTCATACCTTTGCCAATTGACTTAGTACCAAGCCGTCATAATGAGCAACACCAAGGGCGTCGCCGAGAACATGCTCTGGGGAGGTCGCTTCACCCGTGAGTTCCCCCGTTCCCCTCGCCAATGGCTGCTTTCCCTTCCGATAAGACTGACTCACAAAAAATCACAGAGGGCCTCGACCCCGTCATGGAGCAGTACAACGCCTCGCTTCCCTATGACCGCATTATGTGGAAGCAGGACATTGCTGGCTCAATTGCCTTTGCCCGCGCCAACACCAAGACCGGTATCCTGACACCCCACGAGTTCGCCGAGATTGAGCGCGGTCTCGCGCAGATCGCCGAGGAATGGCGCACCGACTCCTTCGAGGCCAAGCCCAACGATGAGGACATCCACACTGCCAATGAGCGCCGTCTCAGCGAGATCATCGGCAAGGAGATTGGCGGCAAGCTGCACACCGGCCGCTCGCGCAACGAGCAGGTCGCAACCGACATGCGCCTGTGGCTGCGCGACGAGCTCCGCCGACTGGACGGTCTCCTCTGCGATTTGATCAAGGTATCGATCGCCCGTGCTGAGCAGGAGATCGACTACATCATGCCCGGCTACACTCACCTCCAGAAGGCCCAGCCCGTCCGCTGGTCCCACTGGATGCTCTCCCACGCTACTGCGTTCGCTAGCGAGCTGCAGCGTCTCCGTGAGGTGACCCGCCGTGTCAACCGCAGCCCTCTCGGCTGTGGCGCCCTTGCTGGTAACCCCTTCCAGATTGACCGTCACGCTATGGCCAAGGAGCTGGGCTTCGATGACCTTTTGTACAACTCTATGAACTCTGTTGGCGACCGTGACTTTGCTATGGAGACCATGCAGTGGGGTAGCTCGTTCATGCTCAAGATTTCCCGCTGGGCCGAGGACTTGATCATTTACAGCAGTGGAGAGTTTGGCTACGTCCGATTGTCGGATGCTTACTCGACTGGTTCGTCGTTGATGCCGCAGAAGAAGAACGCCGGTGAGTCCACCCATGCGCCCCCGTTGCTTTATAGCCATACTGACAAATCTTGAAAGACTCCCTGGAGCTCCTCCGTGGCAAGTCCGGCCGCGCTTTCGGCCAAATGGCCGGCCTGATGATGACCATCAAGGGCTTGCCCACCACCTACAACAAGGATCTGCAGGAGAGCATCGAGCCCCTGCTCGACCACATCAAGACCGTCAGCGACAGCATCCAGATCGCCACCGGTGTCCTGTCCACCCTGACCGCCATCCCCGAGAAGATGATCGCGGCTCTAGCCCCTGAGATGCTAGCCACCGAGATCGCCGACTACCTCGTCCGCAAGGGCGTTCCCTTCCGCGAGGGCCACCACATCTCTGGCCGCGTCGTCGCCCTGGCCGAGCAGAACAAGGTCCCCATGGATACCCTCTCTCTGCAGGAGTTGAAGGGTGTCGACGCCCGCTTCGACGAGGACGTGCAGTCCTGCCTAGACTATGAGCGTGCCGTTGAGCTCAAGGATGCCATCGGTGGAACCAGCAAGCGCGCCGTTCTGGAGCAGACCGCCGTGCTCAAGAAGCTGCTGTAGATAAGAAAATACCAGGGGATTATATGACGAAGAAAATGCATCGCGGTGATTATTTCGGTTAGACAAAAAAATAAGTGATCGAATTCTTCGTGTACCCCTCGATTTTCGTAATGTCTCGGCTGGCTATATCGAAAGCAGATAAATTCAATGCTCATCATTGAGCCCAAAGAGATTAGAGCCCCAATTTATCCTGCCAGGAACCGACACACATGGACTCCGCCATCGCGTGGACTTGAAATCTGTTCTTGGCGGGTGGGGCCCGCCACATTTATTGGCCGCCGTAAATACCTCAAGTATAAGCCGCCACAGACTCCCGCAAGCGTGTGAGGCATTTGTTGTAACCACCAGAACGTCCCCTCCTATTAATAAAGATCCATGTGCCGCACCATTTCCATTCCTCAATCCTAGGCTTCCGACGCCATGTGGAAGCCCCCGATAGACTTTCTAACCTTGCATTGTGCGTGTTCCGTCGTATCTCCAGTTTCTCGGGACTAACGAATCCCAGATGCGTGGATTATTACACTGAGTATTCTTAGCTTGGTGATTATCTATCCGTATGGTAATTTACGGGCGATTGATGCGTACTTCTTTGGTGCGAGTTCGTCTACCGAGTCGGGGTTGAATACGTGAGTTCTGCTTTTTATTTTTTATTTTTTATTTTTTATTTTTTTTTACTCCCGTTTCATTACCGTGGATGGATCTGACGGGGAAGTTAATTTTAGGGTCGATGTCAAGGCTTTGAAGACCTATCAGCAGGTTTATGTCTATCTCATTCCTATTCTGGGGAATCTGGGGTTCATTAATATCATCGTGGTGGTGGTTCGGTTGCGCTGGTTTGAGAAACGGTTGAAGGCTGTTGGTGAGATGTTCGAAGAACTTCCTCTGTGCTTCACATGCTGATACTTGGAGGTTCCTAGCTCCGCATCTCTTACGGCCGCAGCCTTCTATAGGTCAAGACGCTGAGGCACAGCTTCAAGATGAGCATAATCGGAAGGTTGTCCCGGACGCCGGTGAACAGCGGGAGCAGCATGAATGTGAATATTCAGACGAAAATCAGGCTGGAGTCAACGAGATTCCAGAGATCTCTCCCAGGTTGGTGTGGCCGAGAATGATCAGGATCTCCTTAAAGACGCTGATTTGTGTGCAGTTCCGACAGGGTGACAGACCTAGAGGTCGACACTAAGACCCCCATGCCGAACCTGGCTCCCTTCCGTCAGACTATTCAGTTCGCCGATGAAGGGCCATCGACAAATGAGAAAGCCCTATACATTCCTCCGCCATGGAGACGCGATAGAGGTGCGCAGGAACTACAGGGCTTCTGTTGCCTTCCAAATCTGACAATCATGCTCAGGTGGTGACTTTGTCGAAGTCGAAGAAGACTCCGTTGACGATGGTACATTACTCCTCCCTTGGAATATTTGATTGAAACCCCATTTTAACATAAGGCCGAAAGGAAAATCCATCATGTCAACCTACACCGACCAAGAACGCATCGACGGACTCCGTCGTCGCCAAACCGCAACGAGCATCTACTCCACAACCACACGGCCCCTCGAGCAAGCTGCGTCGATGATGTTTCGAGTCGGAGGGTCCGCAAGTTCTACTCGTGCTCCCAATCCCAAACGACAATTCAAGAACCTCGCTCTACCCAATATCTCCACGCAAGCGACGCAGAGCCGAAACTCCCAGTTCCACAACTTGACAGCCGAGGATCGTCAGAAACTGGGTGGTATTGAGTACCGCAGTTTGAAACTGTTGCTGAAGATTGTTATCGGATATTTCGTCGGGCTGCATCTTTTCGGTGCCATCTGTCTGGTGGGATGGATTTTGCACTCTGACTCGAGATACCGTGATTACCTTGCCGAGTGCGGCCAAGGAGATGTTTGGTGGTAAGTCTATACTACCCCCCCCCATCATACAAAACCCCATACTAATCAGCCCACCTCAGGGGCTTCTACTCCTCTCAAACAATGATCTCCAATCTCGGCTTCACCCTAACCCCCGACTCAATGGTCCACTTCCAAGATGCAACATTCCCATTGATCGTCATGAGCTTTCTCGCCTTCGCCGGAAACACCTGCTACCCATGCCTCCTCCGCCTGATTATCTGGCTCATGTACAAACTCTGTCCCCAGAACTCCTCCATGAAAGAAACCCTGTCTTTCCTCCTCGACCACCCCCGTCGCTGCTTCACGCTCCTCTTCCCAAGCAAGCCAACCTGGATTCTATTCGGTATCCTATTCGTCATGAACGCCATGGACGTGATCTTCATTATCGTCCTGGACCTCCACAATACAGCCGTCGATAACCTCCCCGCTGGCCCGCGTGTGCTCGCGGCTATCTTCCAAGCTGCTTCTACTCGCCATACGGGGACTGCCATCTTTAACCTGGCGGATGTCAATCCCGCGGTGCAGTTTAGCTTGGTGGTGATGATGTATATTGCCGTCTTTCCTATCGCAATCAGTGTCAGGGCGAGTAACGTTTATGAGGAGAAGACCTTGGGTGTTTATACTTCGGAAGCGGCTGCTGATGAGAAGGACGGGAGTTCTTACATCATTACACACATTCAAAACCAGTTGAGTTTTGATTTGTGGTATATCTTCCTCGGGTGCTTTTGCATTTGCATTGCCGAGTCCGGGAAGATTGCGGATACGAGTATTCCGGTATGTTCTTCTCTTTGGACTCTTTGGAAGTTTGCTAATGCTGTCCAGGCATTCTCGGTCTTCTCGGTTTTGTTCGAGGTGGTTTCGGCATAGTGAGTACACTTATTGACTTTCAATGATTTTCGACATCAAGTTAATTCTCTGCAGTGCCAATGTCGGTCTTAGTCTGGGCTTTCCTACTAACAGTGCTTCCCTCTCCGGAGAGTTTACTACATTCAGCAAACTCGTTATTTGTTTCATGATGATCCGAGGCCGGCATCGTGGATTGCCGTATAGCATTGATCGGGCCATTGTTCTCCCGGGCGAGAACTTTGTTGATCGTGGAGAGGACGGTGTGTCACAGAGCAGGGAGTTGACACAATAACATCTGTGGATTGCATTGGTTGCTTCTCAAATCAATGTTGTTTCTCTTCTATGTACGAATTTTCCATACTGCAGGGGTATTGAACAGTTAGAATTTCCCTTGTTGTAGATCGTGACCTTCCGAATAAATACTCGTGGTTTTCAGATCTTCCCCTGCCAAGAATTTTCCTGCTCCAGATCTTCAGAGATTCTGTTAGGATTATTCAAAGGCCAAATCATCAGATACAGTCATTAATATTACTATCGTAAATGGAAATTATACAAATGCACCAGAGCACCACACACCCGAGTTCTGTACAGGCAGAAGGGCAGAAGGGCTCGCAATGCATCGGGTATCAAGCGCTTTTGGTCGTAGCGATCCAGATCAATATCAAAATCCTAGGATCACCTCGATCCCTTTCATCGAACATACCGCAACCGCCGCGTCGCTTCAGCTGCTACAAGTGCACTGATCGCGCCAATGAACAGACAAATAGCGATAGCGTTAGGCTTATCCTTGTCCAGGTTCATCCAATTCGTATCCGACGCGTCGCTTTCCTTGTTCGGCTCAGCGCCCGGCTCGAGGATGGTGAACACGATCCAGCTGATGAACGTGCCGACGAATTGGGGGAGTGTGGTGTAGACGTTCAATACGCCGAGGTAGATCCCAGCCAGCTCGCCCGTTGAGGGGATATTCGAGGCCTGATCTTCTTCATCGGTGTCGTCGCCGTCTGAGTCACGATGGTTGAGTCGAAGGACTTCGAGTTCCGTATCTGCGGCTGAGCTGCGCATACTGGCGGATGTGATCATCGTTACGCCAGAGCGGGTGGTTGATCCGGTCGCGCCGTTGGTGTTCATTGTGAGTTTGTTAATTTCCACGCCCATAAAGGCGAATGGGGCCCAGCCGCTAATTGCCCAGGGTATGCCGCAGACTGCGACAAGGAAGGTTGCGAACCCGCGAGAGTGGGCTAATGGCGCGAAGATCATGGTCGCGGCGAACATGATCTGCGATATCAGCCAGGCTGTTTGGAGGTCGGGTCGGACTGCAGTTATGGCTTTGAGGGCTGCTGCCACTCCGGGTGGTGGTCGGGGTGTGAAGCGCGTGCGCTTGGTATCGGGTGGTTGTATGCAGAATGGTAGCAGGACGGAGCTCAGGAAGGTAATTGCCGAGAATACTGTCAGCGACAGACTGCCGACACGACCGACTTCGCCGAGCATATCGGTTGCCTTTGATAGATCCTCCTTGGGCACTTCGTACCGGAAGTAGGTCTCGCCTACCCATGTGGTACTGTAGAAGAGGAAAGGGAACCAGCCTGTATGCTGTCAGCGATCGAGGTCCTCTCAGAAGACATTGATGGGTTCGTACCAATCCATGCCCAGAACTGGGCCCAGCAAATAGCCTGGATACGAGGTGGCAGATCTAGTGTAGTTTGGATCAACTGAGAGATCACTTGAATCGCACCAGCTTTGCCATCCGAGTCCCTGCCATTATGTTAGCGCGTAGGTTCTTTATTGGTCCAAAAGTCTGAGAAACCCACCTCGCTGTGATCAGAACACGCTCCTTTACCGAATACGAGGTAACACCCACGGCGCCGATCAAGGACAGTGCCGCAATCACAGTCATCTGTTTGAACTGCGTATCGCCGAAAAATGTCCCAAAGATGCGGACGGTGTCAATTGAGCCGATCACGTAGCTGATGAGCTGGCCAATGGCACTCATTCTGCCGGCTATTGTGCTGTTAGAGTTTTCTTCACGATCACCCAAGATAAGTAGCACATACCCCATGCAGATCCAGCTTGTTGCAGTGGAATTGGAAGTGTGTCCACGATCAAACTGCGACAGCAAGCTTGGACTAGAGACCAGTTAGCAAAGTCCTCCAGCATGAACCATCCCACATACCAACGTTGATAGAGAAGTCCACGGCATAAATACTGGAGACCGCCAATGCAATGGTAACGTTCTTAGCCTATATCGAAGACCAAGTCAGCCCAACAACCCAGCAACCTGACAACCCACTTCCATAACGAAACTATACCTTCTCCGGCTCCTGAACAAACAATCCAACAATCTCAGCCGTCCAGCCAAGAACAATCAGACAAAAGGCCACAACGAAAGACCCAAAAATCATGAATGGCCTCCTCCTTCCCCATTTCGATCGCGACCGATCCGCAATAACACCAATAAGAGGCTGTATAATCAACCCAGACAACGGACCCGCAATCCACACCAACGAAGTCTTAGATTTCGTCAACCCAAGCTGAAGAAGGTAAGGCGTGCAATCTAAACAAATTAAAATTAGTTCCGATCATGACCGTGCTCAAGGTCAAGATCAAGATCCTCTTACATGTCATCTCCGTGCCCCATGTAAACCTATTAGAATCCATCGTTAGCAATTGACCTTTGTATCCAAACACCATTCGCATCTGTATGACAGAATGAACGCACTGTAACCCCACAAGACTAAACGTCAACAACGCCATTCGCGTCGACTCAGACCGTCCCTTTATAGACGGCGAGCCCGCCCATCTCGCAGCCTGTGGCATCCTGCTCTAAGCGCGTCGCATGCGCTTCGCTCCGACTCCCCAGACCGGAAGGTAAGGTGTGTTATGTAAGTCGCACTTCGGGACCCGCAGGCCTTCGCGCCGTTCCGAATCGCGCTCGTTTATAAACTCCTGTCTTCGAGACCAGTCTGCTCGTCTGGCAGAGTGTCTGCGCGAGGTTGAGCGCAGTTGAGAAATGGTCCGGTGCCGTGTTGCTTTGTAGCGCGGACTCGCGGTCCGGGAGCGAAGGGGTCCTCGGGTTCCGGGACGATTGTGCCTTTTGGAGGCCGTGGGTAAATCAATTGAGAAGCTTGGTAGGGTGCGTCACGAGTGAATTGGTTTGGAGAAGGGAGAAGGGAAAGACAAAGGGCCTGGCCTGAGCGCAGTTCATGCGGGCCCCCGGGCCGCTTATCGCTGGGAAAGAAGACCCGCCAGGGGTTGCGATGCCGATCGCTGTCACACGGCGTATAGTCTGGAGGGGTTGGGGATTTCTGGTATGCAGGCTTCTATGGGGGTAGCTCAATGGTTGCTTTTTTAGGGGTTATTTTTATGTTTCGGTCTGGTTTCATGCGGTTTTCTGGGTTCAGGTCGAGATTGAGGGTGATTGGTGGATTGGATGAGTAATCCGGTGCCATTAATAGCAATGTAGAGATCGAGGATTTATATTCGAATTACTGCTCAGGCGGATGTCTTTTCAGAACTACTAGAGTCTCAAGCTGAATGAGGCATTAATGATAGCGTAATATCCTTCATCATTTCGATGTCTCCTTTCTACTCGACTCTCGAGACTGAATAGCGACAATTCCCGCCAACTCGGCTTGACAACAGAATGGGAAAAAAGTTAAAAGTAAAAAGTAAACAGTAGATTTTGATCATCTTCATAGACCGCGTCCCATATCATCGTAAACTAGCACATAGCCACCTCTCTACAGTCGGTTAGGAGCGGAGGTGGTCACGGGCCACTGGTAGCCAGCGGCATCGCTGAACTTGTAGCCGTAGGAGGCAGTGAAGTCGTCAAGCACAGCGGGGCCACGAGATCCTGATTGATATTAGCAAGTGTGTCTTAGGAGTTACCACACAAGGCAAAACTTACCGTAGGGGTATTCCATGGGAATTATCTCCTTGTTGTCGTCCAGGTAGTGCAGCAGGGGAGAGAACATGCGCCAAGAGGCATCCAACTCGTCATCACGGACAAAGTTGGAGTGGTCGCCCTTGAAGGCATCCAAGATCAGGGACTCGTAAGCCTCGGGGATCTTGAGGTCGGAGAAGCGGCGGCGGTAGGTCAAGTCCAGCTCGGTCACCACCGTCTGCATGGACAGACCGGGCAGCTTGGAGTTCATCTTGATGTAGACGGACTCGTTAGGCTGGACGCGGATGACCAGCTCGTTACGTGGGATATCCTTGAAGATGCCAGAGGTGACGTCCTTGAACTGGATACGGACCTCGGTCTTCTGCTCGTTCAGGGCTGTTGGAAGTGTTAGTCATATTCACGGACGGATAAAGCGGTTCGCTTACCCTTGCCGGCCTTGAGGATGAAGGGAACGCCATCCCAACGCTCGTTCTTAATATAGGCGACCAGGGCGCAGAAGGTCGGGCAGCGCGAGTCCTTGGGCACAGTATCATCCTCCAGATAGCCAGGCTTGCTGCCATCCAACGAGCGACCGTACTGTCCAATGATGACGTTCTTGGGCTCAATCGCATCCATCGCACGCAGAACACGCACCTTCTCGTCACGGATGTCCTCGGAAGAGAAGGAGATGGGGCGCTCCATGGCGAGCAGAGTCAGGACCTGCAGAAGGTCTAATAAAAGTTAGTACGGCTTCATGAGCGGTCGCAAAGAATACGCACGGTTCTGCATGACATCACGGATGATGCCGAACTCATCGAAGTAACCACCACGGCCCTCAGTGCCGAAAGGCTCCTTAAATGTGATCTGGACATTATCGATATGGTGACGGTTCCATGTAGCGTTGAAGAACTCGTTGCCGAATCGCAGAATGAGGATGTTCTTGACCATCTCCTTGCCGAGGTAGTGGTCAATACGGAAGATCTCCTCCTCCTTCCAATTAGGTTCCAGAGCCTTCTGCAGATCGCGGGAGCTCTGAAGATCCTTGCCGAACGGCTTCTCAACCTGTGGGGGAATTAGCCGGCTATGCCTCGGCTAGCTGGCCAAGGAACTCACAATGATACGGGCAAGGCCCTTCTTGGGGTAGCAGTTGCGCTTCAATTGCTCGGAAACAGTAATGAAAACACTGGGGGGCAAAGCCATGTAGAAAACACGGTTCTGCTCCTTCCCTTGACGACCCTGTTCAACCTCCTCGAGGTGCTTGTTGAGGTTGACGAACGAGTCATCCTGGTCGTACTGGCCTGAAACGTAGGTGCACAGCTGGCAGAACTGATCTAATTGCTCCTCAATTTCCTTTGTGGGAACCTTGATGTACGAGCGCACGCGCTTCAGGTATTCTTCGTGGTCCATCTTCGTCCGCGCATATCCGACGATCTTAATGTCCTTGGGGAGGAATTTGTTGCGGAACTGTGGGTGTTGGTGTTAGTTGGGTAAAGTCGTGCGATCGCTATAGATTATCACATACGAGACCGAAGAGTGCGGGGAACTGGTCGAGCGAGTTAGTCTTGAATGCACGTCGAGAGTCGCGGGGCCAGGGCACAAACAGTCTTCTTCTTGGCGAGATCGCCAGATGCACCGAGCACCACGATGACAGTGTCATCCTTCAATTCGATGGTGCTGGATTGAGGAGGCATTGTTAGTTCACGGCGATTGGAGGAGAGCAGGATTTGCAAGGGACGAGGTGGATGGAGGGGTTCTCGCGGGAGTTGTGCAAGTGCAGACAATGACCGTCAAAAGGGCGAGCAAGAGATCCAAAGGACTCGGAAGATGGTCACGGCACGCGCTCGATCGAAAGAGCCAAATTGGATAGGGTTGATGGTGAAGTGAAGTGGTCGGCGCGCTTCCGCTGCCGGAGGGGGGGGAAGTGATGTCAGAGACAACGAGGGGACTCACCCAGCACTCTGACGCTCATCGGTCTGGTTGATACTGGCCATTTTGTAACACAGGCAGCTTAGGTATACAAAATGGGATGGGGAGGGAGTATAGATGGGAGAAAGGAAGAAGAAAGGAGAAAGTTGTTGGGAGGGAACAGTGTCAGTAGCAGGTTCCGGCGGAGCAGGTACTTTTTAATGGGAGTCGCTCTCACAGCTTCGGTGGTGGGGCCTTTTGGGGGGTTGGTTTGTCTGGGTATTTTATGTGTTTTATGACTTCAGGGTATTACACTCTCCTTGCAATGTGACGGTTCAGCTACTATCCTTCTCCTCTATAAAGTCTAGTTCTTTCCTCCCTGCCGTATGGTTATTCACCCCTCCCATGGGATCTATAGCATCATTGCTAGCTTCCCTTAACTCCGGTTGAAGGTCTTCCCAACATTTTCTTTTTAGCTCTTTCCACTCGATCTACTTGACTTTGAGAATTTCTTTAGTGACTCGTGACCTCACGCTGATTACTATATCCTTCGGAGGATTACGTGCAACGTGAGTCAACCAGCCCAAGGAAACTAGAGGTCATCTGATACAGTGTACATGTATGTATAGCCTTGACACCATGAAAACAGCCTGAATTCAAGTGGAGTTACGTGGCCATAACTCTGGCAATCAGCTAAGAGGAAGGTCCTATCCCATCCAGAATGCGGTCAGCGATGCAGTGGGTGGAGTACCTCGTTTTTGCTGCGACGGTGATATTACCGGTAAGCCACCCTAACTTTTTGCAGGCCGGGTGACGGCTCCGCCGAGTTTATTCCTTTCTACAACTCGAAGAGCAAAAAAACAGAGGTAAGGTACGGTACCTTGATAAGCTGTCCCGGTGACCGAAATCGTGGAGGGATGATCGGCACATTTGTCATCTCTCATACCAGACGGATTCTATTTTCCCGTGCGCGCAGTAAGTCCGGTTGAGGTTGGTGACCGACTCGGCCCAAGTGCCGCCGGATTCGGACCATATTAACCGCGCTCTGCTCGATTGCTCTGCTTTACTACTATGCTGTGCCAAACTTGCTTGACTGAAACTTCATCTGTGATCTATCGCGGTCGAGGATGATCTCTACGCAATGCTCTGCCATACCCTGTAAGAAGTCGCACGAGAGACAGTCCGCATATGTTCTTGAGCTGCAAAGTAGAAGGCGATCCCGGCAGCCGGGATGGTGGGGCATGATGGAGATATCTGGGTTTCCCAATCAGTACATTCGGTCTGTGTTACACCGGATTGACATCCATGCTTCTCGAGGAGCTTCATGTTCAAGGATCTAGCATCTGAGGAATCGGTTGCATATACACATAGACTGGTCATAAACATAAACATCTACAAAATTGCCTAGGCACGCGGCTAATCAAGGTTCAAAGACCGACATAACCGGCGATAGGATCTACGGATGAGGTCATGGTGAGGTTTGTCAGCTAGTGGCTCCAGACTTGGACCGACTTTGGACAAGCCGTTTCGGACCACTGTCTACCGGCTGGCAGAAAATGTGTGAAATTGGGCGGTCAGTCGGATGATGTGATCGGCTCACAGGCACGTGATGTTGAATTTACGCCTGAGGCGGATATTACGGATAAATCAGTTTTTCCGAGGGGTTAGGGCATTGACCTCGCTTACTCGCTAGGCACCCGATTGGGGTTAGGGCGAGTCGCCGCCCAACACACCTCGTAAATTGATTGTGCGCTCGACTCTATCGAAGCGACGACAACTACGACAACCGGGAACGACTATCTCTGCGGGTCATTCCTTCGACTTTCTTTCCTTGCCCGCTCCTCAGAGAAACGCCGTCACAATGCCTTCGGAACAAGGTCACCGCCGTGAGTCGCCCTGTTGAATCTACGGTATTCGATGTGAAGGGATCATCTGGAATCGAAGCGCATCGGATACCATCAGCCAAAATGGAACTTTTTTTGCTAACGAACATCTCTTCTCTAGTCTACGTCAAGTAAGTCAATACCACCTGTTCGCTATCGCGTTGCACACACCAGTCCTCGAAACCGCCCCGGGATCATATGGAGGAGGAATTTGCGATCGATCATTTTATCAACCCACACACGCACGCACACAACACCGACTACGAGAACAGGCGATTAACATGGGTTTCTTCACAGGGGACGTCACCTTAGCTACCAGCGTAGCAAGCACAGCACCAACCCCAACACCAGGTACGAGTCACCTGCGCACACACAAATTTGAGAATGGTATCTGATAAGCGATATAGTCTGGTCAAGATTGAGGGCGTTGATGACTCCAAGGCTGCTTCCTTCTACCTCGGAAAGAAGGTCGCTTTCGTCTACCGGGCCAAGCGTGAGATCCGTGGCTCCAACATCCGGGTGATCTGGGGCAAGGTTACCCGCCCTCACGGTACGTCTACGAAGGCAAGAAATCCGATCACACAACACAAGTTCTAACGCTCCACACAGGCAACTCCGGTGTTGTTCGCGCCAAGTTCCGCACCAACCTCCCCCCCAAGACCTTCGGTGCCACCGTCCGCGTCATGCTCTACCCCTCCAACATCTAAACGGCACTTTGTATCTAGTGGCGATGATTCCCCTTCTTCGCGCAGACGGTCGGCCAGGCAAGGAAAAGTCGACGGAACGAGCCGAATGTTGATTCGAGGTGATGGAGTTGGCGGTTTGATAACGATTTTATTCGTGGGAGAAGGCAGGGCCATAAAATTCCAGCCCTACGAATGAAAAAAAACCAAAACTTTTTTACACGTCCACTTTGTGTCGCCCACGATTTCCAACGAGCTTAATTGTCTCTTTTTTGTGACTGGCGTCATTCTTTTCTCCCACCGTGTATCTGACGCTCTTACACCAAATTCCATACCATTTTCAACAGTCCGGTCCTTTTGAGTGCTATTTCCCCGCCGAGCCTCTGTCTTTGTTATAGAAGAAATTGCATTTACTTGCTTTGGCTACTCCCACCAGGCATGTCTTCTAATACACACCTCCCATTGCGACTACCATCGTTTGGATACCACGACTTCTCACATTCGCCGAATGAGACCCACGACCCTCCCACAATAACACCCAGATGGCCGCGTAGGTTCAATTGTAGCAGGCTGTCTTGGACGATCGTATAATTCTGTTCCGAGGTATGATGCGCAGAGGCCGGCACAGGGCCAGCTCACAGCCCTGGAGTGGGTCAAGTCAACGTGTATCTGTATTAGATCAAAGCTTAGTACCCGACTCCCGAGTTCCCAGGTGCCACATTCAAATATAGCATCAGGGTGGTCCGGGTAAATATTATAAATTATGGCTGACTATCTTTCGGCCAGCCTTAGGTCCTACCTGAGCAGCGAGTATTAACACCCAACCGGGTAAGATCTTACACATGACCTGATTCATCTTATATCTGAAATGTGCAATAATGCTCCCGTGGGGTGTAGAGTCCACATGTGCAGGAGCTAGGTTGAGTGATAGTTGCTGCCTAGTTTCTAACATAGAACTTGGGAGCTCTGCAGATCGCACTAATCAGGCGAGCCACCGATCACAGATATCACGACCTTAGGGAATAAAAAGCTGTGTTATTGGCTGAGCTGGGATTGGCTGTAGTGGCATATGTAGATCATATCTAGCCCACAAAGCTGACGAACGTGGTGCATACATGGAGGGAAGGGTCTCTAGAAGAAAGCTTGGCAATCACGAGTCAACTAATGAATGCGCCAATGCAGCTAGAAATCGGAACATGCCAGGATAGCTGGGAAGCTGCAGATCCGAGGCCGAAAGCATGATCCGTGATCCGCGTGAACTACCAGCCAATTGGAAGACCACGGCTGCCTTGCATCACGCGCTGTGCCAGAAAAAAAAAAAAAGAAACCAAACCATCTGAATCGGGGAAGTGAGACTTTCTACAAAAAGTCGTTAGCAATGCCACTATCTGGCCATGGTGGTGGCCTAGATACCTACCGAGTCAATAGCTGAATCTGGGTGTTCGTGGCCGTAGACGCCAGGACCAGCCCTATGTGGCCCAGGGTCTTTGACACAATTGAAAGCAAACCAGCCACCCGTGGTTCTAGTTTCTACAGTACTCTACTGAATTTTTCCTTGAACTTAATTCGTTGTTGGCTATTAATACTTTGGGACACGCTTAGCGGAAGAACACCACCAATCGCCGAGGCCACTATCCGCTGTTCCACGGATCGCCTCCAGTGCCTGGTTTTTGTGCGACTTTTCCCGTGAAAAGAGGGGGAGTCTGGGCATGGCAGCCAGGACGGTCACGACAGTCACAGACAGTTACCGTGATGGCAGCTAGATAGAAATAGAATGGAAGAGAGTATACGCAGGCAATGCATACATGATCCACTGTGTACCAGGCGAGGCCTATACTGAGCCCAGCGCCACAGTGTACACGCAGGGACCCAGCTCGGACTCCGTAAGCGTTGCGTGGCTTGTGTCGTCAACTGCAATTTTTATCCCCAGATTCCCGTTCGTCTCTTTATTTAAATAGATCGCTTGCGCCTGGCTATCTGACCATCCTGGTTCCATCCATAACGGCGCTCCACCACCTTTAAATCCTCCGTCACCGCCATCACCCTACCCTTCACCGTTCGTGCACCATTATCAACATTACGCCCCCACATCAATCGCAGACAATCTACAGCGGGTCCACAGGTGCTATCAGAGCGTCTTCGGTGTCTCACAATCAGACAAACGAACCGGCAGTGCCTTTCACTGAGCCTATATTGGTGATACGATCGTCTTGGCAGTGCCCACCTTTCAATCGGTCGCTCCACAACGGCTGCCATAGCTCGAAGCAGATCACAACCGTTTCAGTATCAGCTGCCTTGAATCTCGGACGCTAAAAATCGGAAAACCGGCCCTAAAATATGGCTACCCCCCAAAACAGGCAGCCTCCCCAACGGAGTCGTGGCTTCAGTGTTAAATCCGACAAATCTCACATCTCTGGCAACTCGGGTCACAAATCTCAATTGTCAGAATCCTCCGAGGAGAAGCACCGGCGCAATCTACACACAAAGGCCGATCCCACTATCGCCATGAACGAGCTGCAGCCCAGTATGTTTGATTTCCCTCCCCAATACACAGGCCGCGCGGTCGCATCTTCTCCCCCTCCTTGATCATAACATTGACTAACGCTCTACAGTGGCCGTCGCCCTGGAGAAGTCCAATATGGGCTCTCTTCGTGAGATGGAGCATAAGGATCAATTCGGCAACGTTATCAGTTCGTGCTCTCCAGCATGCTTGCTCCCGTTCTCCACAATTTTTACTGACTCCTTTGCTTTTTATACAGCCGATCCCGACTGGTCAAACCCGACCCGGCCTCGCTTTGAGCGACCGCTCGATACCATCAAAGCATTCGAAGCCGCTATCTACGGTACCTACAGCAGCAATCGCCAATCCTACATCAAAACAGGTTCGTCGGGACGTCCCCACTCAATATCATACCACACTAACAAGCACCAGATGAAGCCGCCTCACAAATGGGCGACTACAGCCGCCGAACAAGTTACTACGGTGAATACCATTCCTCCATGCATCTCACCTCCAGTTGATCTAACAAGAGCAGGACCGAACGGCCACTCGAACCGCGGATACGACCAAAACGCAAACTACGGCCGCGCCGGCCCCTCACGTCCAGACAGCGTGGCCGATAACTACGGCCAAGAGAACCAAACCCCATACCAAAATCGCCGCCAACGACACCCGCGACGCACTGACAGCGATCAAGTCGGTTACAACGGTTCTCAATCCAACCAGCGCTCTTACGACAATGTCGCTGCCATGTCGGGCTCCGGGTCCGCCTATACAGGCCCCTACGGCCAAGGCACTGATCCCAGTTCTCTGAACAGCTCAATGGACCAGCTGTCGCAGTATGCTCAGCGTGCTGATGGGGGCTATAATGGTCAATCTTCGGTGGGTAACACCTGGGGAGCTCCGCAGCAGGCACAGGGCCAAGGTCCGCCGGTGATGCAGATGTCGAAGAGTGCGAAGACGGCAATCGCGGCGCCTCCTGAGAAGAGGAAGAGCTGGTTGAAGAAGCGTTTTAGCAAGAACTAGATTTGCCTGACTGGAGCCTAGATCTGGGCTTTGGTTTCTGGACAGATGTATTATCATCCCCTCTCGGCGTTTAAATGTGTCTTATATGCACAGATTTATGCAGGCGTTCTCGTTTACTTTTCTCTTTTCGTTTCATCTCATGTTCGGGGTCGCTGCGCATGCTTTACGAGGTCACGATACATGGTTTTATGGGATATGGGACTCGGCGTGTTCATTCTGGGGGTTCGTTTTGTTCGCTTCACTTCGCTTTTTCTTTTTCCTACTCGTCAGTAGCTTCCATCTGGATTCGAAGTTCACATCTACATTTTCCACCCTCGAGTAAATCACCGGACTTCCATTTACAGTATGAACACAGGCAATTCTAGCAGAGTTCCAAATTATCAACTTCATCAACGAAAGCAAAGCAAAAATGGGAATCACAGGACCGGAGCAGAACCAGGATCACGAAAAGAAGCCCCTCTCCATCACCATCATCCAACTTGGGAATCTAGATCCTACTTCCGTCCCAGAAGCTTGTTCTTCAACTTGTCAGCCAACCCCTCATGCGCCATATGCTTCCTTCTCTCCTCCTTCTCCTTAAGCGACGCCTCATCAAGGTGAACATTTCCCTGTCCGCCGCGCTAAACCGATAAGTTAGCTCCATCCAATCATCCAATCATGCCATATCAAGAAAGAAATCTCACCCCAACGTGATAATTCTCATCACTAGAGTTCCGCACCGCGAGCTCGGGGATCATCTCCGAGTCATGTGGGACTTTGGAGGTTGGGCGCACGCGTGGGGATCCGATGTTTCCGACGCCACCGCGCTGTAGACAATATGTTAGTTGGGGGGTTATCCTTATTCGGGAATATCACGGTCACGATCGCTGGATCATGTATAGTCACGAGGGAGGACGTACACCGGCAGAGTAAGCGCCATCGCCCTGATCACCGTAGACGCCTTCGCGGACGATTTCACCATCGATGTAGCTGGTCTTTGTTAGTATGCGGCTGTGTTGGATGGGGTAGGACGTACTCGGTGGTATCGTGGCCGATGTTTCCCTGGCCTGTGCTTGTTAGCTTGGAGTATGTCTTTCTGTTGGTTGTGAGAGCGTACCTCCGCGACCGTGCGAGACCATGGGTTGTTCGTTCTCGGACATTGTGGTTGATATTGTGATTATGGATGTGAAGACTGTCGGGGAATATGTGAGCAAGGGCGAGATGGAGGGGTCTTATCGCGATGAACTGCGGGACCTGGGCCGGGTGGTGGGACCGCGATAAGATGCAGGTACAGAGGAGTTTGTAGGGCGATGGCCGGGAGAGGAGGTTTACCTGGGTGGTTTGTGAGGGCGAATTGGTTTCGGAACTAGAGTAGGAAGAAAGAAAGAAGGAAAGAAAGAGGAGAGAAAGACAGTGTAGACGAGGATGCCCCGGGGTAGGCGCGGGTTCTGGATCTCCCCATTTACGGCCTGAGGCGGTGATCTCAGGGTTGGCGATGTCAGGTGCCAAGACTTATTTGCTAGACCGATGATTCGGGTAGTTTTAGCTTGTCTTGCTAGTCTACAACTAGAGATGTTCTCTTTTTCTATCTTACATTGGTGACGTTGGGTGATAAGATAAGGCGCGGGGATTGGTCGGCGCCGTGACTAAATGCCTTTACTGATAGCGAGCTTGGCACGGCTTATTGGAGTAGTATACGATGATGGAATACCAATGTCATTGAATAGAGGAACAATAACTAAACAAATTGAGAAATTTATCGAAATGACAGATCGAATAATTTTCACAGCTTGGCACGGTGCAGATCCCGGGCTCTGGTAAGTGAGAGATCGAGGGCTGGGGATATCTTGTATTGAATCTACTTTTCCTTTTTCTTGTCTTCGGCGGATCCACCAGTGGTGGGCAGTCCCATAAAGATCTTGAATGAGTCGTAGCTGTAGAGAGCCGGTCAGTATAGCCATAATAAGATTGGGAGAAGGATCGGTTGTGCCGTACATCATCCACTGCAGACCAGTCTAAAATGTTGTTAGCTTCAAGTCCATCTTCTCTGGAATCGCAATCACTCACCAAGGTTCCGACCATGACGATACGAACAGGCAGTCCGTTCCACAGTCCCCGGAGTCCAATGTCTCCATAGATGCGGCTCATGGCTGCGCCAAATGCCTCACCGGCCTGGCGATTGGCATTGAGCTTGCTGACCATCACATCGGCGGGGTGAGACACCACAGCACACAGAATACCGGCGAGGTATCCACCGGTGAACGCAACTGCAGTCTGAGCACCCTTGTTGTAGTCCGATTTCTGTCCCGGCAGCCTGTTATAAATCATCTCGACGATAGTCTCAAACGAAGCAAACTTCATCATAGTGTATGGAATTTGGCGGCCCCAGAGTGGGTACAGACCCTTATACAAGCTGTGGGGCCCAGTAAGTGCTCTGAACTTGAACTTAACTCCGAGGATCTGCAGATCGACTTACCCGGCCACGCCCTCCTTGGCGACCACGGAAGAGATACCACTAAAAGTGCCCTTGACATCGGGTGGAATGGTCGTCTGCATGCGCACCTTGATCGACTCGAATGGGCACAAAGCTATGTCGGCGATGAATTCAGCCGAGGCACTGGCAGTCAGGTAGATGGAGGTCTTCCATTTGGTAGCGTTTTCCTGGCCGACGAGGTCACTGTAGAATTTCTTGAAGAACTCGTAGCCGCCGTACTTGAATGCTCCTTGGGCCTGGTCCGTGTCAATGGATGTTCAAAATGATTCGTGCTTGACCTACGCTGTAGCCAAAGAAAGTGGGGCCCCAGCCGGTGAACACTCCACGAAGACCCTCAACAGAACGGATCGTGGAGAATGCCTGCATGTTGCTCCGGTAGAGATTAGGGTCGACCTGGCGGCGACATTTGATCAGATCGAGAGGAGTGACCGCAGTATGAGTAAGGCCCTGCAATCGGTTGTGAGCGAGTATCCCATCCGAAGTATATATTGCGACATACACAGGCCATCATGCCACCGAAAATGCAAGCTGCATAATACTTGGATGTCCAGGGCTCGATCTTGCCCGTCTTACTCTGAGCGGTCTTGCTCGCGACATCGAACTCTCGAGCTGCTTCCTTGGCAAAGTCATCTGCTTTGTGCTTTGCGTCGTCAATAGCACTCCAAGCAGGGAAAGGCGCGTGTCTTTGGGGCTGGGACTGGGGCTGGGGCTTCAGGTTGACTTGTTGCTCCGAGTAAGACTGCGCTCCCAGACCACCCAGAGGATGACGGGAAGCGATTGCAGCGAGGACAGAGTCCGTGGGAATCATGGTGCTTTGTCTATGTTTCGTTAGTGTACAGGTGTGGGTAGAGTGGAGCACGTCTGAAAGCAGTGATGCGGGATCGACGGATGTTCCAGAGTTAGGAGTGCCTGACGCACAGTTGACCCCGATCGCGCATCTCGAGGCAACGTCTCCGCATTACGTCATGTCTGTGAAATGAGGAACTTCGCGCTAATTGACTTTTCTATGCACTATGAACATCCTAGTGAATTTCTTGGATTTATTCGCGGAGACAAAAGGTCCAGAATGTTAGGCTGCCGACCATACACCAAATTCTCCTATAGTAACCCAGCTATCCAATGCATAAAGGTAGAAAGGAGTTGTCTATATATAATCCGACCCAAGAGATCATGTCGATGCATTTGAAGGACTCTGACTTATTTTTCCAGGCGTATTTGAAAGAGATGATTAACGAAGTATTGGAAAGGAACAGAACGTGTATAGCAAGCACGTGAGATATCTAGCATCATGCCAGGAAGAGGCTGAGAAGGAAAAAGAGAGCAGTCTTTGGGCTCCCGTAGATCACCTCATTGGTCAGGCTGTAGAACTGTAGTGTGTGATCCTAAAGCAAGACACTTAGGCAATTGATGCGACCTGATACCCTGACCTAAAACACCTGGAATCCCTTCCGATATCTATTCGATCTGCCAGTCACTGTATTTCTCGTGATTCGAAGCCGGTCGGGAAGAACCAGGCGTACTCTTTACATCCCCGTAAGAGGCGGGGCGCATTAGCTATACGGGCGGCAATAACCGGTCTGTACTTATTGCAAATAAATAATCTGAAGCTAATACGCAATTTGATTTCATGCCAGATCCAGAAATATCCTTCGTAGAGAACGAGGACGAAAAATCCATCAAAGAACCGCCGCAGGCCCAAGAGCAACTATTCTCTTCCAGGGCCTCGCAATGGAAGAATCTGATTGTGATGGCTGTGAACAGAAAGCAACGACAATATTATATATTATCTGAGATAACCATAATGTTTGCGACTCCAGACTCTTTGAATTGTGCTCAAGGAATCTACTGCCTTCGCGTTCTTCTCGTGACGTATGGAGACTGGTCTTGGCGCGGGAAAAAGACGAGCGCCGAATCCGAGCAAAAAAGACAGACCTGCGACACTGCCAATTTCCAGTACACATTGCGTGCTCCTAGCTCTATCTGCCGTGGGAAACGTAATTCAAGCTTCCTTCCTTTCGTTGAATACACCCTTCGCTTCTGGTGGCCCCTCTCTGCCCCGCCCTTCGCACCTCCGAGCCCCTCTATCTTCAACCTCCAAACTACACTCGAGTGTCACAGCTACAATGACTTCCTACATGACTGGCAGCGAAGCCTACGCTCGCGAAAATGCCACTTCAGCTACCTCCGGTGCGGCTCCGCAAGCCGCATGGGCCGATAAGTATCGTGGGGTGAGTCAATGCCTACCTTGACCAGCTTCGAGTTCCAAACTCATTTATCTACAGGCTACTATCGAAGATCTCGACCCCCCACCGGCCCTATCAGTCTCTCCCAATGATCCCGTCTCCTCCGCCCTCATGACCGCCTACGAGCGCGACTACACCCACCTCACCGTCATCTCCTCCACCAAGCGATCCCTCCTCGGTTACCTGAGCATTCCCCGTCTGAAGGAGCTCCTTCACAGTGGCGAGGTCAAGGAGACAGACACCGTCGCCTCGGCAATGCAGCGCTTCAACCGGAAGCGTGGCATCTACCAGGTCATCACAATGGAGACGCCATTGGAGGAACTGGAGCAGTTCTTCGAGAGCGAGACGGGTGCCAACGGTGACAAGCGCGAGAAGCAGCAATTTGCAGTGGTCACGGACGTAACGCGAAAGTTCGTACTCGGAGTTGCTACCAAGGCGGACCTGGAGGAGTTCGTTAAGCGCAGACCGACCTAAAAGAATTTCATCATTGACACTAAGCTGGCTGCAAGAATCTCGGCGCCCCATCTATTGGATATGGGCATAAGGCGTAAATTTTATTTCTGGGAGTGCGGTTCTTTCAACATGGACATAGCATTTTAACATTTGTCGGATGGAATGCGAAATTGATTGCGAAGCCGAGTGACCTGGGAAACCAAGCATGTGGAATTTTGTCTTATGATATCCAATAACAATCAACGACTCTTTGGTAATTCTCAAAGAGTGCTTCTGGAAACCGTGATAGCTCCCATGGTAGCAAAATGATTTCCGAAACTTGGTATCTCAAGCAGACTGCCCATAACGCCGAAAATAGTACATTCCTGTTCTTTTCGAACTGAAGGTTGTAGACTTCAAAGTTGGAAACACTACTGTGCTTTCTTCGACTTGGAATTCTCTGCTTCTTCCCTGTCACCCTGGTCTTCCTTCCAGGCCACGTAGATGTAGGCGAACAAGACCACGTTAGCCGTAATAGCAGCAGTAATACCGGAGTATGTCGCATTCCCTGATTCATGGTTAACTTTATCTGAAAGTTTCTTTAGATGTTGAGGTTATGAATGCAGTCTTACCTGAGAAGATTGTCTTCACTGTCAGAAAATACATTCCGATGGGCAGGAAGGCCATGGCGGCCGTGAAGCCAAGCAGCTTGTAGATGACATCTCTGCGCAGGGTTTAGTTAGCATGGTGGTTTTGGTAAAAAAAAAATCATTATGATGCCCACGTACGATGGAACAGCAGGGGTCACGTCCGAGTCGTTGGTTGTAGGCTTAGCCGCAACGTCGGCGTAAGTCTGTCCATGAGGACGGCGGGCAGACATGATAGATATGGTAAAATTGAAGCTTAATTGCCTTTTGAAGATGGAATTGATTTAATTGAGGCTGATGTTGCGAGTATGGAAAGGTCTGGGTGATTGAAATAAGGTGAAGCTATCAATGGATATTGCGGAGAACACTAAAGCGCCCCGAAGTCACATGGGGCGAGGGCTGCCTCCAACCACCTCTTGAATCCTTTTATCCGGCATTTTTTAAATAGACAATCAACAGAGCCCTGTTGTGTTCTGCTCTCATTTTGAATATAATTTTCTTCACAATAAGACAATAAATAGAGTTGAACGATCCCCCGCTCGCGCCTCTGTAATTCACGTGATCCAAGCGCGTCGGTATCGCGTTCTCCGCCGGCAGAAAAAACGTTCCTGGATACCAGAGAGATCAGACAGGAGGCTGGCCTCGACTGCCGAAATAAGGGATACGGGTAATTCTACCGTCCGCCATGAACAACTCGGTGCCTGATACTCCCGTACGGGACAATAACCCTGCGCCAGGCACACCTGACCAGGAAGACTACGAGACAATCGCCACCCTGCCTGCGCATTCAATAACGCCCACTCAGCGATTGACGCAGCCTACTCAACTGGTCGATATGTCCTACTCATATCCAAACAATAGCACCGTCGTTCAGGTCGCTGCCTCGTCACCACCTGCTCCGGCCCAATCCCCCCCTCGTCGCGGAGGTCTTTTATCTTCTCTCATGGCCCCCTCTGGGACTCAATTCCGTCCTCCTCCCAACTCCCTCGGTCCTGCGAAAAGAACTCCCATCTTTGACTCCGAAGATGGTCCAACATATCGAGGAGGTTCTTCGGACGAGGACGAAAATTACACCGTGCGAAGCGGCGACATCAAGCCCGCCATGTTTGGAAAGGATCGCAGCCCGGAGAAGGAGAAGGAGAAGGTTGCAGAGTCCCCTGTGCGTCCTGCGGCTGGTCCCATGGATCGATTTAGGGAAATTACTACCTCCGCTATGTTTGATCCCGCTGCCAACGGCATCAAACGATCTGCCGACCAAATGAGCCCTGCGGGTGCTCCCAAGGGTGTTGCCATGAAACGGGCCCGACAGGATGCGCCATCCCGCGCCCAACCCGTGGTTTCCATCGATGCAGATGACAGCATGCTCGACTACCGGATTCGAGTCAAGGTTGAACGCATTCAAAAGGTCATGCCCGGCAAGTCAAACCAGGAATGTGTTGATGCGCTCAGGCAAACCAACGGAAACTTCGACGACGCTATGAACTACCTCGTCAACAGTGACATGGGTAACGATCCGGTGCACGATGTCATCCCAATTGAGTCTTCTGACGACGAGTTGAGCGCCTCGCCCGCCCGCAAGGGAGGCGCTATGCCCATTGCCAAACAAAAGATTAAGGCTCGCGGCACCATTCACGACAAATGGGCTGCGATGAACTTGCCAGCTGGGCAGACTCAGAAGGAGCCTTTGGATGAAGCAAAGCCTCGCGGCCGTCTCATGCGAGGCCCAAGAAATCGGGCCTCCTCTCCTGAAGCCATTACTATCAACTCCGATGATTCCCCTCCCAAGAAGCAGCTCAGCCGACTCCAAAAGGGCCCACGACGACTTTCCTCTGCATCTGTCGAGGCAGACTTTTCCGACTCCAACGATTCGGATGTTCAGGACGAGGATTCCCCCGCTGGCGGTTTGGATGACAAAGTTCTGAAGTTCTTCAACACCTGTAACGTTCGCGATCTTGCCGACATTGCTGCTGTTCCTCAAGAGACAGCCAAGGTGATCACCGACAACCGTCCATTCCACTCTCTTGACCATGTTCGCTCGGTCAGTGCACCAGTCGACCCGAACGCTAAGCCGAAAGGCAAGGGCAAGCCTCGCAAGCCGCCGAAGCCGATTGGAGAGAAAATAGTTGACAAGTGTCTGGATATGTGGACTGGTTATTTGGCTATTGATGCTCTTGTCGCTGAGTGCGAGGCTTTGGGACGACCTGTTGCAGATGAGATGAAAAAATGGGGTGTGGATATCTTTGGCAAGCGCGACGGAGAACTCGAGCTCACGACTCTTGGAAATGGTGCGGCCAATTCCCACGACTCTGGTATCGCCACACCTTCTTCGAACCATCAGTCTCCTAATGGAACGGCAGACGACGACGATGAAGACGTCCTTGTGGTTTCTCGCAAACCCAGCAACCAATCGCGTTTCATCTCTCAACCGTCTATCATGGCCGATGATATGGAGATGAAAGACTACCAGATTGTAGGTATTAACTGGTTGAATTTGTTGTTTGAGAAAGACATGAGTTGCATTTTAGCAGATGACATGGGCCTTGGAAAGACCTGTCAAGTCATCGCGTTTCTTGCTTCACTTTATGAGAAGGGCATCCGGGGCCCTCACCTTGTTGTTGTGCCTTCTTCGACCATTGAGAACTGGCTTCGCGAATTCCAGAAGTTCTGTCCGAAATTGAATGTCATGCCATACTACGCCGGAATCAGCGAGCGTGCCGACATCCGTTACCATATTCAGGACAACCGCGACGATATCAACGTCGTTATAACCACTTACACCATCGCGAAGGCCAAGGATGATGCCAAGTTCTTGCGCGACATGAAGTTCACTGTTTGTGTCTACGACGAAGGTCATGTGTTGAAGAATTCCGACTCTCAGGTGTACGAAAAGCTCATGCGCATTTCGGCACGCTTCCGTCTCCTTCTCACCGGTACACCGCTGCAGAATAACCTGCAGGAGCTGGCGTCTCTTCTCGGTTTCATCTTGCCCCGAGTTTTCCAAGAGCACAAGGAAGATTTGAAGGCAATTTTCTCCAACAAGGCTAGCACTTCGGATGAATCTCATGCAACACTGCTGTCTGCGCAGCGCATTGAACGTGCCAAGTCCATGCTCAAACCATTCGTGCTCCGCCGCAAGAAACATCAGGTCATTGACCTGCCCGCCAAGCACTCTCATGTCCAATACTGTGAGATGAAGCCATCGCAGCGTACCATCTACAACAATGAGAAGGAGCAAGTTCGTCTGCTTCTGGAAGACCGTGCTGCTGGCAAGAAGACTGGCTCCAGGTCTGCCAACATTCTCATGAAGCTCCGTCAAGCCGCCATTCACCCTCTTCTCCGCCGCCAACACTTCACCGACGCCATTCTCCAAAAGATGGCGAAGGCCTGCCTCAAGGAAGACAAATGGGCCATGTCTGACCCTAACATCATCTTCGAGGAGCTGCTGCCTTACAACGACTTCGAGTGCCACCACATGTGTATCGACAATCCGAACTCCCTTGGCAAGTTCAAGCTCAAAAACGAGGAGTGGATGGACTCAGGCAAAGTCGACGAGCTGCGCGCGCTCCTGAAGCGCTTCATTGAAAACGGCGACCGAACTTTAATTTTTTCGCAATTCACCATGGTCATGGATATCCTCGAGAATGTCCTCCAGACCCTCCAGATCGAGTTCGTTCGTCTGGACGGCCGCACCAGCGTCGAGGACCGCCAGTCCATCCTCGACCATTTCCACGAACATACCTCCATTCCCGTATTCCTCCTCTCTACCAAAGCCGGTGGTGCCGGAATCAACTTGGCCTGCGCAAACAAAGTAGTCATCTTCGACTCCTCCTTCAACCCCCAGGAGGATGTGCAAGCTGAGAACCGCGCCCACCGCGTTGGTCAAATCCGTGAGGTCGAAGTCTTCCGCTTCGTCACCCGCGACACTATCGAAGAGCAGATCTACGCCCTCGGTCAGACTAAGCTGGCACTCGACCACGCTGTCGCGGGTGAAGACGAGGGCTCCGGGAAGAAGGGAGAGGAGGCGGGGATGAAGGCTGTGGAAAGCATGGTGCTGGCGAATTTGCAACAGGAGAAGGGTACCTCGAATGGTGTCGAGGCGAAGGAGTAGGTGTCGGGAGAAATCGTTTTTTTTTTTTTTTTTTTACCGATGGTAACGATGACGGTGTTCTCTGTTTCTTTTTTCTTTTCAATTGTTTCTTTTTGTTGTTTGTACACATCGACATGGGTTGGCGCAGACATGATAAACCTGTTAGAGTAGATCACATAAAACATAATGCATCAAGACGATTTCAGTCATTTATTTCCCTGCGTTCGGGTTTATAGGGTTTATATCGTGTTCAGCCCTGCATTAAGCTCAGTTTTCTCTGGCTTTAGCTTTGTCACCGTCAGATGTTTCTGTCTCGCAGCCCGTGAGGATGTCCTGTATGGTTCCAGATGTGAGCTGCAACTAAGTTATCACTATATTTCAATCATTCCGATTCCAGTATGCTTTGTCCTACAATGAAGACTGTTTTATCAATCAACCCGAGTATAATATCATGCACATGTGTATTTTGGGATATCTAGGTATGGACAGGGGAACACGGCGCCCATGATGCAAAAACAGAACAGAAAGCAATACCAGGCTATGCAGAAGTTTAAAGAAAAGAACCAGAGCCAGATCTTATAGCAAAATGGTCTTTCAAACCGCGACCTCAGACTTCTGGGCCATTGGGGCTGGAATTGAAGGATCAACAGCAGCCTGCTCCGGCTCGGCCTTTACTGGTGCGGGAAATGACGAGGTGCGAATGGGACCTCCTTTGTGCGCAACAGACGAAGTCGCCTTGGATCTGGTGCCATCGCCGCCAGCAGCCTTGGCAGACTCATTATTCGCCATGACATTTTGAACGGCCTTGGAGCGCGGGTGGCCCTCGGGGGGACCAAGCTCCCACTTGTGGTCGAGGTCGAGAAGCTCATCAAGCAGGATAGCCTGGGAAACCAGGTCATCGAATTTCAGTCGACGGCAAGAATCAGTGTAGGTTCGAGACAGCTTGGCTTGCTTAAACTCCTCGTTTTTGCCGGGAATGAGCATATTGAGCAGATACTTGGTATTTCCAAGACGGTTCTCGCTCTCAATGCAGAAACGAAGGTACTCGTGAACGACATCGCGCCATGGCGCAAGTCCTCCGTCGGCCTCGGAGCGGAAGCATGACGAGTTAGACTCGGCTGAAGTGGCGATCATGGCGCCGTCGACGCCGAACTCTTCCATCAGGGCCAGGCCGTGGTCACGAGAGGTCACGTCGCCGTTCATGATACAAGCGACGCCGGCTTTGTGGCACACGTCTGCGACCATGCGGAGCTGGTGTCGGATTGCGCGCTCGCGGGGGCGCATGGGCGTCGTGCGGCAGTGCACCGTCAGACCTGTGATACCAGTGCGAACGAGTCGAGAGACGAGAGCCTCAGTGGCCTCGGGGGACTCGAGAATACGGATCTTGACAGAAATACCGATCTGGAAAGGCTCTCCGACTTCGCGGACCAGCGCTTCTAGGATAGAGACGAGCTTGTCGGGAGTGCGCAGCAGCGCAGCGCCCATACCGCCGCTGGTGCTGAACGGCTTGGGGCAGCCGGAATTAACATCGATGCCTGACACGTCGGCGGCGACAATCTTGGCAGCCTGCACAGCTAGCTCCGGGCTCGCCGTGCCCATCTGGTAGATGAGGCGACCCTTTTCGCGTACGGGGTCAAGGCGATAGATGACCGATTCCTTCGAGACGATATCAGGACGGCCACCGTTGGAGGGCATGCGGGAGAATTCGACACAGCCGTTTCGGGGGTTAACTTGGCGCTGGCAGCCAATTATAGCACGGTCGATGGTCTCAGGGCCCCAGACGAGGTCAGCACCGTATTTGAGAGCAAGCAGGCGCGAGGGTAATTCGCCGGAGCGCACCATCGGGGCTAGGACGATTTTTCCGCGATAGTCGACTCCGTTTGCGGGTATAGGCACGCGTGGGGCGGCCGCGGTGACTGACTCGGCGATGGAAGACATGGCGGAGCGTACGAGTCTGATCATAGCATGCTGAGAAGGGAGGAGGGGTCCCTGGTGGAGGTTGTATAGACTTTCTCTTTTCGTCGGCCAAGTCCGCCACATCACGTGGTGATAAAAGACTTATCATGGATTTTTTGCACTTCTTTTTTTTCGGTTGGTATTTGTGTACTGGACCAATGAAAATACTTATTTAACAAGCGGAGCCCACTGCAATTTGCCACTGAGGATTTAAGAATTGCATTGTACGGAATCCTTCAAAGGAAAGGTCTTAGATTCGAGAGTGTATTTATAGCAGAAATTTAAGATTCCTATGTCATAGTGGTACCTGGGTAGGGCTTGGGCTCTCCCGATATCGGCTAACACTCACAGTCTGGAGTACATGCAGAGCGCATATGTCAGGAGTGTGCACGAGACCCAGCCTAATTCACTCCCGGAGGCTAGGTCAATACTAATTGAGACTAAATTTACCATTCAAAGTTAAATAAATCGTAGTACATATAGAAAGTTGGCCGGGATGCCAACTATCGGGCAGTAGATGCCGGGCGGAAGCCGAAGAAAGACCCGCGACAGGGGCAGACAGACCCAGTCGGAAGCATTTACATGCCACGCAACACGAAAAGTCTGGTTCCCTAAGTTGACGCGATCGTCAGCGCCTTTGCATTAACCTTGGAATACTTAATATACCATTGCCAACACAGCCAATGGCCCTAGCCCGTCCTCCTTTGGCCCGACTGGGATTTCCTGCCTCCACCGCCTCGCGCCGTGTTTGGCGCACATCAGCTACACTGGCTCCCCCCACCTCAGCCCCTCCTCTTTCCTCCTTTTCTCCCCCCACTACCTCTTCTCTCTCTCGCGCTGCTTTACTATCTCGTCATTTCACTTCATTTACACCCAAAATGTCTTACACCATTCGCAAGGTTGCCCAGCCTTACACGCTGGAGCACCGTATCTACGTCGAGAAGGATGGCAAGCCTGTCTCTCCCTTCCACGATATTCCCCTCTACGCCGACGAGAAGGAGGGCATCCTGAACATGGTCGTTGAGATTCCCCGTTGGACCAACGCTAAGCAGGAGGTACGATACCGACATCTCGAAGCGCATCTACCCCGCGCTGCATACAAACTTGTCAACAATACTGATTCTCCGACTCCCAATCCAGATCTCCAAGGAGGAGTTCCTCAACCCCATCAAGCAGGACGTCAAGAAGGGCAAGCTCCGCTTCGTCCGCAACTGCTTCCCCCACAAGGGCTACCTCTGGAACTACGGTGCCTTCCCCCGCGTGAGTGCCCTTCTTCGTCAATGCTCTCCGAGACATTGAACTAACTTTACTGCCAGACCTGGGAGGATCCCGCCGCCATTCACCCCGAGACCAAGGCTCAGGGTGATAACGACCCTCTCGACGTTTGCGAGATCGGCGAGTTGGTCGGCTATCCCGGCCAGGTCAAGCAGGTCAAGGTTCTGGGTACTATGGCCTTGATTGACGAGGACGAGACCGACTGGAAGGTCATCGTCGTTGACGTCAACGACCCTCTGGCCAGCAAGCTCCACGACGTTGAGGACATCGAGCGTCACCTCCCTGGCCTTCTGCGCGCCACCAACGAGTGGTTCCGCATCTATAAGATCCCCGACGGAAAGAAGGAGAACTCTTTTGCTTTCTCCGGCGAGTGCAAGAACAAGAAGTACGCCATGGAGGTTATCAAGGAGTGCTCCGAGGCCTGGGAGAAGCTCATGTCCGGCAAGGCCGACGGTGGTGACATCAGCCTGTACGTTTCTCGTTTCTCGTTACTTTTTTCTTCTCGTCTATTCGAATATCTTGCTAACTCTTTACAGTGCCAACACCGAGTACGACAACCGCGCCTCCCAGACCGAGGTTGCTGCCGTTCCCCAAAATGAGAACTTGGCCCCTGCTCCCATTGACGGCAGCATTGACAAGTGGTTCTTCATCTCCGGTGCCGCTGTCTAAATTTTGAAATTTGCCGCGTCAAAATACCAAAATCTTGTTTGAGTACTCGCTGCCGAGAGGCTGTGTGTATAATGGACTTAGCTTTGCTGTAGGGTTAGCCGGCTAACCGGTATCTTTCAATTGACTGAAACATTATTACAATCCTGTTCAATCTTGAGATTCTTCCAATGTTTCTGTCTATGAACTTCATGTTCGTAGACTCTTGACTACAATCGGACTAGAAAACCTGTTGGCAGTCAGTATCAATAATCTACAACCCGTGGTCAGTGTCGCAGGGACTATCATAGTAAGCACTAGGGCAAACAGTTAGTTCTTCAAAGGATTATAGATCAGTCTTACGCTATCTACTGACATTTCAACTTCCAAAAATTGAAGGTACGACATAAGTAAAAAAGCCCTCCAGGGCTTAAGCGTAACGTAATTTGGTATCAATGATTTTCATGGGTTAAAAATTTGTCCAGGGCTAGTGCTCCGACACGCTAGTATGAAAACATATATAGCAAGCAAGAAGCACTCCCAAGTTTGAGAAAGGATAATGCTAGATCCATGCCCATAGATAAGTTTTTGAAATTTAAGATATTGGGAGCCAACACATCAAAGGGAACCTCCATGGAATATACAATCAAGGAAACTTTGAGAACATGTACAATAATAAGCCCGATGGCATTCGGTATCAAGTACTCTCAGAGTTCTAATCCTCCCACACGCCATAATAACAAGCTAGAAGATAATATGATACATAATGATAAACAGTCCAAGGTCCCATACTAGACCCGGACTATGCAAATACAACATCTTCCTTCCATATGCAAGCAAAGAAAGAGATCAGCCCTTCAGACTAGCTTCGCGTTCCAACTGACGCCCAACGCGCGAAATCTCCTCAACAACGTCTCCAATCTTCAGGCCTCGCTTGCCAACCTCAAGGGTCAATTCCTTGCCGCCTTTGAAGCCCACTGTCATGACAGGCGGCTGTGTGGAGTTGCGCGGCAATTGGGTGACCTTAATGTCGATGTGCGTGGGGCTGCTCGTGGGAACTGTGGTTGGTGTGCGCAGCAGGGTGAGGAAGAGCCGACAGGGCCGAGAGGCTGCTGTGAAGGGGTTGAAAGTTGTGCGGAAGGTAGTGATTGTGCTGATAGGGATAGGCATCTTGGGTAGTTGGCCTAATAGGTCTTGAGTGTATCGGTATGTGGAATCAAGGACCTATAGTTGTCGCGTTAGCAGTCTGCTCCATGCGCGGAGTGATAGAGATTGATGTTTCATCTAGAGGCGTACCTGGTAGGCTTGATCGGGTTTGATATCGGAAGTTTTTTTAGAAGCATGAACGGGCGGAATCGCTGCGCGAAGAGGGGTATCTTAGGATACTTGACGGATTTTTCGCAGGGTAAGAACGAATTTAGTCTGATTCGCAGCGCAAATCGACCGTGGCTGAGGTATTGGAAACTTGACAGGCGTAGCAGATTTCCCCGAGTCGCGGACTGCGAGGGAAGTCTGATGTTTGTCACGGATGCAAACACGTCAATACACCCTACCCACGCAACCTGGCAACTTGCGACTGCTTCGACCAGATTAATCGCGAGCCGATTAAAGACATTCACACACTATTTTTCTGTACCACGATTGCATATTGCACCTTTTCGAATCCCCGTCAAAATTCCGTTGCATACGCTGCGCCCGCTGATACCTCAACGCCGCAAACATGTCATCCACGGCAGCTCTTCAAGGCCGCTTGAAGGAGCTGTCGGTCTCTCTGGGGCAACTACAACCTCTTCTTGAACGACTGCGCAATTATACAGCTTCTATTGGTCAGGGTGATGAGGCCCGCGTGGAGCTCGGGTCGGAGATCCATAGCCAGTTGAAAGATGCCGAGGAAGAGCTTGAGCTTCTGCGCGTGGAGGTTGAGGCGCTAGACTCGGGCTCGGACAGTCGAAGGAAGTCTTCGGTGGCGAATGGTGAAAAAGAAGCAGGGAGAGAACGGATTGTTGCCATGGCGGGGCGACTGGCGGATGAATTGAAGAAGTACGTTCTCTCTTTCCATGTGATGATCGTGTTAGAGATCTGGAGTGCTAATGTATTTGCTAGAACACGTGGAGAGTTTCGGAATGCCCAATTACAAGCCAAACGCAATGCCGAGCTTGCGAAGCGGAAGGAGCGCGAGCTCTTGCTGTCAAGGTCGCTGTCATCGTCTGAGCGACAGCGCCATCCGTCGGAGAAATTTACACAGGATGATTTGGTGTTGAATGCCTCGAATGATGTCACTGCTGCCCTGCGCAGAACCCACAACTTGATGCAGGCTGAGCTTTCTCGCAGTCAGTTTGCGCAAGAGACCCTTGGTCAGTATACCTGAATCTACGGTACTATGTACATATAAAGCTAACATTAAGCGCTTAGATCAATCTACGGTTGCCATCTCCTCTCTGTCTGAATCTTACAGCAGTCTTGATACCCTACTCGCCTCATCCCGCAGTCTCGCAAGCTCCCTTCTCCGCTCTCAAAAATCAGATACCTGGTATCTCGAAACTGCCTTCTATGTCCTCGTCGGAACCATCACATGGCTTCTATTCCGGCGTATCCTGTACGGGCCCATGTGGTGGCTAGTCTGGCTTCCATTCAAGTTTGCCATGAAATTCGTATTCGCGACCCTAGGTGCAGTCGGAATGACAAAGGGATCAACCGAACTTTCGTCCAGCCAAGTTGCCAGTGACATCTCTGCGACCATTCAACAAACAGCAGCGGTGGTTTCTGGAGAGCATGTATCAACAAAAAGTGCTTCTTGGGAAGATCACCCATCCACAAATGACGAGGACCGGCTCATTGATCAGATAGGGAAGATGGTTGACGAAGGGAAACAGGAGAGTGCAAGCAATGATAATATATTACTTGAGGAGGTACAGAGACAGGCGGAACTTCCTCGCAACACAAAGAAAAGGATGTTCGAAGCGGAACCTGTGCGGGATGAGCTATAGGCAACATCTTGTAACGATAATTTACGCCAGCCATGAAGCATTGAATTTATCTAACCTCATGAACGACTTTATTTTATTTTATTAAAGACCACGATTTTACCGTTGACTTAAACCTACCGATGTACACCAGTGTATGCGGTCTTCTGGAACCCTCACTTTCCAAATCGCGATTTACAGCCGCTTACTTCAGCTAAGTGCTACGCGTGTCACGTGGAGACGCGTCTCTACACCGCGAAAGGTGTGTTCTTTTGCCCAGTTTCGGCTTCCGCAGTGATTGCAGTTTGAGCTCGAAATTGTCTTGCGTCACTCAATCCGAGCCTCTCGTTATAATGGCCTCCACTTTCTTCAACAACAAGGCCCGCGCCGCTGCAGTTGCTGCATCCAGCAGCTCCAAGGCTAAGGCCGGGGAGGGCAAGGAAGATGTAACTCGCCAGCAGCCATGGGTTGAGAAATAGTACACATTCTTGTCTTTCTACTCATTGATAGCTCTCTAACCTTGTTCAGCCGTCCGAAATCTCTCGACGATGTCGCCGCGCAAGACCACACCACGAAAGTCCTTCAGCGCACCCTGCAAGCTTCCAACGTACGCATCAAGTCACAATCAATCCTCAAAGGATCAATACTAACACATCTCACTACAGCTACCTCACATGCTCTTCTATGGACCTCCAGGAACCGGTAAAACATCTACCATCCTCGCCCTCGCCAAATCTCTCTTTGGCCCCGCGCTGTACCGCTCCCGCATCCTCGAACTCAACGCCTCCGACGAGCGTGGCATCGGCATCGTCCGTGACAAAGTCAAAAACTTCGCTCGCGCCCAGCTCTCTCAACCTACAGGCCTCGACGCCGCCTACCGCGCACAATACCCCTGCCCGCCATTCAAGATCATCATTCTTGACGAGGCAGATAGCATGACCCAGGATGCACAGTCTGCGCTGCGCAGAACTATGGAGACATACAGTCGCATTACACGTTTCTGTCTGGTCTGCAATTACGTAACTCGCATTATTGAGCCGCTTGCTTCCCGTTGCAGTAAGTTCCGGTTCAAGTCGCTGGATAATTCAGCGGCCGGTGTAAGACTTGAGGCCATTGCGCTTGCGGAAAATCTGAAGCTCGATGATGGCGTTATTGATACGCTCATTCGCTGCGGCGAGGGCGACCTCCGCCGTGCTATTACCTATATGCAGAGTGCGGCGAGATTGGTGGGTGCTGTGAAGGTGTCTGGCAAGGACGCTGATGATGATGCTGAGATGACGGATGCTGGAAGTGCTGGTCCTGCATCTATTACTGTGCGCAGCATTGAAGAGATCGCTGGTGTGGTGCCGGAGAGCATCCTTGACAGTCTCGTGCAGGCTATGCAACCCAAGAGCTCTGGATCGGCATATGAGGCGGTCTCGGGCGTCGTGACAGATCTTGTGGCTGATGGATGGAGTGCCACACAAGTTATTGGACAAGTAAGTATTATTTTGCTGTCTTGGTATGGTAGGGATTGAGCTAATGCGTTTCGCAGTTGTACCGAAGGATCGTCTTTAACGAGGCTATTCCAGATCTCCAGAAGAACAAGATTGTCATCGCCTTTTCGGAAATGGATAAGCGCCTTGTGGATGGTGCAGATGAGCACCTGTCCATTTTGGATTTGACACTGCGCATCGCTGGCATCTTACGCGGTTGATTGTTTGAAATGACACGAAAAGAGACTTAAGCATGCGATTTAATCTTGGCTAGTCCTTGTCGTTGAATTCCAATGACAGGGGCTGCCATGGCTGGCCAAATGAGCAAAGGCGTTAGGGGTTGAGTGATTTGACATACCGAGGCGTTTTGTATTTAGACTATCTTAGGCTGTGACCCCAGAGGCTCGCCGGGACACCCCAAACATGCGTGACTCGTGCACATTCTCTACAGAAGTACATACTCCATAGAAAACCCAGCCCCGGCTCGTACCTCAACGAGATGGCTCCGCGATGATGGCCACTAGGTTAGCCCAGAATTATTCCACTAGCTTCTTAGTCACTAATTTCTTAGTGTCGCTTAGCGTTGTGTGATCAGTCAGAACAATCGCTATTGTATTTGATTGGGCAAATCATCGACACGTCAGAGATCAACCTGTACGGAGGTGGATCTGTATGCAAATGCTGGAAATCGGAGAGTCCTCGCCCCCGGGTTATCATATTTAACGAATAGCAAAACATGGTTAGGGGCTCTTTGCGAACTAGAACGCCAAGAAAATGCAATTTTCTAGCCTTTTGTGCTTATTGGAGCCGCTTAAAGGCTGGTAGGGCGCGAGCCTCTTAACCCATGCATAGAAATTGAAGCCTGGGGATGCTGTAATATGTCCTAAGATTTATGCTTATACATCACCTTCTTCATATCATGATACTCCTTTCTAAGGATGTTCTTGTGTACTTTGATCTTCTTCGTCATATTTACCCTTCCAGTTCGAGAAATTTGGGCGACTAGAGCTGGAAGGACTCTTAGGGCTCTGGATTTGGTCACTTAAGTCTGACCTCGTAATAGAGACTAAAGACTCGGAAACTGGCCTCACCGAATCTGGCGCTGCTGGGATCAAATCAAAACAAATCATTTCGACCGACCAGACCTTCCTAAGTTCAGACTTGAGTATATGGCTCCGAAGCGAGGTCAACAGTTTTAGGAAGCACACCCTTTCCTCTGAACAAATCGATACACCACCCACTGACTATAGTGATGTGAGTACCCTTTGGAGGATAAGGAATGACGGCAATGAGGATGTTTACGTGCCAACGCCCCTCGCGCGATTTACTTCATCTCATGTTCGTTTCTTTGGTTGGGAGACTGCACATTTGTCACAATTCAAAGGCTCCGAACCCCTCAGCCTTTGGTCAGCGCCAAAAGAAAATTCACTTCTTCCATCATGCGCCCAGGAAGTGTTTGCATCATTTCTAATGAGCATTCTTGACACCGTGAGGGACATCGGAAGTATTGATATTAAGGAAGTCGAACCCTTTCAGCTAGAGAACAAGTAAATGAAGTTATCGAACTGTTTACGGAGATGCGACTAGGCTCAAGACAGGAAGCTTTTATGTATATTTTGCCTCGGCTCATATCTGGACTGAAAATTCCCTCTGTCCGAAAGGTCTCGGTAGCGGCAAGGAGAAGTGCAAACTAGCATCGACCGGCCCCATAGGACACATGGGCAGACGCGGCGATAGTGTACATGTGATGAGGGAAGGATATGTCAAGCAAATTACATGCCTTACCTTCCATGTAATACCTACCATATGTTTTATTCGAATCTGGTGTCCTGGCTTGCGCTGATTGTAATATGAACCAACGTCAACTGGTGGGGACCCTCTACCTTAGTCCTGCAGTAAGCTCTGCAGGAACTTGCCATTTAGAGAATTCAGTGCCGTTGATCCGGAGGAATCCGACGAAAAATAAGGCTAGGGATATCTAATCTCGCTTTGTCCATGGAGATGCCCAGAAGTTCAATAGTGGCCGAAATTTTCTCACCTAGTCCACGCTTGTAGGGCGCTAGATGGGGTTTGGTGTCTCGGCAAGCTAAAATTTGGGGCCAAAAGAAACCCTTAACGCCTCATCCTGCGACCCTGAGAGACATTTCTAACCCGAGTTAGCACTAGGCTAGTCGCTTTGATGCTTGGCCCGTCCCTGCCAAGCCCACCTGTTCGGCATTCCGATCCTTAGCGAGAGGGGCGGAGATTGGCCTTTAAGCCTCATTTGGTCTTCGGAGTGTTTCCCATCTTGGACCCTGAGACGAGCATTTGTATTTAATATAGCTGTAGCCCCTTCTTTGGGACCGAATCGTTCGCTCTTTTTGTGTTTCCTTTCGTTTCGAATATTTCAATTGTTTGGTGCTTTTTTTAATATACTTTGACCAAATTAAGTCATGCCTCTCCCTACTGCTTCAGTTGGCGATGGATGGTTCACCTTCCAGAACCTTGGCCCTGCCACCGCAACTTTCACCCCAGCCCCTAGCTGCTCTGCTTCAGACAGACTGCAGATCGGCGTAATTCGGTCTAATTACGCTGAGGCAAATTGGAATGTTCAATGCTCCACGACGGGCTATGAAGATTGTCTCCCACCTACCACAACCACTACAGCCCCGGCAACGACGTCAACCGGCTATGAAGAGTTCTGGGGCTATGGAGCATACTACTCCCCGGGTCTGAACTGCCCCTCCGGATGGGAAACTATTGGCCTGGCCGCTCGGGATGCGAACCAAACCCTCAGCTACTCTGGCATTATGGTTCCCACCACAACGACTGCCGGGTACTATAGAGAAAATCATGCCACTATCCTTGCCAATGTACTTGAATCCTCCGAGACTATGGCCCTTTGCTGCCCAAGGTATTTCACTTACATCTATTTGAAACTATACATAACTAACATCCTACAGCGCTATGACCGCAGATGGTATGGGCGGATGCTACTCCGCGGTCCCAGACTACAAGCCCACCGTCGGCTGCTACGTCTACACGACCGCGCCGTTTAGCTACCAGATTTCTTCCGTGGTCGAGACTCGTCATGGAGCCGCCAGCACTTTCCTCGTTGATATTCCGGAATATGGCGACAGCGTTACCAAGACTTATTCGAGAACCTTCAACCACAGGGAGCAGAGCAGGTATACTGGTATCTCCTACGTTCCTATGGTGACTCTTGTGCACCACCAGTCCGATACACAGCCAACTGCTACCAGAAATGCTACGGCCGCTACTAGTACTTCGACTACTACGTCGAATGCTGCCGGGCGACTGGCCCCTCGGTCTTCTACTTGGGACGGATTGGGTGCTGTCGTTGGTATTTCTGCCGCCGCCATGGCATTGGGTGCTGCTATCCTTTTCTAAATTTTGATCATGGCTCTGGTACCCGACTTTAAGAATGGGCTGCAGGGTTGACATCTATTTTGTTTCGTTTCTTCGGCCAATCTTGTCGCAATTTACTATATCCCAAGGCTGATGAAAGTCTAATCGCGCAGTAGATGAATACACAATGAAGTATAGAAGTAAAGTATTTTTTCGAGATTACCTTTACCTCTACACTCTTCCTTTTTGATTCCCGAATAAGGGTCCGATGTGCGCTAGTTTCAATGCGGAGGACCTCGTGCTAGTCAGCCTCCCAGACCGCTTACTTAAAAACATATGTTCAATCCCTAGAATTTTCAGAGCTCTGGCTGTGCTCATCTTCTTCCAGAATGGTCGAGGACACTTTAAAATACGATCTCGAACGTCAGATCATCTAATTTACACGAAGCTGCCATGTACATCCACCCCCATGCCTTCCCCTCCATTGCTTATCAACTACTATTCTATTACTATCACGTCGTCTTAAATAAGAGCTCACACAAGTCTAATATAAATGGCAAGACTCCTAGACTTGCCGCTTCAAATTATAGTCTTATTCATGATATGATAGGTAGGAAGCCGGACTTACCACGTCTTAGATCACCCAAGAAGCTAAATGCACTAGGCTTATGATCGTCAATAATCGGCGCCCCGAACATTAATCGGATTTATTCTATGAATATCTCCTATGAGTTTTGAAACTCAGATGATATGTAAATGCGAATTATCATCCTAGGCTAACTAGACGGTAGTGTTGTCTTTGTCTACACAAGCGATCAAAGACTCATTCTATATGAATGATACTAGTCACCATGGGTGATCACAATCACTCCTTCAAGTGCTTTCATTTTAGCGATAGCGTTTGCATTGAGTCTGTATCGATAATATTAGACAACCTTCTTAAAAGGCGTAGAACGCACATACTTTGCACCAAGTATCATTGGGGGATTAGTTCTGGTGGATGGATATTGTGATGTTCCAGTTTCCGTCTTCAAAATTCTTCAGATATGTTAGCAGCGCTATTGAAAACAAGAATATACATATGTATTTCACTCATTTCGTGCTTACTGGTCGACATGACTTCGCTGTTTCTGTCACTCCTCCGAACCTTCAAAGTGGATGTTGACGCTCTGAGTAATTATCAGTATTTATGAGCCTATGAGGAAGCTCTAGGGTTTTAGGTAAAGCGAACCTGTGTACTCATGGTGTAACCTTCAGAAGTCGAATGATTTTTGACAATGTATACTTCAATCGAATGGGAACGGACAAGATTGCGATTTAAATACTTTTGAGGAGTTGGTAGTGACCGTCATTAAGATAGTGACGTAAATATTTCCAAGCGAGTGGCTTTTTGAATAACTCGCCGATCAGAGAGCAGTTCCCTATTTTTCCATGCGAGAAGCTCCTTTAGAGTTCGATTCAGCTCGCCATACTCCCACTATACCGCATATTAAGATTATGATTCGCCTATAAGATTCAACAGATCACAAGAATCCATACGTACCTAAATGTGAGGGACGATCTCGATCGCTAGATTGACCACGGCTGTAGCGTGTGCCCACCGCAAAGTATACAGGCCACCTCGAGGGCAAAATCCAAAGCAGGAAGCAGGATAGAGATCGTTAGAACTACCAAGGGGTTTGTACCTCAAGGTACCTTCCCATAGTTACGTGATAGGGTGTTAGTATAGGTACTACAGTATAGGAATTTGGTAAATAGGATCCTTACCGCTTAATATTGCTAGCAATATTTACTAGCCCTAACTTGTGATGCTTTTCCTACCAAATATTTTATAATATTTAGGCAAATTTGATTCTAACGAAGACTCATCCACTGTAGTAAGTCTGTTACCATTTCAATTCTGCTGCAATTAAAGAGCGGTGACCCAAAATTGACCAGCTCGCTTTGTATTTATTTCCTAGGAATCAAGTAATGAGAGTGTGGGTCACATCGCATTACACTATAGACGCTGCGCCAAATTGGCTTCCCGCCAGAAGTACTTTCTTGCATCGAGATATGCGTCCCTCTCACCGAGTATTATTTGTGTGATAGATAACATCCCGCTTTTCTCTCCTTTCCGGCCAGCGGATGGAGATTAATGACGATCGCCTACATAGTTGAAACTGGGTTTTAACGTCAGCTCTTTACTACGGAGTAAAAGATCTGATCATGTCAGAAGCTGCTATTTGATGGCGGTCTAGAATCGGTATAGTCAAATCAGTTGGTCAGATTTCTCTTGGTACGATCGGTTCTAGATGCGACTATGACGGGATCATCTGGTCTCATTTGGCGGTGGTGAGCAGTCTTGCGTCGTAGAGCCTGTTCTAGCTTCCCCCCAAGGATAGCTGCTAAGTCAACATCTTTCTCTGTGTCCTTTGACACATCCCTGTTATTGACTGTCACTCGCCACTCTATACGGTAGTGGATGTAGGTTGGCGGGTCCTCGTCGTAGGCTTTCTTATCTTCCCACTTACATAGCTGGAGAATTGAGAGTGCGTAGGGTGGATTTACTCGTAGGTTCGATACTATTCTCACCTACGCTCGATGGGGAGGGGCTTAGGGTCAATAGCGCTACATGAGGGCTGCCATGATAGCCAGATATTGGGGCACAATCTGAGTGGTGTCCCTATTGTTCGTGTTTCGTAAACTAAGATATATTATCCAAGCGATTTTAGCTTATCTCTCACAATAGTGACGATCCTTGCAAAGCCTACGTTAGCTAGGGGAACTAGTTTAGGTCTAAGGCTAGTAAGAGTATGGCGGTATAGCTGATTTCGAAAACTACTGTAAAATGAAATCATAAATTCAGACATAGCTCATATGTAGCCTCCAACTTTTGAAGTTTGCTCATTCCTCCTTTTCTTTTTGGACGTCTCCCTTCATGTCCAGCTTTTCTTGTCCAGCTTCTCATCCAACTTCTCATCCAATTTCTCAGAATCCTCTTCATCTCCACCCTTCTCCAAGTAACTTTGCTTGAGAGCTTCATATCCATTTTCCTGCTCTCCTAATCTCTCCACATCTTGAATACTCCCCATCTTATCCGTCCGGCGAGTAATCTTGCGAGCACGAATACACCAAGCCACCCCAAAAACGAAAGTCAGGAACCATAGCAACACATTAACGACATCAATCCAGACAGCCGCTTTCATACGAAGAACACATTGTGTGACTTTCTCATATTCCGGTTTGACGGGCGAAGTGTAGTAGATACTTCCGAAGACGCCCACTTGTGCCAGCCAGAATACAAAGAGAACGCCATCCCACAGAGACCACAAGACGCGCTTGACAGTCACGAGAGCATGTATAGCACATGTGATGGCAGAGAAAGCAACGATCATTTCGGTGTAGACCCATTCGGAGGGAGCGGGAGCGTTCCGTTCCGTTGCATGCGCTAGGTCGACTCCGTAGAGCCCAGCGGCGATAATGGCGAACATGAATTGGAGAATTCGGAGGGTGGCTCGGGAGTATAGACCGAATATCCCTTTTTTGTACCAGTATTGTTCAATTGAGGGAATCTTTTTCGGAATTTCATTGACCGCCGTGGATGTGGTCTCGCTGGCGGCATCCGTTGGAGTGTCTGCTGGAGTATAGGGCGGAGGGGCAGTGGCAGGCTCTTGGTTCGTCATTTTGAATACAGTGAAAGTTTCTAAGGAGAATTTGAATTAGTCTAGAGGGAATGGGACATTGTTATAAACGTTTTCTTTAAATAATTCAACCATCTTCGTCAAGCTTTGAAGAGAAATTCTATCGTATTCGTACAATGGCTTCTAAATCGAGGTTGGCACTATTCCTATTTTGGTAATTATATCGTATTCGGTTTACCTAACTTTGAGGGTAAATAACTGGATCTATATTCTACTTCCTATAAATAGCAAACATTAAATACCAAGGTTGTTTATGCTCTCCACCATAATTATGAGCTAATTTTGCTCGCAAGTGATATCGCGCATGTGCAAGTGCACGAAACTTAGGATTGATATTCGAGATCACGGATTAGAGCCAATTCCTCATCAGGCCAATTTTGCCCCACATTTTCTGATGAACTTTTGATGGCAGTCACTGGTAATGACTACTTGACGAAAATTCAGAGATTGGCGGATAAGGAGGATGAAGTCATCACTGAAGATGATAGCCTGATTTATCCGGTATTATAGTAAGCCCACCCCCCAAACCTCCCTTTATTCGTATAAGAGCCTAGCCCTCCCCTGGCTTCACTCCGCTTAAGCCTCTTCTGCAGTCATTGCTCAGTCTTGCCAATAGCCACCTTCTGGGTTCATATATTACTATCGACACATGTTAAAGGATTGAAGAGAAGTGAAGGCCTACATATGCTACGAATATCTCTTATCCCGTTCTGCAGAATGATGTATTTTGCAAAAGATACCAATTATGAGCATGTCGGGCTTCGGAGCGAACTCTAATGTCGTAATAACCGGAAATATAGACTAATATTCTTTTCTCGCTTCTTCTCAAGTAGGGCTATTTCAGTAAATTAGGGAGAATTGTTATGATGCTGGGCCTCGGAGGTCCACACGTTACACTACAAATGCCCGGCACTGGTGTACTAAAATAATTGAAAAGAAAGTTCAAGTCTACCTAGTTACAAGAAGTTGTGACTTCGTCCCTAACGTAGCAGAATGCCTCCCACCGGTGCCCCATCGATGTATAGCGGCGAAAATGATCAAACAGATGAAAAGCGCAAACTAAAGTGCAATGCGGCTAGACTAGAAAAGCAGAGAAAAAGAGGTCATGTCATCATAATCAAAGGGTAGAAAGTCGGAACGAAGTATCCGCGATAACGCAACGCCAGATGCCAGCCAGTTGAAACACCATGCGCGCCACCGCTGGACCTGAAAAGTGGAAGAAGGTGCGCTCGATGAGGTAGCCAATTGGAAAAAAAAAAACAAGAAAACCAGGAAAAAGCAAAAAACAAATCGAGGTCAAATAGACTGAAGTAGGGTGCGCCATTTATTTTCGCGCCTTTAACCCCACTGTGAAATGCGATGTAATAGATGCCAATGCATCAGATGTAAAGACCAAATAGAAATCCCCGATGCCATGCAATAATATCCTCTCCCCGAGGATCAACACCTTAGACCGAACTCCGTTTTGAATGCAGGTGAAGGATGTGAAATGAGGCTGTCGGTACAGCTAGCGGATGGTGCCCCATTCTGCGAGCTTGCTACCATCGCGCCGCGAGTCTCTTGTGGCTCGTTTGTCGAAGATCTTCCAGAATCTGAGCGTCTCGTCGCCAGCTCCGGTAACCACGGTTTGACCATCTGGGCTCATAGCTAAGTATAGCACACGGAAAGTGTGACCGGTCAGAGAGACAATTTGCTCCATGCGCGGATACTTCCAGATGACGATTTGGTTTTGACTGTATCCGTGGGTACTGATGATCTCGTCGGAGTTCTTAGACCAGGAGAGGTTGCAAACTTGGCTTCCCGTATCGACCTCCTTGATCATAGAGCCCGTTGACGTATTCCAAAACTTGATCGTGCGGTCTGCAGTCCCACCGCCGGAAGCGAGCAGATGATGCTGATGAGGCGACCATGCAATGGCCTTGACCGCCGCGCAGTGGTCTGAAAAGCGGAAGAGGGGTGTCTCGTTCAGCTTATCCCACACCATCAGCTTGTTGTCGTTTCCACCAGATGCTAGTTGGCCATCCTCAGTATTCCATTTCAAGCCGCACACTTCTTGCTTGTGGCCAGATAGCTTGCGGAGGTATTGATCAGGCGAGCGGACATCGCGGTGATAAATCAGACGATCTCGGGAGCCTGAGGTCAGGATGTGATCATTCCATGCCAAAGCACCGACACGATTCGTATGACCGATCATTGTTCGGAGACGTCGGCAGTGTTCCGCATCCCAGATCTGCACTAGCCCTTTCCCGGTGCCAATGGCCAGATGCGTGCCCTTTTAAAATGTCAGTCATGAAAGTCAAGAAACAGAAATCACATGTATCTTACCCTTTGAATCCAGTTCACACTGGTCACTGTATCATCCTTAAGCTCACAAAGCTTGGTCACACGGCCCGACTGGGAGTTCCACATATAGACCGAGTTGGCCAAGCCGACGCCCAGCACATTGCTGCTGCCCCAATCCACTAAGTTCAAGTAGAAGTCATCTTGCAAGTCGGGAGCATCCAGAACCTTGTAGGGGACCTTATTGACATAGCGAGGCTGCTTGCGCGGAGTTTCGAGAATACGTTGACTATCATATCTTATAGGCGAAAGACTGTAGAGTTCAGAGCGAATATTAAGGTTTGGTCCATGGTGGCTTCTCGGAGTTTTGGAGGGGGTGGGATGGCCAGATCCCGGTCTTATTGGCCCGTAGTTGAAGAGGTTCTTGTGCGGGGTTGAAGGTGTAATGCTGGCAGGCGGAAGGCTGGACACAACATGGGCCGGGGGTGTATGTGATCGAGTTTTGTCGTTGATGCCATTCGGAAAGCCGAGTAGCGGGTCGGATGATGCTGTGTTGAGATCGGGTTGAGGAACAGTGTTGCCAAAGAGCTCACTGCGCAAGACACGAGAGAACGTGCGGTTCGCTTCCTCCGCTGTAATTTACATATTAGCAATGAGCAGGGTGTATATGGAGACTTCACAAACTCTTCTGGAAATGAAGCTCCGAGTGAGGAGCGCGCCTCTTTGACTTGGAAGGGGTGGAAGGGCAACCATCTTCATGCAGCAGACTGTAAGTTGCCTGTAGGTCCTGGCCGTCGCGGTTTGGGATAAAGCTTCATTGCAGTCAGTTGCATGTTCTCACACCCGGTTCGCTTACATCTGGCGCCTGTCGTAGTGATCTTGACAACTTACCGGTCTCCGTAAACTCGTTGCCTCTTTCGGTGAGGACTTGTACCCGGGGTCCTTTCTCTTTGGGTACCGGCCTCGCCGAAATCTTTCAAAGCTTTCGCCAGCGCCGACGCATCGACGGGCTCTGATCCCTCCGCGGCTCGTGGGCGGTTGCCCAGGTTATCGGAGTAGAAGACGGTTTTCTTGGCGGGCAAGCTCGGTGGGGTCTTTGATCCCGGCGGTGATACGATTGCTGCTGCTTGCGACCTGGTATTTATTCGGTTGGCCCTGGCACTCACGCCTGCGTTTGTGTCCTGAGATTGATCCCCCATGCTGGCAGCTGTTCCCCAGGCCCCAGATGCTGATTGCGCTTGATCAACAAGTCGACAAGAAATGGCATGCGAAATGACTCGGTGATCGGAATCGAGATTGAAGCGTAGATGCAGACAAATCGGGAGAGAGAGAGATGGGGATGTCCTTTCTTTTATCGGGGTTTGGCGGTTTGTGATGATCCAGCCACCGATGTTGGCGCTTCGACACAGAGGCAATCTACGACACTTCACAAAGTGCGGACGAGACACCAAAGTGTTTCAGCGAAACAAAGAGATTGGCATTCAAAGCGGCGACGGAGAATGCTGAGGAAAGAAGGTGTACAAAGGGAGAGCCATCCCTCTCGACCTGTGGTCACGCGTCGGTGGCGCTATACCCGATTGGGACTCACAGTGGAATCCAGTTCACCCACTTCGCACTTAATATCTACGATCCGCCCGTTTATCACTGGATCTATGGAACCCGTCTCATTTAGAAAAGCCGATCACTTTCATCACTGGCATGAACATTGCATCGTTTCAGTTCAGTCGAGATTAGGATCCCTGGAACGGACTGACCATGTGGCTTCTTGTTATGATTTGAGTAGCCTCCGTCTCAGGCTTGTTTTGGTAACGCGATTCAGGCCCAAAGGGAAGTAGACTTGGGCCAAAGAACCGCCGATTAAGTCACCAACTCACTAAGTGGGGGGAATATGTGAGGGACCTGACGCGAAGGGCGCGCTCATCTACGCGCCTCGGACGCGCAGAGCTTAGGCCATAGCAACTCATCCCTGCCAATCATTTCAGCCAGGAATTAACTAACGTTAGAAACCGGCTTCAATAATGATCCGTGATGGATTACCAGATATAGCTCGGGGGCCCCATAGTTCCATATCTTGCAGCTAGTAGCTTTCCTAGGACCCATTCATGAAAGGCAAAGTGACAGTCACCGCCAAAACGGAAAACCCTGTCACTTCCACTTCTCCGCACTGGACTATGCCCCCACGTCTGTCGCTGCGCTCTGTCTTTCAATTACATCGTTATTCTACCATGGCTTCTAAACAACCGGCGGTGGACTTCTTGTCCTTTGTCAATGACTCTCCTACTCGTATGCTCTATGAAGATGATACTGGGGTGGAACCTGTTCTGACCGGGATCTAGCCTTCCATGCTGTCAAATCTGCCAAGACACTGCTGAACGATGCCGGCTTCCAGGAAATCAAGGTACCCAGAGCTTCCCCACAGTGTTTGGTCAATTCTAAAAAATTTCATATACATATAGGAGCGTGATTCTTGGGCTTCTACTTGCAAGCCCGGTGGCAAGTACTACCTGACCCGTAATACCACCACCCTCGTGGCTTTTGCCATTGGAAAGAAATGGACGGTATGTATGATTCTAGCTGGGGTTGGTAAATCCGCTGACAATCCCAGCCTGGTAACTCCATCTCCATGATCGGTGCTCACACCGACTCGCCTGTCTTGAGGGTCAAGCCCGTGAGCAAGAAGAGCGGCGAGGGCTTCGTCCAGGTCGGCGTTGAGACCTATGGCGGTGGCATCTGGCACACCTGTATGTTTATCTTGGATTATTGAATAGCTGTCCAAAGGATCTAATTACTAACTATAAATCTACAAGGGTTCGATCGTGACCTCGGTGTTGCTGGTCGTGTGATGACTCGTGCCGCCGACGGCTCTATCGTCCAGAAGCTGGTCAAGGTCGACCGTCCTAGTATGTTCTGTCCTAATCCAAAGGTGATGTTGAGCTAACGTTGCAGTTCTTCGCATTCCCACTCTGGCCATTCATCTGGACCGCCAGGAGACCTTTTCCTTCAACAAAGAGACCCAGCTGTTCCCCATTGCTGGCCTGGCGGAGGCCGAGCTCAACCGCACTGCCGACTCCAAGCCGGCCGAGGAAGAGGAGGCATTCTCCCCGTTGAAATCGGCATCTGAGCGCCACCATCCTTACTTCGTGGAGATGATCGCGGCTGAGGCCGGAGTCAAGCCCGAGGAAGTCCTTGACTTTGAGATGATCCTTTTCGATACCCAGAAGTCCTGCCTTGGCGGCATGAGCGAGGAGTTCATTTTCTCCCCCCGCCTGGACAACCTCAACTGCTCCTACTGTGCCGTTGTTGGCCTGATCAATTCCGTGGCCGACAAGTCGGCGCTGGATAATGAGGATGCTATCCGTCTGATTGCTCTTTTCGATCACGAGGAGATTGGCAGCCGCACCGCCCAAGGTGCCGACTCCAACGCTCTCCCGGCTATCATCCGTCGCTTGTCGGTACTCCCCTCAAACTCTGCAGCGGATGTCGACCTGGCCACTGCATACGAGCAGACTCTCTCCACTTCCTTCCTGGTGTCTGCCGATATGGCCCACTCCGTTAACCCCAACTATGCCGCCAAGTACGAAGCCGACCACAAGCCCCAGATGAACAAGGGCCCTGTGATCAAGATCAATGCCAACGCTCGCTATGCCACTAACTCTCCTGGACTTGTGCTTCTCCAGGAAGTTGCACAGAAGGCGACGAAGGAGAGCGGCAACCCCATTCCCCTGCAGCTGTTTGTCGTTCGCAACGACTCTAGCTGTGGTAGCACCATTGGCCCGATGCTGTCTGCTGCTCTGGGTGCCCGCACTCTGGATCTGGGTAACCCGCAGCTGAGCATGCACAGCTGTCGTGAGACCGGCGGTACCTACGATGTCGACTATGCCATCCGTCTCTTCACCGGCTTCTTCCAGCACTACTCCGAGCTGTCGAAGACCATCTTCGTTGATTAAACATTCTCATGCAGATGAACTGAAATAGGTTGAATGAAATAGACATATCCGAACCATGATTTATTTACAAGTGCATATGGATTGTAGAGTAGATCAACGTTGAAAGAGCACAAAGTACATGCACGTGGTCGGCCCGAGATGATCCCGCGGCCTCCCTTAACTCCACAGCTTATCATCTCCCCGACCCCATTGATCTGGAGCCTGGACGACCATCTACCTCGTCCACGCCCCCATGACCCTCTATGACCGACGTCGATGCCTTTCGAGATGCGGAGTACATCGCTGACGTGTCTGGCATTGTCCTCGATGATGCAGAGCCAGGCTCGTCTGCGCGCGGCAGCAACAGCCGCGTGAGGAAACTCCAGTCCTCCGCAAAGATCGCCTTCATTGACCGACTGCTGCGCGATCTGGACATTCTGATTTATTGCGAGCTTTCAGCGTTGTATTACATGGAGTGAGTTGAACGCTTCCCCGCTATTCACCATCCCGCATCTGCCCACCCGCCCCGAAGGAGCTCACTAGCTAACACTTACCTCTGCCGTATAGCTGCTCTGTGGTTCTATTTGCCATTCGCGCCATAGTTGAACTGATATTCTTCACACCGAAAGCGCCGCCATTCGACCCAACGCGAAACCAACCCTTTGTCGGCGCCATCATAGCCAGCAACCTCTTTTGTATGACCTTCCACGCCTTCTTCATTCGACCCGAAGCCGGCGAAAGCACGCGCGGATACCTCCACGGCGGATTGTTCATCGACTTTATCGGACAAAAACCAGTGCCCGTATTGCGACTTCTCTTATTCGACCTATTGATCTTCCTAATTGATTTCGTCATGCTCGCCTTGATCATTGAGCGGGTCAAGACAGTAGGCATGACGCCCACACCATCCACTACTACAAATACAGAACCGGTATCTGAACAGCAGGACCACGACGCAGAGGAACGAGGCGTCGTACGAGAAACCGAGACCATGAGCCCAATTGACACGTCGGACGCATTACCAGTCGCTGAGATCGACGAGGATGTGAATAATGAACGAACGACACTCTTAGCTGATCCTGGCGAAAGCAGTTCTGCACAAACACCACGCGGAGGCCACCCATTAGACTCGTATTCGTCGGGCCAGGCCACGATCTTGGAAATGGGTTTCTTCAGTACGGTACGTGATCAATGGAAGTACTCGACGACACCGCGACGACCTACGACGGGCTACGTGCCCACGCCCGAGACAGCAACATTTCTTCGGCAACGATTTGGACTGCAAGTTGGGACCGATGGACGGATTGTTCGAGTGGACCGATGACCAATATCATCGCCATGTATTTTAGAGAACATTGGGATCTATACGCAGTACTCCGGTGCTGGTTACCGACATAATCATCTGGTCGTCCATCGCTGTTTGTAACCCCGCACGGATATAGTCATGATATTATTACAAACAACACTCAACCCAGGGACCTGGACCTAGACCTAATGGCCCTGTACATCTAAACAACAGGCGGTTTCCCCTCACCAACACCGCCATCCTCCTTTCCCTTGACCCTACGATCCAAAATCTCATCAATGAGACCAATTTCCAAGGCCTCCTGCGCACCCATGAAATAATCCCGCTCCATCAACTTCTCAATCTCGTCCAGCGACATCGTCTTCTTTCCCGTCAGATGGCGCTGATAGATCTGATTAAGCTGGTGGCGCACGCGCAGGATCTCTTTCGCGTGGATGGCGATGTCGGTCGCTTGCCCGAAGTATCCGCCCGAGGGCTGGTGGATCATGATCGAGGAATGGGGAAGACAGTAGCGTTTGCCGGGGTTGCCGCCGCAGAGGAGGAGGGAGCCCATTGAGGCAGCTTGGCCGACACAGATTGTGCTAACTGGGGAGGCGATGTAGGTCATTGTGTCGTAGATTGCGAGGCCTGGGGATAAGGTTAGATATTGGGCGGGGAGAGGTCGTGGGATAGGTACCTGCTGTTACAGAGCCGCCGGGAGAGTTGATGTAGAGGTGGATTGGTTTCTGGGGGTTGTCTGCTTCGAGAAAGAGGAGCTGGGCGACGATGGAGGCGGACATGGACTCGTCGACCTCGCCATTGAGGCAGATGATGCGCTCCTGTGGTGATGTTAGCTAGTGAGTTAGAGTGCAGAGATAATTTATGGTTCGAACCTTCAAGAGTCTTGAAAAGATATCATCTGTTCGTGGGCGCAAAGACAGTTGGTTAGTGAACTGTTCGGTAGAGGGGTCTCTTTAGAGTTATTGTGCAACATACAGGTGTGCCAGCCACCGCCCTATAGCTTGTCAGTACCGGTTTCAGATTGCGCGGGGCATTAGAGGTTGACATACCACTGTCTCCGTCACAAAGGGCGTTGGTGTCCATCCCCGCGGAGGCGTGCGGTCGAACGAGGGCGCACAGCTTGAGAAGGACCGCAAGATAGCTGTGGTAGGTCGGATGGTAGAGACTGATGAGCGGGCCAATGATCGCCCCAGGCGAGAGATAGATATTGTCGGACGCATCTTGAAGGCTGCGTGTGGTGAAGGACGGTGAGAGTTGCGGAGCGGAGCTATCGATAACTCTATCCGCGCTAAGATATGAGCCCTGGAGCCCGGCATGGCGTGTTCCCGATATCGAGTGATGATACATTCAATTGAGCTACTCTCCGGCCTCGGGATCTGAATTCATGACATTGAATTCTCAGTTCTGATTTTATTTTAACAAATTATGAAGAATATTTATCCAATTTGATATAAGACGGGGTCACAAGGCTAGGAGGCATTTACCAAGCGTTGGTTCACCACCTGAGTAACTTTGACCAAGACTAACAATTTTGGAAGGTAGACATATAGGCTCCGAACCTGACGACTAGCAAGAACTACATGGATCCGCGTAATACCTAGAATGCCAGAATGTAATTGATTAGCGCGGTAGAACTGTTTGGAGCTCTCCAAGACGACTCCGCAAATGGCAACATCTGATTGGCGCAACATCCGCGGCAACTTGGCAAAGAAAAGCGCGACTCCAACTTCTTGCATCTTCAACACAATGGAGTGCGCCAGCCACCGCTTATCGCTCGCAACATGGCGACTTCGCACCTTCCGCCAGCTCGTCGCTACATCTCATCAGCCGCACATCGCTCGCCGCTCCATTTCAACCTCTCCACGCCATGAAGCTCCAGAGACCAAAGCTGATACCGAGACCAATATTCCACCATCACAACGTCTACCTCAATCTCCACTAGTTACGAACATGCGCACTGGGCCTGAAAAGCAGCACAAAAGACTCCCAAACAAAGCAGACCTCGAGCCGCTGTCTAAGAACCCCTGGGCCGTCGCACTAGCGTCACCACCACGTATGTGCATTCTAACAGGCGCAAGAATCCCACGCGACATCCTAGGACAATGGGGCCTAGTGAAAAAGCCCAATGCAGACCTCAATTACATGCTACCCGTGGGCCTTCTACAGGACTCACTAGCACGCAAATCAACACCCGTGCAGACATCAGACCCAGATAAGGCAACAGGCGAAACCGAATCAAGCATCACACCAGTTCGAAATGAGAAACTAGGTCGCACGCTCTTCTTACGAATGGTTGATCGTCTTTCATTCCTGCGCATTATAACTCCGATTTTCGTCAGAAGCGCGGGGAAGAAACCGGCTATTACGAGGATGGTGCCGTATCGGTGGAAACATCCTCATGGACCGATTACTGCGAAGGAGGAGAAGAATATGACGTGGATGAAGGATATGCCGGAATATGTGCTTATGCATATGCGGCGCGATGTTGCGAGAAAGTTGGATGCTGCGAGAGAGAAGTGGGGGCTCGGGGGTGAGGACGGGGTGTGGAGCGCTCTTGATGTTCAGGAGATTTCGGATGCTGGGATAGTTGATGCGCTGGGGCGGTTGGGATCTATTGAGAGGGCGGAATGTGGTGCGGTAATTCTTCATCCTCGGGGGGAAGTTGAGAGTGGGAGTTTGAACGAGGTGGTGCACCCGCAGACGCAGAAGAAGATTCCCGTGTTTGATCTTTCGAAACTTTTGGGGGAGTCGGACTTGGAGAGACTTCGTCAGACTGAAGCTGCGCATTATCAGCAGGTGGCGCTGTTCTTTAGACCCGAGGATCCTTCGAGTATAAAAGCGATGCTGTCACTTTGGAAGCTCAAGCAGTTCCTTGTGGAAGATCCCGCTTTGAACATGTGAAAGTCAAACAGCGCTTTCTAGGATGAATAATCCGCGTGTATTTTAGGACCTTTTGTCTCAGATTGATGGTTTCTGTAAGAACACGAAGACCAATCTACTAATTTACAAATCAACTAATGTTAAAGCGTAATATCGTTAAATGCAACTCATGCTGCGGGAATTAACACCCACAGCCATCTAGATAATACTTATCCAAAGATGAGTGATGTGAATGCTTTTTTTGAAAAGATATGTCAAGGCGCTATGATGGAGTATTGTCCAGGGTAACTTTTATAGTAGACACGCTGATGGGAGAGGAACACCGTGTAAATGATCGAAACACAAGATGTGGAAGAAGAGACCAAAAAAGGATAATCGTGTTCGTTCCTTTCTTCATCTCCTGCTAGAGAGGGAGGGGTAAGGCAGAGATCAATTCGGTTCCCTATGATTCTCCTCCGTAGACGGGAACAGAGACCGAATGAAATCCTCACTGAGTGGTTCATATGGGAAGTACGAGTCGGCCATCTCAACGGGTCTTTGGAAGGAGGACATCAGGTCGGGAGTGGGGAGGTTGAAATAGCTTGTCCACAGGTCCGCTTCTGGGACCGGGCGCGAGCCAAAGATGGAAAGTTCTTCCTGGGGCAGTGTGAAGTAATCGCGGGAGGTTGGGGCGAGCGGAGGGTGAAAGGGGAGGTGGGAAGGTGTCTCAGAAGAGTCGGGTTCTGGCTGGTAGGGATGGGAAGGGATGTCGTCGACGGCGTATTTCATGCCACTGGCGAGTTTGCGGAAGCTGGAGTCGCAGAACTGCCATGCACGGCGGGAGCTGTGTTCGGGTATGGCGTAGAACCAGCGGATGCATTTCTTCGCTAGTCGGACGAATTTGTCTTCCTCTTCTGGCATGTGGACACTCCCGAATGACAGTTCGAGGAGAAGGACTATCGCAGCTTGCATCAATTGGCGCAGGATACACCACCAGGGACAGATGTCGTAGAGTTGGAGAACGTTCGGCTCATCGGGGATCAGGTCGATCATGCCGCATGCTGACTCTAAGGTCACGACTGCCATCGTATGGCTGAATGTAGGCTGGGTTCCATTTTGACGTGCATCTCGTCGGCAGAGGCACGGGCGGCCGAGAGTGATTCGTACACTGTAGTAGTGAAAGCCCAGAGCCAGTTTACAGCGCAGCTGGTCGTGGCTGTCATCGGTCTTCTTCAGTGTGAAGTCAAGTCCTGTAGGAAGACTTGACAGCCAGAAGTCTATTCGAGATCTCGCTTCATCGATTCGGCTTTCGATCTCCGACCATGGTAACATGACGCAGTTGGTTGAATAGATCTTGTTGATAACCTCTTGGGCGATGATCGTTAAGTCGCAGTTGTATAGATAGCAGAGTCCGAAGTTGACCGGTAGGCTTTTGATCCAAGATTGGTCCCTCGGTTGGGATCGGTCTCTGTGGATCGTTTGTCGGATAAGTGAGCTCGCCATCACATTGTTAATCTGTTCGTCTCTCAATGTTGGATCGTTAAGAATTTCAATCGCAGCCGGATCATCTTGGAGTTGATCCTCTTCGTATGGCAATGGCAACGGGGTCGCGTATCCTCCATCCAATGTAGAAATCGCCCGACCGGTCATGATGCCTAACATATGCTCAAAGGAGTATATGCACCACCATACCTTATACCGAGCTTCTTTAGAGATGTTGGGAGTCTTCAAACTGTTGTTTTTCAGGTTGATACCGAGGGTGATTGCAGAGCGCACTGCCAAAGCTGATATTCTCCAGGCCCTGTACAACTTATTAGGGCCGATCCACCACAGAAAGAGAAAGGTTCCGGTGCGAACCTGTTGATTTGGTCCGAGGCAAGGAGGTAAAACGCGATCAACCCTTCCACTTGAACTTGTTGGAGGTCGGGATGCGCGAACAAGACCTCAGCGTTCATACTGAGAAGCCTAGCACGGGCTAGGTACATCAAATGGTCGTTCGCTGGCCCTCGCCATGGTGAGTTCATGAGGTGGGCGTGCTTTGCAGCGATAGCGAAGATGACATTCAGAATGGCGAGCCATTTATCGCCAGGTCGGACGGAGTTAGATCGAGCGGAGTTGTCAAAAAAGGTCTGGTACTGTGCGCAGAATAGTGATTTGCTGATAATAGGGAAAAAAGGGTGAACGGTATTCAAGTAGTCGTCAAAGAGTCGGTCCGCTAGATGTCGAGGCGGCATGAAATACTTCTGTATTGGTTCGGGCACGGATATACTGAGGTCGTCGAGGTGATAGTTTAAGGCGCTGAGTGAGAACCTATCCTTTGTTTCGTCGTCTTCATCGCCTTCGGATTCTAAAGCACCACACTTGCCACGGGCACGCTGTTCAGCCTCTCTCTGCAGCCGTTGCATCCAAGTGATTTCCGAGCTTTTGCCCATATAGCCCGTTGCCCGAGTGTGTTCTGATCGGTTATGATCCTCGTCCACTCGGTCAATGGCGTCGAGCGACCCAATTGATGAGAGCGGAGACGTTTCATCTGGGTCCGCGTCGTTTTGAGGTGTAGAGAGATAGGAGCGCGCATGGTCAAAGGCACCCTCTCCCTTCAATTCATGCTTGCATGAGCGGGTTAGTCCTAGTACATTGCAGCGATGCATTCAACCAACCTTTTCTAGCAAAGTCTTGATCCAGTCCGCCGTGCGAGACTCTGCTGAGTTTCGCAAATCGTCCAGAAAATTTTCATAGTCTTGAACCTCAGCAGAGAGCCGGTCAACCTCCCTATTGGGCTCCAGTAGACCCGGTCAGTACATTTGTTTTCATTTCTAGAGCCTCGGTACCGGTAAAACCGTTCAAAAACACCTACCTTTTCATTTTCTCCCTCCACCCGACAGGATAATGACAAGTGACTCTCAATTCTCGACATTGTCGACAAACTGGGGTGTCACCACTGCATTTTGTTTTGCGCTGTCTACACGACTCACAAGCTCGCGGGACCCGCCGGTTGTAGCGTTGGGGGGTATTCCCCGGTGGCTGGCGGGGAATAGCAACTTTTGCGTTGGAGGCTTTGGAATTCGCAATATTTGCGTCCCCTAACGCAGGCGTAGAATTGGAAGTTTTCCCCCTCGAGGGGCCTCCGCGCCAGAAGGTCGCTTGGGAGTTGCAGGGGCACTATGCGGCCCCGATTGCTTTGCAGAATCATTCGCAGCGCCCTCGCCAGGCGCATTGTACGTTTTTCTTTGTTTTTTGCTGGTCATGAGAGCAGTTGTTGACACAGAGAGAATAACGACTAGACTACTAGGGTACAGAGCTATCATTGCAAAAGAGGTGCCATTTCCAGTGTGACACCTTTTGCTTCGGTTTGAGATGCCGCCAATGAAAGCCCCGTATTTGCAGAATGCAGACGGGTGGGTATCGGAGCCCTAAGATGTGAAGACAAAATAAAGCCATCAAATTACCCAATCTTGCGCGCCTCTCTCTCATCTCGCCCCTCTCTCCCGACCGGACCGACGTCAGTTTCCAGCTTCTAACAAGCGAAACGCTTCGGATTGGCCGGCAGCCTATCCGATCGTGCCTTTCTACCGGCTTTTTAAGGCTTGATCGGGGGAGACGTGAAGATGCAAAGGTGATCCGCAGGATGTACATGACACGAAGTAAGGGACCAGCACGGGCGTCGGCGTTGAATGTTGGGTTCTTAGGATTCGAAGAATCTCGTGTTTTTGCTCGCGTGAGGCTTTTTGCTCATCTCGGGGCCATAACTCCAGTTTTTCTCCACAATTGCCGCCCTCGGAATGGTAGGGTTGCTTCCCCTACTACACGGAGATTGTTGAATAGCAAAAAAAACCCTTAGGAGGCCTTCGCTGAGGTGAGCCCATCTGCATCAGCTTACCCCTTCGACCAACTACTGAATGCAATTGGGTGGTTCAATCGGCAGTCATCCTTCGGGATCTCGCCAGGATTTGTATCGCAGCATGTTCCCCCTCCTTTTCACCGTTCCGGATGTTTATCGCATCACACAGCTCCGCCAACGATCAATTATTCGTTGAGAGCGAATGATATTGTCGATACTCGAGTGTGATCAGTATTTGCTAGGTGGGACCTTGGAGATCGGGCGTTGGAGGGGCCTCGGGTCTTGTATAGCATTTGATCGGGAATGTTTGGTACCAAAGTGGAGCGGAAATGCACATCCGTTAAGTTGTGATTCGCAGTCCACAGTGAGTATACCCTTCCGAGCCCATTATTGGCGGGATGACAACCCAGGGTGTTCAGATTACCTTAGCATAACAGTCCCCAATTGGCGGAACCTGAACAAGTTTCCGATCGGCTCATGAAATCTCGGACCATCGTGAAAATCCATCGAACCGTGCTGTCGGGTTCAAATGATGAATGGAAAGTGGGACACGACGAAGGACAGTTAGCCTCTTGTCTCGTATCGAGCGGGATCCATGGAAGTGGTAGCGAAGCATTGCCCCTTCTTCAATGCTTCTATCACGTGGGAATGGGTAATAATTGCACGTCCATATCCGTTAACGTCGTGTCATCAATTCGACAGCATCATTGGGTGGCAGTCAATCCCAGAAGCGGGACGTTCATACACCGCCATTACAAAGAATGGGTCCGATCCAGTATACCGGGCCAAAGGTGGTTTTGTGAACCCGGTGCATACGTGGGAGTCCACAAATAGCTGAGACCAAGGTTCGTAGAAGCGAGAATGGTTGTACATGCCCAGGTGTCATCGAGGGTAGAGTGTTCATAAAGTGAAGCCATGGAGGTATCTGAGCAGAGAAGAATAATAAAAAAAGTTCGACAAAAGAGACCCGAGTGAAATCCTGGAAAACTTTAAACGCGAGAAAGAAACTTGGAAAGTTCTGATATGCAGAATTTCGACCTATACCTAGCCAAGCTCCGGGGAAACCTGCAGTGAGTGGCAAATCTTACGGCAAGTTCCGCTGTCATGGCTTTCCCCAAACCGCTTAGACCCGAATGACTCGGAACCTGCGATGTCGTCTTTGGTATTGTCTTTTCATGATTCAACGATGATACTCGATGTAATTTCTGCCTCAAGTCAATAATAGCAGGGCCATATTACCTACCTTGAAAAGCTCCTAGTCGACGGATGTGAAAGCTCCGACGATGTCTCAAATGTCAATCATATGTGTGAGTGGTATAACCAAGGACAGGCTTTCAACGTGATGCGGATAGTTTCAATATTCCTATTTTGGATCGTGACGCATACTCTGAAAGCTAGAATGTCAAAGCAATCTCCAATGTAGCTTGGATGTCTTGTTAGTCACCTATCCAAAGAGGCCGACGCCTCGGACTCTTGGCCAAAATCCGCGGAGTTTCGGGGTTTTGCCTATGGGTATCAACGGAATCATCCACGAGAACTATAAGAGAAAGACCCAGCACCAAAAAACACTACCATCATCACTACCCAATACTTCAAAAGATTCCTCGCTATACTCAAATTTCAGTCCTGCCGTTGAGCCACTCACATCCAACATCCCCGCACTATTTCTCCTTTAGTAACTATGGAGGAGTGGACTTTCAATACCAAACCAGACACGAAAATCTGCGCGTACATCACCAGAGGGAAAAGGAAAGGAACCGAATTATCGTCAGAGGCAAAAGCTCTTCTGATATTCCTTCATTACTGGGGCGGCAGCTCATCAACCTGGCACAAACTTACATCACCGGGCTCACGGCACTGCGTCAGCGAAGACTACCCAACCATCACATTCGATCTCCGAGGCTGGGGCAAGTCTACCGGACCAGTGAAAGATTACGAAGCCAATTATTCGGTTACCAAAATGGCACAAGATGTCATCTTCACTCTGGGTGAGCTTTCTAAGGACACCGAGAATAACAAGCTTTTGCAACACGGAATCATTCTCATCGGTCATTCAATGGGTGCAAAAGTCGCCCTCGCCACTCTAGCTGAGAGTATGGATGGCTGGCTGCTACCGAGGATCCGCGGTCTCATACTCATTGCACCGGCGCCGCCGAGTCCTGTGGATTTACCGCCCGAGATGAAGGCTCAGCAACAGGCTGCCTACGAGTCGGAAGATTCGGTTCGCGAGACCATAAATTACGTCCTTGCCAAGCCTGCGAATCTCACTGAATCTGATATCGATATGATTGTCCGTGACAGCTTGGCTGGAAATTCTTTCGCGAAGAAAGCTTGGCCTTCGTATGCTATGAAGGAGGATATTTCTGGCCTTGTGCAGAGGGCAATGGAAAGCGCCCCTTGGAAAGCCCGTGTGATTGTAGGCGAGGAAGATGTTGTGGAACCAATGGACAGAGTGCAATCTGAGGTGGTGTCATTCTTGGAGAACACTGGCATCCATGTCACCACGACTGTTGCAAAGGGCGCGAAGCACCTTTTACCGCTTGAAGCTCCTGAAATTATTGCGCAGGAGATTCGCCTATTCTAAGTTGTTCTTGGAAGACCATATGTGTGCACTAGCTTTGTGGAGAATTTGAATTTTAGATTTCTCTAAAACAATCTTGAGTCTATCGTCCGATCATATACATTAACCCTTCTCACAGACCCGACCCCAACAGATCCGACAGCTTATCCAAGTAAGCATGAGGACGCACGGCACCAGAGACGAATTCATCCTTAGAGCTTACACCGGTCAAAACACCAAGGGTACCGCCCAGCTTGCCCTCCAATCCAAAGCGGATATCAGTGTTGACACGGTCTCCGACCATGCATGCACGGCTACGATCGAACTTGAACTTGCCCTCGATGGCATCCATCATGGCTTGGCTTGGCTTTCCGAGTGAAGTAGGCTCCGAACCAAGCATCATGATCAGTGGTGCGCTCATAGATCCAGCGCCAGGGAACAACGTGCCCGAGTTCGGCAGCGTGGAGTCGATGTTTGTAGCGAGGAAGACTGCGCCACGCTTGACGTAGTGGAAGGCTAGTGCAAGCTTCAGGTAGTTCAGGTGGAAGTCCAGACCGACGAGGACAACGCCAACCTCTGGGTCCAGAATGGAAGAATCACCCTCCGCGATGAGCTTGTAGTCCTGGGGCTGGATGTCACGGCGGTATGCCGGGTCCGTACCACCGATGAAGGGGACATTCTCGGCGCGCAGCTCCTGCTCAATACCAGTCTCGCCGATCACAAATACCTTTTTCTTATCCTTTGGGAGGTCAAGAATGCGCGAAATGTATATTGAAGCGCTGTACGAAGACGAAAAGACCTCTTCCTGTGGGGATGTGAGCCACTGTGCTTGAGCTGTTCGGTCAGGCTGGTAGACTAACCACTGTGCTTGGGATTCCGAGACCTTGCAACTTCTTGCAGTAGTCTGCGCGAGACTTTGTGCTGTTGTTCGTCACGAATACCACTTGTTTGCCTGGGAAGAGTCAGCTTCCCTGTCTGTATGTCGGTGGACGGACGTAAAGCGCACCGTTCTTGCGTAATAACTCCAGCGTTTCGACTGTCCCGGGGAAGATGTGGTCGCCCGACCACAAGACACCTAAATCGCGTATTCCATCTTAGTACATCGTTATGAGAGCTTGCGAATCAAATGCGGAGGAGCGGCGAGAAGGCCGAGGTCAAGGAAGGGCGGGGGACAAACCGTCGCAGTCGAACAAGAAGACCTAGAGAATAGCCAGTCAGTCAATTGATGGTGTGAGGTTCCCGTAGACAGGGCAGACCTACGTCGAACTTGCTCAAGAATTCGCGGAGACCATCTTTGTTGCCAGTCAGATAGAGGGGCGCCGGGGTCGACGCGGGGTTCGGTTGGGCCATCTTAGCAGTGATGGAACTCATAGACCGCGCGAAAGAAGTGCAATATATACGAGGGATGCGAGAGTGTAAGAAGGAGGAATAGCGGGCTCTGAGCCAAGTCGTTAAACTGTACAACCCGAACAGACTCGCCGGTGACTCGCCGATCGCGTGGGGCTGTCCGCGGGGCTCCGATTATCTGCTCCCGGCTTTGCTCTCTACACAGTCCCCTCGGCATGACCAACATCAGCCAGATCTTCGCGCTCCATCCTCTTTCCTTTGAACTGCCGTTGTCCAATCTCCGCCAGACTAACTACTTCGGCTCGCAGTCGCTGCAGGTGCTGTGCAGCCTCGGCTTCTTCATCGCGTTCTTCCTGCGACATCTACGGGCCCCAGAAAAGGCAAAACAGGATAAATGCCCATACTGCACCCATGAATATGGCAACGACCTTACCATAGTTGAATCGCTTCTTCCCATCAGGCCCCAATGACAGAGGATACCGTTCGCCAGTGATGGATTGGATGGTCGCAGATGCAGAAGACCCCAAGTTGCCGAGCTGATAGGTCAACCCGACCACTAACGAACGGAGTGCTATAGGCGACAGCTCAAACAAATGAATAGACATCGGCCCCCAAAATCGCCGACAAAGAACTGCTCGAAGAAGGCACAGGCGGCCAACGACATGTTGCGTGGCAGGATAGACGCAGGGATAATAGCACCGCTGAGGATATATGACAGCAACACGTTCAACTGTCGACCGAGAAAAGTGCTTATGTATCCAATCGAACAACCTCAAATCAAAGCACCAATTTGACCCACGACAGTGATCACCGTGGTATCTGTCGCATCCATTCCAACCTGGTCTTTTAGGAAGGTCGGGTAGAAGTCCTGGCTACCATGAGAACAGGAATTAAAGCCTGCCATCGGCACGATCAGGTAGACGAAATGTACCCAGTTATCGCGGAGCGCGTGCTCTGCATCTCAGATAAAGACCCGGTAGCCCATTGAATGCTCATGGTTGTTCCCTGACTTGGCACACGCTTCACATTCTATCTTCTTAACCTGGAAATGGTTCGTCTCTGGTAGACACCAACGGAAAGCAATGATCAATACTGGTGGGCCCGCTTTAAACTAGAAGAGACTTCTCCAGCCGTGCAATGTAGTCGGCACAAGCACACGGCAGAATGCTGCCGCGAGCAGATAGCCTGTTGCGTATCTCATCTCGAACAACCTTGAAAGCAAACCGCGGGCTTCATATGGTAAATCTTCGAGAGCAGTTGCAGCAACAGGACCGAAAAGTCCTAGTTGATGTCAGTCTCTCCACAATTGTCGCTCGATTATGGAGTGCCCATCTCCCATAGCAATTCCGTATAAAGACCACACACCCAAAACCTGGGGAAGGGTATTACAGAAGGCAGAGCACAGCTCCACGATAATAAAAGAAATAAGTTGATTATCATCGGTCACTTCTGTCCATATCGATCTTCGAGCATGCCGAAGATGATGGCGCCGACAGATCGAAGCATAAGGGTGACCGTCATTCCCCGGACGGATGTTAATTTCTAAATATCCATTCTATGGGCTTGGCCGAGGGCATATCCAAGAAAGTTCCGAGTAAGATACATCAAAGGCTTCTAAAATATCGGTGATCGTCATTGAAACTGTGAAAAAGTTGAAGGAATCCCACGTCCACCCAAGGAAAGCCTGCGGCGAGCGTGAACCGTTGATGGGAAGTCAATTCTCGTAAAATAGCAACTGGGTTTCTCAATTTATTCTATTTCCCCATTATTAATACCCATGGCTAGGTGCTTCGTAATTAACTTACTTACCTTAGGAGGACTTGGACTTGATACACGTGTGGCGAAGTATCGAGCGATCTAGTTAGGCCCATTTCAACCCCGGCTATGCGCACTGCGCGCTCAATGGCCTTGGCAAGACGGATGGGATGCTATAGTTTCCTCTAGTAGCTTTTTCAACGAATGAACTCGCACAGTAAGGGCCTTCCCCATTTCAGAGTAGCACATTTTCCGGGGTGGGAGCTTAAGCAGAGAGTTTAAACCCCCCGCCAAGAGTTGCCAACTTCTTTTCGACTCCTCGCATTTCATACTAGTTCGGTGGAAATTACGTTTGAGTAGAGATTCGTATTTATATAGTCCTGATCATCATCTCATCTTGACAGACAAAGCCTCACAAAAGAATACATCAAAGAGGCTCTAATTCTATCGCTTCAACCTCAACAGTGATTCGGGAGATCTCTCCCAAGGACTTGAGGGAATCCAGAGCTTCCAGGAAGCGCTCATCTTGAGAACCTTCCGAGTATTCCTAGTCACAATCAATATCTCCAGTACACTATTTAGAAATCAATTATAGAATCAAGATATTACCTTAAGTCCCTGCCAGCCGATAATCCCGGCAACAACATAATTCTCCAGATTCAAGCTTTTGCCGTATGTGACGGTGGTTTGACGTTCGGCAACATGACCAGATAGTTTCTCCCACGCTTTTAACGAGGCGTCAATATGGTCGGGTTTCGAAATTCTGGCCTGAATAATCTCGACGATAGGCGATGAAGCTGCGTCTTTGGGTCCAACATTCGTGTCAAAGAGCTGTAGCGTCGGGGGTCCGTTCATCAAATGCTTTATTGACGACACAGCATCTTTGAGCTGATCCGATTTGACGAAGTGGTGGAAAGAGTCCATTTTGTCCCATTCTGTACAATAAAGATGTCAGATCTCCATAGGTGTTAGACGACATGTAGACTCACCAAAGATGACAATCTCCCTGAAATCTTCTCTCACGTCCTTTCCATTTTCGGTGACAACGAATCCTCGGAAACCTTGGAGAAACCCAGGATTTGGGTGTGTCAATTTCTTGCGGAATATTGGGGCAATCCGTGTGATCATTTCGACTGAAGCTTTATCATTCTTCAGTGCTGGAAAGAGGAACTCGGTGATGGCCATTGTGGAAGAAGCGTGTCTGTTGGGTTTGAAAGAAGAATTGTGCAACGAGCTATCTTTAGAGATGATTAGCGGCTTTTATACATGCAATAATATTTGAATACATGGCAATTTGTTAACCTTTCAATCTTTGATATGACTTGGTTGTAAAACCCCGCAGAGTGGAGTGAAGCTCGCAATGTGAATGGATGAATGGACAGCCTCCCGGGTTCCGTCATGGGGGCTGCGGACTTTCTGCGGGGTTTGAGTCATCATCCGATTCCTCCCTGCTCGCTTTCAATCCCAGTCTCCATATTTTCACTATGTCTGGCAGACCGTCCAATACACGCTCTAGGCAAAAGTCATGTGTCGCATGCGCCGGAGGGAAGCGGCGTTGCAACCGTCAAACTCCGCAGTGCTCACGATGTCTCGCCCACGGACTGAAATGCACCTATATCAGTCGACAACGGCAACAAACCCCTTCCAAGATACAATCAATTGATTCTACGTCTTCTTTAAGCTTTGATGATCTTCTAACCTTTCTCCCGCCTGATGACTCTTTATTCGATGATGTGGAAATCCCTACATCGTGGCTGACTCCGAGCCCTTATCTCACCGTCCCAACATTACTTCCGGCAGGTCTTTACCCAGAGTCCGCTGTCATTGACAGATGGTCCCTGAGTCAGGCGTTGCGGAGTATAACGGCCTTCCCGCGCATGTTTGCATGCTTTCGGAAAACACCATTTATTCATCATCGTTTGTACGATGCATATCTTCCAGATGCCATCCAAGATGCCTTTACGGTCTCTTCGGCTTATTGCAACAAGACAATAGAGACCGAGGATATGGTATTACGTATCCTGGAAAACAAAAGCACGAAGCTCGTGAACCAGGACCATCAATCCAGTACATTAGAGGAGCTTCTGGCAACGATGCAGGCACTACTTCTCTTTCACATCATCCAACTCTTTGACGGTGACATCCGGCAGCGCTCGCTAGCTGAACAGAACATGGATACACTCCGAGTCTTGACCATGCAATTGCAGGCCCGAGCGGCGGACCTAAACTCGACGCCAACGTGGCAAGAATGGATCTTTACAGAGAGTATCCGCAGAACAATTATTCTCTCATTATTCATTGATGGGTTATACTCAGCGCTAAAGATGGGCACTTGCTCGAATATTCGAGCGTTGAGTGTTCTGCCCTTTACATCTGGTGTTGCTCTGTGGGACTTGACAACGAGTGCTTCGTGGCTTTCCGAGTCGCGTGACTTGAGATCAAATATTGTGCTCTATGGGGATTTCTCAAGGGCTTTTGAGAACGGACGGGTCTCGGGTAAACTGGACACTTTTCAGAAATTGTTGCTAACGCCGTGTATGGGTGAGAGATATAGAGAAGTGCTGGAGATGGAGGCCTGAGATTCTTATATTTTCAGCTAGCTACATAAGTTTACCTGAAGTCAATTAACCTCAACTCATCAAGGGGCGGCCCACACCTGACAAAGGGTGATGGAAATATAATTGAGTTTGAACCATCTATTATTTGGCACGCTTGATATTACGTGAGCGCAGAGGTAGATGGAATATCATGATCATAGACTATGATTGAAATTCGCCTGTAGGGATGACAATTTGCCTTTCAGGGTTATGGATATGTGCTACCCAGCGAAAAGATAATACACTGGCATTTGCGACGTACATTAGGTGTCTGGCATAAAAATGAGACGGACAACCGACCATAGAAAAATGACACAATGCCAACAAAACCAGCGTGTAGTGGCAAGAGCCAATTTAGGCGAAATCCAATTATCTATGCTACACTAAATACATGAACCATGAACCCTCCAGAAAGAAATGGATATGACATATCAGAACAAAAGAAATGCTCGGGGGAGATTTATAACGTCAAAACAGCAATTTTTAAAGCACCAAACTGGCGGGCTCGTACTGCAGGAGAGTCTTCATGCGCTCCAGGAACTCCTTGGCGCGCGGCTCATCGGCCTTAGGCACAGTCAAGCTGAAGACGTTGCTGGCAACGCCGTCCGAAGGTGGCAGAGAAGCAGAAACGGTCTTCTTGGAGGGCTTGGCGCTAAGGAAGTCGATGAGATCCTCCTTCACCGGCTCGGGCGCAGCCTTGGCCTCGAAGGCGTTCAATTCGGGGATGTAATCGCCACGAGTTGTGTTGATAGGCTCGGCGCCGAGAAGCTCATCAAAGAGCTCGTCGACGGAGCGTGGGTTGGCCTTCGAGCGAGGCAGGTCGTCGTTGGCCAGGTCCGTGGCCACGGCCAAGAAGCGAGACAGAGGGACTGACACACCCGTCTTGCGCTCGATCTTGCTCTGCGCGCGCAACACCTCAGCCAGCGAGATGGAAATAGCCACCGAAGCCATAGCCGGCGGCTTGGCAACAACCGTCTCCGCGACCGGCGCGGGCTTAGGGGCCAGTGCAGCGGCGATCTTGATGTTGCTCAGGTCCAGGTAGGTGAGCTTGGCGAGGTTCGCGGCTTGCGAAGCCGGGTACTCGGCGGCAATCTCGCCAAGGTAGGCCAGGACATCACCCTTCAGCAGACGGCCCTTAGGACCTGAGGCCGGGATCTTGGATACTTCCGATTCGGGAACGTTCTTCTGGTGCAGGAGCTGGGCGACGGAGGGGTAAAGCGGATAGGCGGGGTTCTGGGTCTGGGGAGCGGAGGAAGATTGAAGGCCTTCAAAGAGAAAATAATCAGCATCAGTCTGTTTCCACCGTGAGACTTGGCTGGTTCGAGCAATTGCTCCGATAACGCGGGCATTTGCTGGAAGCTTCACCCTCGTCTCGGTCTCTCGGAAAACTCACGCTTGGAGATGTTGAAAACTTTGGGCTGGCGGCGGGCGAACATGGCCGGAACCTGGCGGATTGGGATCCTAGCTGCCATTTCTATGCTGTATGAAGTCTCCGGGGAGGTCGGAGTGAATGACGGAGGTGTTCAAGATATGTCGCAACTCTCCGGAGCTGGATTGTCGGCAGAGACGAAGACAATCGACCAAGTGCCCACCACCGCGTCGATCCGCGCTAGTTTGAATAGATTTGTCTGAGAGATAGGTCGCGGTGATGTATGAAAGAGAGCACCTTGATTGATGTTGAGGGTGTTGGGAGCTCACCGGCGGCCGGGACGGGAACATTTTTCTGCCGCAGCTGTTTTTGATCTGTCGGCGCTTTCCGAGGAGAACAGCGCGATTGCTCCGTGTTTTAGTAAGTTCTCTCCTTCTCATTGGGCTTTTTACAAGAAACATTGACTCCGATGGCCTTGCTGACTCCGTGAATAGACCTTGCATAATGTCCACCAGACCTGTTCTCCGCGCACTTTGGCCTCGGTGCCCTGGAGCTCCGGTGCGACCTGGCCTACAGACCCATTTTACCTCGCCATGGCGTTCTTTTGCTTCGAGTTCCCCTCGCTGTGCCGTCCCTAAGCAGCCAAAGCGTGCGCCTCGAACGGTCGCACAACCTTCCGCGCAACCCTCTGCGCAGCCCGCAGCACCTTCAATTCGCGCCACAGTCCCTTTCAAAGATGCTGGAAATCTTGGCAAACTGAATATTAAGGTGGCGAGACAGGGAGAAGTGCTATTGTTCAAGGCACCCAAAAAGCGTGTCTATATTCTGAGTGCATATGGCCTGTTCGCAGCCTGTATGGCATTTTCTGTGTATCATGCAGAAACCTATGTCGCAACCGAAGATCCTAGGCTGCGCCAGCCCGCTTGGGTGAAGGCCATGATGGGTGGTGTTTGCGTGATCATGAGTGGTCTCGGCGTTGTTGCATTGAGCAGGACACATAACATCGTCCGCAAAATGACGGCTTTCCACTCCCAACATACCTATCTCCGCTTCGAGGTCCGGCGCCTGGTGCCTTTTATGAAACCCCGCACGTTTGAAGTACTGCCATCGCAGGTTTCCTTCCGTCGTCGACTTGTCGTCTCACCACAGGGCGCCGCACGCTATGAAAGAGATAGCATGAAACTTGGACGAGCGGATCAACCACAGAAGAGCCTCTTGAAGGCACCTATCGAGGGGCTGAGCCGTGCTTGCTGGGGAGCTTTCATGTCCGTGCGTCAACTTTTCACCCAGGAAGACTTCATCCTTTTGGAGATTGATGGCAAAGGCATTTTCCGAGTGGACTCCAACGGCGTTTTGACGGAAGATTTCCTGGCCCTTGGCAACCCCGTGAAATACACCGATCATTGATGCGGCCGACATTAAATAGATGGCCTCCTCTGTTCCTATTTCTATCTATTAGGCCTTATCGGGATTGACATAGGGTTTCAGGCGCGTCAACAATGTATATATAGACTTTGTATCAATAATATGACAGCGCTGAGGAATCATGACACAAAAACTGGACTTGAGAACATCTTTACATCCTCATTGATTCACCTTGTCCAGAAAGAGAGATAACCAGTGATAGCTAAGGAGATATCTGGTCTACTATGGCTATAGTTGCCTTTATTCTGGGTTGAACATGTTACTCTACCCATTACTGCATATTGATTGAGAGATGTAGACATTGCTATCAATTCAGATCGATAAAAATACCAACAGTATTCTTGAAATATTCGGAAATAGTAAAGTGTAGATGGGCCGAGTCCCCAGTCTACTCCAATGTTGGGCCACGTGACGACCGGCGCGCGACGCGGTTCCCCATATCGCGCCCCTCCCACCATCTCTTTCTCCGACTAGCCTTCTCAATCCCCCGACTTGACACCCGTCCGTCTCATTGTTCGCTTGTTTTGAACGTGTTGCTTCCATAGGAAGCCGCTGCGTGACAAGATGGGCAAACTTATTCGACTGGAACTTTTCAGTATGGACCGTCGCAGACAGCGCGCCGCGCAGATTCGCTAACTTTGAACCCAGACTTCAAATCTTACAAGGGCCACCACACCCTCTTGTTTGGAGATGCTTACTTTACATCAATCATTGGCCCTAATGGGTCTGGCAAGTCGAATTCGTATGCGATCACCCAGTTCACTTTGGTTGACTCACTTTGTGTACTAACGGCTTACTAGCATGGATGCGATCTCCTTCGTTCTAGGAATTAAATCCTCACACCTGCGATCTACGAATCTTCGCGATCTTGTCTACCGTGGCCGTGTCTTACGCACTTCCAAAATCGATGTCGACGGAGAGCCTATCGCCAACGTGGAAGAGGGCCAAGAGGGAGATGACGAGGATGTGGATGCTTCACAAGATGCAGGCGGCAAGAACGATCCCAGATCCGCCTGGGTCATGGCAGTCTACGAAGATGACGCCGGTGAGGAGCAGCAATGGCGCCGATCCATTACCAGTCAAGGTGTTAGCGAGTATCGCATCAATAACCGAATTGTGACCGCCCAGCAATACAACGAGGCTTTGGAGGCAGAGAACATTCTAATTCGAGCGCGCAACTTCCTGGTATTCCAGGGAGACGTCGAGGCCATTGCTTCGCAGTCCCCCCGAGACCTCACCAAGTTGATTGAACAGATCTCTGGCAGTTTGGAGCACAAGGCCGACTATGAGAAATTGAAGGCCGAGGCCGAAGAAGCCGCCGAGCAACAAACCGTTCAACTCAACCGTCGCCGAGGCATCAACTCCGAGGTCAAGCAATACCAGGAGCAGAAGCGAGAGGCTGAGAGCTTCGCGAAGAAGGCCGAGGAACGTGACCAGGCTATCATCACCCACATCCTGTGGAAGCTCTTCCACTTCCAGCGCCTGATCGATGCATCTAGTGCCGACATTCAGAAGTACCAGGACGAGCTCAAGGAATACCGCCGAGGTGTTGAGAAGTATGAAAACAACGTCGAGGATGCCAAAAAGGAGCATGCTCGCGTTGGTCGGGATGTCGGGAAAGTTGAGAAGAACATTTTGAAAAAGGAGAAGGATATCGAGGAGCTCAACAACTCCTTGGTCCCCATTGATGAAAAGGTCGATATTACACAGAGAAAGGCTGAGCGCTACGGGACAAAGATCACTGAAATCGGCAAGGAGCGTTCGGCCCAATCTGATAACGCCAAGCAACTCGAAAAAAACCTGAAGCTTGTAGAGAAAGCTCAGGGCCAATGGGAAACCGAATGGAAGAACACCACCAGCAAGACGGGCGGCCAGCTGAGCGAAGCTGATCAGCTAGAGTACCACGAGCTCCGTGAGGAGGTCAGCAAGCGATCATCCGCTGATCAATTGACTCTTGACAACCTGCGCCGACAGCGAAAAACCGAGGCCGAAGCTGTAAACAGCTTGAAGGGCAAATTCGAATCCACCGAGTGGCAGCTGAAGAACCTCGAGTTTGATGCGTCAAATATGAACGAGCGCAAGTCGACTCTCAACGATACCATCAAGACAACTTCGAAGGATATTGACCGCAAGAAGAAGGAGCTGAATGCTTTGACATCCGAGCGTCTCAAGGTTTCGCAGATGCGAACAGAATGGGAGGAGAAGCTTCAGGTAGTCTTGCGAAAGCTGCTTGAGGCGGACGATGGAAAGAAGCAAACCGAAAGAGACATCCGGGCCAAAGAGCTGATTTCAACTCTGAAGCGCATATTCCCTGGTGTTAAGGGCCGTGTCAGCGACCTCTGCCGGCCCAAGCAGAGGAAGTATGCCGACGCAGTTAGCACTGTGCTAGGCCGCCACTTCGACGCGATCGTGGTGGACAATGAAAAGACCGCCAAGGAATGTATTCAGCATCTTCGAGACCAGCGCGCCGGCCAGGCCACCTTCATCCCGCTTGAGACAATCCAGGTCAAGGCTTTCAACTCCAGCCTGAAGGGTATGCACCGCGGAATGCGTCCTGCTATCGAGACTGTTGACTACGATGATTCTGTCGCGCGTGCTATTAGCTACGCCTGCGGAAACTCTATTGTCTGTGATGATCTGGCCACAGCCAAGCACCTGTGCTACGAGAGAAATGTCGACGCAAAGGCAGTCACCCTAGATGGTACCGTCATACACAAGGGCGGTCTTATGACCGGTGGTCGAGGCCCTCAACAAAATAACTCTAAGCGTTGGGAAGACTCCGAAGTGGAGAATCTTCACAAGCTCAAAGATAAAATCATGAGCGACCTTGCCAACCTCCCCAAGGCCCACCGCCGAGGCTCCGAAGAAGAGACTCTTCAAGGCGAGTTGGTCGGTCTCGAGCAACGATTGAACTATGCCCGCGACGAGCTGAAGGCCCTTGAAAGGAACATCGAGAGCAAGGGCAGCGAGCTCGACTTCGTTAAGCGCCAGTTGCAAGATCTGCGTCCCAAGTATACTGAAAGAAAGGAGACTCTGGATGAAATGGATGAGACCATTGAAGGCTCGCAAGCCTCAGTTAGCACCGTCGAAGATGAGATCTACCGCAAGTTCTGCAAGCGTCTCGGCTATGACAACATTCGCGAATACGAAGCACAGCAGGGCTCCTTACAGGAGGAGGCTGCACAGAAGAAGCTTGAGTTCACAACGCAGAAGAGTCGCATTGAGAACCAGCTCAGCTTCGAGAAGCAGCGCATTCAGGCAACAGATGACCGTATCAATGGCCTGAAGGCTCAATACGAGCGTGACATGAGTTTGATCGAGGAGCTCAAGAGTCAGCAAGAGGAAATCCGCAATCAACTGGATGAGTTTAGTGCCGAACTTGACCTTTTGCGTGAAAATCTCGAGAAGCAGAAGAAGATTTATGCGCAGTCAGCTGAGAATCTGGCCGACCAGCGACGAGAGCTCCAGAAGCGCAGCAAGCATGTTGAAGGTGCACTCAAGAATATCAACGGCCTCGAAGCCGAAATTCAACGGAATTCATCTAGCCGATACGCTCTTCTGCGACGATGCAAGCTCGAAGATATTGACGTTCCGTTGACGGATGACTCTAACTCCCTGGACAAGCTTCCTATCGATGACCTGGTGCAGGCCGCTGATCCAGATGCTATGGATGTTGACGAGGCTGATGGTTTGGATGATCAAGGCCCCGTGGTACAGGACTATGGCATTGAGGTTGACTTCGAATCACTGGGAGACTCTCTCAAGGAGTCGGCCGAAGAGAAGCTAGAAGAAGAGTTGCTCGAGAAGGTTCGCTCTCTCAGCAGCGAGCTTGACAAGATGGCACCAAATGCTCGAGCCATGGAGCGTCTGGAGACCGTTGAGAATAAGCTTCGCAGCACTGAGAAGGACTTTGAGGATGCTCGCCGACAAGCTCGCAGGGCCAAGGATGGTTTCGAGGAAGTGATGAAAAAGCGTTCTGATCTCTTCAACAAGGCCTTCACACATATCTCCGAACAAATTGGCCCCATCTACCGTGAGCTGACGCGAAGCACGAACTACCCGCTGGGTGGACAAGCGTAAGTTTTCATGATCCTACTAAAGAATTTGTCTGACAACATTACAGGTACCTGGATATTGAGGACTCTGATGAGCCTTACCTCGACGGTATCAAGTACCACGCCATGCCTCCACTGAAGCGATTCCGCGATATGGAGCACCTTTCTGGTGGTGAAAAGACCATGGCAGCGCTCGCCTTGCTATTTGCCATTCACTCTTACCAGCCATCACCCTTCTTCGTGCTCGACGAAGTCGACGCTGCCCTTGACAACACCAACGTGGCCCGTATCGCCAACTACATTCATGACCACGCCGCCCCTGGCATGCAGTTCATTGTCATCAGTTTGAAGACTGGACTATTCCAGAACAGCGAGGCTCTTGTCGGCATCTACCGTGACCAGGTGGAGAACAGTAGCAAATCCCTGACGCTGGACGTGAGTTTTCCTTCTAATTTCTTGATCCCCACAGATTGACTGACTTTACCATCCAGCTCCGCAAATATACCTGATCTCGACCCGAGACCACCTCCATGATGACTTTTGATATTTTTTAGCTTGTGTAAATTACTTCTTCGGCACTTCTTACACCGTTTATCTTCATCAATGGCCGAGGCCTTGTGCAACGGCGTGGCCAGCAGTTTCATCTGCGATTCTGTTAATTGATACCATTTCCTGTGGAATTAATTTATCTTTGATGTAACTCTTCCCGTCTCTCAGTAAAGTTTATCTAGCGCACTTGAGTTGATGGTTGTGAATGGTATTGTGCATGTTTTACAGCCTGGCCCTGGGTATTATTTTGATATTTAGCGGCCGTGGCTTTGCATCTCGAGAGTATGTATTTAGGGACTGGTTTGATTGGACCGTGGATATGTTAGGAAGAAATAAGAGTATCTCAATTACAAGATCTTTGGCAAAAATAAAGGTCTAGGTCAAGACGGACTAATGGAGTAAACCTGTTGGAATGTTTTGGCCTCTTAGAATCATCCCTTTGGTCAACGGCACAAACATTCAATAGCCGACCCCTGAGCAAAACACCTGCAAAGATCGTCTCTCCGCAACCCCAGATGTAACCCCCGCATCGTGAACCCTGAGACACGCACTAAATACGGCCCTCGGATAATGGCTACGGCTAATTTCGTTCCAATTACCTGCGTCATCATCGTCACGTCCCACTTTCCAAGGCCCTTGCGCCACAGGACGGCATTTGAAAGCTTGTAGTATTCAAGCCCAATAGCCTACTTTAGCGCGGGTCCTGGATATTTAGGGCGTCGATTGCACAAGTGGTGGATTTAATTGATTTATTAAATGAGTTTCACTTGCGTGTTACCATTTTCAGTCATGTTCGTCCCGTTGCTTCTCAGCGCCGCCGTAGCGGCAGCTGTACCGACAGTCATTGAGCGCGACAGCTCGCCAGTTTCGGTGAACCAAGATGCTCCTGATACCGCTGGCGCTGCTATTCTGCATCCATTTGTCTCGTTCTCGATCGAGCTTGCGTTCTTCCCAGACTATGCAGGTATGTACCACAACTGGTGAAAAAGAAATTATTCTAATGTCACGAAAGGTAACTTGTCCAAGCCCAATAAATTCTCAAACCAGCTGTTGGACAATCTTGGGGATCTTCAAGGCGTCAAGCCGTACCTTCGTGTCGGAGGTAATACCCAGTAAGAGAACTCTATATATAATACTTCAGCGCGCTGAAACATCTGTACAGAGATCTCGCCCTCTACGATCCAACACTGAAGACTTCGGTCAATGGAACTGTTGTGCCGACTGTTTCCGAAGACTACCCGTATATTTTGTATATAGGACCCTCCTTCTTCGAGTCATACTCTACCCTCCCTGGAACCAAATTCAGCCATGGCTTCAATATGGGCAAGAACACTACCGCAGCGAAGGAATCGCTTCTTGCCACGGTCCCGCTGGCTTGCAAGGCTCTCAAGGATGGCAATCTGATGCATTGGGAATTTGGCAACGAGCCTGATCTGTTTAGTACGACCACTCCGTACCCCGTGCGACCCGCTGATTGGTCAGAACAAGACTATGTCGACAATTGGCTGTCCGGGACTGAGATGATCAAGCGGAAGATGGCAAAGAGCTGTCCGGGAATGGCTTTGGATGATATATACAAGTTCATTGCGCCCTCCTTTGCGGGTATTGGCAATTCATTGGATCCGGTCAAGACATGGGAAGACGGACTCGATTCGGACAAGGATATTGCTCTGAACTCGGTCCACAAGTGAGTGAACACAGGGCGATATGTATATATACATATATATTGCAACACTGCTAATGACTATTGCTGTAGCTACATGGGCGGTGCAGATCAACCAGGCGTCACGCTCCAAAGGACGCTGATGAACCACACCGCAGTCGTCAACGTTGTCGCAAAGCATGCAAACCTGTCGCATGTTCTAAGCGAAAAGGGTCTAACCAGGGAGATACCCTATATCTTAGGCGAAATGAACTCACTCTACCACCAAGGCAAGCCGGGACTCTCCAACTCGTTCGGCGCAGCACTCTGGGGCGTGGACTTTAATCTCTACTGCGCCTCGCAAAGTATCCGTCGGACTCACATGCACCAGGGAACAGACTATCGATACGCGTCGTGGCAACCCGTTCAAACCAGCAAAACAACGATCGGCACTAAGGCACCATACTACGGCAATATCATGGTGGCCGCCATGCTGCGCGGCGAGACCGACTCCACCGTCCAGGTCGTCAATCTGCCCATGCCAAGCGAGACCGATGCCGCTTACGCAGCGTATGTGGACGGAAAATTGACCCGCATTGCGGTGATCAACATGCAAGAGTTCAACTACACCGCGGCGGAGTCCCGCCCCTCGGCCAAATATTCCTTCCACCTGCCCGACGTCCCGGCCGCATCCTTATCGCTGCAGCGGTTGATGGCAAATGGAAGCGACGCCATCACTGGTATCTCTTGGGATGGTTGGTCATATAATTACGAGTTGAAAGGGGGTGCGCCCGTGCGAATGCGTAATGTGACGATTGGTGAGACGGTGTCGGTGGGTTCAAAGGGCCAGGTAGAACTGGGCCTGCCCCTTTCTAGTGCTGCTATCTTGAACTTCATATAGATAGATTGGATCTGTATCAATCGGGTTCGTCTAGACCTTGTTAGGCGAAGCTTAAATTGAGATCTAAATTGAGATCTTCCGAGTCAGTTAAGATCCACCCACTAGACGGCTATATATGGCATCTTACTTGGAGACGGATTAATGCATTGGTAACAACCTCGAAAAAAAAGGCACCAGGTGTTCATCGCAGTCTATTCCCTAATAGAGGGAACTATGGAGAAAATCGTGGCGTGGAGGGATCAACACGAGCCTTGGCAAACAATGGTTCTTTCAACTATGGAGATGATGAATGATAAACAATAGACGCATCTCTTGCGGGGCGTACTTCTAATATGTTCGCATTTTTTCCAAAATCATGCACCAATTCCAAGTTTCCAAGCACCAATGCCACCCTATGGGCCCGCAGAGCCGCCAGCCGCGACCATCAGTCACCGCCTATCAGCTCCAAACAGGGAACAGAGAAGCCCCTAGAGCTCGAAGAGATCCAGATCAAAGCCCAATGCAAGTCCCTGCACGGATAACCTGGTACCAGGACCCGGCTTCCTGCACTCGGCCCACAATGGAAACCCGTGTGCATGTAGAGCCCAGTCTTGCCATAGTCCCTCCATTCGGGTGGTGAGAAATGTCAGCCCTAATCCCAGCTATCCCAGCCCGGGTATCCGCACCCCGAACCGAGGTCAAGTACGAAGGCACCAGCGTTTGGGCCCATCTAGCCTCGTAGTACAGCGGCTGCTTCTTGCCCCCCCTCCGCCAACACGCAAGGGACGCATAGAGGGACGTGAAAGAGTTGAATTTGCCCTTGGGCCAATGCGGCTCTGGCTCTGGCTCTGGCTCTGGCTCTGGCTCTGGCTTGCCGGGCTTGGGATTGGAGCTGTCCAGTCTGGCATGGTATTGACTTCGCCAAGGACGTGGCGCGCTTGGACAAGTCGAGGGCCTATTTCTCTAGCTAAGTTTGCATGTTTGAGGGGTTCGTATCTCCGTAATCGAGGTCCCATGGCCATCTAAACGGGCTTAAGGTATCTGTGCATGCCTATGCCTATGTCTATGACTACTGCCGTGCTCCTGTTGAGATGCTTTTATTATTATTATTATTATTATTATTATTATTATTATTATTATTATTAATTTTGTTATCCATTTTCCATTATCCATTATTATTTAATTTTTCCCATCACCGGCCCCCTCAGTGGAGAATGTACATCGGCTTTTGGCCAAAGGGAAGCGTCTGGTTAATTTATCCGCAAATGCTGTGGCGTCAGCCCAATTGGCAATAGTTGGTAGAAAAAGATATGTGGAGGAAGGCATGGTTATAGTAGAGCCCTGGAGTGCCCAGAGGTCCGGTGGCACAAATCTTCGTAACACGAGTGGAGGGGACAAATGTACGAATGCTAGATTTGAACCTGATTTGCGTATCCGTGAGACTCCGCCGAAAGGGGCCTGACTGTCGATCCGGGACGAGGGAATCGTTCCTAATGGGCCGTCTGGACAAAAGAGTTTCGACATTATCGATACGGCCGTGGCCGTTGCGTTTCTTTCGGATATAGCTCGGTCTTGCAATTTTCTCGAGAATAGGCTGGGGCAGCCAGATCCTGGTTTCGACGAAGTACTTTGTCGAAAAAAAAAAAGAATAGGACTAGAAAAGTGGATTGCGCGGCGCGTCCCGTTTCCGAATCTTCAAATCCCGAAACAATGGAAGCATCGATCGTCTATTTAGCGTAGGCCAGGGCAATCCCGTGACCGCGACCTTCCAGAAATCCATGATTCCACTGTGCTTTCTTGTGCTCCATGGCTTGAACCTGGGAACTTTTCCTGCCAATTGGTAGCCTTGACTGAACCCGCCGTTTGGGCCTCCTGGGCCTTTTGGGCTGAGAATGAGATTAGATCCGTGCACCGGTGGCCTGGACCGTAACCGTAAATGTGAAGTCTGAGCTTTCTGCATGGCGCTGGAAAGGGTCGAGATATCGCGTCTTTCTCCAGATAAAGTCAACCCCGGTCAACCCGTTTTCAATTGCATTCGACGATGACCTCATAGGCGTAACCCGAGTGTGCGGACGCAAAAGTGCGTGACTGAGCGTAGATCGGCGATCGGGACTGCTTGATTCGCAAGACTGTACTTTCTCCGCTCTATTGGCTGATCTCTCGATCTGATACATCAACTTGGCTTCGGTCAAACCCCTGAGAAGTCGACTTGTACGGAACTCTACGCCCTCTGTGGCTAGTGCCAGCGGATCCTAACAGCTTGAAGATCCCGACCCCATTATTTGATCAAGGAATTTGGGGATAGGCTCGGATTAGACGCGTTTCAGTGATGACACAGGGGAACCGTAGCCCTACTCGTATAATCTGTCAGTGCGCGAGGACTAGAACCTAGAATCTAGAGCCTAGGGCCTACTCGAGGAAATGCACTGGCGATCTGATCGCACAGATGCAGGCCCAAAGAATCGCAGCTTATTGCCACCGGCTCAGCTCCGTCGATATTCCTTTTTCCTTGCATAACCAGCGCCCGCCGATTCGCATCGTCAAGGAACCATCGTGTGGAGCCGTGGAGGGTACTTTGGAGATGTCCGGATGACTCTCGCATACATAATCTATTCGCGCTCCCGGCCGATGGACCCGGACTCGATCTACATCGGGTAGATGCGTTTTGATCCCAGTCTCCCCTGTCCCGAACTTTCGATCGGAGCAGATATATCAGTTCTATTTATTCTAGGGGTCACTGCCCCACGTATTTGACCCAGAGTACCTTCCACCTAGGCACGCTTCGTCGGTCACGCGTGTACAAGTTCTTGACTTCTCCCGAGGTCGCTCGAATATCACATCGCACCTCAAGACCTTGATTGTACCCTGATACGATAACATGGACATGAGTCGCCCTCTTCTCAGCTCGAGTGAGGGACACGAACGAAGACATTCCGACTCCGCGGTGCCACAGGCCAGCCTGGTAACTATCATGTTATACAATGTCTGTGATGGTTCACTGACAGCCTGCTGAAGGAAACCCCGAGTCCAAATGCCGCCATTCAACACTCCCACTTCGTCATTATGTACATTGACGACGATGGAAAGCTTCAGATCCGCACATCAGATTCAATTGCGGGCTGCGGCGGCGCTATCTTCACACCAGAAGTGACTGACCGCTTCATGGAGATGACAGCCCCGAACCCTCAATCAAATATGCAGTTTGCTCGTGAGTGCCAAACTCGATCAACGTGATGTTGAACACAACCAACGCAATTTTGTGAGCAGAATCTAGCCAAACGTCTTCATCATGGGGCGTGCAACCCTCACCGGAATGGTTCAACACCGGCCAAACCCGACCAGCCGAAATGATTCCGTGCGAATGGCAATCCAACCAAAGCCGACGAAAGCGACGCGACATGAAGCGAACAGGAATGGTTCGTCCGCCCCCCAAAGCCGCCTCGCCTCCTCCTACTCCGTCACCCGGACGCACTATTCTTCGAGTCGGGAATCAAGATCTGTTGCGACGATACTATGAAAAGGCTTTTGAGGATTTCCAACAACTGAACTGTCGCGCCATTGCCAAGTCGTACATCAAGCTTGTTGAGCCTCGGAAACAGGTACATTTCCCATACAACGGACGCAAAGTGATTGCAGGCGTATCGCAACGGGTTGATCCTGAGATGACCAAACCTGGATGGTGGCCTGCCGGTGTCTTGCATCGAGAACCAGACCATCTTCTTAAGCGAGGTAAGTCACGATACTTAGGCGATAAGGTCTCCGAACTAACTAAAGAGAAGACCGACTACGACTGCTCGTTCACATCTTGTGCGAAATGAAAGACAGCCACGGCGTGACAGCGGACAAGCTGCGTGAAGCCGGTCAGGATGTGCGGCGTCAGATCAGCCCCCCAACCGACTGCAGGTCCTCGATGAGATATATTTTGTGCGTCAAATGGAAGAGCGTTTCCTAAATGGGGAAATTGGTAAGTCATTCCACACTGACTGGAAAATACGAAGCTAATCAACAACAGACGCGAACACATTGGTCCAAGTGACCCAAACCCATCTTCCCGACGTGATCTACCAAGAGGACGAGCTGTCTTCCGGAGTCCACGCCGCACCCGCCATGTCTCTTGATGACGAGGACGACAACGACAACGACCAACTCTCAGGTCAAGACTCCCAGCTTGACGAAGCCGACTCATACCCCGTTGGCAACCAAATGCCCCCTTCTCCCTCGCCCTCTACAAGCCAATCCAGCGGACCACACAGCCCGACTGCTAGCTTCAGCTCATATCCAATGGGTATGGCACCACAAATGATGCCGCAGGGGTCCCCAACCGCTCACAAATCAATGGCCGCCGACCAGGGTTACATGTCCGGCTATTACGGCCAACAGTTCATGCCTACCGAGAAGCCTCCTGCCTTCTGGTCTGGCATGTCTCATGTACCACACGTGCCACATTTCGGATACTAATACTTGGGTTTCTGGGGTTGGGAGTTGAGATATTGGAGTTCATTTTCCGCTCTGGTTTGAAGGGCACGACTCACGAACACGAAATTAAGTCTTTTTCCGGGGGCGGCTCAAGTGATTGTATTTTTGGAGCGAATTGTATATCGTTGTTCGATTTTTTATTATCTTGGGAAATATGAAGCGACAGTTTTCAAGATTTTGGAAGTCGGAATCATTCGTATATTAGATGGGCTATAGAGTTCCATGGTAAGATCATCAATGGCATTGTTCTTACTACCTGAGTCAGTCTAACTAAGACCCTCGAAATATCCAAGGGAAATTATCCTTCATGCATGGAATAATCGAACCTGGGACGAATGCCCGGACACCACTTACAACGCTCGGCTGCCTTCCGTCTTTTGTCGGAACTCGGCGTTGGCTCAGCACCGAGGAAGTAAGGGATAGAAGCACTGCCCATCTAATGAAAAACAGGAAAATGGCCTCCTGAAATTTTAGATTAGCAGTAATTAATCAATCAATTGACAGTATCACATCGTAACGGATTGAATAAGGCATCCACGCAGTCCCAGTGGCATTCTTCCACATGGGCGAGTTTCTGCTTGCTTCACCTGAGCAACCAATGTATTTGCCAAAAGCTCATTATGTTAAGCGGGACGTAGGAAAAGAGTCAATTGGGTAGCTCTGCAATTCTATGAAGCCCTGGGCTCGAACAACTATAAAGATGAAGTATCCCATCCTCACAGGATTGGTCAAGATCACACCAAAGCGGCCCATGTCACCCTAGAGAAGAGAAATATGGAGATCGTCGAGGACTCAGATGAGCACCATGCCTATTTTCTTGCGGGATGACCGGGATGCCTTGATTTTATAGCAAAACGCGTTTCTGTTTCACGGAGAATTGACAGCACCTAGAAAAGACGGGTCCGTCGCGCGGAACCCCACACCCCAGAGTGCATCATTTTAGCACAAAAGCACGGAAGCCAAGGCCAGTGACAGTGGACCTGAGCTGTCGTAATCGGCCTCGCCAGGAGTAGAGTCCTAGTAAGCTGAGGCGTTCCGAGCGAGGCCCCACTCTCGCTCGGATTTTAGTAGCATCGGATTGGACTGAGTGAAGCTATGAAGTGGAGCGGCTCTAGATTACTCCGTGAGCTTGACTCGCTTCCTATCGATCTTCTAGGCGGGGAGCTTTAAGTACAACCCCTCCTTCTTTTTTGTCCGTGGGGCTTCTTTATATTCCGTTGTCAATTCCACAGGAAAGGATACGCGAATCTGAACATGGGCAGCGATTCTAACGCGACGGCCCAACGGCCTAACTTTCTGTTTATACTGGCTGACGATCTGGTACGTTATTCGATCGCAATCTAGAGGACCAATCTAAAGCTATCTAATAGGGGTTTTCAGATGTCGGCTGCTATGGAAGCGAAATTAAAACGCCCCACATTGACCGATTGGCGTCTGAGGGAATTCGTATGCTCAACCACCATGCCGCTGCCGCTTGCTCGCCCACGCGCGCAATGCTTCTCAGCGGAACCGATGCTCATCTCGGTGGACTCGGGTGCCTCATTGAGCACAAACACAGTCAAGTAGGCTCCAAGCGATGGGGTGGCAAGGCTGGGTATGAAGGGTATCTCAATCAAGACGTGGCAACGCTTCCTGAGCTTTTGGGTGACAATGGATATTTCACTGCCATGTCTGGAAAGGTGTGTGTTGTTGCTAATGGTCCCATTTCTTGGGCCATGTGAGCTTTTCGTGAAACCAGAAGCTGATGGAAACAGTGGCACCTGGGACTTCGGGCAAGTCAAGGCCCGTGGGAGCGTGGGTTCCAGCAAGCCTTTGCTATGCTTCCCGGATGCTGTAACCACTACGGCTGGGAGCCCGTTCAGGAGCGATTCCCTATGGGAGGCTCTCCTGTTCATGTGGAGAACGGAAGCAAAGTTGATATGTAAGTTCTCATTGCAGGGTCTTTTTACATTCCCATTTTGACGAAGGTTGTTATACAGTCAACCCAATAAGACGGAGGACCCCAAGGGCTTTTACTCGACGGAATACTACACTGACCAACTAATTCGGTACTTCGATGGGAGATCGGAGGATGACAAGTCCAAGCCATTCTTTGCATTCTTGCCTTACACCGCACCTCACTGGCCTCTGCAGTGTTCGAAGGAAAAGCGCGACAAATACAAGGGCGTCTATGACGAAGGACCGTACGCCTTGCGAGAGCGCCGTCTCGCAAAACTTGTCGAGATGGGAATTGTGGACAAATCTGTTATTCCTCATAATGTCGAGACCACCACAGTGAATTCTGGTGAGTGGGCGGACCTTACGCCCGAGGGAAAGAAGCTGTCCAGTCGGGCGATGGAGACGTACGCGGGAATGGTGGACACGATGGACGAGAATATTGGCAAGGTGATCGAATACTTGAAGAAGACTGGAGAGTACGATAATACCTTGGTTGTCTTCATGAGTGATAATGGAGCCGAGGGAGCTTCGTGAGTACATTACTTTCCGGTGTCAATGTACGGTTTACTGACCAAAGGGTGCGACTTTACAGACTGGAGGCTATTCGTGAGTTTCCATAACATCACGCCCATTACAGAGTAGCAGTACTAACTGAATAATCTACAGCCGTCATGGGAAATAGGATCGTGAATGCCATTCACGAATACTACGACAACTCCTATGAAAACCTTGGATCCTTTGACTCCTTCAGCTGGTACGTTGCTCATGCTCTGCAGGAATCGGATGACAAACGCTAATCCCTCCGCGTCAGGCTCGGACCGCTGTGGGCGCAGGCCTCCACTGCCCCCTCAAGACTATTCAAATCCTACCCGTCTCAAGGAGGTATCCTTGTCCCTTGCGTCATAAAGCCACCCACCAACACTTTCCTGTCATCTTACACGGCGGGGTCGTTCAACCGCTCTTTCTCAACCGTTATGGACTTTTTGCCTACCTTCCTTGACCTGGCAGGTGCCCCCGCTCCCCCTGCTTTAGAAACGAACCCTTCAGTTCGCAAAATGGCAACATTCCGAGGCAAGGAGGTCCACGCCATACGGGGTAAATCATGGGTACCGCTGTTTACCCAAGGAAAGAAGGTCGAGGAAGAGGAAATGTGGCACATCCATTCCTCGTCCGAGCCCGTTGGCTGGGAGCTTGTCGCGCGGGCTGCTATGAGGAAAGGGGATTGGAAGATTGTGCACATTGCGAAAGCTAACGGAGGTGTCGGGGTGAACGATGAAGGGTGGGAACTGTTCAATGTTGTCGCAGACCCTGGTGAGACCAAGGACCTGGCGCAGGAGCACCCGGATAAGCTGGCAGAATTGATCGCCTGTTGGGATGAATACGTGGTCGAATGTGGAATTGTCTGGGGAGAATCCGCTGTAGCACCGGGAGCGAGCCGCGAGGATGCGCCGGAGCTCTGGCAGGATGAGACGGAGCTGCAAAGCTCATGGATGGGTGCTGGTCAGGGGAGAATGCCCCGCCTATTGCCGGTGAGTCAGTGATCCATAGAACCTAGATATCCTAAATACATGTATCATCTTCTATATATTAGCAGGTGTAGCGACATTGAATCTCATATTCCTATTATCGTTGTTCCATGTCTCAACGAAGAGGTAGAAGCCTCAAGGTGTTCTACCGGGTAAGAAGGTGGGTCAAGGCCATCGGCCGAGCCGAAGACACCATTCTACTTCAAGCGAAGGACATTACCCCGAGCGAACTTTGAAACAGCACAAAAGAAGCTTCATTTGATTTCTATTGTCTAATTGCTGGAGAATCAATCACGACATCTGTGCGCACCTTTGCGAATTGATTATTTGATATTCACATGGGCCTACGTTGTTATAGAGAGTATGGACAGATCAATTGAACTAAAGTACACGATCTACCGCGTTCATCATTCATTCGAGCTTAACAACATATTTGGCCGTCATCTGGAATCAATCAGCTTCGTATCTCCATGTTTTGGGTTGAGGCTGGAGCAACTCACTTCGCCCGTGGCTATACGAGGCATCAAGCTCGGAACTTCTTCCAAACCAATAACTTCGACATCTGGTACCACCACGCCTCGCTGCACGAACTGCAAAGCCTGTCCAATATCCTGTTTGGATCCGACCATGGAGCCGATTACTCTAATTCCATTATCGATGAACTGCAAGGGGTGGAATTGGATTTTGTCTGGTGGAGTCGGGATGCCAACGCACACGAGGGTACCGAGCGGAGCAAGCATGTCGAAGGCATCCTGATAGGCTTTGCTTGACCCAGCTGCAACAATAACAGCTGCAGCACCTTGACCATCAGTAGTGTCCTTTACGGCCTGGGCAATTTTTGCGTGCTTGAAAACATCCAGATACGCCTCTGCATGCTGACGTAGACAATGGTCCCCCTTCTTATTACCAGCGTCAATAGCAAGCACCCGGTAGCCCATCGCACGAGCATATTGAATACACATTGCACCAACTCCACCGCCAGCACCAGAGATGACAACCCATTGACCTGGAACAGCGCCACAAATTTTAAGTGCCCTGTACGCAGTTACACCGGCACACATAATGGGGGCGAGCTGCTCATCAGAAAGGCCCTCGGGCAAGCGCATCATACTCCGGAATGGAACAACAGTATACTGCGCGAGCGTACCATCAACAGCTCTTCCAGAATGAACTTGCTTCACACATCGCATTTCTTCTCCGTGTAGACACATCGCGCAGTCTCCACAACTATCTCGGACCCATGATACACCGACCCGGTCACCGATTTGGACAGACTTTTCGTCGACGCTGATACCTGTCTTCACGACTCGACCGATTCCCTCGTGTCCGAGGATCTGGCAACATGGACCGAGTTTTCCTGATGCGAGAGCGATATCGGTTCCGCAGATACCGGTCACTGATAGTTTTACCAAGAGTTCTGTTGGGCCTAGCTTTGGTAAAGGAAGAAACTTGATTTCAAACCTTGGCTCATCACCTTGCTAGAATAATATTAGCTTGTTTGTAGCAAGATGCGGGTTATCTTACCTGGACAACAGCGGCCTTTTGAAGTTCAGGGGTCGCCATGTAAATGATTGAGAGGCACCGTGGGAACGACTTCCGTGGCGAGTCTGAGACTCTAATGGGAATCAAGTGAAGTTCAATGACTATCAAACGGTCAACAAGACGAAATCACTTGCGCACCGTTTTCTTCCGTCTACAATGAAGCTTTCGTGATCTTTCTAAGGTTATTGTGGAGGTATTATTCCGCTCCGGAGCCCCACCGTGTGTAAATACCCCGCCAGGGAGTTAAAATGATCTTTGATTTGTTTTGATTGGAACATGTTCGGCCATTTAGGTCGTTATGAATTGAATTAGTTTGTCACACCTCGTAGCACACTTTAGTGCTCGCAAAGACTGAATGATCCTTGCTCGAAAGCAGAATTGCGTTTCTCGTCACTGAGTCCGCGCTCCTTCATGAGCTCCAGTCTGTAGGACTTGGCCTCCTCCATGGTCATTGTTGGGTTGACAGCTTCTTCTGAAACACTCCGTAGTTCTGCTGAAATGTTCTGGGGTGCCTTTTTGTTTCGTCTCCAGTCCGCTCTCTGCGGAGGAACGTTAGCGGAAGAAATAATTCGTGTATGAGGATCCACAAGGAACAGCGCAAGGATCTTCCGATGGCCGGGCTTAGAATGATCGTCCAGGGAGAACGAAGAAACTTGATGCTGAAGAGTGTTTGGAAACGTAATAAGACGGCCTTCCTTAGAAGCCACGCTGCCAAGTGTTTGCGTGATTGAGCCATCATTATATCCATCAATGTCTTCAGGGAACTTATAGACCTGTTGGAGGAAGATGTGGTGACCTTGCTCGTACATGAGATCTTCAAAGTCATCTAATGCACGATGGCGGAAGGCCAATGAGCTGGGAGTGATATTTTCAGAGTCGTAGTAATAGATTGCGGATGCAGCGATGCGTTCATTCTGGGTGGATTAACGGAAATGAGCCGACCAAAGGATAGATCGGGACTTACAAGTTGACCCTCTATGTGCCAGGTACCTCCTTCATAGTGTGGCCTCTCGGGTGATAATTCGATATTCGCTAGCTTCACAACCACTTGAAACCTTTTGTTTGGAAAGTGTTTGTTGAAGTTGACGACCTTCTCGTCTTGTGAATCTCTGATTCTAAATTCCCCTGGCTCAGGAAGTTTTATTTTAAGAGAATCGTACCACAAATTCCATTGTTGCTCATAACACTTATCGCCATTGTCATCAATGTCCTCTGGATTCCACACCGGCTCGGGATCGCTACCTTCTTCGTATTCGGACTCTTTGAACTCGATTCTCTTGTCATACCAACCTCTTCCGCTCAGGGATTTCTCCCAAAGAGGAAATACTTGTGCGAGAATTTTCTCCACAACATCATATAGCGCCCGGTGGTCGACTGGATGAGCATTGTTGATGTAAGAAAGAACTCGGCACCCGCCGTCTTTAGCGATTTTCACGTCGCAGGGTAGCCACTGGAACTTTGTGCTGAGCTCAGGTGGATGCGAGTGTCCGTGCGTTTGGAGAGAGAAAGGAGAATGTTCGTCTGGCCAAATAATAGATTCCTCTCTCGACGGGCTAGGAAGCAGTTCACCGTCTCCAATGCTGTCTAAACAGTCATCAAGACCGATAATACGGTCGCGGAGGACGTGGGTTCGATTATAAATAACCGGGAAGAGCGAAGGGTGGACCAAATCGACGACTTTGTTGTCCGAGTGGGGATGATAGTCTTTTGCGTCTTCTGGAACGTTTCCAAGGGGAGCCACTGCCTCTTTCAAGGAAGCTTTTAGGTCACTAGAGATGACACTGTCAGATTTCAAGACTCCATCATCAAAGACTTCTACGAAGCCACTCTTTTCTAGGATGCCGGCCTTCCATTGTAGCTCCTTGATAATCCAATCCATCATTTTAGGCGTCGCATCCTCTCCGCTTTCAGCAACTTCTTCACGCCATTTGGTGGTGATATGCTCATTAAAGACCTTGCGGTCCCATTCAGGTTTATCTGTAATGATGTTCATGAGTTGCATCATAACAATCTCTCGGTGCGTGACGAGTCGACTAGAGGGTTGAGTCAATACAAAAAGTTCAAGCTTGACCGTGGATTCAACCTTACTCGAGACTGCCATCTTCAACATGATTTGGGTCCAATGCATTCGGAAACCCCTCCATGTACTCATATACTACATTAGTCTGTGTTTATTAGCAACAGAAGTACCGCAGAAGAGGCCGTCTTACTTGTGGCCGGAAGTTTAAAGGCGCATTGAATCCTGGAATTGGAATCTCTGACCAGTCTCCGATGGAATTCAGTGCTTGCCTAGTAGAGAAGGCGCGCTGTTGTAGCCTCAGAAAAGATCGGCACCGGAGCATCGTGGATCGCGAATTTTGAGGTTTCGCGGAATCGCTCAGCCCCAGGCAGCAGATAAAGTAGATAACGCTAGTTAGTCACGTATCGGGTTTACGTGAATCCGATCGAGGACTGTATCACAAATAACAAATTCATGGTCGTGTAACGACACGGTCGACCGCGGATTTAAGAGAGGATGCCGCTTTGGTGGATCTAACCAGGTCCTACCGTCCACGCAATTGGGAACTCGATCTAAGCGCTGCCCGAGCAAAATGACGACGCAGTCGTTCCACAACCAGTCTCAATCAGTATATAACCGTCGTTAAAATCATGAGACTCGCTAATTTTCGGTCGGCATTATGACAAGTCGATATATATGCAATTTATATTACGTGTTTTAGTACGGCACGGACCGAACAGTGCGTGAGGCTGAAAAGCGAACGCCTTTTCCCGCCCTTCCCCTCCCTCCCTTTCGCCCCTTAAAGGACACCGTTACCGATTGTCCGTTACCGATTGTCCTGCTTACAAACTACGACTTTCTCCTTACTTCGTTGGCGATTTCACTGGTTGTCCCTGCGGCTTCGTGATGTCTAATCCGGAGGACTATACTGTTGGTTGGATATGCGCTATCACCACTGAATATGTTGCCGCCCAAGAGTTCCTGGATGAGAAGCACGACGGCCCCGCATATCTACCGCCCCATAGCAAAAACGATTACACCTTGGGAAAAGTCTGGAATCATAACGTGGTTATCTCCGTTTTACCTATTGGGGAATACGGCACGTCCTCGGCGGCTCGAGTGGCAGAAGATATGATGCATAGCTTTCCGAATATTCGCATTGGCTTGATGGTCGGTATCGGTGGCGGCGTACCAAGCCGAAAACATGATATTCGCCTTGGGGATATCGTGGTCAGCATTCCTCGCAATGGCCAGGGTGGTGTCCTTCAATATGACTTTGGCAAGACGATTCAGGGCCAAAGCTTTCAGCCGACGGGTTTTTTGGACCAACCACCTACCATCCTTCGCTCAGCAGTAAATGGACTCGAGGCCCAATACGAGAGCGAAGGGCACCAACTGGATAACGCGGTTGACAGAATTCTTGAGAAAAAGCCGCGACTACGGAAAAAGTATCAGCGCCCAGATCTAGCCAGTGATCAGCTATATCGCAGTCAGATTATTCATCCTGCAGGCAACGATTCACCTTGTGCTTTAAGTTGCGGCGACGATCTATCTTGCTTAGTCGCGCGACCGCCACGCACCGAACATGACGACAATCCAGCGATTCATTACGGACTAATCGCCTCGGCTAATCAGCTTATGAAAGACGCATCTATTCGAGACAAGCTCGCTGCTGAAAAGGATGTTCTGTGCTTTGAAATGGAAGCAGCTGGCCTGATGAACCACTTTCCTTGCCTTGTCATCCGAGGCATCTGTGACTATGCCGACTCGCATAAGAACAAAGCGTGGCAGGGGTATGCTGCTATGGTGGCAGCAGCGTATGCCAAAGATCTTTTGCGCCGTATTGTCCCCCAGATGGTGGAACGTGAAGCTAAAATTGTCAATATTATCAAGGAAGGGGATCACCATACGCATGTCGTGTTTGGAAACCAGAACCGTGGCTTCCAGGTTGGCGTGAACAATGGACCTATCAACGCGAGCTTTGGGGGCAAGTGATAGTTATGGCTATTATGTACCAATGTGGCTGAATAGATATAGAATACCGACAAAGATAGCCTAAATCAACGAACATATAGTGTGAATCTGCGATCTTATATGCGGTTGCTATGATTGCAATTATCAATGGGTATACTTGGATAAAAACACCATAAAACAACCCCACGTAATGCTTCCGAAATGCATTGAGTTGGGTAACTTACTAGTAACAGACAGGCCTCATGGGCGGCAGATGCTTATCAGACTGAGATCAGCCTACACTAAAACCTTAATTGAGGCATGCCCATCAAATAACAAGGTGAAAAGTCAACGGTATATTGCTTCTATTTGTAGATGTGGATTGACTGTGTGTTACAGTAGGACAAAAGACCTTGCCGACCCCGTTCACCCCCTATCCCACTCTGTTTATGTCCGGAGAAGTAAGCGGCTGGATTTGGCTTTTCAGAGCTGTTGATCCAGACTGAACCGGCTTCCAATTGTCGACCAATTGACAAAGCACGAGTTGAATCTTTCGACCAGACGCAGGCTCCGAGTCCTACATCAGTGTCATTAGCACGCGTGATGACCTCCTCTTCGTCCTTCCAGGATAGGATGGGGATGATCGGGCCTGTGACATGAGTGTTAGAAAATAAATCGTCCAGTAAATGAGACCGTAGGTAAGTCTCACCGAATTGTTCCTCTCTCACAATCCGAGAGTCATCGGGTGGGTTATCAACAACAGTTGGTTCTATAAACAGACCATTGGGCGATTGATTTTGACCTACGAGGATATTGCACCCCGTAGCCTTGCAATCCTCAATCAATCCCTGAACAATAGCATGTTGCATCTGGTTTTGCATCGGACCAAAAATAGGAGGTGCTATAGTGGGCTGTTCCGTGAACACCTTCGCCGCTTCCACGAAACGTTGCAAGAATTCTTCACGGATGCTTTCGTGGACGTAAACACGCTTTGTCGCGACGCACATTTGACCCGCGTTGAAAAGACATCCATTCGCAACTTCAGTCGCGACCTTGCTCACGTCCACATCGGCGCAGACAATCGTCGCGTCATTGCCACCAAGTTCAAGCGTGATCCGCTTCAGTGTTCCGCTGGCAGCCTCCATGATCTTCTTACCCGTTTTGGTCGAGCCGGTGAAGCTGATTTTTTGAATTCCAGGGTGGGTTGTCATGCTAGCCCCTAGTGAGTTGTCGCCATTGAGGGCTTGGAAAACACCCGCGGGGACAATCTTCGTGGCGATCTCTGCAAACTTCAAAATACTGTATGGAGTGAAGGGAGATGGCTTCACGATAATGCAATTACCCGTCACTATAGCTGCGGCGACCTTGGCAACTGCGAGGACTAGTGGGAAATTCCATGGACATATCGCTCCGACAATACCCAGTGGAGTGTGCGTTTGAACGATCTGCACAGTGTCGTCTTCGTGGACTATTTCATCAAAGATTTCCTGAGATGCTTCACCACATGATCAGCTGTTTGCAATAGGGATGAACGGAGGTCTAGGTACCATTGTACTCGAGAAAACCGATGCTATGATCAATTTCCAACCCGCCCATGAATGCCTGTAATCAACTCAGTCATCCAATTAATCCCAATGAATTACTTCTCTCTTACGGATTTTCCGGTTTCCTTTGAAACAATTGTCGCCAGAAACTCTTTCTGCTCGCGAAGTGCATCCACCAGCTGCAGTAAGGCGCTTTGTCGTTCGGTGACCGGCTTCTTGGACCATATAGGAAATGCATTCTGAGCCGCAGTGACCGCAATTTGCAGCTCTTCTGAGCCTGCAACCGGAACGTTCCATAGGGGCTCGTTGGTTCTCGGGTCCTTGCAACAATCCAGCTTCTTCCCCTCTAACAGCTTGCCGTCCACAACGTGGGCGAACTTCAAAGTCTGGAGCTCGTTGGGGCTCATTTTGTGCAGGATGGAGCTCAAATGAAGTCGAGGAAATTGTGTCTCGCCCGCTGTTCATGATCAGAATGACGAAGACTTTTAAGCCCGGGGGTACCGGTACCTCGGCGGGGATCTGCTGTTATCGTCGGTACTAGTGGAGACTATACTCACCTAGGTGTAGCGGGATATTATCTCTGCGGGGTCGGGGTTATCTTAACCGCTAAATGAGCTGGGCTTGCATTACCGGTGTTGCAGTTTGAGTGCGATAGGCGCTTCCTGTGTCTTGACAGGGGGATACGGGGCCTTGAAGTTTATAACGCAAGAAGTGATCAGCTTCCGTTTCCCGCTAATATGGGACAACAAATGTTGTTCAACATCAATTGTTGACTATCATGACATTTTCATGTTGTTGAACTGAGCTATGAGTTGCCTGACTTGCCCCATGTCAGTTTGGTCATATTTACCAAGAGTGCGCTTGGCAACACCGTTATTTTCACCAGCATCCGACCGTATGTCTTCCAACAAAACATTGCATAGCAGCCAATACTCCGAAGCACTTTTCATAAAACCATCACGCCTCCATGACTCCCCAGATCCTCCGTCGCCATTGCCGTCGTCCAGGTTGGATAGGACATGCATCTGGTCCCATGCAATTTTCCAATTCCTCATCCCATGTTCAATGTTTTCAAAAGCTATCGGGGGTGCAAGAGCATTCTGAAGCTGGTATATGGACACGCATAAAGCTAGTTTGAGTCAGACGGCCCGTTAAATAAAGAGGAGCTCAACCTTATCTTGTCTCTTACCTGAGATTATCACAAACATGTTCAGCAGTCCAAATTGGGTGTATGCATCCCCAAGGTAAATCTGATTGTCAGGCTGGCAAATTGTCTCAATAGCGGCGGATACGGAAGGTTGATGCAAGATCCCATCAGCCCATTTCTTCAGATGCAAGAAACACTCGTCAGCCGATCCGGCTTGGAAAGCAGCCTCAGGACAATTGATGTGCATCTCTAACTCTGGTCCAAAGATCCGAGGCGGAGTATTATGGAAGATAACGAAGGCTGTGTCAAGTAAAAAGACATAGCTAAGTGTTCTAGTAGCTTGTTAGTGGCCAGGCTGTGGAGAATGGGATAGTTCCTACCGAATAGTTTCTTCCTTCTGAATATAGGCTTGCCAGTCAAACTTTGATGCATCGTTCATGAGCCAAAACGACTGGTGAATGGCAGATCCTGGCACAAGGTCTCTTGCGACCTTTATGAGTGTGAGCCATTGACACTCGACATTTGATAAACGATTGACTTACTGCCACTACCGTACTATATCGACGACGTCGAATCCGTCGTTGGGTAATTTCCGAACCCTCCCAGTTCTGGAAAAGGCAAACAAAAAATGCCGCTTGTAAAGCTTCCAGCTTGCGTGGCTTCCCGTCTAGGGTTTCATTCACACGGGGGTCGAGATACTCTTCTTGAAGTAATTCGTCATCGAAGACCATTTCTTCCACGGCATCGAACCATATTTCGGCATTTCGATTGTCCTGCTTGTTTGGTAAAATGCAAGATCCGATAATTGCCATCGATGCTAACAATATAGGAGAGGCATTGATGGCGTCGAAGGAGGGTTTGTGTACAATCGGACAATTTGGATACCATGAAACCCAAAAAGCTTCAAGGCATCTGCAAAGATTTGGCGGGGAGAAGAAGTGAAAGCACATTTTCTCCATAAGTGAAGACCATTCCAGTGTTACTGGGCTCCGTCTCGGCTTGTGGCGAATCGTCTCTTTCAGCCTCGTAACTATTTCCTGAGTATTGAATGCCAGAGGATGAACAGCCCATTCGTGAAAAGGATCCACTGCGCCATTTCGGGGCCCTTTCAGATCTCGGTTCATATTATAGAACATATGCCAATTCCATGCTGGGCTAGTCGGTTCAAATCCATCAGAAAACCCATCAGATTGGTCTAGAGAGAATGAATGATCTTCAAGCCCATATGAAGAGATGTCAGAGACAGACTCTGAGTCCTGTGACTCTGGCAAGCTGTGTTGCCGTTTTTGGCTGATAATCTGGCAGTTAAAACAGTTCAAAAGCCCTTTGGAACCAGTGTGCTGAGCCAGAAATTCAAACTTGCCGCAAGTAGTGAAGCTTGATTGTGATTGGACCGACATTAATTCGCACGACCAGCTAATTGCAGTTGGCGAGAGGGTTATTTCGGGCCAATCTTGAATTATCTCATAGCCTGGAGGTGAGAGTTGAGGACGGTTTATCTCATTAAATTGAGTCGAGGGAGAAGCAAAACCCACATCCAAGCAAGGAAGGTCTTTCAAATCATCTGTAAAGTGGTCCGGAGGTGCAGTGTAGTCTTGCAGGTTTCCAGGAGCAGCTTTCCTATTCTTTGAAACTGTATAAATGCATTCATGGTGCTTGAAGATGCATGTGCTGCAAGGGAGTCCGGCGTTACACGCCCTTTTCAATCTGATACACCGATCGCATGCCTTCCTCTTCTTCCCCCGGGTCCGGTGTGGAATAACTGGGATTGGAGCGCCACTCTCCAGTCGGACTTTACACGTTTTCATGTGCCGGCCCAGAGCATCACTTCAGCTTATTTAGCTTGATATATGGAAACTGTCCGGGGTGGGCTTGTACCTGCGTGTGAAGGGCCGCTCACAGAACGAACATATCACTGGGCCCCTGTTTCCATCTAGGAAGCTAAGTGGTTAGCTCAAAAAGGCGGACCCGGGGAAGGTAGAGCTGGGCGTCGTACGAGATCCGAAGTGAATATGTAGCTGCTCAAAGCTGTCGAATTCCGCCGCACATAAAGCACATTTACATATGTTGAACGATCTTGTTTCCATGATATCTCTCGGTGTGACGTGGTCAAGAGAGAACGATGCGGACTGACATGGGTTGCTTGCATATGTGTACAGGGGGATTTCCGGGGCGCCACGAGATCGGAAGTCGGGACCCCGCAATCCCCACGCGAAGCGACGCCAAACTCTGGAACCACGAATCCGGATATTCTATTTGCCCTTTGACCAGAGGTGGATAATTTCCCACTGACGATTTCGAAGCGGGAATTGCCCACCTCCGCCTTAGCTCAAGATCGCCATCTGGAGCCATCGATGCAGACTATGCAGACTACGAGGGCTGAAGTAAGATGTGCCGAATGGTATAAATACAAGGATGGGAACAGGGGATTAACAACAATCAACTCATGATAAGCTGCATACATTATATCCAATTGAAAATGGCCACTCCTCTTGCATTGCCCCCAAATACCAGTCCGGAAACCTTTAAAAACTTCCTGGCCGCAGTATCCAAGACCGTCGGTGATGAGAACATCAGAGTAGTGACGAGGCTTGAAGAGCTACACGATGGCACTTACCACGAACAACCCCGAACCCATGATCCCCATCACATTGTTGATCAGGACTATTTCCTAGCTTCGGCAGTAATATGTCCACGTTCTGTGCCAGATCTGCAGGCCATCGTCCGCATTGCCAACGAATTCCAAATTCCTCTTTGGCCTACTTCTATCGGTCGCAACTCTGGATATGGTGGCGCTGCTCCTAGGCTTCGCGGAAGCGTTGTTCTGGATCTTGGAAGACATATGAACCGTGTACTTGAGGTCAATGTTGACGGTGCCTATGCTGTTGTGGAGCCAGGTGTTACTTTCGCCGATCTTCACCAGTACCTGGTTGAACATGGACTGAGAGATAAGCTCTGGATTGACGTAAGTTCTAACTGGGTTTGGTAGTTTGCAACCTGGCTGTGAGCTGATGAAACTCTTCCTAGGTTCCTGATCTGGGTGGAGGCTCGGTTCTTGGGAATACTGTGGAGAGGGGAGTCGGGTATACACCTTACGGAGGCAAGTTAGGACTACCTCGAGTCCATGCGCTAAGAATACTGACTTTGATAAGACCACTGGATGATGCACTGCGGAATGGAAGTTGTACTTCCCAGTGGTGAACTGATGCGAACCGGCATGGGCGCTATGCCACAGCCGAAGAAGCTCGGTGAACCATCTGTTCCACTGCATGAGGAGCCTGGTAACAAATGCTGGCAACTATTTCCCTACGGCTTCGGACCTTACAACGATGGGCTATTCTCTCAAAGTAACCTAGGAATAGTGACAAAGATGGGAATATGGGTGAGTAGCCTGAAAATCACATCTCGGTTTCACCTTCCACTGACAATCACAGCTAATGCCTAACCCCGGTGGATATCAATCCTATCTCATCACTTTCCCTAGAGACGAGGACCTTCATCAGGCAGTCGATATTATTCGACCTCTCAGGCTGGTACGATTACTTGCCTTCCATTTTGGCAATAATGTACTGACGAAGGCCCGTCGCAGCAAATGATTCTTCAAAACGTCCCGACTATTCGCCATATTCTAATGGATGCTGCTGTTCTGGGAACAAAGACAGAATACACATCAACTAAAGGCCCTCTCGATGATGCTGAGCTTGATGGGATTGCTAAACGCCTGAATCTCGGACGATGGAATTTCTACGGCGCTCTTTACGGTCCTGAGCCAACTCGAAATGCTCTCTGGGGTATCATCAAAGATGCTTTCTCGGCAGTTAGGGGTGCCAAGTTCTACTTCCCCGAAGATATCAAGCAGAAGAGTGTGCTGCACACTAGAGACAAGACCCTACAAGGAATTCCGACGTTTGACGAGCTGGCGTGGATCGACTGGCTTCCCAACGGTGCTCACTTGTTCTTCTCGCCCATCAGTAAGGTATCTGGAGATGATGCGATGCTCCAGTACTCAGTTACAAAAAGACGAGCGCGGGAGGCTGGATTGGACTTTATCGGAACTTTTACTGTTGGTCTCAGAGAGATGCGTAAGTACGGGTTACCTGTCATGAAGGGCATACCGCTAATCTGGGACAGACCATATTGTATGCATTGTATTTGATCGCAAAGACCCGGACTCCAAGAGTAGAGCACACTGGCTTATCAAGACACTGATTGCTGATTGCGCAGCCTACGGCTGGGGTGAGTATCGCACTCACCTGGCAGTTATGGACCAGATTGCGGAAACTTACAACTGGAACAACAATATCCTTATGCGATTCAACGAGGCCATCAAGAACACCCTTGATCCCAATGGAATCATTGCGCCGGGCAAAAATGGTATTTGGCCATCCACCTACCAGAAGAGTTTGTACAAGCTTTGAATGTGTAGCTACTCCAGCTGTAGCCGGACCAAGGTGATACAATCTTGATGTCCCTAGATAGGCGGCTAGGAAATGTTATCCCGGGCGTATTAATTACAGGTTGCAATTTCAAATCAGATTGGGGCCAAAAGATGTCTCAAGAGACCTTGAGCAAAGAAAACAACGTGTTTAGGCCCCTTCCGACGGACGATCTCCTCGGTCAGGCCGGGCAGATGTACAGCTGTTTGCTTTCTGGTTAGATTTAGGGGCAACTTGTACTTAAGTTCCTGAAGACAAAGATCCCATTGCCACCTGTGGACTCCCGCCGGAGTAGGCCCATGCATTCCCTGGGATCCGTCCGCTCTTTGAGGCCCAGTGGCTTAGTCTTTAGACCGTACTCCAGAGATTTTTATCTCCACCTCGACGGTTGAAAAAATCACGTTAGAATATGGAGGAACTTTTAAGGGTTTGAGGCTGTATCTAGTCATTTCCTCAGGTCTCGTGGGACAGGGCTCAGGATTGTATGAGGTACGATATCTAGGCCGACACTGCTCAACAGCTTACATACCTTCCATCCCGTTGTACCGAGGACATTGACGCATGGGCCGTTTTGCCTTGCAGATTCGGAGATAGCGCACAGATGTACGAAAGTGTTGGGGTAGTGTGCCGTACCTCCAGGCTATAGATCTTCGTCATAGGTGTCCCGTGTCTACCGAGTCAGGGACCTCGGGACCCTGCAGTCAAGATCAGGAGCCTGATCGGGGCTTAGCTATCGTGGCCTAGCATAGCAGAACAAAGTACATGGAGAGGAGATGAAGATTGAATCACGAGTGAGTCAAAGATCATCGGCTTACCAGGGACTGATCGACCGGAAAGAGAAAGTAAATACGGATCGCCGTGCCGCCAACTAGCTTTGTGATTGGGCGCCTGTGGAGAAGCTCCCCAACCACTCATCTTCGCGACATCCAGCACACGTCTCAACTCATCTTCTCGCTGGTTCATCTTCATCCCCAACTCTAACGACTTGGGCGATTTCGTTGCATCGACCACAAATCAGTACTTGGGTCGCCAACCACATTTGTTGCTTCTTCCCCGCGTGAGCCGTGGTCGTGATCCGCCGATAAGGTAGGCTTCCTCTTGTTTGCCCCTCGGGTGATAAAAGATGGCTATGGCCACTTTGACTCCCTGCTCCTCAAAGACTCGAAAATGGGGATGCTAACGTTCGGTCGCTTCCTCAGCCGGCCATACCCTCATTACCGGGACGGCCCTACCATCTTCTCCTTCCAACAACAGTTCATGATGGAGGACGCTCGCGTTCAACGCAGAAAGTCCGATTCCACCATCGGTCCCGATTCAGTGGCCTCGACTCCAGCCGTCGACTATGTCGAGAACCCCTTCCTTGATGACTTTGATAACGATGACTTCTATTCTCCACCCGCCTCTCCCGGCCGCCTGTCGCGCAACCCGTCCTTCTCCAACAGCAGCTCTTACGCGGAGGATTGGGAGACTTTCCCGCCACTCGACAAGCTGAGCATCTTCGATCTGCTCGACAACTTCCAGCTCTCGCAACGCTTCGAGAAATGGCAGCTCGCCCTTAATATGCAGAAAGAGAAGGTGCGCAAGCAGCGCGAGAAGTTGCGGTCAACGGGCAGTTACGCCAGGGAACGCGTGGTGGGAGAAATCAAACGACGCGTGCCGACCGCAGACGAACAACTTGAAAAGTACCGCAGCCGTGTGAAGAATGGCGTGGACCGTCTGGGCAAGCAGTGGAGTAGGACCGCCACCGTGACGTTGCGTGAGAAGATCTCGTTCATCGCCGGTGTGCTCAACATCTTCATCAGCGGGTATCTGATGGGGGCGTTTCCACAGTACTTCTACCTGTGGTTCAGCGCCCAGTTGCTCTACTTCATGCCCATTCGTTATTTCACCTACCACGCCAAAGGTTACCACTACTTCTTGGCCGATTTGTGCTACTTCGTCAACTTTCTTAATATGGCAGCCATCTGGGTCTTTCCCAACTCCAAGAGGCTATTCATCGGAACGTTCTGTCTTACATTTGGTAATAATGCGGCGGCTATTGCCATGTGGCGCAATTCTTTGGTCTTCCACAGCATGGATAAAGTGGTCAGGTATGTTATACAGTAATTTTGGATATCGGATGTCAGCTAATATGGCTTTTCAGTCTCTTCATTCATATCATGCCTCCGGTGACTCTGCACTGCATCGTTCACTTGACCCCGATTGAGATTCTCAAAGAACGCTTCCCGGCTGTCTATGCCATCAAGTTCAGCAAGCCTGGCGATCCGGAGCACTACTCGCTCGGCGCTATGATCATCTGGGCAACCGTGCCCTATATCTTCTGGCAGCTGATGTACCACTTGATGATCACTGTTCGTCGGGCCGACAAGATCGCGGCTGGACGTCCTACCAGCTTCACCTGGCTTCGCAAGTCGTACGCCAAGGCGTGGATTGGAAAGATTGTTCTCAGCCTCCCTGGCGCGATGCAAGAGCCCGCATTTATGTTGATCCAGTACGCCTTTGCTGTGTCAACCATGATTCCTTCTCCAATCTTCTTCTGGTACCGATGGGCCAGCGGAATCTATCTGTCTGCCCTATTTGTCTGGAGTATCTACAATGGCGCCACCTACTATATCGACGTCTTTGGCAAGCGCTTCCAGAAGGAGCTGGAGCAGCTACGAAAGGATGTTCAGCGCTGGCAAAGCTCTCCTGACTTTGCAACCAGCCCGCTGGTTCTTCCGGACTACAATGGGCCTCGCAGTGGCGCGCTTGGTGCACCAGATGCACCCTCTCTGGAGAAGCGGAACAGCATCGACCGCATCCCACTCCTTGATTCGACCTTGGCTACATCGACTGCCCAGGAGGTCCTGACGACTGAGACCACCGTGCGAGAGAGGAACTAGGCGGGGAAATTTTCTTTCATTAATCGCTATTGATACCCCTGGCGTATTTGCTTTTGGTTCCCCGCACAAAGTACGCATTGACGGTCTTTTATATCATATCTTAGGTTAGTTAGCACATAGTTTCCCGGCTTCTACTTGCGTGCTTTGGCACGAAGGAAAGATGTTTGATTTTTGGCGACCCACATAGATCTCTATTATGTTCAGAATGTCATGATACCATGTTTGATGCCACACAATGTTCGTGAGATCCTACTTTGGGCAGTAAAACCCCTGTGGAGCCTTAGAAGAGATCGCCCTCTTCTGATCGGTTATCAGATGCGGCATTTAACTCCGACCAAACCCCGAGGCCGCTTGCGGTCACGTGGCTCAACGTGATCTCCAGGCTCGTCACCAGCTTACAACATCGTCCACATCATCCAGCCTAATTCCATCAACATACCTACTCAAACCCTGTTCTTTGTCGTGTAATTGACTAGGACCATCTGTTGAGTCCGTTGTTGCGCATTCCGCACGCCCCCTGCTCGGCCCTTCGAGCCTTCACCTTCCTCCCAACAATATTTCCGCAAATGTCCGCCACCATGAGATCTGTTCGCCTGGTGCGCAGCACCACCGCATTGCGGCCTAATTTGGCCGGTAAGTACATACTGGCGATGATCAAGATGTGTGACAGCCTTGGCTGACCTGCGTTATCCCCGGAACAGCTCGCACTCGCGCCAGCGCTCTCGGTCCAGCTTCGATTGCTGCGGCTAGCAGCCTTCTTTTCAACGGTCGCGGCATGCCGTCTACTGTGTCTGCTCTTGCCATTTTGATTCCCCAGCGTGGCTATGCTACTGAACAATCCACCTCGAACTCCACCCAGTCATACCCTCCTCCCGGCTTTAATGCTGAGCAGGCCAAGAAGCCGATCCCCGTGGACCAGGCGCAATCACAAACAGGCGCTCCGGCTACTAAGTCTGACGTTGCTCCCGTTTCTAAGGTGTCGGCGCAAAGCTCTGCGACCAAGAGCGAAGATCAAAAGGTTGCAGCAAAAAAGGATGCGAAGAAGTTGACCCTCGGCCAAAAGGTCAAGAAGGAACTTCAGCACTACTGGGACGGCACCAAGCTGCTTGCGACAGAGGTTAAGATTAGTTCTCGATTGGCGTTGAAGATGGCTGGTGGATATGAGCTCAGTCGTCGTGAGCACCGTCAGGTTCGTTCTAGCTCCGGTATTCTTCTACCCTTTTGGAATCGCACATGCTAATCTTGTTTCTGTTGTTATAGCTCCAACGTACTACCAAGGATCTTGGTCGATTGGTTCCCTTCTCCATGTTCCTCATCGTTCCTTTCGCCGAGCTTCTCCTCCCCGTAGCCTTGAAGATCTTCCCCAACATGCTGCCTTCCACCTACGAGGGCCAGAAGGCCAAGGACGCCAAGGCCGTCAACCTGAGCTCGACCCGCAAAGAGGTCTCTGGCTTCCTGCGCAACACACTACGTGAGAGTGGTCTACCATTGACTGCTGCCAGCGTGAAGAACGAGGATTTCGCCGACTTCTTCCGCAAGATTCGCACCACTGGTGAATCTCCCTCGACCGAGGATGTCATCAAGGTCTGCAAGATCTTCAAGGATGACTTGACTTTGGACAACTTGTCCCGGCCCCAGCTGGTCGCTATCTGCCGCTACATGAATCTGAACTCTTTCGGCACGGACGCCATGCTCCGCTACAACATTCGTCACCGCATGCGCCAGATCAAGCGTGACGATCGCGCTATCTTCTACGAGGGCGTCGACTCTCTTTCCGTTCCCGAGCTCCAGATGGCTAGCGCTTCTCGCGGTATTCGCACCCACGGTGTCTCTCCCGCCCGCCTCCGCGAGGATCTGTCCATGTGGCTCGACCTGCGTCTCAAGCAGGGTGTCCCCTCTACTCTTCTCGTTCTGAGCAACGCCTACTCGTACACCCAGGGTGGCAAGGAATCCGAGATGGCCTCCCAGATTGACGCCCTCAAGTCCGTGCTCTCCAGCATTCCCGAGGAGCTGTTCCACGAGATCGAGCTCGAGGTCCACAACGCCGAGGGCGCAGCTACCAACAAGCAGCGTCTTGAGGTTATCAGGGAGCAGGAAGAGCTGATCGAGGAGGAGAACGAGCAGAACAGCACGAACGAGACTCCCAAGGATACGGAAGATATCGACGACAAGGAAGAGACCAAGGTTGAAGCCTCTGCCACCGGTCCCGAACAGCAGTCTGCCGAGGCATCCGAAGCCCTGAAAGAGGGAGCCAAGGCCGATCAGAAGAACGAAAAGACGAGCCAGAGCTCGTAGGTTCATGAATAATTTGATTTTAGTTCGGGTTGGGGCTGGCTGTTATTGGCTCACACATATAGATATTGTTTTTTTACTCTTGCACCTCTTCTGTTCTCCTCCTGTGTTACTCTTGACTCTCCGCTATGTTGATAGACCTGCTGTTTCTCTCGTCATGTTTGCCCAATCTCCGACACACTCATACTCATACTCTTGCTGATACCTGATACATTCCTTGATTCTCCCCATCTTGTCGCGTTGTCTCATCTTTCCTGTCATACCCTGGTCGATGTGTTGGTGTGGGGATGCCCACCGCTTCCAAGCTTGGGCTCCGAAACAGAAACACCCGGGGTGGACAGTGGGGGGAGGGATTGGCTGAAGAATCTCGGCCCTGACGTGGTGATTCAGATGGGAAGAGCACACTGTACTGATAGACAAATGCACACAAGGCACCCTCTGTACTTATATTCGTGTTGTTCGTAAGATCGAGATCCATGTATAGGAGGTAGTTAATCAGAGGGACCATCTCGGCATTAGTCAACCTCGGCTACCCCAACGCCTCACCTTCCCCGCGTAAACCCTGGGCACCTTTTAGTCCGATCTATACGACCCTACCATGCGGCGGTTCTTCCAGAGCACCCATCGCATTCGCAACCCCAACTGCAGCTTCAGCACTAGCCCATCCCGACATCTCGCAACTCGCATGCCTCCACTAAATCCCGCTTCCCAGGTACGTGTGTTACGCTTACGCTTTCCTGTGCGTGCTCGAAAGCCCGCGTGTGCGGAATTGCAAGACTGTGGAATAAGAGATTACACGTCTTGTCTTGTCTTTGATCCACACGTGTAGACATTTGAGTTCCGCCGCGGTCTCACCCAGTCTTGAATCGTGGCTCTTTTCGCGGTTCGCGGTTCGCGGTTTGCGGTTCGCTAGACGCCTGATGGGGTGGGTGAGACTTCGTTGATCCCGTGGATGTCCATCCCCCTTATGGCTTGTGGGTAATGGCTGCTCTGACTCTGGTTCTGAACCGGCGACCCGGGTCGCGTGGCCTTGCATGATCCCGAACCCGAACGTGAAAAGGGAAAAAGAAAAGGAGAAGATAAGAGAGGGGGGGGAGAAAAAGCAAGCAAAAAGAGAAAGACTAACTTGAAAAATCGTCATCTTAACCAGGAAGCCATCCGTCGACTCAGAAACTATGTCCCTCCGCCAACGGCGTACGAGCAGGTCCCGCTGATCAGGCGGGCGGCGGTGCTTCTCCTGCTCTATGCCGACCTTACTGGGAATCTCAGAATCGTGATTACGATGCGGGCCAAGACATTGAGTTCGTGTACGTACTCGTTTTCAGGGCTGCTGCACGACATGCTGACCCTGGTTTAGATGCAGGAGAAGCCGCATTACCAGGAGGTACGTTCGGCATTACGATTAAAGGAACCCCCCTCGGGAAAAAAAGAAAAAAAAAGAAGAAAAGAAAGACAGCTCATTCCCAGGACAAAAGCGAACAATCCTAGCAAGGCTGCCCTGTTTACCCAAGACAAAAAGGGGGCCTAAACAAATCAGGCAATAGGTAAATAACCTCGGAAACCGACTAACACCAAACAGGCCGAGCAGACACGTTAGCGGAGACGCCGTTCCAGACCGCACGCCGCGAAGCAAACGAAGAGATCGGCCTTCCCGAGATCGATCTGCCGCGCCCCTTCTCAGTCGAGCATCTCTGCGAGTTGCCGGCAAACCTTGCCAAAACGGAGCTGGTCGTGCGTCCCTGCGTCGCGCTTCTTCATTCGTACGACTCGGCCACCGGAGAGAATGCCGACCCGGAAGTTTCGCTAATTCCACAGTTGGACGCGAGAGAGGTCGCTGAGGTGTTTACGGCGCCCTTCCACTCATTCTTGGACTTGAGGCAGGAGGGGAGGGATGAGGAGTGGTATCGCGGGTCGTGGAGTTGGTGGCATAGTGAAAATTGGCGCAGTAAGTTCTCCTCTCTCCTTTCTTTTCTTTTTTTTCCTTCCCTTTCCTTCCCTTTCCTTGTTTTGATGCCCATCATTCCCTTGTATAGATAACCCCTTAAGCTATGCTGTAGAAGGCAATCCCTCAACACATGGATTAGCTGTCAAACCGACCCACCGACCCACCTACCCACCTTGTTTGTTGAACTAATTTATCTAATTTGAGGATGGTACCCTGGTTTTTTTGTTCTTTTGTTCTCTTGATCCTTTTCCTATTTTTCTGTTTTTGTTTTTGTTTTTTTTTTGGGATTTTCTATTATCTATTTCGTCATTTTCCAGGGCTGACATCCACTAGTGCACCAATTCTTTGTTCGCACCAACGCCTTCAAGCCTCGCGGCGACTCCGAACATGCCACGCTCCAGGAACGGGGTCAAGGGACGCGACGGGTCTTTGGCATGACGGCCCGCATAATAGTGGATGCCGCGCGACTCGCCTATGCACGGGAGCCGGAATTCGAGCATAATAGCCACCTGGGCGACGAAGAAATGATTGCCAAACTAAGACGCATGGGTCGATTGAGCGAGACCCGCACGCCCTCGGATGAACTCACCCGCGAAACCATGGAGAAGGCCAAATTAAGTTAGTCGCTGGCGCAAGGTCCGAGTCGATGTGCCTTGCTTCCAGTTCGTTTGTCAATGCCCGATTCTGTTAGCTCCCTTTCTTTCCTAGCTTCCTAGCCTTCTCGGGCTTAATGTCGATAGATTTCCCTAGAACTAGACTTCCCCCTCTCCACAGAAGTCGACCTAGAATGTAGGCCCTGGCTGCCTTGATTACTCCACTGCCACGTCTCGCAAGATTATGTCACTTTACCTTAATCGTACAGGTCTTCTCCTCCTTGCAGCCCCTCGCGTTGTGTCCGTGCCCTTGCCGATCGTCTCTACTTGACCTATATTATCGTGGCCTTCGCTTTGTTCCTGTCAGCCGTTCTCGTTGTCTCGCTTTCCTCTCGCTTTGTGGTCTATTTTTATAACCCCGTGATTCCCGCCATGCTACCAAACTACCCGTATGCCCAGGGTAGCCACCGCATGGCCCCCCCAGTGCGGCCATCTCGGTCCCTAGAAGGTCTCGAGCGAGTCATTCCGCCTTCCAAGTTCCCCACCCGCGACCTATTTCTCAACAAACCCTTACCCGCAAAACCGGTCCCTGACGAGCCCGCCGAGTACTCCTCCGGCATGTGGTCCGACTCTAGCGATAGCGAGAGTGAAAGTATCGTCGATTCAGGGAGTCCGAGTGAGCCTCGCAATTCCACCGAGTCCTATCCCATCTTCGTCAGCTCCGGTTCCGATGACTTCAATATGGTTGATCATCCGGTACCTGTAGATCAGCTTAGTTTGGGTCCGATCCGCACTTCTCCACAACGCTTTCTCTCCAGCGACTCGCGCACAGACTCGATCGTCTCGGAGGTGTCTGCCATCTCGGTGGTGTCTGGGACAGATAGTGTGGCCGAACCGTCGGATGCTCAGTACGGTAGACCGAGCCACTGGACACAAGGTCGAACGGGCACGAACCACTACTTTAGAGAGAAGAAGTGGGATTTCTTCCCGGAATTGGCGACCCCGTCAGCTTTGCAGGCCAGTGGGCGAGCCAGCCCGGGTATCAAGACGGGGAAATCACGAAAGAAGGAAGGTCGGCTGAATCTCGCGGCTAAGCGGCGTCGATGGCATTCTCTCGATCGGGCAGGCCTGGGACTAGCTCACGGTGTTCGAGATTCGATCAAAACATACGTCCACCGCACGCTCTCGAAGGACTCGGGCGAGGGTCGCGACACCAAGGCTAAAGAATCACCACGGCCACGAACAGCCCCATTCGACCAACCCAACGATCAAGAAACATACCCCCGACCAAAGACTCAACAATCATCCCTGGACCTAGCCGTCCAACTACGGACCTTATCAATCTCAACATCCTCCAGCCCCCTCGAACCACCCTCAAGCCCCCGCTCAATCCGTACCCAACGCTCAGTACCAATTCAACGGCCAAAGCAACTCGCAGTGCCCATGTCACCGTACCAAAAGTACGGCTCTGCCATTTGGGAAACCCCCAAGAAATCAAACTCAAAGCACACTCTCCACCTATCCCCCAACCCAGACGCTGGCCCCTCCTCACCAGACTTCATCTACGCGAACCCTACACCGCCGCTCTCCCCATCATTCAAGACCCAGTTGCATCAAAATACCCGAAATGCTGCACGCGCACTGCAGGGTGGAACGAGCCACGTCCTCGTCGCTCCTCGATGGCGCAAAGCGCAAAATCTCGGAATCGAAAGACGAGCGGAGACGCGAGGCATTGAAGTCTCAAATCAAGCTTATTGGTCCTGTGAACTCGTACTCCTACAACCAGGGTGATCCTTGGGTATAACACCTTACAACACATCTTCTCTCTTGGTCTTTTTTTTTATTTTAGTTTATTTTTTTTCTAATACTCTCACTGCATTGGCTTGGCTTGGCTTGGATTTGGATTTGGATTTGGAACTATTTCTCACGACGACTACGACATGGTTTTTGGTTTTGGTTTCGGACACTCACTTTTGATTCCCTTGGCTCGATCCCCACATTGCATCTCATTGGACTGGTTTTTCCTTTTTTTGTCAATCGATTAGCATACATGTACACAGGCGTTGGCATGGCCACGGCCAAATCTGACTTCTCTCATTCCTACTTAGGAATCTGCGACAACTCATTCATCTACCTAAGTAACCACCTAAGAACCCAATACAGAAGGCCACAAGTATGCCCAATCATATATCCACCTCAAATCCACATTCGCAGTCCCACGCCATGCAGCGCAATCTGCATTCCGTGCTTGGATCTCCGCCGCCTCGCTAGCCCCATTTTACCAGCGTCCACATAGACATATGCAGCACATCCTCCGATCCAATCACTTCCCCATAAAGTAACGAGGGCTAGTAAACGGGGCTGCCAACGGTCAAAATCGTGGGTCCGATGGGCCTGGTGGGCCTCGAGCCGGGGGCACGGCCTGACGTCGAAATGGCGGTCTGATAACCTTCGAGATTACCGTGCGTGCCCCTCGCTAGATATCTCATAATTGGGGGTCGAGAGGATACATGTCACCGACTTTTGAGGGTTGGGCTTGTGTAACCGTGCTGGGGGATTATTGGTTTTTGTTTTCTTTTTGTTGATCGTTATCAGTCTTCTTTGCTGGAGAGTTGGATCGTCATGCAGCTTATTTTCCGCTATTGGGGTAGAGCTGGGGTAGTCCTTGTACCTTGTGCGGGGTTTACTGTGCATGGTTGATGTTTACTGGGCGTTGGGCTCTGTGTAGACGTCGAGGGTCTAGATGGGACTTGGCTCCCACTTGGACATGCTGTCTGAAGTTGAGTCTGCGCTATGACTGGTTGCTCACACTGGTTGTGCAGGGTAACCAAGCACCTCACGTCATGTCTGACTGTTTGAGGCTCTTAGATTGCTGTGTTGCTACAGTACTTTCCGATTCAGTTACGCCTTCACGCCTTTACAACTTGTTTACCGGAAAGAACTGAAAAGGTATGAGAATCAGCACCTGGCAGACCGTTTTCTGGAATAGACTATGAATGTTTCGATACGAACCAGGCCTATAACCGCCACGAGTGTATTGCATATGAAACTGCTAGTTACATACACGGCCTTGGCTGGGCCCTTCTGGCCTTCCTAAGCTGCATCCAGGATGCACTACCGGATCGAGTAGAGTAAGATATTGAATATCTGGGTAGCTATATTAGGTAAATAGAAGGTCTATAAGTCTCTGACAGTTCTTATAAACAGGTGAAAGACCAATTTGGTGACAACAGATTCTCAACAAGCCGCCATCCGTAATTTAAGGATATTCTCAATAAATATAACCGATAAAGGAGGAAAGTCTCAACAGCCACACTTTCATACCTTTGATGTTGAACATTGATGCTTACATGAATCCCTTTTCCAATCTTATCTGGTCTATTATAGGCCTTTGATGCAAATTGAGCATTCGGCCCTTGCACTTCGTTTGAGATTGATTTTCACATCATAACTCACAACAATAGCTTGCGGTATCGGCGCCGAAGTCTTTAAATATATTCATTCATAATCCTGGTCCCGCTCGCTTCATTTCACTGTCTGTGTTTGCGGGGATGAGTACTTGGACTCAATACACTGTGATCCCTGTGCCTTGACTACGGATCGCGCAGTGATCTGCCTCTGGCCCCATCGATGGGTATCAGCTCAATCTTTTCAAAATCCACACTAGTTGTCTGATAGAGTAGCCAGACGCAGGCCACCTTTGTCATAGCCTAAATCAGAAATCTCGTATAAAATTAGAAGACAGCATGTAATCATCTCAGCTCGTCGCTTATCACAGAAGTCATCACAAGAGCGTACCCACCCCCATAGTTCCAGATCTCGCTAGAATTAGCCGGTTTCATCTATTTGTAGGGCCTTAAACTACCAATGGCTTTTTCGTATTTTTTCTTCTTTTTTTTAGGGCGTTTTTTGATATAGAAAGTGCCAGAGTATTAGGATCCCCTACTCGACATCGCCCCTAGGCGATCTACGGGTACACAATGTTTCATCACTCCATCTAATCCACTATATCTTGCTCTGTCAGATTTTCTATCTTGTAGTTGAGAGTATTCGAATCTGACCTTGTCGTTTGAATTGCAAGTTTTATGTTGAGCGAGATTTATGGAATTCACTGGAAGGCCATGTACCACCACTGATTAATCAAGGTTTGGAAAATGCTCTTTGAAAGATGTGAAATGTAAATTCTATTAGTTAGGTTTCAGAAAAACCTGCGCTTTTATGATGCCTCCTTCGGCGATTTCTGATCAGCACTGGCTATACTTTGGAGTACTGACTTGTCGACGTGCCGGTGAGCCAAGCGAATAGTTCCCTCCGCTACGAAAGCGCGATGAAACCTCGCTAGGACTGGTGGTATGGCCGAAGAACTGCTCATTCGTGTTTTCCTGTGGTTGTCACAGGGAGCTAGGCAAAGGGCACCGCTCTGAACGGTATCACACAAATATGTGCGGGTGAAGGTACGGACCCGAAATACCCAATCAGCAAGATTAAGGAACCCAAAGTGGGTTTGCTTTGAACGGTTGAAAACTGAACCCTGGTCAGCGAGAAAGCACTTTGGAGCTTTAGATTGATCAGTACTCACCATAGAAGATTCGAATCTTCTGATAATTCTTCCTCGAGCACGTCCATTCACACCTCTTTATATTTGTTCGCCTGGTGAACGTGATGAACAGGCGACCAAGGGAAGTGTCCCAGAGGAACGGTGAAGAATCCGTTGCTCTGATCGAAGACACCAGCAAAGGCATTGTACCAAGCGGTGATGGCCGCCAATATACCGCAAACCCCGCCTGCTTTCTGCAACGCAGCAACCATTCCTGAAGATGAGCCGCAATGGAAATGCGTAATTGCCAGCAATAGGTAGTTAAGGTCGAGGAAGAAGAAAATCAGGAACATAGCGATGCTGGACTTGAGTGTACATAGTAGCATGAGGGTTGTGAAGATAAACCATGCCTGTTTCTATGATTAGTATACGGGTCCCTGGGCCGAAAATGGCTGAAGGGGGACATCGACGTACCATCATGAATATCCCCATCAAGACCTCAGCTTGACACGACTCGATCGCTTTCTCAACTACGGGATTGGTGGTGTCAATCTCGGACAGAGTGGCGAAGGTAATCCAATAAGCCCCAAATGAGCAGAAAGTAGTCGCGCCAAAGGTGTTTCCGAGTGCCATTTCCCTAGTTGGTGTTATTCCATGATTCCACCCAACCGAGGTACAACAACACCACTCATAGAGAGCCTAACATACCACATTCCGGCCAGGAACTGACTTATGCCACCATAGATCAAAGCCAAGCCAATATTAATACCCGTTACTGTGCCATTCGCCATGTACAGGTTCATGGCATTCGAGACAAATGAGGTGAGTGCGAATGCACATAGGCCCAATGGAGCTGGGTTGGCGAACTTTCGTACTACTTCGGGCTGGGCGACATGTTCCAGGTGTTTGAAGTGGTCTTGCTTGAGCGATATCTGTGGTTGTGGTATGTTTGGTGGCAGAGGTTCGTAGTTATGGGCAGTTGGTGAGGCAACCGGTGAAGGGACTGGGGAAGCCACGGGCGTGGAAGCTTGCGATTCCACACTTTGCTGGCTGTATACTGTAATGGCCGGCTGAGCGGTTTTCAGGTCGTTCATGTTAATGAGCTGTTCCATTAATTATAGTTTTCCGAAGACGAGGCTGGTGATCAGAAGCTGTGTGTGAAGTGAAAGGCTTAGTGACAGGCTTGAAACAACGAAAACGCTTGTCGACAAAGATGCGAAACTTGGCTGTGTATTAGTAGGGGCTGAGATGCTAGATATTCTTTCTAGATGCGCAGTGTTCCCCAGCAAAATTCATTAAGCGAGAAATCAGGTTTTGCCACAAAATCTAATATGCTCTTCACAGGCCAAGAGGAAGACGCCGAAGCCCGGGACAGCGTCATGCGCACATCTCAGTCGAGCTAGTGACAAGTTAGTGAACGAGTTTCCCGGCAGTGACATCTGAAAAGAGCATTTCAATCCTACAGTGCGAGCTATAGTGTAAAAGATTGATCTATTGCAGTTAGTCCACGGGTAGTGCCGCGGAATTGCTGGGCCTTTATTGGTTAGGTTCTCCGCGTCAACACCGGCTGGAACACTGTAGAACCTGCATCGGCGTGAATAGATGCAAGATTTGGTCATTGAGGGCAATACGCATGCTTGAAGACTAATCTAGCTCACTTTGCACTTTTTCTTTACCTTCTACACTCTTGCACGGACGTCACCTGCGATGCGCTGGCGGGAAACCATGATTTCTCGTGGGTTGTTAAGCGGATGGCGTACGCGCCGATCGTACAAGAGACTTTTTTAACGTAATAGTCCTAAATTCTCCGATCGTGTGATTCTGGAAGATCCCCCACTTAGCGTTTTTAGATGCTCCTGTAGCTCCTTGGATGAGGCTTAAATTATCCATAGAAATCTCGTTACTTCAGCGTGTTAGCCAGGGTATTCACCCAAAAACCATCATTCTGGACCATCTCTATGTCTATGGGGCTTCAGTTGGTCGGGGTTGCCTGTTTGGCACTGCAAGGATCGCTAGTGCGGAGGACGGCGGGCTCCGCAACCCCGGACCTGTGGCTCCCGCAGGGTCAGGCACCTGTTCCCCAACATTGAAAAACGCCCAGGTGACCTTTCTGGGTACCAACAAAGAGTAAAAATACATTGGTCTAGGCTCTTGTGGAATCATCTCTGGAGAAAAGCTTTCAAGATGATCACAGACTAGTCATAGCGCCTACAGTGCGTCTCGAAACTGGTGCGACCACCTACATTCTTCGATTGATTCTCCAGCCCCACCACCAAGGTACACTATATTGGGAGTTGTTCCGGAGTACCCCTATCGGTTGGACGTGTATGGCTTCTTCCTTAGATTGCATAGTACTTCCAAGTATGTATTCGCTTGTAAATTCAATACATTCACACCTCCATACCCCACCTCCAAAACAACCTTCCGAGGGAGGGGTAGCTTAACAATCCATCACGAGTGGTCGAACCAAGATGGCCACGAATCTAGCTCCTTCAAAGCATGAGCTTATTTATGACATGATCCACAGTGCTGAACTATCTAGTGGGGGTGGACAAGACGGGTTGGTGGGAAGGGGTGATGGGAGGAGATCTGACTATCTGGATTGTTCCACCGTCCTCTTCCACTTTCATCTCCGCAGCCTTCGTCCACATCTATATCTTACATGGCGAAAGCCTGATACTGCTGTAAAGAGGTAATACCGATAAGCCAAACTAGTTCTCATTTTTGCTTTTCACGGCATTTAATGGCTAAGTAAGTTATATATCTATGACTACTTACTCTTGGCCTTCGGCCAACCACTGCTGCAATTTTACTAGCGCCTTGTACCCATGGGAGATCAAGTTCTGATTAAGGTATATTAGTATGAGACTGCCTGCGATATTACCAATTAAGACAGGAACTAGACAGCGTGCAAGATCTTACCTTCTCCTCCTGCTTCATCTCAGCAAATGTGGCTCTTCCATCATACTCAAAGATAGGGTCCCAGCCTAGGAAGAATCATAAGTTGTAAACCATGTTTCTGTAAGCAAAGGTTAGATATCAACTTACCAAAGTTCGTTGGGCCTCGTGGCCGCACAATGACACCCTATGTAAAGGCAGTCAGATTCGAGTTAAGAAGATAATGCTGTGTAATTTTTACCTTTGTTTTCCCTTGGAATAGGATAGGCTTAGCCCCGGGTCCCCGGCAGAACGCAAACGTGCATATAGCTTCGGCTGTCCTGTCCTCAAATCCATCGAGTATCTTGTTCAAGCCTTCGAGGCCTAAAGAATCGAGGAAATATTTTCTTGACATCCGTTATGACTCGTTTAGATCGGAGGGAAGTATTTCTATTAGGAGGCATACATATAGGGTCCAGGGAGACCCTTAAGTGCACTGAACTCGAGCGCACTGTCTTCGACTAGGACAGGTCCATTTATCTATTCCGCCGTGAGCTAATGATGATACAATATTTGAATAAGGGTAATTGGGGAAGAGATTACCACCTCAGCTGCCCGCCTGGATTTTTCTTCAGCGATCTCCTCGATTGTCCCCTGGATCTCAAAGATATCCACTGCCTGGTTGTCTACCTCAATAACGCTACCAAGGATAGCCCGGACTTCGGCAAGCTTATTTTTGTTTCCAGTGATGAAGTTGAGCTTTGTCAAGGTCATTGTGAACCTTGCTGGCTTCAGACCATATCACGAATGAAGTATACCCTCGAATGTAGTAGTCTTGGTGCCAAACGGTGTAGTTCCACTTTAGCTCCCCTTTGGCAATTTTCGAGATAGTGGTAGAGTTATGATCCTTGGACCTGGGGAGCCGACAGGCAGTGAGGGGCACAGATCGCATGTGTATCGCAGTTTCGTGTAAGATATAGTATTATATGTCACACAGTCATTCTGGCGAAAAAAGGGAACTATCCTACACAAGGGCGGCTTACGACTTACCCAAATACACATTAAGAGAGTTTCAGATACGGACCGAGAAACCAAGCGTTGTGTCCATCGGGGAATCTGTTTTCGATTCTCTCGCAGGTGAGGGCCTGACTATAGAGGGCGAGTATTGCTGTACAAGACAAAGTAACGTATTATATTTAGAGAGAGTCACTGTATTGATACCGATACGGGAATATTAATATTCCGGGTCTATCCTAATATGGACTAGTAAGTTTTGGCGGTGGGGCTGGAGAATCAATCGAAGAGTGTAGGTGGTCGCACCAGTTTCGAGACGCAACTGTACATGGAACTCGTTCCGATGAACTTTCTTGTTCGTTGCTTGAGTAAACACTTTGCCACAATGCAAGGTATCATCTCCATTCATTTGTCTCTCTGTACCCTCGCCCATGCTATCATCTGCTCTGCTCTTGACATCGCAGACGTCTCTCAGGGCCAACAGGTAATCCCATTGACTGAAAATCCATGACCAGGCTGTCGAAGGTCGGATGGAAGGAGGGCAACAAGATGCCCTGGCAGTAGTGTTTGCAATTTGCCAACTAGGTCTTCCTCCAAGAGCTCAATGTCATTCGGGAACAAGCCAAAATCAAGAGAGGCTTCAAAACGGTGTATGGGGTTAGTTTTTGAGGCTAGCGTTAATGCGGTATTATTGGCATCTTTCTGCGATAAAGTGGAGGTGATCTAGTAGATTAGGTCGAGAGAACTATATGGAGCTCAGGTCTATAAAAGCTGATTTGATTGAGTGAACAGGTCTGAAATTGGCAAAGATGAAAGTGGTGACACGGGTGGTGGGGTTAGAAAGAGAATTGAGGAAAGATGGAAGTCTTTCAAAAATGAGAATCACAAAGTTGTGAGAGGGGGTGTAACTACGTATGTCCCAAAATCTATATTCCCAACAGTTCATAAATACAGAAACAACATTTTTCTATGCCCAGGTGATGTGTGTACTCCGAAAAAAACTTCAGAACTACCCTCTTGAAACGTCAGAGCTAAGCCCGCTGGCCAGGTAGAGAGATCAGATATCACGGCACGTAGTAAACATAGGTCATAAACAAGCCTGCATACATATTCGCCTGAGTTCCCAAGGCTAATTTTGTTTCTAGGTGTGAGTTCATACATATGAAGCGTCGCCATCTCCTTTGAGCTGCGGAGCCTCACTTCCGTCCTTGAAGGGCCAATGCAGATATGAAGATCCCACAGATCTGTTAAGTATTGTTTTTGCCTTTAAGCACGATAAAATTGGATACAGAGCTAGACTGAATGATGTCGAGTGAGCTTCGAAGCAGTCAGCGTGAGTCATGGCTCAATGCGGGGCGGGGCCCGCGCTCTTGGGTCGACTACGGAGCAGTCTATAAACGCGACTGGTTCATCTTTATAATCGACAGTATCAATATCCAAATAATGACAGAACAAAACATCCTTGATGTGCAAGGTCAACAGCCTGGCCTGTACAAGCTTTATACCCAACTATGCTGTGTCTTCCCAGTTGCCGAGACCTCATCTCAGGATGCCATTATCTCTACGCTGAGAAGTGGAATGGACCGATTGCGCGACAGCTTTCCATGGCTGGCTGGCGAAGTCGTCAATGAAGACGCAAGTGACGGGAATACGGGTGTGTACCGTATCACGCCGTCGGACAGTATTCCACTTGTTGTCCAAGATCTCCAAGACGACGCCTCCGCCCCGACAATGGAAACCCTACGGAAAGCCGGCTATCCATGCTCAATGCTGGATGAGAATATCTTCGCACCAGGTCTTACTCTTAACCTGCCTACCAACTTTGGTCTTGCAGCCGAGTCCGCATTTGTGTTTGCCATTCAAGCGAATTTTATCGCCGGCGGCCTAGTTCTCACGTCCATGTCACAACACAACGTCATGGACATGACGGGCCAGGCTCAAATTCTTGATTGGCTATCAAAGGCATGCTACAGCCTGCCTTTTACGGAGGAGGAGGTATCTCTTGGCAACCCCGACCGGACCAGAGCCATCTCCTTGTTGGATGAGCCGTACGAACCAGGCCCCGAGCTGGCTCCCCAGATGCTACCCCAGCTAGAGGAGCCTGCCGGTGACCTGGCTTCATCGCAACTCCTCAAGTCAACCTGGGCATATTTAAAATTTTCTGCCCTTTCACTAGATGAGCTCAAGTCTTTGGCAACATCGACCCTCCCATACGGCTTTGTTTCCACCGATGATACTATCTGTGCTTTCCTGTGGAAGTGCATCTCCCGAGCCCGAATCCCTCGCCTGCAACCCGGTGCAAAGTCCACTTTTGCACGTGCAGTTGATGTCCGGCAGCATGTGGGACTTCCTGCTACATACCCCGGTATGCTGCAGAATATGACATACAGCACAAACACGCTGCAAGACTTGGGAGATACGCCCTTAGGCACTACTGCTGCAGAACTTCGCGCTAAGCTTACGTCCAAGGACAGAGATCTGGCGTACGCCACACGGTCTCTTCTTACTTATATTTCTCGCTCAAAAGACAAAACAAAGACGTCCCCTATGGCGAGTGTGGATATGTCGAGCGGCATTGCGCTCAGCTCATGGTCGAAGATCAATGCTTATGACCTTGACTTCAACTTGGGACTTGGCAAGCCCGAGGCAGTACGCCGACCGGGCTTTACTCCCGTGGAGGGTCTGTTGTACTTGATGCCAAAATCCCCGAATGGGGATTTAGCTGTTCAAGTCTGTCTTAGAGATGAGGATTGGGGGCGGTTAAGGATAGACGAAGAGTTTATGAAGTATACAACGTATCTTGGATGATATCACTGGGTGATGGAATTGGGTGGCGAAATATTTGTAACCTACTATAGATTTGAATGTGACTCAATGCAAAGAAAGCTTGATATGATTTGAGAAAGGATCCAATCCATGGATAAGTGGACAGTGCCTGAAACTGAAACCCTTTTGGCCCCGCCGATCGCAGCCTCCGCATTCCGCCATGCCTCCGCATTAGGAACTCAGCTTTCTCCCTTTCTCCCTACCTACCTCGATTCTTTCGGCTGTTCATTGAACTTCCTGATACCTCTACTGTCTTTCATTCTATATCCCAATCTTAAGCAACACTGTTTCTACATCGCCGTCATGGGTGGGGAAGCTCCGCATCTCGCCCCCGCTCCAGCTTCCACGCTACCCCGGCTCGCCGAGCGACCGGTCGGCCAGCGCATCACCAAGATCTACACCGATCGACTCAAGCAATTCACATCAACCGGTCAATATGAAGGTCAGAACCTACTCTCCAAATACAGCGAAGCAGTGAATTCCGACGAAGATCATGTCAAGCTGTCCGTCTACTCGGTCCCGGACCTTCAGCGGCCGTCCTTCGATGAAGCCACCTCCCATAAATTCGAGCCGACTTCTATCGGAGAATCATTCGGTCCTAGTTGGTCGACCCATTGGTTCCGGGTTCGACTTACGATCCCCGAGGAAATGCGCGATAAGGAACGTTTGGAGTTCCACTGGGATGCGAACAATGAGGGATTGGTGTGGTCGGAAGACGGCCGGCCGTTGCAAGGTCTGACCGGTGGTGGAGAGCGAACTGAATGGATTATTCCCGATGAGTGGCGCGATGGAGAGGAGCATATGTTCTACATTGAAATGGCCTGCAATGGCATGTTTGGAAACGCCCCCGGAGGGGACTCGATCCAGCCACCTCGACCGGACAAGTCCTATGTTCTCAGCAAGGCACAAATCACCGCTGTCAACCTGGATGCGCGCGCACTATACTATGACTTCTGGATTATCGGAGATGCCTCTCGAGAATTTCCAAGTGATTCCTGGGAGTCCCATGAAGCTAACATGGTGGCCAATTCCATAATTGATGCATTCATTGCCGGCGATGGAAGCCAAGAGTCAATCCTTGAAGCTCGCAAGATTGCTCAAAAATATCTCGGCGATAAGGTCGATTCGACGGACGTTTATAAGACTGATACTCAACCGATCGTGTACGCCATCGGTCATTGCCATATCGATACCTGCTGGCTCTGGCCTTGGGCTGAGACCAAGCGCAAGGTCGCTCGATCATGGTCCAACCAGTGTGACTTAATGGAACGCTACCCTGAGCATCGCTTTGCTTGCTCCCAGGCACAGCAGTTCAAATGGCTGAAGCAATACTATCCAAGTGTCTTTGACCGTGTTAAGCGCTGGGTCAAGAAGGGTAACTTCCAGCCGATCGGCGGTAGCTGGGTCGAGCATGATACCAACCTACCTAGTGGAGAGTCACTGGTGCGACAGTTCCTCTACGGCCAGCGATTCTTTGAAAGCCACTTTGGAAAGCGATCCACCACGTTCTGGCTGCCAGATACATTCGGTTACTCTACCCAAATTCCTCAAATTTGTCGCCTTGCTGGCATGAGTCGATTCCTGACCCAAAAGCTCAGCTGGAACAATATCAATAACTTCCCCCATACTACCTTCCAGTGGGTCGCGTTGGATGGTAGCCAGGTGATGTGCCACATGCCTCCCGCTGAAACATACACCGCCGAAGCCCACTTTGGAGACCTGAAGCGCAGCGTCACTCAGCACAAGTCCATGGATAAGGACAAATCTTCTTTGCTGGTCTTCGGCAAGGGTGACGGTGGTGGTGGCCCGACCTTTGAGCACCTGGAGAAATTGCGCCGATGCCGCGGTCTCAGTGACAAGATTGGTACACTCCCACGAGTGAAGATGGGCGAGTCCGTCGACGACTTCTTCGACAAGCTGGAGGAAAACGCCGCTAATGGTACTGATTACGCTACATGGTATGGCGAGCTCTACTTTGAGCTGCACCGTGGTACCTATACCACCCAGGCGAACAATAAGCGCAACAATCGCAAATCAGAATTTTTGCTGCGCGAAATTGAGCTCCTGGCTACCCTGGCTACCCTCCGTGGCTCTGACGAGGGGTACAAATATCCTAAGCGGCAGATCGACGAGATGTGGGAAGGTGTCCTGCTTTGCCAGTTCCACGACTGCTTGCCCGGTAGCTCTATTGAGATGTGCTACGATGACTCGGACAAGCTTTATGCTGATATCTTCAAGACCGGCACTAGACTGCGCAAAGATGCTCTCGCTGCACTTGGAATCACCAGCCCAGGTGATATCCAGAACTTGGTGGCTTTGAACACTTTGCCATGGCCTCGCACGGAAATGGTGAAGATCCCCGAGACTTTGACTAAATCAGAAGGCTCCAAGTACGCCCTGGTTGAAGGTTCAACTGGAGTTCTCTCATGCCAGCCGGTTGATTTTAGGGCCACCACCGCAGTCACGGTGTCCGAGATCCAGCCTGGTGTGTTCCGTCTTGACAATGGTAAGCTGAAAGTTGATGTGCAAGGTGGCATCATCACCTCGCTATTTGATGTTGAGGCGGATAGAGAGATTGTCACCAAGGGTGGGAAGGCCGGACAGCTAGTCATCTTCGATGACAAGCCTCTATACTGGCAAGGATGGGATGTGGAAGTCTTCCACCTCGAGTCTCGAAAAGAGCTGTCTAGCGGCGAGACTGTCATTGCAGAGAACGATCAACATCGGGTTAGTCTGGTCACCCAGACCAAGATCAGTGACAAGAGTTGGGTCAGAACCACCATCAGCCTTGCCGCTTCCGTCTCCTCTGAGCCCTCGCGCGTCGAATTCGAGAGCGAGGTGGAGTGGCATGAAACCATGAAGTTCCTCAAGGTCGAATTCCCCGTGGATGTGACCAACACCGAGGCATCCTACGAGACCCAGTACGGTATCATCCGTCGCCCAACTCACTATAACACAAGGTATGTACTTTTCACCTTCCCAGCCCACAAAATACTAACTAATCCTTTCCAGCTGGGACATGGCCAAGTTCGAAGTCTGCTGCCATAAATGGGCTGATCTCTCCGAGCACGGCTACGGCGTTTCCATCCTTAACGACTCTAAATATGGCTTCGCTACCTGCGGCAACCTCATGCGTCTGTCGCTCCTGCGTGCTCCTAAGGCACCGGATGCTCACGCCGACATGGGCCGCCATGTCATCCGCTATGCCATCCTTCCCCACAGTGGCCCTCTCGACGACCGGACCATTCGTGCCGGTTACAACTTCAATCAGCCTCTGGTTGTGGAGCAGGCCAATTCCCAGGTCTCTGCTTGCAATGCCGCTTTCAAGGCAGTTTCCATTCACGGTGCGCCTTCTGTTATCATGGATGCTATCAAGCGTGGTGAAGACGATGAGGATGTCTCCACTGGTGGTCTCCCCGCTCGCTCTGGTCAGAGCGTTATCGTGCGCGTCTACGAGTCTCTTGGCGGGAAAGCTCGTGGTACTCTTCGTAGCTCTCTACCGGTCAAGCGTGTGTGGAAGTGCAACGTCCTTGAAGATGATGAAGAAGAACTGGTAATCCAGAAAGTTGACGATTCCACTTCGGTGGATATCCAGCTCAGGGCGTTCGAGATTGCTACATACCGTCTCCAGCTATAAGCTCCCCTATGTAGTACCTTGCTTTTCTTTTTTCTGCCTATTGGACTACACTATCCTTCCTGTACACAGTCCTTTCAGCCGTTATGACACGTTGATGAATAAAGAATGAACAATTTCGACGCATTCAAATCTTTTGAAAAGTTCGTGATATACATAATAGAAAGGACGCGTTTTTCCTGCGCCTTAGCTTCTTCAACTCCGAAATTATTAAACCCAGAACTCCAGCCACATAATGCAAGATTCAAGTACATCAACAACAGCGACAAAGATCAATCTCTCCCGTAGCTGATCTTCAACCTCTTGACAGGCGGTTTATCGCCCCCATCATCGGAGAACTCATCTGTCTGGTTCTTGCCCTTTGTATTCTTCGATCCACCAGATGCCTTTTTCTTATTCTTTGACGAGCCACCAGTGTTCTTCGCACCATCGTCACCGTTAATTTTCAGAGGGATGTTACCGCCAGTAGTCGAAGTCGGGGTTGCGGCGTGGGAGGGCGTTGTCTGTGCGGACGAAGGACCGGGAGAGTCCTACAATAAAAGCTTTAGTATTGGCAGTCTTTACAATCTTTGCACAGAGAGATTCCCTTACCATCATGTAGCTCGCGGAACTTTTGGAGAACACCCGGTCTGCATCTGTGACTGCGGCCTTTCGGCGTCCGCCGACACCAGAGCCTAGACTCAGCCCGGAGGCGCCGAGACTTGAGCCGCTTGATGAGCCCTTGATGTAGTTGTCGAAGCCTTTGATGATGTTTCCGGCGGTTGTTTCTTCGAGGTAGGATTGTTCGAAGCGGTGAATTTGGTCTTCGAGTTGGGCCTTTAGACACTTAGCTCACAGTCTTTTCCGTTTATTGAGGTACAGAGTTTTTGTAGTGAGGGATTAGGGATTTTGATGCTGGGCCTTTCGTCGCAACCGGGTAAGGCGCGCGGAGGTTCAACTCACCATGCACCTGTCCATAGCGCGCTTGTTCGCAATCGTATCTCTCAGTTCTCGGCGCAGTTTCTCATAGTATGGTAGCCCGCGATTCGTGCTATTTTGGTCAGCAGGCGCATTTGTGGTGCCCGCGGTTGCGCCAGTTGCTGGTGCTGCAGGCGCGTTAGTCGCGGGCGTGGCTGTCTGAGCAGGGGCAGTGTCTGCCATATTGGAGTGTGCGAGGATCGAATTGAATCAAATAGTGTGAGCAGCAGACTTCACGCAACAGTGGGGTAGCCGGTTTTAGTAGAGCGAGCAGCAATTGCGGGAATGCGAGGGTGAAGCTGTCGGCCCAGAGATCCTTATCGAGCCGTAAGTGTTTGCACAGTTTGCATGTCTGGCATCATCCTCATCGCCCCTCGTGTTTACTTCGTGTCAGGTCACGATATCTTGGGGGATCCTTGACTTCAAGCCCGCGAGTCTTAATTCATCTATCCTTCACTCAGTGCTACTCTTCATCATGGATCACTCAATGCATATGAGCCATGACATGGGTCACGGCGGTATGGACCATGGCGATATGGACATGGGTGGCCAGTGTAACATGAATGCGAGTACTCTACAGGATGCTAGGACTGCTCCAGCTAACCTTGTCCTCCCTATAGATGGTATTTACCTGGTCGTCTGAAAATCTCTGCATTATTTTCCGCTGGTGGCGCGTCACCGGGCCATTGTCCTTCATCCTCTCGCTCGTCCTTATCGTCCTCCTTACAGCAGGCTACGAGGGAGTTCGCTCAGTGACTCGCAAATATGAAGCTGCGCATTACCAACGGTTGAACTCGTTCCCTGTGACTTCAGCTACAGGCGGAGGTATGTCTTCCATTTCCTTACTCGAGGGCATCTATACCGAAAGCAATGTTGGGCCGTGACGTTGGCAGGGTGGTTGGTGCTTATATAACCTTTTCCCTTGCCACATTTATGCTGTGGTGAGCTCTCATTGATGTCTTGCTCTGCAGAAGATGGGATCTTTGGCCAGTCTATCGCCAACGTCTCGGAGGGTATACGGCCCGTTAGTGGCGAGCGCTCACCACTGCTTGCAGGACGGGATAACAAGGCTGCTGTGGCACGCCAAGGAAGAATCACACTGGCAGCTTTGTATGCTATTCAGGTGTTTTACAGCTTTTTCATCATGTATGTGGTCCGAGTTCCATTGGCTGTTTGTGCCAAACTGACCGGCTTTGCGGTAGGCTTCTCTTCATGACTTATAACGGTATGATTATGCTCGCGGTTGCAGTTGGCGCGTTCGTTGGATATTTGGGTTTCGCAAATGGTACTCCTGCTGCCAAGTCCGTTGCCTGCCACTAGACCCACGCAATGTATGGTCCTGGCGTTTGGGTTGCATCATTCAGGAGACATTTGCACAATCGATGATTCTCAAATCATATGGTATTGTTACGCTTGTCTATAGTTTGCTTGGTATCTGTTCATAGCTCGAAATTAAAATGCCTTCCAGGTATTATTTTCATGGCACTTCGGCATCACTGTCGTCTCCAAATCCAAAGCTAAAGCCACCTCCGTTCTGGTCTTCGGAGCCTTCTGCCTTTCCATGGACAATATCATCCCATTTGCGCTTCTTCCGTTCTGCTTTCTTTTGAAGTTCCTCCTGGGTTTCCTCCAGGATGTTTGGGTATGCAGCCTCCATGCCATTCACAAATCTCTGGTAAGGATTTTCGACATTCTTCCTGAACCCGGAAACTTGGTCAGCCTTGTTGGACAGGAAATCCAGCGCCGCACCGAGATGAGCACGAGGGATAAAGTTCTGAGTAATGGCAATCGACGGCTCCAAGTTGATCACCAGATGCCACCAGCCCGAGGGCACATGAAGAATCTCTCCCTCTCCACAGATCCCCTCCATGCATCCAGGGGTACGTCGGGCTTCGGCATGGAACTCGAGCAGCCATTCGGCAATGCTGAGGGGAGAAGTCACTTCGCTAAAATCTTCAGACACAAACACGCCCGGCGGTGGCGGGTTCTTATCACCCGAGGGGAACATGATCCAGTACTTAGGCCCACGTAGCACAGCGTTCCACGCGCTGGTGGCGTTGGGGTCTTTGTGAAATTTGCTGCCGGAACGCTCGGGTCCAACGATCAGCCACTGATGATCGGGTCGGTCATTGCCTAGCACGGAGAAAAAGTCTTCGGCGAAGCACGCCGGTGGCCAGTATGCTGCATCGGGGGTTGTGTCTGGTTGGCCGACTGAGAGGCCCATGGTGGAAACAAAGGACCGATCGAAAAGGTACAATGGGCTCTCGTCCGCGTTGTCGGCCATGTAGTCTCCATAGGTACGCAAAGGCCAGTCAACTGCCTCGGCGCGGAATGTGCGCTGACCATACCGAGATAGCAGGGTGCCGACCGACCAGTCCTTGTATACTGGCCAATGCTTGATGGGTTCGGTCAAGAGGAATGGCTGGTCTGCCCATTTCTCATGGAATTCTGCGGGTGAGAGGTCTGAGAGCCTTGGGATCTGGTTTCTTGCTGGGATCTTGGTGACATATGGATCCAATTTAATGTGTGCACAGTTAAAGGGGCGGTACAGAGCATCGGAGTATAGATGCGAGCAATCCACCACAGGTACTTTGGATGCTGGCAGGTTGAGATATGTTGAGCGCCATGTGCCTCGCCATGTGAATGCTGCCGGGTGTGACCTAGATAGATATTTAGTACCAAGTTCAGTGTTTCGAGTTTTGATTTTCCATCTATATACCTGCCCCGCAACAGCTTCTAGGAGAGTGCCAAGGTTGTATATTGTTGGTATGGACAGGAGATCTTACTCAACAAAGAGGGCTTTCCACAACTCTTCGGCGCGTGTAAATGCATACAAGGCCTTACATGTCCGACCAATGCGCAATAAACTGGGTCCATCCAAGGATTCCAGCAGCAGCAGGATTAGTTCGTCGGGTAGTGGCCGGAAAACACCAATAGCGACACGCAGGTTTTGTGTGGCTAAGAGTGCATTTCCACTAGGCTTGACACCCAACGGGTGGCTGGGAATAGCCTCATCTGCCACATCCCCGTCTTGGGCAGGTGGATAACTCGGGAGCGATGTGATGTCAGGCATTGTCCGCCACTTCGGTTTAGGGCTTCAAGGTTTTTTTTTTCTTTTTTCTGCCGGATTACCCCCAACAGCCCCAACTAAAATGTAATGCCGCGAAATAGCAGGAATAGAAGATAAAAGTTAATGAAAAGAAATAAGACGGAAGGCAAAGAAAAGCCGAACAATAGGGAAACTGGTCCGAACAATGCGCAACAGTCAAACGGCGTTCGCTTGCAATGTAACGGAACGACCCACAAAGGGCAGGCGGTGAGTCCCGCCCACTTCGCAAAAAAAAAAAGCGTCGCAGCAAATGGCGTCCGCCGCCGACGATTTTTTCCTCCTTCTTTTCCCACCCCATTTGTGACCCATTCACACCAACTACTACTTCAACCCCTAGTATCTCTCATTCTCTTCTTTCTTGAAGAGCTGTGATACTAGTACTTCTCCTCGTCTGCGAACTTTCCCCCACGGGCACGTTCGCTTAATTCCTTCACCCCACCCGATCACAACGGCGAGTCGTTAGTGATCACCAGTTTCTCAACCGCCAATATGTCCAACGACAAGGGCCTCGAGGATCTTCCCGAGGGTAAGTGAACTCTCGAATCTCTTGTTCCTGGCGATTTGAGCGATTTTCGCTCTTATCGCGGTCTTTGAAGACTTCAGTGGCGACCACAAAGGGGAGGACGTGGCTCGAGAATCAACGACTGACATGCTCTGCGCGCTCTACAGGACAGATCGAGTCCAACTACGATGAGATCACCGACTCTTTCGACTCCATGGACCTGAAGCCTGAGCTGCTTCGCGGTATGTGAAATTCCTTTGGGGAATCCTGAAAAATCCCCCTCGGCGGGGTACGTGCCGAAAATCCTGACTGTTGAATAGGTGTCTACGCCTACGGTTTCGAGCGCCCCTCTGCCATCCAGCAGCGCGCCATCATGCCCATTATCAAGGGTGAGTTGCTTCGTTTCGAATAATCTTGCAAGAAATGCGCCTAACATATGGTTAGGCAACGATGTCATCGCTCAGGCCCAGTCCGGTACCGGAAAGACCGCTACCTTCTCCATCTCCGCCCTGCAGAAGATCGACCCCAACCTCAAGGCTTGCCAGGCTCTGATCCTCGCCCCCACCCGTGAGTTGGCCCAGCAGATCCAGAAGGTCGTTGTTGCCATTGGTGACTTCATGACCCTCGATTGCCACGCCTGTATTGGTGGTACCAACGTCCGTGAGGACATGAACGCCCTCCGTGACGGCCCCCAGGTCGTTGTCGGTACCCCCGGCCGTGTCCACGACATGATCCAGCGTCGCGTCCTCCGCACCGACCACATGAAGCTGTTCATCCTCGACGAGGCCGATGAGATGCTGTCCCGTGGTTTCACCGAGCAGATCTACGACATCTTCCAGCTCCTTCCCCAGTCTACCCAGGTCACCCTTCTGTCCGCTACCATGCCCCAGGACGTCCTTGAGGTCACCACCAAGTTCATGCGTGACCCCGTCCGTATCCTGGTCAAGAAGCAGGAGCTTACCCTGGAGGGTATCAAGCAGTTCTACATCGCCGTTGAGAAGGAGGAGTGGAAGCTCGACACCCTGTCCGATCTCTACGAGACCGTCACCATTACCCAGGCCGTCATCTTCTGTAACACCCGCCGAAAGGTCGACTGGCTCACCGACAAGCTCACTGCCCGTGACTTCACCGTCTCTGCCATGCACGGTGACATGGAGCAGGGCCAGCGTGATGTTATCATGAAGGAGTTCCGTTCCGGTTCCTCCCGTGTCCTGATCGCCACTGACCTTCTGGCCCGTGGTATCGATGTCCAGCAGGTTTCCCTGGTCATCAACTACGACCTTCCCGCCAACCGCGAGAACTACATTCACCGTATCGGTCGTGGTGGTCGTTTCGGTCGTAAGGGTGTTGCCATCAACTTCGTCACCGCCGACGATGTTCGCATGCTCCGCGAGATCGAGCAGTTCTACAGCACCCAGGTTGAGGAGATGCCCATGAACGTTGCTGACCTCATCTAAACGCCCTAAACCCCCCTCTTATGTCTTGATGCGGATTACGATCGCAGAACCTGCGTTAAAAGTGGCTTTCTGTGTTCTTAACGCATTTCCGCTCGCAATGGCCCTTGATGGGCCAGTTCGGGCATTTTCCTGCGTGAGCTGATGTCGCTGGGCTGCCCTTGGGGGCCACTGTTATGGTTTCCTATGCCCCAGCACCCTCGGAGATGTGACACTTTTATGCTTTCTGTTGCTGTCACGGTTTTCTTTTTCCTGCATTTTCTCTTCCGTTTCCTCTGTATCTAGCTCGCTCTGGTTGGTTAAGAATGCCGCTTTTACCACGTACTTAATCAATAGATCGGGCCAAAATGTGACTTGTTCCTCACGGTTTCTTGCATTCGTACTGTACTCGTAGTTGACCTGGGTGGATGCACCCAACCTTCCACTCCCCATATTTTTACTCTCACTTGAGGCTGCCCTCCCCTTGTGTCATTCTCCTGTCCCCAGAATTCCACCCTCTCAACAATTGTCAATTCAGCCTACCCTAACGGTAAAGCTCACGTTCTCGGCGATGTCGCCAACCAACGCCTCGGGAGGCCCATCTGTCGCACCACAGGCCTTGTTGTGGTCATACGAACTAAGTCGCGAGAACAATACCCTCATCGAGCATATTGAAGAAGTGGAGAGCCAGCTCCTCAGAACAGAAGAGCACTCTCGCAACCTTGAACAATATCTGAAAAGCCTCACCAACCTTGTCGCTGCCTTCGACGTGATCAAGGGATCTAATAATGCCCATACCGAGGAGCGTCTGCGGCATCTTCATGAGCAACTCAAGAATACTGCTCTTTCCCTCTGTGAATCCGACCAGACGCTTGCAGATAAGAATAAAGCCTTGCTGAAATGTATCGCGGAGCTCGATAAAATCTGCAGCATGCCAGAAGATGCAACCCCCGAGGCATTGAACTACCAACCTGCATCCGTCACAGACCTGGAAGATCTACCTCCTACACGGTCCCCCATCGATATCTCCATCCCTCTCCCGCTCCCCACCGTGATAGTCCATGCCCCATCCCCTACCAACCGCCTCCCCTCCTGGCTCATCCCCGAAATAACAATGACCCTCTCCTCAATGTCCCAAAACAACCGCTCCCTCGAAGCCTACTACGACGAAGCCAACTACCTCCGCCGCCAATCCCACTCAACCCACGTCGAAGACGAGATCCTTGTCCGAAGATTCATCTCAGGCTGCGACGACAGACTCTACCGTCGCCGTCTCGACCATGCTGTCAGAAACGGTCAGATGAACTGGACCAGGTTGAGCCATGAGATCCAGCACTTGCTGAACGAGGAGGAGTACATGAAGAATCAGAAGTTTGCTCTTGCGCATCGGAATGAGGATGGGTCGGTTTTGTGGCCGGATGGGTCCGTTAGACATCGGTTTATTGCGTATTTGCCGTTTACAGAGGATGATCTTACGACTTCTGAAGATAATGTGTCTTCCTCGGAGGATGATTCCAAGGCGAAGAGTATTTGATGGGGGTTGTACATGGGTTGGGTACGGTGCAAAGGAGAACCGGTGGGACGAGCTTTAAGCAAGGATCTTGCTTTTATCGTATGGCTTCTATTATCGACGAAGACGAAAATTAACTCGCTTCCAGCTGGTTTTTTGGCAATCTAGGTGTCCTTCTTAATTCGTAGCATGGTGGTCTCGGAAGTTTCTGAGGTCGATACCTCCACCCATATGTTTCTTCTGCGACTACCCAGGTGTCCAAAGGTATTAATAGATATCTCGATGCCATGAGAGCAGAGACGATTGGTACCTGCATACACTCGAACGACTTTCCGTCGTTGGCGTATGAAATGGAAGACAATGGTGGATTTTGACCCCGCGATCGTGAATCCTAAGATTGAACATGTTTGTTCTGATTTCTCTTGGTTGGGCTGGACTTCAATATGAATTGCCAGCATGTTCATTGTAATAACCGTCCAACTGTCATTTACAAGACGACCTCTGACCTTTTAGCTTATTTCCTTATTTATTTATGATCCAGGTAACCACCAAATACACCTATATCTCCACCTATCGGCAGTCCGCTTCTCCGCCAAGACATCCCTTTCTTCCAACGTCATCGCAAGTTAAATCTTCACATCTTCCCATATCACGCATCATCTGCGATCAGCGCTTCATTCACAATGCAAGTGGCAGAAATTTTGTCCGATATCACATCTTTAAGAGTTTGTGTACGTGCTATGCTCCACTCGGTCAATACGCCCGAGATCTTCGTGCCCCACCTTCGAACTCTCGGAGTCGCGCATCAAGACGTGGCTTTTCATCCGCACGTGAGCTATACTGATATTTCATAACAGGGCCATTATGAAGGACTTACTCTGGTGAGCGTGAATAAGGCTATCGCTGGCACAAGTCTCCTGGATACAGGGGACGCGTCTACTGAAAATGCTACAGCTGGCGCAGACAAAGCTCAACGTTTCAAGAAAGACAACTTGCGGAAGGCAAAAGAGTTGGTCGAGCTTCACTACGAAGTGAAGTCGCGACATGTCAATGGCCAAGTCGACGAAGAACTACGACAGGCACGTGAAGGGGTTGAGCGGGTATTAAGGGAGCTTACATGAGCAGCTTGTGTATTTTAGGGAGCATTTCTAGTAGCTGCAACAGAACAGCTATGATACTATCACGATCATGGAACAATAAAATCAATTAATTTAAGTTTCGGCTCTTTATGGTTCACCAGGAACAACGCATGCAGAACACGGTAATATAAACAGGAGGAAAAGAGGTCGGGTATATCTATCCGGTACTTTGTGATCATTCCATCGAACAAAAATCAATAATCTGATCATAGGCCATCACTCGCCCCTCAGTCTTGCTGCAGAGATTCTTCATGGCGTTGGCTTTCACACGCATATTTGCGTCGCGGAGGATTTGAATCAAGGCTTGGGCGAATTCTGTGGCCTCGATGCCTGGCGCTGAGGTTCGGCTTCCGTTGATTCCTATTCCTAGCCACTCGACTCGTGTCGCACAGTCGTAGGTGTCGAGCCATTGGGGTAGGACAACTTGGGGGACACCGACTCTAGTTGGAGGTCAGCACACCACCATTTGTGGGAAGCAGTGGAGGGTTATACGTACTTGCAAGCCTCGAAATAAGAATTTGCTCCACCATGATGAACATAGGCGACAATCTGACCGGTTTCCAGAACCGACATGATGTCCGGCTGGATCCAAGGAGTCACAAGTACTGAACCGGCAGTGATGTGTGAGCCGAGAACGTTTTGGAATGTGCGTGATGTTTCCCAGTTATATCGTAGCTTCCACAGGACTTGCATGTCCGGATACTCGTAGAGCATCTTTCTGATTGCCTTCGCCATTTGTACGGCAACTTCCTCGCAAGGTTTGACGTGCGACCCCAGGCTGATCAAGACTGTTGGCTTCTGGAGCCATTCGTGCAGCTCTGGGTCTACTACTGCAAGTGGCTGGCACAATCGGACAATCGGCCCGCAGCTGATGACGTTGTTTGGAACGCGGAATGGGAAATCCATCTCGGGGAATGCCGGCGTGAGGTTTAACGTATCTTTGGAATAGGCGTTTCTCAAAGGGAATGGGCTCCGCTCCTCTTGCGCCTTTTCGGGGTCTTGTTTATCGCTGACTGATTTTGCGCAGGCCAGGGCCAATCCGACCCGAGCAACCAAATAGATGTTGGAAAGAACCAAGTTCCAGGGTAGTGGGAATGGGTAGCCTGATCCTGTTCTGTGGAGGGGTTAGCGATGATGTCGCAGTGTTTCCAAAGTGATACGTCTCTAGCTTACACCGGATACTTCCACAAAACACCAGCCTTTGGTTGATTCAAAACCACCACATCCTTAATGGGCACTGGCCAAAGAATAACCTGTCGAGCAGTGCTTTTCTCACACGCATCCAGACCAACGTGCAAAATTGGATCTATAACAACCACGGACGGGCCCACTTTCTCGAGTATTTCAAGACAGCTTCGGTAAGCTCGTGCATATTCGGTGGGCTTCCAGTTGGACATTGCATTGCGGACTTTGTTAAAGCCCTCTGTAGCACCTTTGATTCCCGGTGGGTGATAGAGAAGGCCAACCATACTCCGGACAGCAAGATCAGTCATACTAGGACCAAAGATTTCATGGAACTCCGCTGATCGATCAGTGTCGACCACACGCGAGTTCAACTCCTGTACCAGCGGTGCTGCCGCACTGAATGAGGCAAAATGTACATTGAAATCTCCGCGTCGCAAGAATTCCTCGGCCACTGCGAGGGCCACATTGCACTGACCTAGTTCACTGTTCGTTAAAAACAAGACATTGCCAGTGTGAGACGACATGGTGGCTTTGATGCAAGAAATATTCTAGAAATCTTCCATTATCCACGAAGGATCTGGCCAAATTTAAGCCATGCTAGAAGGCGGATACAAGATCGACCCACCCAGTTCGAAGGTATGTCAATACGGCAAGTGATAATTGGGTTACGCGAACACTAGTCCCTGTATCCTCCACTTACCCCGAAGGTGGACCCTATATCGGAGCCTGTGTTCCCAAAAAGAGCATGATAGGAGCGGCAAGTTCACCGCAACTTTCCTGCGGCTGGGCGCTCTGCCGATCTGTGCAGTTCCTGATGCGAGCGCGACATGTACAGTTTGGACTGGCCCAGGGTCCCGGGCAATCTAGCCGAACCTTAGAAGGTCTATAGACCGGTTTCGTGTCATGCTGAAACCCTTATTGAGAGGCCTCATTTATGGGTTTACTCGAAACGGTGACTCGCAGAAATTAAGGTGAGTGGTGTAAAGTGAAAAGAGAAGTAGCTCCGTGGGTCTCGCCCGATAAACTAACTCAATCTAAGGCTCTAAGTGGATCGGCGGGGTTCGACGAACCGTGCTTCGGGTACCGAGGTGATTGAAATCGGCATCTCCGAGGAGATCGCCCACCCAATTTACCCACATGTGGTGCCACAAAAAAATCGGAATAACTATCATTTAATCATGTCTAATTTGGGCGATTCCAGAAGACTTTCGATGCCATAGGCTCGTCGAAAGACGTAACACTGCCTTATAAGGCTGTAACACGTTGCTCAAGCTCGGACGTGCGAGTCAAGACTGCGGTTGTCAGATCGGCTCCCGAGTGCGTCGGGAGCAGTCTGTCCCTGCGACACTGAAATATGCAGGGTTACCTTGGTCTCATCAAGGTGACCCTGTCGGTGGATATACGTCAACCTATACCCGCAAGCTTTGGCCGTGATGAGGCACATCGCATGCGGGGCCGGGTATGAACCGTTTCAAGTAAACCTTGTTCGGGTCAATCGTTATTTCAAGCTGCAAGCATTATTGAACCGTTGAATACTACCCGAGCAAGACCTTAATGCATGCTATAGACAGAATCAAGCGTCCTTCAAAGTCGGCTAAATTTCGGAGGTGATTCCTCCGATCCTTCTCGGATTGTCCAGAATCGTGGTTGTTTTCTCAAAAATCAGACTGGGCGTTTGCCAATATCGAGTTTATCAGACACACTCACCTGAAGGGTAATTACAAGCCACCTGCATCTTGAAAATTCAAAACCTGCCAAGTACCATGGAATGGTCGCCAAATCCTGCTCATCTCGTATTTAACATCATATTGGATCCTGATTACGCAGACTGGTGATACTAGAAAATGGCTACCGGGTAAACCTTGTTGTCCGATACCAACATGAATTGTCGAAGACCGTGTCCTCCCAATGAAACAGATATGACCTTCCAGCAAATAATGTTGTCCCTATGGATGACACGTCGGAAATAAGAGCCGAGGTGAAACCGCGATCATTCGGCTTGATCCTGCCGGCAGTTAACTACCGGCACCTCGGAGATGAGAGGGATAATTCAAAGGCTACTAGTTTTAATCTGCTTGTCTTCATTACCAAGTAGTTGAACGCAATTGTTGGCGATTGCCGAGCGAGAGCTCGGCATACTCCTATGGCTTCGAAACCTTCTCAGTCAACTTGACTGCAATGATCCCCTTCTTGGTGTGCCACTGACGTTATGACTGTGCTTCTTAAACCCTTTTCAAGTATCTTCAATTCATTGCTGAGATTTTAATCTTAAGCTTACGGTATCGGGAAGGTTGTTGCGCTCACCTCCCTCTTCGTCGAGACCATTGATATTAGTTAAGGGATCCCACGGGACAGTTAGATGGAGCAGCTTTTTGAGATAAAGCATTTGTGACCTAAAGCCACAACCACGATGCAATCAAATGGAGTCGTGGTGAAAGAAAGTTTACAACTTCACAAACTTGCTCTCGTCAAGATACGCAAGCTTTGTAAAAGCCTTGACCAATCGTTCGGGCTCGTTAGCACCTGCCTTTGCTATGGCGTCGTCGATCCGTTTTCGGCTAGAAATCAGCTGCCTGGCAACCTGATTCCACTCCACGCTTTGCCGAGGGATAGTCACGTCGGTCATAAGTGGATCGACTTTCACAGTGCACAGCTTTCCATTGCGCTTCCTGATGTGGCCATCGACAATCACAGTATCGATATCACGAACCGATGAGTGAAGAACGATAGCCGCGACTGGGTCTTCCTCAGATGCGCAGACCATTCCAGGGCTGTTGCCATCAAAGATGACAAGGTCCGCAAATTTTCCAACTTCGATCGATCCCAGCTTATCCTCCATATGGATAGCTCGTGCTCCTTGTATAGTGCCAAGACGGAACACATCTTGGACGAAAAGATTTAGCGATACGGCTATTTTGCCTTGACTGATGACTTGCTCATTGCGACAGGATCTCTCATGCTGCAGAGCAAGGCGCATCTGTGAGACCATGTCGCCGGAGTTGTTGCTGTGGCAATCAATTCCCAAAGCACACATGTTGGTACAGCCCTCTCGGAAACAAACAATATTTCCGTGACCCATTTGCAACTCGGTATCTGGTGTAGTGGAGATCCAAGATTTAGCTTGAGTGAGCTTTGGAATGTCAGTCTCTGTGAGATTGGTGGCATGCGAAAAGAGGATATCCGGTCCCAGAAGATTATACGAGTCGAGGGTGTCAACAAGTGACTGTTCGGCTGTGGCATAATTAGCCTTTATCAGAGAATTCGATATCATTATCACTCACCGAAATACCCCCTCACGTAATGAGACGTGATTACCTTCACTCCGAGCTTGCGTGCTTCTGTATAGAGAGAGACAACTTGTTCCTTTGGTAGCATGAACCCATCAAAAGCCAATCCCAGCTGGATCCGCCCGTCTCCAAAAGGAGCAGTAGCACCCAGGTGCCTCAAATGATCAATCACCCATTCATCCAACAGGCCACCGTCAAGGCTGAGGTCAGGCTGGAAGGTCTTGATACGCATAGTTGGTGCGTAGCAGAACACGGACCTGATCCCAGATGACGCTGTTGCCTCGATTGCATTTGAAGCTGGAACAAATCTTAGCGACTAGTAATATATGAACAGGTAATACTTACTATGAGCGGTCGAAACATTTACATGGGCATGATCTACAACCGTCGTGGTACCTGCATCCAAGGCTTCAAGGCAGCCTCCAAGCTCACCCCAGAACACATCCGCGGGTTCGTAGTTGGCATGTTGCATGTTCACTGCCTAATATTAGCACTTTAAAGGCAATTTTACCGAGATGAGAGCTAGTGACAGACCTGGCATATATTCCAACAGGGTCTGGTTGGCATGGCGCCCTTTCAATTGCGTCTGCCATAGATGGTGATGCGTATCGATAAAGCCAGGAGAGACAATTTTGTCAGTGCAGTCAATGATTTCCGCTCCAGTTGGAGGAGTGATATCTTGTTGGATTTGCGCAATTTTGTGGTCCGTAATCAGTAATGAATGGCCCCGCAGAGCCACCACATAGTCATTCGGTTCATGGGATGGGACTAGGATGGTTGCGTTTTGAAGGAGGATATGAGAAGGCATTTTGGTTTGAGGATTGTCTCTTATTTGTGCGAGAATTCAAAGTTCCGGCGATTAAAGTATTATAGTCAATTTATATCCGTGTGGGGATTCAGGCCTTCCATCTCGGCGTTAACAACATATATAAGCGAACGGGCATTCGGAAGGCCGAACAGGCGAAGTGATACGAAACTCGCGAAAAAGCCTAGAACATCATTAATGACTAATTGTTGAATACTTGTTGAATAAAATAGATTTCATGTTTGATTGCATGTCGATTTATCCATTTATACATGACTGTTGAAGTTAAGGCTCTGATGTTAAAACACATCATGACGTCATCTTGCTTTCTCCGATTAAATCCGTTCAAGAACAAAGCTTTCAGCATTACCTTTTGCTTTGAAAAAGTGCTTCGTATCATAATCACAACCTAATTCTACCATTTCGAATCTCAAATAACCTGCAATGAGACAAGTAGTGCCAATCAAACCCTACCAAGATGTCCTCGATTTCTGGTTCGGTCGGAAATCTGCTCGCGATTATCTGAAAGAGAAGTCCTTCTGGTACGGCAGTCCAACAGACGATGCCTACGTACGCAAAAGCCTCGGCGAATCATATGAAGAGGCCAAGAATGGCAGTCTCGACGAATGGATGCGCGAAGGCGAAGGCGCCTTAGCCTTGATTCTACTCCTCGATCAAGTCCCCCGGAACATCTTTCGCGGAACACCACAGGCATATGCCACGGATTCCAAGGCCGTGACAGTCGCGCGTTATGCGATAGAGCGGAAATGGGATAAAGAACTTCCGACTATTCAAAGGCGGTATATGTACTCGCCTTTCAACCACTCAGAGGATTTGAAAGATCAGGAATATTCAGTTAAGCTATTCACTGAATTGGGGGACTCATATCATTTACATTGGGCGAAGGACTTCCGTGATCAAATTGGACGGAATGGGCGCTTCACGCATCGGGACAGTATCTTAGGAAGGTCCTAGGAAGGTCTTAGGAAGGTGGATTGGACTAGAGCAGACTGCGTTGTGGGCATGTGTAGAGTAAAATGAGGATGATCCTAATGTTACACCGAGGCCCTAGCATATGATTTTAATTATTCGTGTCCCAGTTTAAATAAAAAATTTGAGGTCTCATGGAGGTAAAGGAATGTAAAATTACAACAGCAGCTTCCAAGTCAATCCTATCGGCCAGGTTGACATCTTGTGGCGACGCTCAACAAATGGGAATCAAGATTCGGTTTTTTTTTTTTTTTTCGGCGCAAGATCAAAGCGAAAACTTGGGTTTATTCAACCAAACCAAAGCAGATTGCACTTTTTTATTTACCCAGAACAAGAGGCAGGAATCTACAAGAGAATGGGATTTGTTATGACGGCCCACAGTTTCATCGCGCATTTTAATTCGTGAGACCAGAGGAATAATTTCTGGAAATGCGTAAAGACTTCGCATGACACAGAACTTATTCTTGTCGTAATCAATATATCCCGCCCGGATAGTATAGTGGTATTATGCCTCGTTTGGGTACTGCAGCGTCAAACCTGCAATCTTGAATCGAGGAGGTCCCGCGTTCGAATCGCGGTTCGGGCCCTTTCTTTTTTTTTTTCCCTCTGAAATTCTTTTCTTTATCTTGGATACCTTCTATATTCTGATCTGTCTGTTTTTCAATGATTCATTGTCATTTCGCGAGCAAATCCACGGGGCAGCCTCGATTAAAATAGCTGTGGATAAACAAACGGTTGCGACTGATCTGAGTGCTTGGGGTAGTTCCGGCGGCGGGCGGCGTCAATTATTGGTACGGGCTAAGCGGAGTACATATCCAGCTTCCTCTTCCGCTCGGTGATTCTGCCATGTGCGATCGGCTTTCGAGCCTTCTCCTTGTCATCTTCGATCAAGTTTTGGGCTTTGACTAAAGCAGCGATTCAAGCGTTAATGCTGAGACCCTTTCCAAAGGTGGCATTTTGCCAAATATTCAATGGAAGGTGTCACCGGGTCAGTGGGCTGAGCGTGCAGGAACACATGTAGCAATCTAGTTTGTGGTTAATCGACTCATCGGAGACTCTGCATACCGTCTTCTTTCCATTGTCAGCGTGGGCCTTAATATCGACTCGCCCTCGGATTGGCCACCGGCTTGGGGAAGAATGAAACAAGCTTATACTCTCCGAAACTTCTGGGGGTAAGCTATTTCCTTATTTCTTTGACGTCCTCCTCTGACAGATTTAGTTGTATTCCGGCACCAATTTATGCGACAACCTTTCTCCTCTTTGGGCAACTTCATCGCGCGAGATCTTCTGGGCTTGACACCATCATCGACCCTTGAGCGATACACCAACCTCTTCGTCGTTTTCGTGCTATCAAGTCTTTATCATGTAATTGTGGATCTGCTGCAGAGTGTTTCACCTGAGATGTCAGGGTCAATTGACTTTTACATGGCCTTTGTCATCGGCATTATACTCGAGGACCGTATACAAGCACTATGGGACCGCTTTGGAGCTCCTGGCATGGCCTTGAATCCTGAAAAGCCACCCCCCTCATGTGGCAGAGGATTATTGGACTACTGTGGGTCATGACATGGCTTGCTATCAGATCAACATGGTATTTTACTCCAATGATTCAATTGACTGGGCCAGACGTAACCATGGTCCCGTTCAGCTTATCGGGGGAACTTGGTCTACCTATTTCAGGCACACTTGTCATATTATTCGGTACCGCCCTGCCATGGATATTTGAAGTTGAGCTTTAATGCAGCCCGAATTTACGATCTAAGATATCAATAAAGGACCTTTCGAAGCGAGGTTCTGGATCACAATCGCCAGTTAATATCAGATGTGCATGATGTTACAGTCGATAGCGAAAACGGCTTCTACCCTCATGGCTGCTTTTCTTCTCCCAGGACCCACTGCCAAGAGACTTTTACCCCACTTCTCTTACGAAAACACATAGGGCTCGCAAATAGGGCGATACTAATACCTTACAATACGTACATCTTATAAAACAACGGTGTTCTAACAGAGTCTCGTAAGAAACCTCAGCATAGCTGCCATCGCAAGACATAAATGGCTAGTCATTAAACAAAAATAGACGCTCAAAATTATTTAGTGAAACCTATCTATTCCATTAATTTACTTAGAATTATATGTATAAACCTTTGATCGAGAAAGCGATAGGTACATACAAAATTTCCATTAAGCTACAAATTCTAGAGGCCATTAGACCATTGCTCTCATGAGAGAGATCGAAGGGCATGGACCATAAAAACTTAGGTGTGCCCGACAATTTACGCAATCGTACTGTAATTTATCCTTCGAGAATCGGAGTTTGAAGAGTTAACATCACGGCCCTTCGAAGCTCATTGACAGCTCATCGTCGGCTATGGGCCCCCCCTCAGATGAGCTCGAGCCTGTGACTCATATCCTAGCGAGACTCTTCAACATTGACTTCAGCTCCTTTCTCCAACAGTAGCTGCACAAGTTTATTGTGTCCTCCGGAACACGCAGCACAGAGAGCATTTTCATAGCGTCCACCTTCAGCATTGACCTCAGCTACTTTTTCGAGCAGTAGCTGCACAATTTTATCGTGTCCTTGGGAAGACGCAACATAAAGAGCATTTTCATGGCGTCCACCTTCAGCATTGACCTCGGCTCCTTTTTCGAGCAGTAGCTGCACGATTTCATCGTGTCCTTTGAAAGACGCGGCAAAGAGAGCATTTCCATAGTATCCACCTTGGGCATTGACCTCAGCTCCTTTCTCGAGCAGTAGCTGCACAAGTTTATCATGTCCTTCGGAAGACGCAGCCTGGAGAGCATTTCCATAGTGTCCACCTTGGGCATTAACCTCAGCTCCTTTCTCGAGCAGTAGCTGCACAAGTTTATCATGTCCTTCGGAAGACGCAGCCTGGAGAGCATTTCCATAGTGTCCACCTTGGGCATTAACCTCAGCTCCTTTCTCGAGCAGTAGCTGCACGATTTTATCGTGTCCTTCGGAAGACGTAGCATAGAGAGCATTTTCATAGTGTCCACCTTGGGCATTGACCTCAGCTCCTTTCTCGAGCAGTAGCCGCACGATCTTATCTTGTCCTTTGAAAGACGCAGCCTGGAGAGCATTTCCGTAGTATCCACCTTGGGCATTAACCTCAGCTCCTTTCTCGAGCAGTAGCTGCACGATTTTATCGTGTCCTTTGAAAGACGCAGTTTTGAGAGCATTTCCATAGTACCGACCTTGGGCATTGACCTCAGCTCCTTTCTCGAGCAGTAGCTGCACGATTTCATCGTGTCCTTCGAAAGACGCAGCTTGGAGAGCATTTCTATCCTCTCTATCTTGGGCATTGACCTCAGCTCCTTTCTCGAGCAGTAGCTGCACGACTTTCTCATGACCATTCACTGATGCAGAAATGACAGGGTAGGTTCCGGTACCATCGGTCGAATTGATGTCCTCTCCCCCAAGAGATAGTAGAACCCCAACTTGTCGCTCATGCCCGTTAAACGATGCCAGATGCAAAGCAGTTATTGCCGGCGGATGCTCGTCACGCCGCATAGCGTTCCAGAAGATAGGGAACCACAATGAAAACCTTTTCCTCCTTGTATCGTAAATTTGTAGGACTTGACCGGTCGCTTCTTGGTCCTGGGTCAGACTCATCTTCCGTTTGTGGTCCGGCCAATATAGTGCTGAATAGTCTAGAAAGCTTCGAATTTTAGAGCTCGAAACCTCATCATGTTCCAAATCCTCCATCAGTAGGTATCGTAAACAGATAATGGCCATTTGATCCTCGGTGTCCGTCAAGCTCCACGAATACAAGTAGTTGATACTGTTAGAACAACTCCTCTTCACAAGAAATTCCCTGGCTGTCTGATGAATCAAATAGATCTTGGAGTTGTTAATGAAAACAAAAAGACCACACAATCGACGCAGCTTTTTGTCGATCTGGATTGACTCTAGTCCAGCACCTGCCGCAGTTTGGGCTCGTGGGGAGGTGGCTATACCGAGTGCCATGGCCATTTCCGCCATTGTCAAAGGGCGCCGTGCCGCAATGATAATTTGTAAGATCTTCCTCACAATTTCCACTTGGCGGGGGGGCACTCGAGAAAGAATCTTCTCGTATGCCGCATCTACCGATTCAGGTATCAACTCGATTTCCTCCTCGGTCGGACGAAGGCTGTTCTCGAATGTAGACTGAATATCGTCTATGGCTAAATGTAACCACAGATAAGTACGGTGCTCCATTTGCAGAAGCTGTTGCTCCAGTCGCTGGACTGTTTCCCGTGACAACGCCGCTCTTTCGGCGAGCTCCTTTACTCGCATCTTCACGACAAGATCGATTTCTTGGTGGATCTGATCGTTTTCTTTCTCCCCTTCAAGATGAAGATGTGGGAAAGGGTCTGTGATTGCTCGGAAATTATTCTGGATATCACTATAGGGCCGACTGGTAACTAGGCATTTTAACCAGGTATCCTCTATGTGCGGATGTGACAGGCGGAAAAATGACTGGAGCTTCTCAATGAGTTGATTCCGATCAGTCTCATGACATTCATCAAGCGCGTCGAATATGCAGATTGTCTTGCAAGATTTATCAAATAATACGGCGGTCGTGAATATTCTCCACAGTTCGTCAACCTCCTGCCGGAGCTTCTCCCCATTTTTTTCCCAATATGGTATGGCATGACGTATGAGCTGAGGCCGCTGGCTAAGAAGTTGATGGAGTACCGAGCAAAGTGCTAAAGCAAGATGATTTTGTTCATCGTTATCTTTGAAAAAAAAATAACAAGTTGTCACTTCTGGGCAAGAAGCTTCGAAGAAGTCTTCGATTATCGATCGGGAAAGTACAGACTTCCCACAGCCTGGGTCGGCCGACACCCAGAGAAGATCGTTGCCGCTGCTCTTGGACCAACGGATATATTCGGCGCTCTGTAAAGCCCAGAGGCAGGTTCCTTCCACTTTTCTCGGATTGATGTTCTTTTGCGCCTCATAAGCTGATGTCTTGAATGTTTGGAGACAACGGTTTTGCTGATCCGTCAAAGCAAACGCAACCTTCTCACGATGATGCTGTTCTTGTTGACTGTATGCTTGGTCCAGGCGTCGATTTGTGCCTTCAATTTTGTCGTTTAATCCTTCGACATAGAGCCTCATGAGTAAGATACCTTTTATTTAGGACTAACTAAGCTAAGGTCAATCTTACTTACTGCAAATATCTACTACCAAGCTCTCTTGTGAAACTCGACCAACCGGGACATAGCCCAGTAGCTCTTTTGTGTATGCTGCAGCTGCCAGGGCAGCATATCCCTGCCATTGCTTATTCTTATGCGAATCGGCATAATCACAAACACCGCGGATGACAACGCAGGGGAAGTCCAACATCAGACCAGCTGCCTCCATCTCGAAGCACAATGCCCCAGTCTCTAAACAAAGTTGCTCTCTTGTCCGCCCGTGCTTGATGACCTTATTACTAGAAGCAATAATACCATAATAGGTCTGTGGATCCTCGTCTTCCCGTTTATCTCTGGTCTCTTCCCACTCCGCTAGACATCCGTCACAGCTGCTTGAACTAGCAGGATGATCATGGATAGCCTGAAAGAGTCGATCGGAATTTGCGGTAGGCCGGGCAAAATTCTTCCGAGTTCGAGCGGTTCTTTCGATTGCGTTTCGGAGATATTGAGGGTAGTGGGGATCATCTGTCAGCCCGGCAGCTCTCATTATGCTAACTGCAGTCAAAAGTGCCCTTGGGGGAGCATTTAGCGAGCCAGTTCGTTCAAACTCCCCATCTGCAATAACCTTGCCTATATCATATTGAATCACCCCACCGCAAGTGCCTTCGGGACAGCTGATGACGATATCGCCGAGACGGATATCATGAGCAGCTGAAGGGATTCCACCCCCAATACCGACCATCAGTCCGATTCGAAGTGACTTGGCGAAGGTGCGAAGCATGTTGTTTGCGACCGTGGTAGCTGACGTTGTTCCGTACTGGCCTCCAGGGAGGCAAGCGATTACGACGTAATGTTTGCCAATTCGGCCCAACATATAGGTATTCGAATCCGCCGCATCTTGCTCCTCGAGAATCCCAAATTTCTCATCTAGCATTTCTATAGCAGCTGCAGCCTCGATCGGAAGGGCACAGATCCAGCCGATTTGGAAGGCATTTCGTGGGGGACGGGCCATGTGGAAGGCCTAGCGTGGTTTCGCTAGAGGAATGGTGCATTGACGATACTATGTGGGAAAGTTGATTAGCGACAAAGGCTGACGAGCTCTTGACTGGGTGAAAGGGAGAGAAGAGCCCCATTGCGTGGCAGACAGTAGCAACCCCGCCGCCAGCAGTAGAGGCACAGCCTAGGTTGAGGAAGCAGCATAGCGCGGCAATCAAGCGAATGTTATTGGAGAAAGAGACATCGCACGTGATATATAGTCCGTGACCGACTGACGTGGCACAACGGACGGAACCCAGTCAGCAATGGTGGCTGCAGCACCGCCGGGTAGATATGGCACCAACCCTTGAGCCATGGCGACTCGAGCTCATTCGTGACATGATACAAGACTCTCAGCTGTATACTAACGCAGAAATAGCCCAAGCTGCCCACTGCACCCCGCGATCAATCAGCACTGTCCGCTCGAACTTACGATGCTTTGGAAATGTCAGGGCCCCTGCCAACGGTATTGGACGACGACGGACGATCACCCCACCTATGCTTGAGGCTCTCTGTGAGCGCCTCCTCGAAAAGCCGGACTTATATCAGGATAAGATAGTGGTCTTTTTGTGGGATGAGTTTTGCGTTCTCGTGACTATATATAGCATCGGCAGAGCGCTCGCTTCGGTTGGGTGGTCTAAGAAAGCTACAAGGCGAATAGCGAGAGGACGGAATATTGAACTTCGGGACTTCTATCTTCACACCATCTCCTCTTTCCGATCCTATCACCTAGTGTATGTGGATAAGTCGGGCTGTGATAAACGAGCGGGTTTCAGACGGACTGGGTGGTCTCCACTGGGAGTAACACCCGTGCAGATTTCTCAATTTCACCGCGGGCAGCGTTACCAGATACTTCCCGTATATACCTAGGATAGCGTCGTCCTTACACGAGTTATCCAGGGATCGACCGATACTGTTGTGTTTGAGGATTATATACGGTAACTTCTACATCACTATAGGAAGTGGCCAGAGCCGAAATCCGTTCTTATTATAGATAATGCCTCTTTCTATTATACGGAGGGTATTCGGCAACTTTATTCCGCGGCCGGGGTCAAATTGGTGTACTTACCACCCTACTCCCCAGATCTAAACCCTATTGAGGAGTTCTTTGCTGAGCTTAAGGCTTTCATTAAACGATATTAGCTGACGTATAAGGAGAATCCGGGCCAGGGTTTCAGTAGCTACCTCGAATAGTGTGTTGATGTAGTTGGGGCAAGGGAGAAAAGCGCGAAAGGCCATTTCCGATATACAGGCTAGAATATCGAAGAACCGTGACAATCGAGTATATATTTTTTCCATTTTACAGTCTATCCTCTATATTGCACTTATAATGCTCGACCCAATATTTGATGTCTTTAACAAAACGACGAGCAATACCTCTTTTGATACCATTCTTGATAAAAAATCCAGGATCCTGATCCTTGTAGATCTACACAAGATCCAGTCTATCTTCGAGGGTAGTAACGCGAGCTTTCCGAAATTCTTCCTTTAGTTTCTCATTATTTACTTAGGATTGCTGCCAGTCACTATATTCAGTAATAGCAAAGTCCCGCAGACCAGGGATTTCGAGGAAATCTGAGGACGGATTTCCTAGGCACGAAGACGGCATTAGGGTCGGTGTAGTTAGTACAGAAAGAGGAGAAGCCTGCGCAGGAAAAACGTTTGTGATATTGATAGGGGGGTAACTATTGGCGGACTGAGTGCCTCCCTTTTGCCTCTCAAGTCGCTGCTGCTCCTGTATATATAGCTTTTTACGGATTGATTTAGGGACGTCGTCGTGGGTTTTTAATAGACCACCTTCCTCCGCGTAGCTCACCAGGGCCCTCGGATTCTGTACTGTCAGCTTAATATGTTTCTTGCTTATAGGATCACGCCAGCAGTGCGGTCCTAGCTTATATGCGCCACTGGAGCACCGCATCAGGCCGTAAACATGGTCCCAAGTAGGAGGTTGCCCAGTAGCCTATTCTTCTATATTAATATTTATTTACCGCTCAAGTAATATAAGCTAGGTAGCAGATAAGGTCCCTCTTTTATCCGTCCCTCTTGGAGTCAGCCTTGGGATATAACTGCCCTCAGTATAGTTGAACGATATATTTAGTGTTAGTTTCTTCCCAGTACGGAAAAGATCACCCCACAAGAAAAGCTGTTTCTCCATAGCGGGCCAATCCACTTCTATTTTATTATAGGAGAGAGTGAGGTCTGGCTGATTACGGTGGTTAACCGATACAACGATGGTTGTATTATCTAATTCAACACTTTTCTATGCAAATTTCTTTCCTACAATTTCCTTTAATTTAGGCCCTTGGAAAAGACGCCAGTGAAATCGCGGGGCCAGCACTAGGTCTTGCTCTGTGCTTTTCCAGATAGATTTGTTCTTGTTGAGGGTTATCTTCTACACAATCGAATAGTGAATACAGGTGGGTGGAAGCTCATTATACAATCTTCCTTCTTCCCACTCACCTAGCTAAAGTAATTAAATCTGGTTTATTTAAGGCGATTGGCGCTGCGGGGAAAAGTCGTTATCTGGGTGGTCTTCTGGGCTAATCAAATTTATTACGGAGGGTATCTGGCAGATGCTATATCCGGGGGTCGGGGTATATTCTGGAGTCGGGGCAAAGAGCGATGATTGGTTGGGATAGTTATACGAATTAAATAGCAGTGGATCATTCTGAGTGTCGAATGGGCTACGCATATTTGTGCAGCTATTCAGGTGAATATTAATATTATAGTATATCGAGAGGCTTTGGCGGGGAAGGAGGGGGGGATCTTCTACTTTGGTTGATACTCGTTGATTCTTACCTGGAGAAAGCGGCCGCTGAACAGAGAGCACAGGTAAACAAGAAATTCTGTGGAGTAAGCAGTATCTGGTGACAGCGTTGGTAGGCTACACGATCGTTCTCTTCGGTCTGATCGGTGACGACGGAGCCCTGCGAGAGGCGATAAGGTTGGGACACCCGGAAATCAGGCAGAGCACAGTGTTTGCCTTATTTGCACGTAGATCTTCCAGGTTCTACGGTATTCCATAAGATGATCGACCACTATTCCTAATCAGGAATAGATGTAAGCATCTAATATTGAAGTCCTCACAAATCTGCGTCTTCCCCGGTACACAGAAAAGAGAAAAGAAATTTTTAAATAAGGTCACAACGACAAGGCTGAAATAATATAGGTAGTAAATATTATCTTATTGAGTCTCATGTTGATGCTAATTACAAATGGATAAGGCATGGATGAGTCTTTCAACAGTTCCGTATTCAGTAAGTTGAGGGCCGCGCAAGGGGTCTTACAAGCCAATTATTCTACACAACGCGGTGTCACGTGATATATACGCTCCCAAAGGATATGTGAATCAAACACTGCAAATTAGACAATGTATTTTATTGCGCATGTAGATGCGCCAGACGCAGCCATCGAGTAATTTAATATCGTAAATCTAGTATTTAATACCGCACAATACCAAAGGCTGTCATTCCAGTACTAGCTCGCGCGTAATAGAGTTTCACGCCAGTTCCTTGGCAGTGGGGCCCGAGAAAAGAAAAACAGCCATCAGGGTAGAAGCCGTTTTCGCTATCGACTGTATCAATAGTAGGGAGCGAGTATGTTTAGCCTGGAGAAAAGTGCGCCCAAAACCACAACTGGTTGCTAAATCTCAACCCAAAAACGAAACCGCATTGGGTCGGTTTCAACCACAGAATAATTTTTGCATAAAATTGCATAAATTTCTAAAATAAAAACATACAGTGTCGGCGGCTACGACCTTGTCAAGTGGAAGCAAATGATTAAAGACAGGCGGCTGTGACTTGACCCCTCAGACGTCATCAAAATTGTTAAGAAGGATACCCTGCGAAAGGAACAAAAAGAGTGCTAACAAAAGCTTCCAAGATATGCCCAAAGACATGTCAAGAAAATGAATAGTCAAGTGTGGAGGTCCCTTTGGGCGGTCTTCTCGTGTACCTTAGATTGAGGCCCTTGCGGCCAGCGGGTCCAAGACTGGAAAGTCCCATCGAGCCGCACCCCACCTCATGTTTACCTCCCATTACTCCCATTCAGAACCGTTACGGGAATTCAGCCCCGCAACTCAAGCCTCTCTCGACTGCCGCTGCTTACATCCTGATACATTACCCCTTTTCAATCGACAGTTCGTCCCATGGGAATGGCGCGGTCCAAATCTGAGACCTGCATTCACCGCTCCCTATCTTTTACATCCTCCCCTCACGCCGAGGTGGCAGGCTTCAAAGGACAAAGCAGCAGGCAACTAATTGCAGCGAGAAGACCGTCAAGTCTAACTGGACAACCAAGATTTGACTTGGCAGCGGACCATTCAGAGACATTCCCGGCTCCGTTGCTGCTGCCTGGTGATGACCTCGCCGAGGACCCGAATCATCCGACTCAAAGCTTTCAAGAATGGCTGGGTGAAAAGATACGCAATAGGCTCACTCCAACACGCAAGACAATATATGTGATACCCCCACCAGAGATCGGTGACGAGGTCGGCTTCATGCGATCGTGGGTCAAGCCAGGGTCCCATGCTGCCAGAGATAGCCGCGCACAGCTACCTCAACCTCAAGATGTGTGCGACTATTTAGAAGCATTTTACCATGGGGTGTCCGTGAAGCTGCTCCCCTCCTCAACATTCACTTTCACGTCGTGGGAGAAAGAGGAAGTGAAAATTTCAAAGACGACATGCAAACCACCAAAAAAGAGATATGTGGGCCTTAAATGCGGCACAGAGGTTACGCGCATCCGTGCCCGTCCCTCACCCGATGAAGTATTTAGCGGACAAGTGAACCTCGATGATCTTCTCGATGCTGTTATAGCGATGCTGCCTCAGGATGCATTCTCAGTGCAGCTTTTGATGCACCATGATATGTATGAGGATGAGGATGATGAGTTCGGCTGCGGTCGCGCATACGCCGGTAGTCGGGTCTGCGTTGTCTCAAGTGCGCGATATGACCCGTGTCTCGATGAGGTGGAAGAAATTGAGCGTCTTCATTCCTGGCCAGCATCCCATTGCGAAGACTACATCTCTCAATATTGTTCCGTTTCTGAGCCGAGGGCAAAACGACCCAAGACTGGAAAAACAAAAGCTGGGAAACCAAGATCAAATATCGCTCTAAATGGCCCAATGAAAGCGGCATTGTCTGTATATAAATCCCTTCCCATGTCGGATCAATCAACGTCTTTACTTTCGGCACTTTGGCTAGGCCGAACCTGCCGCACCGCAGCTCACGAGCTGGGTCATTGCTTCGGCATGGACCATTGTGTCTACTACGCCTGCTCTATGCAAGGCACCGCATCGATTCGCGAGGATGCAAGACAGCCACCTTATCTCTGCCCGGTGGATCTTGCCAAGGTTCTTCACGAAACTAAAGGCACTGTTGAGAAAAGATATCAAGCTCTGCTGGACTTTTGTGAGCGCCCTGGGAACAAAGGGACACACTTCTTTGCTCCTTTTGCGGCATGGCTTCAAGCAAGATTGCAGCCAGCGAACATAGTAGTAGATCTGACATAGCGAGTTCTGTATCCTAGATTAATACGCCAATCTTTACGCATTGTGTTTGAGGCATCCAATAGTTAACTACTTCAATAAACCATTTCTGGGCCCTTCCCACACCGCTTTTATGGAGTGGCATTATGCTTCACCGCTCACGCACTTCCACAAAGCAACTCCAGGCGCTTCTTTTCTTTTATCCTCGACAGCACCTCGACTTCCGGCGAAAATGGCGACTCCAGTAGATCAGAAGCTGCTCAAGTCCACAAAGTTCCCCCCCCGAGTTCTCTCGGAAGGTCGACATGACCAAGGTGAACATTGAAGTGATGAAAAAGTACCCGCGCCTTCCCCGGATTCCGATTGCGACACAACCCGTTGACTGATTCATTTCTGTGACAGATGGATCGCTAGTCGTATCTCTGAGATTCTTGGAGATGAGGACGATATCGTCATCGAGCTGTGCTTCAACATCTTGGAAGGCTCTCGCTATGTATGTCCTTCCAAGCGCCAACACCTTTCAACTCATCAGCTTGGAGGATCGTCTGCTAACATATTGCGCCCCAACTCTTAGCCGAATGTGAAGGAACTCCAAATCCAACTCACTGGTTTCCTCGACAAAGATACCTCCAAGTTCTGCAAAGAACTCTGGTCACTGTGCCTGAGCGGTCAAGAGAACCCGCAGGGCGTTCCAAAGGAGCTTCTGGAAGCCAAGAAGCTTGAACTTATACAAGAAAAGGCAAGCTACACTGACCTCCGAACGAACAAGCTCGTCTGACTTACCGGGTGTACAGATCGAAGCTGAAAAGGCCGCCGAAGCCAGCCGAAGACAGAAGGAGCAAGAGCGAACCCGCGAACGCGAAATGGATGATTTGAGAAGAAGAGAGCGCTCAGACCACGGATCAGGCAGACGCGGCGGCGGCGGCCGTGGAGGTCGTGACTATGGCCGACGAGACTTCTCACGGTCACCACCGCCTCGTAACCGAAGCCGAAGTCGTGATCGATACCGTGAACCCCCATCTCGCCGCGAATTCGATTCTTACGTCCCGTCTAGCTCCAACAGAGGCCGGCCAACCCGTTCTCCCTCCTACTCACGCTCTCCAAACCGCTCACGATCCCGCTCCCCTCGTCGACCCCGTCATGACCGCCGCAGATCCCGCTCTAGGTCCCCACGGCGAGGCCGCAGAGAAGAAAAGAGACGCAGCCCGGACTACGGTGATCGCAACCGATCCAATTCCCGTGATTCACCACGCTCACCTACTCCCAGACGAGACCGAAGCAGACCGCGTTCCGTCTCCCGCAGTGTGACCCCTCCACCTCGACACCACCGGCGTACAAGATATTCTTCTCATTCTAGATCACCTTCACGTTCTCGACCCCGCTCCCGTGACAGGGGCCGGGAAATTAAGAGCCATGAAAGTGATCATTTGAGCCGCATTAGTTCTCGCGGTCATCATCGTCGCAGCAGGAGTCCTCAGAGAAAGCAATGGCGGGACTCTAGAGACAAATACAACCCCTCTTCTCGCAAACGGCGTGACTCTTCTTTGTCTGCGCCTGAAAAGCGACAAAAATTGACTGATCTGAAGGAAGGCTCTGCTCAAATAGAAAATCCTCACGGCGAGAAGCCCATGGACCTGGATGACAAAAATATGGAGGGTGCCAGTGAGATGACCCAGTGAATCTAATGTTCGTTTCCCCAGATTTGTCAGTAGCATTGATCATCTCAATACTGACAATGTTGGCAGTCACATCTAGTCGGAGCCAAGATATCAAGCGAGTTACGCGGTAAAATTAGTCAGGGCAGCTAATTGCGATATGTCTGTCCTTCGTCTGGTTATAAGGTAGGTGCCGCCTCTACTGACCAGCCATAAACGTCGATGGTTGTAGAGCTGCCCTACAAGAAATGAGCTATGGAGAGGGTTATCAAATGTACATCTAGCGTGCTAGCAATTTAAGCGATCTATAGGGAGAGGATTGAAACTAAAGGCATTGCTTTCCTTTTAAAAAAAGACATGAACATTCGAAAGAGGATGAGACCTCCAGAGCTTTAATTACAAGAACGAGTATAAACCTTTTTCAATGAACAAAAGTTAAAGAAAGTACTCCATTGAATGGTATGAAGGCAACGTGAGAACTTCATAGTATAACAAGTGATCCAATGCCATAACCGGCTCAAAGTCTTCAGAGCAGATTAGAATTAGGATTAGATATCTACAGACAGGACAGAGGGGAGCTCATTGATGAGCTCACAGATCACATATCACCGGGATAAGATGAGCGACCTTAGCCTTGAGATGAAGATCTGCAGGCCACGCCATTCCACGGGGTTGAAGGTCATCTTGTCGTGAGAAAAAATAAGACAATAATAGAAATGGTGTATATTGCAGGGGACAGGATAGCGATTTAGCCGAATCGCTTACTCGCAACCGCAGACGGTGGCGGTAACGGTGACAGTCTCGGTTTCGGCAGAGCCAGAGCCAGAGCCGCCTGAGGAAACAGCAGGGGCGCTGGTCACAGCAGGGGCGGAGGCGGAGCTGGTGTCAACAGGGGACACACCGTTGCCGGGCGTGGCGGTAGGGGTGACGGTGACAGGGACAGTGGCGCCGGAGATGACAGTGGAGGTCACGTAGGGCACGGTCATAGTGTCACAGGGGCTGCTGGACTCGACAGGGGAGGAGCCGGAGGGAACGACACCAGAGCCGGAGCCAGAGCCAGTAGAGCCGGAACCAGAGCCGGTAGATCCAGAGCCGGAGCCGGAGCCAGTAGATCCAGAGCCACCAGCGGGGACAGAGCCAGTAGCAACGGGAACGGAACCACCAGTGACGGTGATAGTGCTAGTGTATCCAGAAATGACAGTGGAAGTCACCCAGATGCTCTCAGTCGCCCAGAAGGTAGTGGCAGCGCCAGTAGGGATCGAGCCGCTGATGATATCAGTGATAGTGATAGTGGAGGTGGTGCCAGACACGACAGTCTCGGTAGTGTAGACGCTAGTCTCAGTGGTAGTAGCCTCAATGGGGACGGAGCCGGAGCCACCACCGGTGATGGTCTTAGCAGGGATAGTGCCGGTGACAGTAACGGGGACGGGGGTGCCAGAGATGACAGTAGAGGTAACCCAGGTGCTGGTCTCAGTCTCACAGGGAGTAGTAGTCTCAGCAGAGCCGGAGCCGGAGCCAGTAGATCCAGAACCAGAGCCAGTAGATCCAGAGCCGGAGCCAGTAGATCCAGAGCCGGAGCCGGAGCCGGAGCCAGTAGATCCAGAACCAGAGCCAGTAGATCCAGAGCCACCAGTGGGGACAGTGCCAGAAGGAGCAGTACCAGCGGGCGAGGAGCTGGAAGGAACAGAGCCACCAGCAGGGATGGAGCCGGTGGGAACAGTGCCACTGGGGACAGAGCCGGTGGGGATAGTGCCAGCGGGCGAGGAGCCAGAGGGAACGGAGCCGCCAGCAGGGATGGAGCTGGTGGGGATAGTGCCAGCGGGCGAGGAGCCAGAGGGAACGGAGCCGCCAGCAGGGATGGAGCTGGTGGGGATAGTGCCACTGGGGATGGAACCGCTGGGGATAGAGGCAGAGCCGGTAGGAGAAGCACCAGAGGGCAGGGGGACGCTGGAGATAATGCTGGCAGTAGCGGAAGGCAGGCTGGGAACGGAGCTGGAGGGAGCAGGGGCACCGGGCATGCTGCAGCCAGTGAACCACTCAAAGATGATGAGCTCAATGTCAACGCTGATGTCGATGGAAGTGCAGCCAGACAGGAAGGCAGCAAGTTCAGCACGAGCCTCAAAGGACAGCAGGTCGAGGCTCTGACCGCAGGCGAGGAGAGACAGGGCACCACGGAGGTTGACGGAGAGGAGATCGATGATGGTAACGCTCAGGAACTCGGTGATGTCAACGAAGAGGCCAGAGACAAGGTCGAGAGAAACATCAGCGGTGGCACCGAGAGACAGCCAGAGCAGAACAACAGCCTTGAGTTCAATACCGAGGGAGCAGCTGGAGCCAGAGAGCCAGACAGCGAGCTTGGTGCGGACGTCGAGTTCAAGGGCAGTAGCGAGCTCGCCCTTGGCGCAAGCCTTGAGGGCGACGAGAATATCAGCATCAATGTTGACGGCGATGCTAGTATCGAGGAAAGCGGCGAGCATGGCCTGGGCGTGAACGGAGAGAGAACCGCTCTCACCAACGAAGACACCAACGGAAGCACCGACGGAGATGGCGTTGAGAGCATCAACACCGAGCTCACCAATGGCAACGAGGTCACCACCGTGACGGCCGTGGAGCCAGGCAAGGACGGAAACCTTGAGGCTGGCATCGAGGGAGCAGCTACCGCCGCTGATCCAGGCGAGCAGCTTCGCCTTGACACCAGCATCCAAGCTGGTGATAAGACCGCCACCAGCGCAAACGCTGAGGCCGGCCTTGATGTCAGCGTCGAGGCCAACAGCAACATCGACCCAGGCACCGAGGGAAAGCTGAGCGGAAGCACTCAGGACGAGGTCGGTAGCGAGCTCGGTAGCGGCGAAGATACCGTCAATAGTGACATAGAGAGACTCCTTGGCGCAAAGTTCAGCGCAGGTAGGGATGTACACAGCCAGAGCGGCAATAACATCAGTGGCAAGAACGTCGACCTCACCCTCGCACCAGGCGAGAAGAGAGGTCTTGACAGAGCCGGAGATGCTCACGCTGCCAGACAACCAGGTCTTCAGATGAGCGCGAGCAGAGGCGTGGATGTCAGCGTGGCTGCATCCAAGAGCACCACCCTCGAGGGCAGCAGCACCGTGAGCATTCAGACCAGCGAGGAGGCTGGCAGAGCCCTTGTGGGAGGAGTGACCACCGAGGACACTCTCGAGGATAGAGACGACGTCGTGGGTAGCACCACCGAGAAGCTCAGCGACGAGCCCGAATGTCCGGCGTTCGGCGGCAACGTCTGCGGGATAAGCGAGAGCGGAGCTTGCCAGACCGGCAAGCATAACGAGGGAAGAACGCATGTTCAGCGAGTGTGTATAGCACAGAGGCTATAAAATATTTATACAAAAAAAAGCGTTCTTTCAACAAGAAAGTAAAAGACAGACGACGGGCACGAGTGCCGTCAAAAGGATGAACGATAGACTGGATGAAAAGGGAATGAGAAAAACGACTGATGAAGCAACTGAACGAAGGCGAAGATCATCGAGTCTTATATACCCCTGATCATCTTGGAGTGAGTGTGCAGACCAAGTTGGAAGATCCATCGGACCAAACAACAATACCCCGGTCCATAAGCCTCGAAGTCCACATTTCGAGCTATCAAATGCCCCCTTAGGCTCACGGATATCGGAAGAGACCTGGATCTTGCCAGGACCGAAGTGGATCAAAGCTGGCAGGAGGACTCCACCAGCTGGTTACAGCATGGGTGGAACATCCGACTCCTGCCGTCCTGTGTGGCGAGTTAGAGACGGTGTCAAATTTTTGACGGGATGTTTCCATACTGACTTGGGTGCTACAGGCCATCAAGAGGGGATTTTTCAATGGACCTTGCCATTTAGAACTGACGACAATAATATTGATCACGGAGATCGCAAGGGCATAACGACCCAGAATCGAGAAACTGTCAGGCACGAGTACCGGAGACGACGGAACTAGAACTGAAGCAGGAAAACAAGGCGAGGATCACAGGGCAGAAGATGCTGTCATCACCCACTTTGCCAGGGGTAAGATCGTCGTGACCCACACGGCCGTTGACGGGCCAGGGCCCGAAAACACGGCCAGCGTTGCTATTTTCGAACTTCTCCCCTTTTTTAAAACAACTTGGCAGGATTGCCCCCTGGTTCCCGTGAACTTCTGCAGGAGCAATTTACCTCTTCGTTCTAGACTGGCTCGTTCTAAACCCGCCCAATAGACCTCTCCCGCAGCCCGGGAATGGTGGACTTCGTGGCACAGGCACCGGCACAGGCACATGCAGCAGTCCATGCACGTTACACTATCGAGACTAGCTCGGACGCAGTCTCCTTCTTCTTTCAATGTTGGTGAAAGGTACATGTCGAATTATGAAAAAGGTGGCCCCGTTAGGTTTGGTGGCTAACTTGGCTGGTCTGAAAATTGGTTCTTTCGAGAAGACTACGGAGCCGGGACGGACTGGGTTCTTTTTGCCGGTAGTGTGTATCAGGGTGTGCTTGAGGACCATGGAACAGCAGTACGATATTTTTTTCCTTGACTTGGAAGTTTGTGTACTTGCTACTTGGTACTCCCCCACTGATGATCCATGGCCACCTGCAGGAGCGGCAGAATGTCGGCACGGAGTACCACTGGGATCCCCAGTGACCAGGTCTACGGCATCACTCAGAAGCTATAGCCTCAATTGCTCGCTGGCCTGGTCTGACAATTTCTCAGTCCTAATTCCTCATTCCTCAATCTTGGGCTCCGGATTCTAGGCTTGACAGAATTCCAGGGTACCCTGCAGCTAGACGACGCCACCAGTCAACTTCTCAACAGTGATGTCTCACGCAGAGAAGACTCCACCAAAAGAGGTGTCTGGCGTCGCATTCGTGCAGAAAGGCTTACTGGAGAAGCCCAGTGTTTGACTAGGAGTCTTTTCCCCCTTAAATTGGGCCCTGCACGCACTAACTCCGCGAGTGAGGCTCGCATTGGCCAAGAGGCAGGGGGAAGAGAACCCACCACGGCCTCGGCGTGGGTTTTTTTCCCAGCTAGACGACATCTGGTGTAGTGTTGTGTTTCGAAGTATGTAGTGCCCATACTAAAGCCCATTAACGCTGAACTTTGTTTTTCTCTTCTTTGGCTGGTTAAGCTTCTTTGCGGTCAGCTCCACCGACTACTGTGTCTAAATGAAACTAGCGCAACGCCTCATGCGCCCAGAAACACTTCGGATCAGGAACCGGTTCGTTTGACCCTACCCCGAAGGAGGGGGTGGCTCGGGGCAGATCATGAGGCGATCGCTGTTTCAGGCTTGTCCCTACCTCCGAAAATAACATCTTTAGAGTTCAGACTCATCGCGCGACGAAGCGAGTATGAAATAGAGTAAATGTGGAAGCTAGTTTCACTCGATCTCGATGATGAGTTCGTGAGAGGGTCTCGCCCGCTAGTTGTGAATGGTCCCTCTCGGGTCAGAGCTCACTCGTGATGAGTCCAATTCCAAATCTCATGCGGTGGGACAGAGGTGACCTGCTTCGGACCCTCTTGGCTGCAGCCCGATGTCGTTACTCTCATGGCTTGTTTTTGCTCCGGACGACTTCCGCCTCCTTTCAGGCTCCAGTTGTTGGCTTCGAGTCCTCCGTCGATGTATAGCTTCTGCTCTATCGATTTTACGGGATCCTCCGCTCGTGGGGTCTCTTTCGGTTGGCTTGAATTCACCTGTCTGCCCATTGCCTTCCAAATCACACCGCTACTGCCTCGGTTGTCATTTTCAGGTAACTCTTTCCAGCCTACCGAGTAACCACAGGAGATTCTTATTGAAGTGGCCCCAAGTCAAAGTACAAACACTGCCACGTTTGAATAAAATCTCCTCGTCAGATCCCTGTACGCACATACAGTGAAGATCACAGCCTAATCCTGATTTACGCAAGCTGGGACGGTCCGGGTCGCGTGGTTGATCTCTCTGCCGATGTAATGCCTATCACACGGAAAATTATGCTTGACGTCCTCCAGTCCGGTCACCGATCGATTCTAAATTGCCTCGCATTGCACATGGAGGGGAGGAAATGGAAAATTGAGCATTGAAAGTTAAAAAGTAAAGAGTGAAAAGTAAAAGAACTCTCCGGGCGCAGTCCGAGGCATCGCACATGTGCATGTGCGTGATAATCAAGTTGCGAGCTCTCATTCTCGGAATTGAGAGCGGATGCGGTCCAGAAAACCCCCGGCCAATAGATTGTGTGTACCTGAGCCATGCTTGAATTTGCCTTTTCTTGTCTGCTGAGCTGTGGGGTGAGAGGGCAAGATTCGGGTTTTGCCTCGGCAGGTATCCTTCGCATGCTTCCAATCGGCTGCCAGCCCTGTCACCATCTTTTTCTCCAACCGTCTCGTTCAGCTGACATTAAAAAGATATTATCAATTAAAAGCGTTGGTATCGAGAGTCTTCATTTCAGTAAAGTTGATAGAATTTCAAGGTTCGGATGTTGCGACCTCCGGATAACTTGTGCTGGAATAGTTGACCGAAGTGTACCTGCGGATATATATTGATGGGGACATATCGACCCGACTCTTCACGTTCAATATACGTTCAAGCTTGACTTGAATCTATCATACAATCGCACATTAAAATCAAAGATCAGTCTCACGTTACAAGTCAATAGAGAAATGAATTTGCTTCAGAATAATATGGGGGGAAAACGAGGGAGAACGGTTAAGACAAGTGTTCAACATTCCAGGGGTCGACCGGCCCACGGTCGAGAAAAGCAGAAACCTCGACGTAGCTACTCCAGGGCCTCAGAATTGCGGAACAGTCATCTAGCAAATCCTAGAATTGCAACAATTGCAGCGATCCCAGCTACACGTAGAACGAGGCATTCTTTGTTGTGAGAATCGCCATAGCAACCGCGATCACGTGACAGCCCAGACCCGCGCCAAGTCGCGATGGAACCTCGAGATAGATGAACCTTGCCTTACTGAGAACAACAAACAGTCGACAACATTTGGCCAGGCGCCCCATTGATTCACGACTTCAATGTAGGGTGCTGTCGCCATGGCCTCACCAAATTCCCTCTCATCAGCGTACAACAGCGGCCTTTATCAACAATCACAACGGCCCATGACCCGATCCGCGGTTTCACGTTCGGGTTCCAGACGGGCATCTCCGGCGCTCCACGCCGACCCCAAAACAACGGTATCACGGCACTACCCTGGCGGCGACAGCTCTGATGAAGAGGTTCCCGAACCCAAGTTCAGCGCGTCGGTAAAGGCTCTTTTGGATGGAGACGGATTGGCTTCTTCGCCGAGTCGTCGAGCCGCTTCATATGAGCGACGCTCGGCCGCCAGTTCAAGACAACATAGTCAATCGCCACGGAACGCCTCGCCCCATGATCGCTCCGACGGTAGCCCTGCCCCAAGAGTTGTGCGCATTGGCGCGATCTCTTCTGCCTCGAGATTCTCGCGCGAAGGATCTCCACTATCAAACAGTCAGAGTGCCGAGTCCGAGGCCCAGGCCCGTCCCAATGATTTCATTACTCCTGCGCCGCGACCTCGGAGTGTTCGGATTAACGCATCGCGTAGCGGTACGCGCTCCCCAAATTCCGTTTCACCATCTATGAAACGCTCAACAGAACGTCACTCGGGCGATGAATTTGGAAGCGCCGATCGATCTAATAGTGATCGAAACTCGCGCCTTGATGATGACCCGATTTCTCGAGTTGGATCATCCTCTGTTCTGCGTGGTCGCAACGCGGACGATGTTGGTCCCCAGAGTTCCCTGCGAATGAAGAGAGTTGGACGACTCACTGGTTCATTTTTGAATGGACCTGCCCGCAGAGGTGTTTTGCGCCGGCAAAGCGAAGAAAACAAGGAAGGAAATTATCCTTTAAATGAAGATGCTCGGGAGCATGAGGAATACGATCACGCTGAATATCAGTCTCGGAAACCATCTTCACCAAAGGTTTCATGGGCGGATCCTAGTCCCCCACACGAAAGCGAGCACCGTCGCACTGAGCAGCCAGCAAGCATGGCGCCAGGCGAGGGTCTGTTTTCAAGATCATCATCGCCAAAATCTTATGGGTCTCAATCAAAGTCGACACCCGGATCCTCAGACAACTCTGCAAGGTCGTCCAGCGCAAGGGAACAGCCCGCATTTAAGGTTCCTTCTTTACCACCCCTGCCATCTGTCAGAGGCCAAGAAAATGAACCGCCGCCCACTTTCAAGCGGACTAAACCTCAGAGCTTGAACCTGCTAGACAAGCCCGAGAAGTTCTCGGTCGCCCACGACACCGATAAGAAAGATGCGGTAGAGACACCGACAGGAAACTCACCACGCAAGATTCTTGCCATAAGGAGTAACAACACGCCTCACCGGCCGGCGCCTCCACCCCCCAAAATGTCCATGCTTGAGACGGCCACAGCAACTGGCGGTGCATCTCAATCCCGAAAGAAGCGAACTCAAGTTTCCATCAATCACAAACATTTTACTCGGCTCGACTGTATTGGGCGGGGTGGTAGCTCCCGTGTGTATCGTGTGATGGCCGAGAACTACAAGATCTTCGCTCTCAAGCGTGTGAATTTGGAAGATGTCGACCCAGTCACATTGACTGGATACAAGGGCGAGATTGACCTATTGAAGAAGCTCGAGAACGTCGACCGTGTTGTGCGACTATTCGATTGGGAGCTCAACATGGACAAGCATTGTCTTAGTGTGCTGATGGAGATTGGTGAATCCGATCTAGAGAAGATTCTCGTATATCGACTTAATGCTGAAGACGCGGTTCTTGACATCAATTTCACTCGCTTCTACTGGAAAGAGATGCTTGAGTGTGTCCAAGCCGTCCACGAGTACAACATCGTCCACTCCGATTTGAAACCGGCCAACTTCCTCATGGTCCAAGGCCGGTTAAAACTAATCGATTTCGGTATTGCCAACGCCATTCAAGACCATACCGTGAATGTCCACCGAGAACAACAAGTTGGCACCCCGAATTACATGTCTCCCGAAGCCATGATCGACTCAAACGCATCACTTGGACTGCCGGCAAGCGTTGGCAAGGTTATGAAATTGGGTAAGCCCAGCGATGTCTGGAGTTTGGGCTGCATTTTGTACAAAATGGTGTATGGACAGCCCCCATTCGCCAAGATTGCCAAATACTACGAACGTATTATGGCCATTCCCAACCCTCGCGTCAAAATCGACTTCCCAGCCCACGGGGTTGGCGGTGTCCCCGTCCCCCCGGGACTGATTAAGACCCTTAAACGCTGCCTGCAGCGTGACCAAACCCTTCGACCAACCATCGAGGAAATGCTCGGCCCCCGGGATCCATTCCTGCACCCCGACGCCCAGCTGGAAGGAGCTGTCCCCGTCACTCAGGACATGCTTGGACGCATCCTGGCCAACGTCATCAACCACTGCAAAGTCCGCGGCATTCCCAAGGAAGAAGAGCTTGCCGCGTGGCCTGCAGGCTTCTTCGCCAAAATCAAGTCAGCCTTGGAAGAAGAAAATTCCTGATACGCTATCCAGTCGTTTGAATTTCCTTTGTTCTCATATCAGCCTGCCTTTCCTTGTTCATACGACTTAATGACCGGTGTTGGATGGTTTCTTTTTTACCCGAACTTGACCACGGTTGATTGGTCTGACATCTTGACCACCTACTTTCTTCGATTCATGTTCCATGCCTTTGTGTATCACCCCGACGGTGTAATTTACTCGATTTTTCGAGTGGCGGTTTAGCGCAGCGTGTGAATCTTCATCTTTGTATATGACTTCATTCTTTTCTTACGCTTGCATTTTGCGAAGCATTGAGGTCTTCGGAGTTTTCCCGTCGATATCAAATTTGACAACTCTGTCCATTCAAATTCTGAACTCAGTCTCGGTATATTGATGTTCAACCTTTTTCTATAGACTCAATCAAAGTCCCTTACAAAATTTTCAACCTATTCTCGTACAAGTAAAACCTCATCATGAAATCATCTTTGATATGCGTTTAGCTAACTAAACCCCAGAAGGGAGAAGTATGCGAGATACTTTTTCGTCCAAAGACCAGATGTTCAAAAACTGCGCCAGAAACACCGAGAAAAAATAAGGTGGTCTATATCAACCATATGAACCATGGAACAACTCAATCACAGGAATGCCTGGGGGCATGATGGTATCGAAGACAGACGAGTCTGAGTCTGCCAGGAGTGTGAATCGAAAGAATGCCGGAACAGATCTAGACGAGAAGAACTGCGTTGACGCAGCCGTCGTTCTCGGGCCTGTGACGGTGTTAGAATATTGGCTTGAGTATGAAGTTGTTGCTGCTGGGACTTACACGTTGGTAATCTGGGCCCATTTACCCCAGACGACCTTACCACTCGTGGTGACGAGACCAAGTTCGGAGACGTTGACTTCGACGATGGTACCCTTGGTCAGGACACCCAGCTGGGTGTACAGGGGGTTCTGGGGGTTCTTCTTGACGGAAAGGATGGGGAGTTGGACGGTGACACCGAGTTCGGGGCTGGAAAATCGTTAGCACATTTGTTTCCCACCAGATATAAATGCTACAAAGCAGTTCTTTGTAGTAGAAATTGTGAGAACATACTGAGTGACATTGGCCTTCTTGTAACGCAGACCCATGGGACGAATGAATCGCTCGTACTTGACGGGACGACGAGTGAAGTCGCTGCCAACGAAAGTAGGCTTGGTGATCATGCGCTTCCAGGACTTCTTGTGGGTCTTCTTTCCGGTGTTGATAACCTTGAACATCTCCTCCTCACTGATACCCTTGACCTTAGGCAGAGGAACAGCGAACTTAGCGGCCTTCTCAGCACGCTTATCCTTAATAGCACTCGACAAAGCCTTGGCGTTGGTAGCCTGCGAACGGTCGAGCAGATACTGGGGCAGAGGGTTCTTGGAGGGCTCGTCCGGTGCGGCGGACTTGACGTTCTTCTCTTCCTGCTCCTTGATGCGCTTCTTCATCTGAATCTTCTCCTTGTGGCGCTTCTGCTGGTACAGCTTGGCCCTCAGACCGCGCAGGTTCTGCGCATCGTAGGAAGCCTTGTGGGACTCACGAGCTGTACGCTTGCGCATACGCTCATCGTGATCCAGTCGCTTTCCATGCTGCTTTTGCCAGCGCTCGATGTACCTGATTGGGGTCAGTTTGGGGGATTTGGTTATCGGGGTGGTTGGCGGGGAGGGACGAACTCGTTCTGAGGCTGTAGGCAGGAAATTCGTTAGTTTCTGTGTGACAACGAGAAGAACTGTAGAGTATACTCCGGGGACGTACCATGATGAATGCAGAATGAGCAGAACTGGTGGGATGATTGAAGTTGGGTTTGCTGCAAGATCTAATCGGCACCGAAAAAGTTGTTTCTGCGGCAAAGATAGCAGCCACGTGACTGTCTTATCGACGAAGTGGATTTTTGCACTTTTTGACAGCAACCTGATTTTACAAAAATGGGGGATATCAACTAAGCGATGGGAAGATGAGAGGAAATGAATACTAAACCGGTAAATTATTAACAAAATAGCTCTATTGCTTCACAAAACTCGAGAGAGACAGAACCTTCAAATAGTGTACATTCACGTGACTGTACGGTTGCCGAAGCGGCCACAAGCGCAGTCGCTGATTTTCTCGACCAAACGAAGAGCCGCTCCTGCATCTTGACAGCCAAACACAGCTACTCCCGCAATTCTTTCAGGGCACCCGTAAGAGTTCAGCCAAGATGTTCTCACGCTCTGTTCTGCGGAGTCTCGTCTCCGACCTGCGATGCACCGCCTCAGCAGCTCCCCTTCCGCAGCGAGCTTGCTTGCACCAGACCGCGTTGCTCCGGGCATCGCAACAAGAAGCCTCGTCTCAGTCCTCGTCCCCCAACCCTGACACACCATTGAGCGCCACTCCCCGAGCGCAAACATCCCAACCAGATGCCCACCAGGGCATCAAGGTTCCCACGCTCGACCCAACCACACTTATCACCCCCCGAACACGCCGCGACGTTCCAATTGAGAAGCAACCCGTTGCACCATCCTTCGACTCTCCCCTCAAGGTTACCAAGTCCCTCATGTCCAGCCTTCCGCATCTCGCTGGCCAGTCGCCACACTATGTCGTTGCCGAGCTGCACGCCCGTCCCTACCTCTTGACTGAGGGTGATCACATCCGCCTGCCTTTCCTCATGCCCAATGTTAAGACCGGCGATATCCTCCGATTCAACCGAGCCTCCGCTCTCGGCTCGCGTGATTTCACATTGAAGGGCTCGCAACATGTTGATGAGCGCCTGTTCGAGTGCCGGGTGCGCGTGACTGGTGTCGAGTCCGAGCCGTTGCGCATTAAGGAGAAGACGAAGCGAAGACAGCGACACACTAAGACTGCTAAGAGCAAGCACCGTTATACGATTATGCGGGTGATGGATGTGCGAATCAAGACCCCCGAGGAGTTGTTGCAGGAGGGTGCTGTGGTAGTTGAGGATACCGCGGATGCCACAAAAATCGAGGCTAAGTCATGATATGATTAAGTTTCGGGTGTAGAGGGAGGTTTTCTCGGTGTATTGGCAGTCGTGGTGACTGATACCGAGATGTGATGCATTGGGTCTCTTTGCAGCATTATTTTGTACAGATAGATGGATTTTGGCTGATCTCTATGTGCATTGTATTTTATCATCATTCAATTCTATCCACGGATACTGGGATTTTCAAACAGAATTGTCCTGAGTTTTGCTTTTTTAAAGATTACCTCACTACCTTGAAGGATCTCGTCTGCAATCCTCTCCGCAAAAGCGTAGATTGTTGACTGTGGATGGTTAGGAGGGAGGAATGGAAGACTGCTAGCATCAACTACTCGCGATCCTTCAACTCCGAACACACGTGCATTGCTGTCCACCACGGCCATAGGGTCCTTCTGCTGTCCCGACTTGCACGTCGCCGACGCCTGGTATATAGTAGTCATACTCCGTTGAATACAATATCGGATCTGGGCCTCACTCGACATATCGATCCCAAGAAAGTACTCTTCACTCTCGGCGACGCCCAGATTGACCAATTCGGCCCAAATCTCTCGTTGGCGGTTGACAGCTTGGATGGTCAGATCCATATCTGTTGGATCCGCAAGCCATTGTGGGTCAATCAACGGCGGTGTGTTCATACTTGAATCAGCAAGACGAACAGAGCCCCGGGAGAGAGGAGCTATGAGTGAGACGCTCATAGTTGCATGGTTGTATCCATCCCTCGGATCAGAGAAAAACCCGATGCCCGTTGTATCCGTTGAAAGCACCGATAGGTAGCGATTCGAGATCAGGCCAGTCTGATGGGAATATTAACAACACCCGTCGTGAGTCAACGGTGGGTTTCCAACGTAGCTCTGTCGGTAGCTTCCCCCAGCCAAGGTACCCCGGCGCGGAAATTGCTAGCGGACCTGTCGCATCCTGGAGATACTGCTCGACTCCCACCGTTTGGCATCTCGGCATTCGGAACGTCCCTTCCTCATCTCTTCTCCGCACCAAATCTCAACAAATCGGATCAAAAACACCTTACGATCAGCCACTGACATGGACGAGCTCCAAAACAGAATTCCCGGGTTCCAGGACTGAGAATACGTCATCTATCGCACTACCCACTCCGCTGAATCCGATGCTCTATTCCCAGGCGCGATTAGGTATATTGAGGCTTGCATCAAACGATCATTTTTCCAAGAGTGCAGCCACAATCCTAAAGATTATGCCAATGAAGTTTGGGCCCGACACCGGTCGACCATCATGGAAGATCGCGTAAAATCCAACGGGGCGTCTCTCGATGCAATTCGCGCTCATTTCGAAGCGTGCGTAGACGCCCAAGGCAAGCATGATAACTGGAACAAATTTATGTGCGTGACCATCAATGAAGAATCGTTGCAAACGCTGAAAGGTACATCGGCCGAGGACCTTGAGAATGAAGGGCCGGGGAATCTCGATAAAAAGACTACATTGTGTGAAGGTTCTTGAGGCATTTCCGATTATGGACGAGCTTGACACATTTCCCGGATGGATGAGATGTTGGACACGGGTGCCATGGGATCTCTGGGCGATGATGGGAGATGGGGACGAGATGAGGAAGTTATTTGACTGCATCGATGACTTTCCATTCGAGGGGGTGTACTGCGGGCGAATCAGCGCTGGTTTGGCCGGTGACAACACGGAGTACATCAGAGATGTGTGGTTGCGGAAAAGATCTTTCGACAGGCAGTTTAAAAAAAAAAAAAAAGAAAAACCCCCAATTCCCCTGCCCCAGCATCCCAAGAACTGCGATCCTGAGTTTTGCAGTAAATTTATGACTGTTTAGGATCCGGAACCCTACTACGAAGGGGTATAAAGGCCAAGGCACTAATAATCAACGCTTGAAAAGTGAGACATTTGCTGACAGCGTTTGAGTAGAAGTTCGGAGTCCGGCGATTCTGGTATAGGGTAGACGCATTGACATCCTGCTAACCAGGAGGACAACCGAACGATGATATTTTTAAGAAGTCGTAGACCACTACCAACTACGGTTGCATTCCCTACGATCATTGCTAATGTATGTAAATAAAACCAAGTGTTTTGGCATGTATGGGGTATCATAAGAATAGCAAGGCTATGTAATACAAAACAAAAGAAATGTCTAAGCAAATGATTCAGGTCGATGCATGAACCGTTCCTGTTCACCACTTTCAAAGACTTGAGAAAGAGGGCTCGTAGGACTCATGGGAGGCATGGGTGTCCAGGATCCGCGAGACTGGTTTTCGAAACTACCTAGTTCGTGAGACGAATGCCCACGCACGTGTGCTGGTTGAAGCGGAGAGACTGGTGGGACTGGCGAGACCACTCCGCTCTCCTCATCGCCTTGCGACGACCGACCGACCAGGGGGACACTTTTAGGATGACTGGAAGAAGTGCTGTTCCTGAAAAGTGTGTTCTTTCCCTTCGAGCCACCGTGCATCCAGCACCGTAGAAGAGGACGAAAGGTAGGTAGGCAGGCGCAGATAATTCCGACGGACTGTTCGATGGAAGACCAAGTCGAAGGGGTCGCGCTGACGTAGGTTGCATCATTAAAGCTGTGAAAGTTGAAGCTTGTAATTCGAAGGATTGAAACGACAACGACGCTATAAACATAATTAGTTGTTGTCTGGGAGACTTGAAGTAAATCGGATGAACCCACAATCCTCCAAGAAGAAACATGCCAGTGAGAATAAGCTTTTGCCGGGCAGTTGCCTGCAAGCGCCAGGCCATTGGATACGGAAGGCAAAGAACCATAACATCGAGAAGCATGTTTGCAATGCCGTTGTATCGGAAGAATTCCACTTCGTTGATACATTTTCCGGGAACAGACGGGTTCCAGAACTTGTTTACGGGCGAGCATCCGGCAATGGATGTGATGACGCAAGCAATATAGTATGCAATGACGAGGAACCCAGCTGTCCAGAGAACCCAGCGAAAGCCTTTAATGACGCCGAAGATTCGGTAGTATAGGAGCAGCAGGGATGTTTTGGTGAAAACAGCATTGGTAAAGTAGAGGATTTGAACGGCCAAGAAGCTCTTTGTGAAAGCCTCGACAGTTTCCACTGGAAGGTCATAGGCATGTTGACCTGAACCCCAAAGTAGAATCTGAGACCATCTTACGGCTACCATAGCCAAGTTGATAGCCTTCAAGAAGTCAGCCATCTTTTTTGTTTTGTTTTTTTTTTTCGAAAATTTAAACACAAAATGAATTCCAAGGACTTACCAGAGCTATCAAAATAGTATAATCATCCCACCAGAAACCCGCGCGAGAAACACAGCGGGCAGCAAATCGTAGCGTCACGGCTATTATAGCAGGGACAACAGTCGTTGTTGTTCCAACCCAAATACGCCAGGAGATGTTATCATGCGACAATTGTATAGACTCCATGCAGACCGAACCTTGTTATTCGGTGCAATGAAATAGAGGCGTTCGACATAATGCCCATGCAAGCGAGCCATGCTCTATATATAGTGTTAATTTAGATGAAACATCTTTTGAGATGAACTGCGAAAATAATTCTAGAGAAATCGGCTCCGGCATCTGTCAGCCACGTGGCTATCACGGCATAGATTCGGCCGGCGGTGGGCCTAATTAGGGTAATAGTAAGTCGGCTTCCCGCCGCATCTGCCGCCACCGGCGTGGCTTGGCGCGATCATAGCCGGCCGAATCTCGCTCATCGCTTATTAAATCTACTTTCGCCACGGTTCTCGCCCGGTACCGTTGGAATAGGAATCTGAGCTTCACGAATTTTGGTCGCGGCTTTGTTTATTGTTCATCATGGGGGCTGTGATTAGTGGAATGAAAGCACGAGTTCTCGGCAGGCGAACAGCTTCCAAGATCGGCTTTTCTTATAGGCGGCTAGCAGAGCGTCGGCACCTTCCGATGATCCTCGAACTAAGCCAGAAATAGTTAACGGCCTGGCCTGACCCCGGATTTGAAAACCCGTTCTACAATCGGTTTTGCGAAAGCGTTAACCAATTAGGAATGTGACAAGTCCCTTCATGGAAATCTGCAGGATGTAATTTTATCCGAATGAAATAGATGCCAAGCATACCTGGACCTAGTCAATAACATCTGACATCACCCAAATAGGAACGTGGATAAAAATGTGCGTTTTATCCGGATTTAGGCACAGGAGATGTGCAATGCCACCCGGGCATGGTTAGCTAGAACGAGTCAATGATTCATAATAGATCTCTTCCTATTTTAATCATGCCATTCTGAATTAACCAACGTGGGGGTATCTGACCCCCCGCTTAACCAGTTCCCAAATCTGGAAACTAGGTGGGGAAGGAAGAGCAAACTTGGAAGTTGATAATCATCATTTCGGTAGAAGAAAGGCTAGAATCAAACGCCGCCACATGATTTAAATGATTGTAAGGTCTAGAAACACTATGGCATGATGCTCATTACTCCATGATATCATGCAACCCCAAATGCTGTTTACAATGCAAGAGCGACTCCTGCTGCATTTGAGCATAGAGATGGAATTCATCCGCAATGTGAGCCCCCAATAAGCGCTGGAATCCGTCCAGATCAGGCTCTGCACTCATAATAAGCTGCTTAGACTGAGAGACGTCGCCGAGGTTTGAGTTGAAGATGCCCCCCGCCGACAAGGGCAAGAAGTCCTCATAGGTCAGAGGCTCATATTTCATGATGCCCTTGTCCAATAGAGCTTGGAGACTGACGGCGGTTGTTCCAAATTCGGAGATAGCCATGTCATCTTTGGCCATCCGCTCGCCAGCCAGCGTCAGCTGGTAGCAGAAGTATGCCAAGTTCTGTTCCCGTAGCTCTGACAGGGTATCTGGGAATTCTGTGAAGTGGCTTCTTAGAGCATTTTCATAGTCGTTGCCCTTGAGTTTCAGCCTTTCGGCTTCTGCATTCACTTGGTCCAGGATTTTGTCGTAGAGCTGTCGTCCCGCACGCGTCAAGGCGTAGCCTCGTTGTTCCACCTCACCGAATCGGGCGGTATGGGATCCTTTCACAAAGGTGCCGGATGTGTCCCGGAAATAGACTGTTTCCTCCAAAGCCTTGAAGCTGGTCTGTCGTAGAAGAATTGGGCAATTCCGCTTCGGAGGACCCTCGACACGTTCCTTGGCGGGCATGCCATGATCTAGCATCAACTGCTGTACCAAATCAATATCGATAGTACGCGGAGTGAGATGGTTGATGTGAGAACTGGGAAAGGAGACGATATCGGCGATCAAGGGGTGTTCAGCTTTAAGAAGCATGTATTCATCGAGAGTGACTGTCGCTTTCGAGTGCCATCGGAAAGTCTCCAGTCCATTGTTGATAAACTCGGTACATTCCGCTGGTGTCATAGTTCCCTTCTTATCGACCATATCTAAAATCTCAATAAGTCTCGGAGTGAAAATGTTTCTTTGTTTCAACGCCCGTTGTGCCAATTCCCGCGTTTTCCCTGTCAACAAATCCATTCGCAAGACTGTAGTGAAAACACGGAATGGATTTTGTGATAGGGCGTCTTGAGAAGTCGGTCGGAAAGCGGTTGCATGCATTGGGAAGCCAGCAAGGCTTAAATCGTAGTAGCCCACTGGGTACATTCCCATCACGGAGAACATGCGTCGTATTGTGTTCAGCTCGTGGGCTGTTCCAAGTCGTATGGCTCCGTGCCGCTCAACTCGGTGTCTGGAGGGTAACACGTCGTCTGGATTGATGATATTTGCACTTTCCTGACTGTCGTGTACTGCCTGTGTATCTGCTTCGAAGACCACATCGACTAGATCTCCATACAAGGGGACTTCGGTCTTGTACAATTCCGAAAGGGAGTGACAAAAGCGAGCTCGTAGCCCATTCTGATCCCAGTTTTGGACCATGTTGGATGAAATGTGTCAGGCTGTGTTGTAGAGTATAGACGATCAGACTCGGCCTAGTTATCGGTTGAAGAAGACGGCTTCCGTTGCGGGTACTTGGAAAAAAGGGTCTGATAGAATTTAATAATGGACCTGAACTCTCAACCTCCTTTATAACGCTCCCCTTCGCTCGGATAGCCGGTAATAACCTCCTCATTCGCGCCGTGCTTATCCGTTATCGGGAGATCCGTCGGAGCCATAGATAGGACGCGTTATCATTATCATCTGGACCCGATAATGTGGCTGACTATCGTGGGTCCGATTTGAAGATCCATCCTGGTCCCATGTGTACCCTCGGTATCATCAAGTAAATGCGGGGGAAAGCAAGGCTATTCTGGTTTCCATTACGAATTTCAAAGAAATGACTCGTGGCTATGACAACAGACTGCGAGGCGTAGGGTGCAATATGTGGGGTTATGCTCGGGCTCGCCAATAGGATGCAGGTCCGTTGGAGACTACAGCCTGCTATCTATCTCCGATGATCGCCGGATCGCCGAGGCGGTGCTACCTGATATTGCTTTCGTATGATTTACACTTTGGCGTTAATATCTAGATGGATCTAATGTTGCCTTCCTCTCAATGTAGATGTTAGACATTGATGACTCAGATGGTCCATTATATTGATGTTCGGTGAATCGGATCCCCCACTGATTCCCCAATTACTCTTATACTCGAACAGATCTAGAAAAAGGAAAAGTCCTGTCCACCAAATGCAAAATTCTCAAGAATAGAAGGATCAACCAGGTTCGCCAACATCTCTGTCCTCGTAGTATCAGCCTGCTGCTCAGGTCCTTGGCTGAAAAGCGAGAAAAAGAAGTCCTCGTCATCAAGATGCGTAGCTTGTCCTAGATCATGAGGACCCAACGCCGAGGCCGAACTGCCAAGAAGAAGTGTATTTTCCGAAGAGACGAGACCTGACGCTGATTGAGACTCATTTGCTCTTGTCCCTGGCACAGCAGTGCCAGAGAGTGAAGCCACAGGATCGAACGGTAGACTCGATGATGCCAAAGATGATGTAGCGGGCGCACCAAGTGGCTGAAGTCCCAAACTCCCACTACGGGGTCGGGTCTCAGATTGAATCGTATTCTGCATAGACGAAGGATCACCATGACGACGTTTAAGACACGCACGCGCGACCTCAAGGACTTCACGAAGCATCTCTGCACACCGGCGAGCCACGATGATGTCATCCATGGATGCAAATATCTCGAGGGATTTTTCAACATCTTCGAGAAGCTCGTCGTTTGGTAGACCTGGGAAATTGGAGAGGATGAGATGCAGTAGGATCATCGAACCATAGAGGGCGTAGGTGGTGTTATACCACCACGTCCGAATGTAGATGCGGTGCATGAATGATTCATACTGCATTTGGATACTCGTTCGAGCTGCGCCAAGGCATATGTGGAGATGTTGAAGGAATTCATTTGATTCGACGTTTGCCGTTGAGGCGACGAGGAAAGGTCTGTGGATCAGGATGCGGGTGTTGTAGTACCCTGCCATGGAAAGGCTTGGTTAGAGTAAAAGATATTAGGGTTCTTGTCAAACCACTTACTTAATCGCAAGACTAGCTTCTGTTTGAATGCCCATTCTGGGTCGTTTAAGGCGTATGTGTCAGGATTCAGGAAGCTTGGGATGTTTGCTTTCCATTGAAGGAGTCGGGCGTCCAGGCCCATTGCTAGATGAGACTTATCCATCATCGAGCGGTGGGCGGAGTGATAGAGTTGATGAGATGCTTCTGACATGATCTGAGCCAAAGAAACCATCACAGGGATCATTGCTATATCATTGTCCTCGCCGTCTGGATCGTGGTCCCCCACATTAGCCTATATATTAAATTATTAGTAATGTTTATGAGGGAAGGGATTCGAGACTCTATTTACCTTGAGTTTTGGCTGCGAAACTTGATAATTATGAAGCTCTTTCATGCTGTCGAGTCGTCCCGATGAGCAGCACATCTCGCTGTGAAGGGAATTAGCAACGGCTTCTGGTCCTTGACCACAAATCCACAAACTCACGTCTCATGAGAAAAAATACACCTATTCATCACGGTGAGTAAAAGTCTCTAAAAGTCAATGATGAATACATACCACCATGTTCGCTTCGCTTCACGTCGTGCAGAGGGAGGTAGCGATGACATGCTGGAAGCCAATCCAATAGCCGCAGCCGTTCGAACTGCCATTCCACTATACATATAGCAGCTATGAGGCTGTAAAGAATTCTGCCGGAACACACTCTACCACGGTGCCTTAGTCAGAGACGTCATGCTGTTGCCGTGAGAGACCATACCATTAACAATAGAGCCTGTGCAGTTTCCAAACAGCTACTCTCCATGAAGTCACCTAGAGCCTGCCTAGCAGCACCAAAGTAGAACTTTGCAAAATTCAAAGACGAAAACTTCGCGCCTTGAAAATGAAGAATTTCTGAAACAACTCGCTGCTGACAGAAATGATCAAGGAGAGCAGTCTCGTTTGGGCTAGCATTGATAGCCCCTAATGCAATCACTGCAAAGTAAAGACCTCCAAATTTGGTAGCTCCACGGAAAAGACCCAGGCGTCTTGACAGAGGCCATGCTTCCTGCTCACAACGTCGCATGAATGCATGTTTGGACAAGATTGGGTGGATATAGTGCTTATTGGAGAAGAAGCTTCCAATGAAGATCTTTTCAATCTCGAGTTGGGCTTTGGGAGTCATTTGGAAGAATTCGTAGCCTAGACCAACTTCTCGATCTATACAACACTAATCAGCGCCTTTGTGCCAAGATCAATCACATAATGAGCATACCTGTGCTCATAATCTCTACGTCACTCCTCGGCTCCTCGGCATGCCCTTGACCTTTAGACGGTCTAGCTTCCACACCATCATAAGATTGTGGTGACAAATGACCTGTATAATCCGCATTGTAAAGCAGGTTCACGATAGAAAGCTGCTGTTTCCCAGACATAGATCTCGTGGGGGAAGAAGCCTGTAGTTTAGTTGCCGATGGCGTCTGCGCGATGTCTGCACTTTGGCTTTCCATCTGATCCGAGGCACGACTCTCAATTTGATTTTGAGCTCTTGCAAAGAGGTTACCTAAAAATGCTAGATTTGATGAGTTGCCGTAGAACTCGGTTCCATTTGTGTGCAGGTTCAGGCCACTGAGCCCGTCTCTTGATGCTGCATCACCTATCTCGGAGACTATTCTAAAGTATTAGAATGACCATCACGTTATTTCCGGGGGGAAATGAATCTCTTACCGACAGTATCGCCACCAGGTCCATCTTGCCCCGCAGAGGTATCTGGGAATAGTGCGTGGGCTGATTCTCTGAGCAACGTGACAGGCGACTCAGCCACTCTATTGGCGTGGACTGAGGTCGATTTCTCATGAACATGGGATGTCGGAGTTGTAATAGTGCGGTAAACTTCAGGCCACGGAGAAGGACGAGCAATATGGGTTTGACTGAGGGGCGATGAGAAATCAGACGAGGAGCTAAAGCCACATTCGGGCCATACCTCTGCTGAGTTGCTCTAGAAGCTCGCTTCCTTTGTGACGTAGATCCCGTAGTGGTACCTCTCCCACCAGAAGTTCTATAAATGCAGTCGAAAGAGTGATCTGCAAATTTGGTCAATCGAGATTCTCACGTCGATCACGAGGATCCCCAAACATGGAAAACACACATGCGCAATACGAGCATGGCTGAGCTTGATCACACTGATATTCAGTTAGCCAGATTCAAGAGACAACCAAAACATGTATTGAGTCGGGGAATTGAGGATTGACTGGACCGAAGGTCGCTGCCCGCATACCTTCGTCTTACGCAAGCGACAAGTCTCGCAAGCCCGCGAAGCCCGCGGCACACGACGCTGTGATGCCAATCGCGGCTTAGCCTCGCCTGCATCCATAGCGCTGAACCCACGGGGTAATTGAGTCAGGGCTTATTAAATCTGCATTCAAGCGATGTTGGAGGAGGAATCCCTTTGGGAGGTGCGAAAATGAACTGTCATCGAGAAGCCGTACGATTTGCCGAACGCACCGCCCCATTCACGTAAAGTGAAACTTCACATATCTATCTCATCGCGAAGACCCTGCGGGGTCTGGGGGTAATATTGGGCTGAAAATTTTACCCATTCTTTTAATCAAACCAGCAAATTTTCCCTGTTATTACCCGGGTCTCTCGGGTGAGGTACGTGCAAATACATGTTCTACAGGGCTATGCGACATTACAGGTCTAGTGACGAAATTCGAGAGCACTGCAAGTTATCGTTCTTTCCAGCTTGATAACTATATAAAGTCTCATGCAAATTTGCAATTGCTTGATTGTTATAGGGAGAACACAGCGTTTAAGAACGTTTGCTCGGCCATGACGGTGATTTGTGAACTTCCGACGGAAGTTGACTTCATCCGACGGACGGAACTACGTCAACGAACTATAGGTACCGCATTCTTCATAGGACCACAGGACATAACTCCCGAGGAATATGGGGTATGGGGAACATTACTCAGAGCTCATAGTATTGGCCAGTACCTAACTGTATACCCAGGGAATCTACGTATAACTCGAAGACCTTTTCCCGGAGAAATAACAATCAACCAGTTCAATCATCTCAATTTCTCCTTTGAAACGACCCAATCGCAATAAACCCCTATTATAATTGCCAAGCTACATGGTATCAATGACCGCACGTGCGCCAAATGGACCACGAAATTTTGGGTCAGAAGATCTGGACCATTCGAAAAGCCTTCGAGAATTATATCAAGATTTTCAATGCCTACTAAACAATGAACTCTGTAAAAGTGAAAGATTAAAAGCGAAAGATAAATGTGAAAGATAAATGTGAATCGTAATTCACGATGCGATCTATGTCCAGTCCTGTCTATGAACAGAATAATCCTAACCCAATCCTACCTAATTCAAAATTCAAAACAAAATAATGCCTTGCAAAGTGTTGCCTGCACTTTGCAGTTACATGGGTACATGTAAACAGTTCAGTAAATATCAATCGTGCGCATCATCCTTGAAATGTGCGAAAACGCCGGTAAACCATGTCGTGAGATGTCGTGGGCGGGAGTGGTGTGTGAGTGAGGGCGGTGGATAAGGGAAGAGGAAAGAAGAAGACGTGAAGGTATAGGTATGGGTATAGAGGTGATGATTTAACTGGGGAGCATGGGTGTATCCTGCTCGTCCATATCGCTGACCGATGTAGCTGGAGACGCCAGACCCGAAATAACCGATGACGAAGGTCCTGTGGCTTGCATATCTGCGTCGGCGAGGGCGTCGTCGTACGCCGACATGTGGTTCTGGCGAGCGGGCTGCTTAGCTGAGGACGCCATCAGCTCGTCGATGCCGGGCTTTTCCGGGACGTGCTTGTCCAGCATCGTCTGATTGTCGAGGCTCTCGAGGGCGAAGCTCATGAACTCGGCGTTCTTGTGACTGACGCTGAGGGTCCAGCGGTACTCGCAGAGGCGGAGACGGTAGAATTCCGCCTCTTCCATGGCCGGAGCAGTGACGCGGAGTAACATGCCGAAGGAGCCGATCAATGAAAAGTTCGTGCGTGCAGAGGCGGGCCAGAAGGATCGCAGGTGTGCGGGTCGGAGACGGTTCACAAAGTCCATGGCAGAGATGAGACGGGTCTTGGCAGCAGAGCGACAGATGTGAGCGAGGTAGGAGTCGGTGCCGTCGTCCGCTATGGAGCGGACGATGCAGCGGTGGAGGGTGATTTCGGTAGCGAAGTATGCGAGATGAAGAGCGCCGTTGCGGGCATGTTCGTCGGTGATGGTCTCCACGAGCTCCCCACTTGAGGATTCCATCTTGAGGGATGCCGGCAAAGAGGAGAACCATTCTTTCAGACGGATTTGAGCGGGCTTGGCCTTTTCCAGGATTATCCGCGTGCGCTGATTTCCAGCGGCTCGGAAATCCTCGACGGCCTGGAGGGTGTAGAATCGATCCAGGATATCCGACAAGATGGTCGTAAGAGCCACCATGTGACAAAACAGGAGAGGTCCATGTCCGACAGCCGCCTCATCGTGTGCAGAGTGGGTACCGTGCAGGAAAGCATCGGAAAAGTCCTGCTCCACGAGTTCCTTGACGGTCCAGTTGAAAGCAAAGATCTGCGAGGGGCGGCCATGCACAAGCGAGGACCATTTATCCTGCATATACAAGGCCCATGCAAGTCGCTTCCGGAGACCCTTCTCCCAGGTCTTCATCCGCCAGTTGGAGCAATCCTGGTGCAGACCAAGCTCGAAGCACGCGGTCACCAACTGACCATTCAAAGACGCCGTGGCCAAAGTCGACTTCTGCGTTAACAATAACCCGGCCTGAATAGTCGAGATACTAGGGAACGGCAAGGAATCCAGAAGCAATTTCAACGCCGCGCTCTCCAGTCGGGCCGCATCGGGCTTCCGCGCTGTCTGCGACGCCGCACTCACATCCACGAACTTCAACGTCAACACGTACACTGCCGCCAAGAGCAGGGGCGACAATTGGCGACGATCACGATATGATTGGCGGAATGCATCTTCCATCAGAATGGGGAAAGAAGGGTGCACGTGCTCAAAGAACTTCTCGATCAGCGTGGCCCCGTACGGAGCAACCAGGCTCTCGATGGCATCTAGTGACACGACCTGCGAGTCACCAATGGGAATGGTGTTGACCACTCTCATAAAGGTACCGTCGTCCGCACACCTCCGAATGCGGGAGGAGTGGACGGTGAATTCATCGTACTCGTCCAGCGGCAGATGATCCAGCAGGGCAGGTTCCAATTCTGTCGTCATGCCAATGTGCTGGGTGGATTGATTGAAGAAGCCTGGGCGGATCATTGCGCCCTGGTGCAGGCGAGGAGCCTCCTCGGGAATAGACTGTGTGGCGGGACGTTTGACGGGATCCGCATGCTCCTCGGCGTCGAATTTTCTCTTCTTGGCTGGGTTCTCGCCGGTTAAGGTAAAGGTGCAGTCCTGACGATGGAATTCACACGAGTAGCACTTGTTGACCATCTCATTCATAGCGCACCTGCTCTTTCGTCGAAGGCAAGCGTCGCAGCTGGGCCCATTCCGGCCGTGGGCGCCGGTAAGAGTAGAGTTGGCGGAGATAGGGGACGGAGACAAGTTCGGGGTCGAGGTCGAGTTCGTAGTCAGGGTGCGTCGTAAGTCGGGAGAATGGGATTGGGAGTAGGTGGGAGAAGCAGCCGAACCAGCTGGAGAAGGCTGGATCGTAAGGACAGTGGCCATGGGGGGCGTGGAATGATAAAGGAATAGATAGGAGATAGATAATTGATAGCCTGCGATTCGCGAAAACGGTCACGTAACCTGGGCGTCCGGGGCAGCAGCCACTCCACACTCTGGGGAATCCGATTGGGGGTTTTCTTTCTTCAAAGCGTTAGATTCGTGTTCACAGTTGACCGACTTTAGATAAGACGGTACTCCGGGGACTCACCAGATATGCCCTTATCAACGAAAAAAAAAACTAAAAGTGCTATCTCCAGGGATGGTCAGAGTATAGATCCCGAGATAGATTCAAGCAGAAGAACCCGCCAAAGACTGCAAGAGGATCAAATGGCGGATAGTTCTCTCCGTCATTCCTACTCTTGAGGAAGAGCAAAGGTAGAGAGTCAAGGGAAAAAAAAAGGGCACAGAAAGCTGGAGGCGAGTAATGGAACGGGAAAAAGGGAAAAGAAATATGATGACATCGCGTGTATAGAGAAAGCGCGAAGCTCACCCGAAGACCCAGACGATCAACCATTCGGTTTCGTAACAGGAACTGGCCATGGACCTGTGAACTACTCGATCTACTCGTCAATTATGAACTCGAAATTGTCACCTCTGATAAGTGGCCTCGTCCTGATTGGACACCCGGACGAGCCTCCACGGCATTACGTACTGACAATCCGGCCGTCTAAGCCCAACTCTATAGACTCCGCGATTCTGTTCCAGGGACATCTCACATGCGAGAGGCCCAGAGGTCGATCCCGGCCACTGTTACCTAAGAAGATACCGTTTTGAGGATATCCGGGCTCCTCCTGGCACACTACCACCTCTTAACACATCGACCAGAGTTCACACCTTAAACCATCTCGCACGAGAGGTGACCCACAGCCAATCAGGGCACGATGATAACGTCTCTACACGACCAATCAGAAGCACAAGACACAAGGACAATGCTGACATATCCTGAGTTTAACATTTGAACGGTGCCCCGCCGTGGAGAACGGAGAAGGTGAGGCAATTCCCCGGCACATGTGCCTTCTTACTCGAAAACACTTAACCCGGTGGCGCTGCTCTTAGTCATGTACTTCCCCCGACTTAACCCCGGAAATCCTCCAGAAATGCAGAAATGCTCGCAAGAACGCCCAAAACTCCATGCTCGTGACCTCCCCCATAGCTCTACTCTGTAAAGTTCCGCAGCTTGGTCAGCTCATCCAGTAGCTCTTGGAGATCGGCGTCCGTGATCTTGTTTTGAAGACTGGGGATCAGCGACTTCGCCTCTTCCGCATTGTCGCAGCACAGACTGCCTAATTTCGGGTTAGCTGGATCATTCGATAGGCCCCTCCCCGACGCCACAGGGGAACTCCGGGACAGAGGAAGGTCAGGCATTCAGGCACCAAGGCCGCCAGGCACGCAAGTCTCGAGTACTTACCGAGCTGTGATCGCTCAAACATCTCGAGCTCCGTATGCGAGTTAAGTAGACGCTCCACCGCCTTGATATTCTCCTCGTCTTTAAACCGCGCAAACACGTCCAGGTAGTCTAGTGTCTTGGTCAAGTTCCTTTCATTTGTTAGCTGTCGGTCGGCTCCGAGCGTGGCGACTTTCAACATACTCCGGCTCCTCGTACTTGTTGCCCCCGCGTCGCTTGTTCTCCAGCACCTTGTGAATGACGAGTCGGGCTTCAGACAGTGACAATGTGTGCGTGTGCTGGTCAGCACCCAGCTTGAGCGTGGACGCGGCTTCGAGCTCGCCTTGAGGGAGGGTGCGCTTGCGATGCGTGGGCGGGGGAAGTTGGACGCTCATTGGTGCGGTTGGTCGGTAAGAATGAGAATGTGAATGTGCAATGGACTCTCAACGATGGTTGACTGGGGATCCGAGCTGCAGGCGTCGATGCGATCGGTCGTCGAGGTTCCTGTGCGGGTTGAAAGTCTGCAGGTCGCCTGGCAGTAAATGGCGGTGAGTACACCGCCTCTTCGACAGAATAAAGTCGATTCGCTCTATGGTGCTGCTGTATATTAAGGCTAAATTTAGCCCGGAGTCTGTGCAGGAAGAATGTTTTAGGGTATCTAGTCTGCATTGTAGCTCAGTGATAGCTCAGCTAATCTTTGATATCTGCAAGCAATCTCTCCAAACGCCTAATATGCAACATCTATGTATTTTGTATTTTAAATTTTTAGACCTTTCGGAATGCAACCTCCGCTGGCAGGCGGAAACTGGCGCAGAACATCTGCTTGTTCGGGCTGACCAGGCGGACATTGTAGATGTCAAGCTCGATAGCAGCATTGCCACTGCCTCCGACACGGTCCTCAGGGGTGATAGTATAGCCAATGCGCTCGGAAACCCGCTGGCAAACGTCAATGTGATCATCCACCTCGTTCTCGGAGTGTCCCGAGAAGCAGTAGACGTGAACCATGGGCAGGAGTTGAGAAGTGTGCGGGGCGAAAAGAGACTCTTTGCCGGTATAAAGACCCTGGAATGCATCGAGAAACTCAATGGCAGTGGCCGGGAGGTTCATGACATAGTGGTCGACAAAAGATGGGCGAGTATACACCTGAGGAGGCGGCGAAGGTTTCTCCTCTTCCGGCTTCTCCTCGGCCTTTCTCCTCTTCTCTCTGCGCTTCTTAGCTTCGATAGTGACAGTGACAGGGTCAGCTGCCAAAAGAGCCTTCGCCGAATGGCGAATAAACTCCCGGCCGTCCATGTTGAACGGAGTGACAAAGTCTTGAACGCGATTGCGCTGAACAGCATCTTGCATGACCTCGTAGCCGTGTGGGTTCAAATCATTACCCCAGACGAAGATGCGCTTACGTCCTGCAGGCACAGCAAAGGGACCGACACCCGCCATGACATCGCAGACCATCTGTCCAGGCTGGAACTTCTCCACAAGTCGGCGGTGCTCAGTCTCCAGACGGCTGTTCCAGTATACGCGCGAGTAATCGAATCGGAACTCGCATTCTTGCTCGTGCTGGATAACGTTCAGGTCGTTGTCACCGGCCAGCAGCTCGAAAGGGAAAGTACGGAACTGGCTGTGCGAGCCAACATCTTCGGTTTTGTTGATGACGGTGCGGATGGTGGGGTTCTTGTCCATAAGAATCTCTGCAATGATGCTTTTATATGGCAGCCAGTGCGAACGGAGGTTCAGGTGCACTAGAGAGTTAGAGAGTTAGTTCGAAGATTCAAGATCCTCCTCAGTCGGGCAGAAACGTACAGACGTGCCCCACTTGTGTGAAGCCTTGAGGGACTTCGGGCATTTCCTCATTTTGCGGTAAAACCGAAGCAGCGATCTCAGCTAAGAGGTAATAAGCACTGTAGCATATGTGTCCCATAAATCGAACGCATACCATATGTCCAAGAGTCGTAGTCAAGTTCCAGATTGTAAGGCATGATGGCCACGGTGCCCTTTTCGATCAACTCGGTAACAGTAGGCGACCACGTCGACTTGTCTATCCAATTGAATCAGCATCGTAATCCCACATCAAAACAAAAACCGAAATTCCTCATGACTCACCATCATGCTTCATGTCCTCCCGCAGTAGAAGCGCCTTCTTAACTCCATCCTGATCCTGCAATTCCCGCACAACATTCAACCGCGGCAGAACGAGCAGCTCCTTATTGCTTCCAAGAGCCTTGCGCACGTGCGAAATCTCCGAGTTCTTGAAGATCTTGGCTGCGGAGACCGGCACCGTTTTACGGAAGAATGACCGGTCCAGTGTGCGCATTGCGCGGTTGATAGGCGGGCGGAACATTTCAGAAATTTCGCGGTGGGCCTGCTGGCGCACGTCACTGTTTGACTCCATTGAGGGAGGGCGAACGCCTAGACTTGAAATTAGGAGAAAGTTGCTGGCGAAGGCGCATTGGGCGGATAATTTATGTTTCTTATCGATATCGACCACGTGATGCTATCGGCGATCTATGAGCCGCATTACATTGTTGCCATTTTTGTCCTTTCGTAGGCAAAGTAAAAGAGAAATAGTGGGGACTGCCTTGCTTCATGATTTACATAACGTTCAAATTTTGCTAGTCGTAGTACCACCTTGGCGATGGCTTTCATCATCGATAGGGACATCGGGTTAATTGCGGGAGAACAAAATCATAATTCATCAGAGGTCGTAAGAGATCATCGATTCTTCAAAGATCGATGGTCAAAGTTCAAAGTCCAATGCGCAGCGTAGAAAATCGTAAGTGTCAAGTGAGAGACCCTAGCATGATCATTCTTTGAAGGAATCAATGACAGAGAGGTGCATCGCATTGTGCGCCTCGAGACTCATGTTTTGCTCTTTCAACTTCACATTCTCTTGGCTCAGTCGCAGGTTTTCCTCCTTATGAAGAGCCCTTTCTTTGTCAAGTACCGTGCGCACGGCATCTCGTCCCCTGATCGCACCATTCAACTTCAAGTCATGGATATTAAGCAGCTTGAGAAGCTCGTCGCGCGCTTCGTTAGGCAGTACCACATCATGCTTGTCCAGCACCGCAGTAGCCTGCTGTGCTAGATTTGACATATCAGACTTAGAATCCGTGCTCAGCACATCCCGGTACTTGGTTGGAGTCGGCGTCATGCATAGTTCGGCTGAGGATGGGGGATAGCGACCGGATCGCGACGAGGTTGGTGTTGCGAGTGGTGATATAGTACCGCTTGACTCGTCGTGTGAATATTCGAATAGCTTGCGCTTTCCTGGAGATGTCGTTGACGCGGTGCGGGCTGCTTTCTGCGGCGTCTCGGGGTTGAAGTTGGGTTGCGACAGTATCGGTTGCGTTGAATTTAAAACTTCAGAGAGCTCTTCGTTCTCCTCCGAGTCATCATTCCAGCCAAATTCATCCGTATCTTCAGTCATCATCCGCGCCTTTGCGCTCTTCGGTGGTGATTTGAACTGGCGGGGTGGGACATCGATCACCCTACGATCGGTCTGAGGCGTCAAAAGGCCATTGCCTGCACGATATGTATTGTTGGAAGGAGTGTGGTAGCTGGCATCGCGGTTTTCGAGTTCGGAGCGAGAGTTGGCGAGGATGGCCTCCTTCTCACGAACTTCGGCTTCATCGGCCCAAAGGAAGAAGCCGCATTGTTTCCCCGGAGGATTCTGGCAAGTCCAGACTGTTTCGAATCAATATAAAATCAACGGTAAGAAGCAAGCACACGATCTGCTTTACTTACAGTACCGTCCTTGGTTCTTTCCAGGCTTCTTGGTCTCTCGTTTCACCGCGGGCAGCCGTTCCCGGCAGTTGCACATCCAGATGCCATCTTGGAAGAGCCCCTTCAAAGGCACCACTTTACGCGGGCTCACTGAGGTCTTCCTGCTGGGAGAGAACATAGTGGCATGCTCTGGATTCAGGTGAAGATAAAGGTAGTCCAAGAAGGATGAGTATGTTCTGGGTTCTCAGACGTCGCCATGGAAACTCCTTATCTTATCGCTACCCAACTATGACCGCTCTCAACGAAATCTCGCGTTTTCGTCAATCTCAATCTCAATTTATTTATCTGATTGTGTTTCCTCAATGACATCCATATGTCTCAAACACCCACCTTCCAAGCCCACATCGCCTGAAACGGTGGTGTCATCAAGTGAAACCCAAAAATGAGGCGCAAGCCGCACAAAAGATCACCAACGTCATTTCCCCCCACGTCGAAACCCATCCCACTCAGCCCACTTCATACATTTAAATCACCCAGATCACCTATATCAATTAAAGATGTTACCATGACTTCCACCGACCATGGGTGACCAACCTCGTCCCCTCTCCTCCCTTCCAGCCGAGCTCCTAATCACAATATCCGAGTCCCTACTCAGCATCACAGACCTCTCCGCCCTCGCCCGCACATCAACTTTCTTCTACTCGCTCCTCAACCCCCGCCTCTACACACGCGATGCGTCGCAAGACCGAATAGCCTTAAATTGGGCCGCGACCTGCGATCGAAAAAGTACAGCCCTGAAATCCATCTACGCCGGCGCAGACGTCCAATCTTTCACAGACTTTGATCCCCGCATTAAAGGATGTACTCCTCTCATGCTCGCCGCGTATCACGGCAGTATAGAAACGCTTCAACTCCTTCTTACAATCGAGGATACCAATCCGAATAGTCGGGATAGGAAATATATTCGACCGCCGATATCTTGGGCGATAAAGCAGAACCATATGGCGATTGTGCGCGCGTTGTTAGGCGATGAACGGCTCGATGTCAATCTCGCGGATAAATGGGGTGATACTCCGCTCATGGTTGCCGTTGAACATAATCCGAGATTTATCTCGATGTTATTGCAGCGTGGAAGGGCGGATCCGCGCATTGTGAATCGACAGGGTGCGACGCCGTTGTCTAGGGCTGCGATGTTAGATGTCGAGGCGGATTTGTTGCTTGCGGCGCATATCCAGTGTATACTGGAAGGTGATAATACGGCTGAGCATTGTCAGCATGTATTCTTCCACGCTGCGATTGTGGGGCAATTGGATATTGTGGAGTATTTGGTTTCATACTTCGGGGGGAAGCTTGATCCGAACGGGGAGCGGGATGGGTATGGGCGAGGCGCTTTTGCGATAGCGGCGGAGCGGAACCATCTCGATGTCGTGAGGTATTTGTGTATGTGGGAAAAAACAAATCCGAATCTCAGTGATAGCTGGGAACATGATACGCCGTTATTCCGTGCTGCGAAGCATGGGCGGAGGGATATGGTGATTGCGCTACTGGAGTGTGAGCGTGTCGATGTGGAGCTGGGTAACGTGCGTGGCACGAGGCCACTTGCCATTGCGGCGGCCAATAATCATGATAATATTGTGAGGTGTTTGTTGAAGGGGCCGTGGCGAGCGAATGTGAATACCAAGGATGATAATTGCCATACGCCGCTGTATCAGGCTGCTATCTTTGGCCACTTGCAGGCCGTTGATGCGTTGCTTGAGGCTCAGGATATTGAGCCGACGTGGGGGGATGACATTGATCGTACAACTCCTCTGGATGCGGCGATTCAATATGGTCATCATGATATTGCAGAGCGACTGCGGCAGTACTTGGCCCAGTCATGACTTGGCTGGCTGGCGGTACTCGTTTCAACCTTTAGAAAGCTAAAATTGCACATATTGCATAGATGGTTACAGCAGCTCACTTAAATAAGCATGAATTACTAGGATCATTTCTTTCTATGGAGATGTAGATGTAATTTATGATGCGCCTCAGCAAATCGTCTCTAGTCATACCATCCAGAATACCCATCAAACATAGGCAGAACTAGGCCCACAAGGCCACAATTGTATCGAGCGAAAAGCAAAACGACTATGCAAGGTAGTATATGAGCGAAAGCAGCGCTGTAAACTCAAAACGCAGACGACTAGTCGGCTAGCACATGCCGAAGCATGACGACGAACGGCTCCTGGAGCTTCAGGATCTCGGTGATATCCGGTTTAACGGGTTCGCCTGCTGTGCGGCGCAGTTGATCCTGCTTCTTGATGCGTCTGCGACGTTCAGTGGCGATCGGATCATCTTGTTCGTCTTCAGCGGATTCTTCATCTTCTGAGCCGGAGGCTTCGTCGGAGATAGTGAGGTCTTCCAGATCGGCCTGGTGGGAGGTTAAAATTGAATTGTCTGGGTTAATATTGCAGGAAACACATACCTCGTCGAGACCAAAGTCGCTACCCTTGAAGGTAGAGGCACCTGGGATGGTATCGTTGCCAGTGCCCTCAGCGGCCATCTTCTGGCGGGTCTTGTTCAGGTGCCAGCGCTTACGATCCTCTTGCCACTTGACCAGCGCGTTGATTTCGCTAACTGCAAGGTCTTTATCAATTTGACCGACGCCTGCAGCTCCCTGGAACAAGGCGTTCATGTCGAGCTTGCCGCCTGTCGGGCCCTTGCGCAGGAAGTCGAGAATCTCTTCAATCCACGACATGAGAGACCCGAACAGTCCGTTATCGTGGAGGTGTACCTCGTGGACGAATTTGTAGAAGTTGTCCTGGTGACGAGCGCATAGGTCGATGAAAGATTGGACAGTCTGGTTGGGGTCTGCAGAGGCATCCTGGCGCTGGGCGCTTTCGATGACGGCGATCGCGTCGTCGGCAAATAGTGCAAAGTCGGTGACACTGCTGTAGACATTGGCGGACTTGTAGACCCTGACAAGCGGCTCATAGAAGATGGTGAATAGGTCGCGGAATAGTTGAAGAGTAGTAGGCTCCTCGACAATGCTAAGCATCATGGCCTTGTCGCGCTGTCGGGTGTAGAGCTTCAAGAGCTGCTTCAAGTGAGCGAACCATTGGGCTCCTTGTTGCATTTCCAGGTCCACATTGTCCACGGTATTGTTCCACGCCACCCAGCCATTAAATACCTTGCCGATTTGCTCGGGGCCAAGCTCTGGCGAGACATATTCAGAGCGAAGAATGGCCACGATAATATCAACATCCTCGGCCTCGGCTTCCTCGCGAATCTCATTCTTGACCATTTCATCCGCGTTCACGAAATTCTTCAGCTTATCAGTCAGGATCGAGTCCTCGACCTTCGCAGCGAGCGAAGTAATCGACCTCTGGAAGTCCTTGATGCTCTCGTTCAAAGTCAAAGAGAAAATGCGCTGGAGTAGCGATCGCGAACCGAACGGCTGAGCCATGAAAAGATCGAGAACACCAGTCATGACAGCAGCAGGGTTGGCAATGCGAATCACATTCTTCATCAGGGTATAAGGGACAAGGCCGTGAATCCTCTTGGCTTGCGCAAACATCTCAGGAGAGTTATCCTCGGCAAGGAATATGTGGTACACGGTGGCGGCAACTTCAATTCGCAGCCACTCGGCAAATTTCTGATACTGCGGGCTCAGCTCCGCAATGGTTTTCTTCTCCTTAATCTCAGCAAAGAGCTTCGTTAAGCCATCTTACATAGTGTTAGCGTCGCACAGCGTAATTCGCATGATATGCGTCACTTACTGCTCTCCACGATATCCCGACGGAACTTCTCCATGTAAACGTCCAGCTCCGCAGCGCGCTGCCTAGCAATCTCATAGAAGCGCTTCTGCTCCTCAATACGAATTGCGTCCATACCCTTTCGTCGCTCAACATCGATCCATTCTTCCTCATTCAACTTCATGGGCTTCGCAGTCAGGAACTCCTCCACCGACTTGGACTCCGCATATTTCTTATTTTGCAGGAGCGTTCGAAGGAAAGCACGTAACGAAACGCGCTGCTCCTCTCTGTATAGGACCGTTTCTCTAGAAACATCAGCTGAGGCACGCGGTGACCTGGTTGAGCGCATTGATCCCTTCGACACTGATCGATGGATAGTTCCGGGTGCCAAGGTACGGCCGGTGGTGGTGGATGTCCTTTCATCGGAAAGACTCGCGTCCTGTGTCGAGAGAGAAGAGACGGACGAAGCATCATCATCATTAGAGCCAAACCAGCTGGAAGATGTTGAGGACTTGTTCTTGCGAGGCAGAGGGGGTAAGTGTTTGCCAGGGAATTCGGTACGCAGCCTCCGGTGGAGCTTGACAAATTCTCCATACCGTCTGCCGACGTAGATATCATCCTTGCCGCCCCTTCGCACACGAATAATAAACTCAGCGTGTTGGTGATAGCGCACTGTGCGTTTCACGGACGTGACCCTAACAGCAGCCACGTTGACGTCCCAGCCATTGAGAGCATTTCCCTCGGGCATATTGACCAGCAAACCCTTCTCATTCGCACTACGGTCGACGACCTCCATCTCGGAGAACTGGATACGCTCCTCATACCCCGACGCAGTCGGTACACCGGATACCATCATCAGTTCCACGAGCTTCTCGCACTTCCGCGCCAGTTTCCTTCGCTTTGTCTCCTCCAATCGGTCCTCCGATGATGACACATGCTTATTGGCGAACGATTCAAGGAACTATTCAGTTTGTCAATAATCATTTTCTCGCCGGCACGAGACCCGGGCAAACCCACCACTTGGAGCTTATCCTGCCAGAACTGCTTCTCCTGAGCCTGGTTGAGGAAGGGGAAGTTGCGAACATGGTGCACGAAGATGTAGCGAAGAATAGGAAGTTCCGAGTCGACGGGTGCGACCTCACCGAACTCGGAGCGAAATGGCGCGCCGAATCGCTGCAGCGCAGTGGGCGAGTTGAGCTCGGAGATTTCACCGCGAACTTGTCGGGCGATCAGCTCACGCTTGAGATCTAAAGAGAGTTTATGTTAGCAGACTGTCACATTTCCACGAATTATGCCTCCTTACAGTGTTCCTGCTTGCCCGTCAGGATCTGTGCTGGCGGGGTCGCATCTTGGCCTGACACAGGTCCAGCTCCACCGGAGAATGCGGGTTCTGACGATCGCGAGTCCTCCATCCTTTGTGTAGCTTCAAACCGTTGTTAAAAAGCCGTCGAAAAGATACCCAACTTCTTCAGGGTCAAAGTAGTTAGAAAAGAGGGAGAAATTCGTCTGCCTGGGCGCAGGTTGATGCCGAGATTTGATAGCCGACCACAGCCCCGTAGTGCGGGCAAGGCTCGCCTGAAAAGGTTCTTTTCTTGGCGATAGAAACCCAATCTCTGCGAGGGATTGCGCAGGTAGAAAATGTGCCAAGATGACAAGATGAGGAGAGACAGGGGAAGCGGGGAGAGACGATGTCGTCACCCGAAACGAAATTAAGAATAGCTGACCCGGAGCCAGACCCGGAGATTCGTACTCGTCAAGCGCGACATGTTCCGCCTGCGTTGATCATTTACTAGGCTTGTCTTTCCACCCTCTTTTCTCTTCTTCTCGGTTCCTTTCCTTTTTTTCTTCTTTTTCTTTTAGCAAATTCACCTCCTAGCGTTTCTACCACGTCCATATTGTGTTACAGGTTTAGCTGACAGCGGCTACAGAGAAAGAGTGGGTGTATGCGAGACAAGGTATCTGGTTGCCTATCTTACCATCAATGCACGGTAATTCAACGCACTTGCATTAGCACCAGCCCTATGATGATGTGCCCAGCCCTGACGCGTCTTGTCGCCTCCCGGTGTCCGCTCGGAGTTAACGTGGGGCACATGGACAGGGCTGAACAGGCTATCGATCACCTGGGCGACCTTGGCGCCCTGGCAGCGTCAGTGGCATTATGTGTTGATGTAGATATGTCCTAGAGATCGTAGGGGCCCTATCAAGCTAATTTCCAAGGAATGTTTCGAAGCACTTAATCATGGCCCAGTTTACGAAGACGGACTTTATACTACGAAGTTGAAGCAAAATGTTGTAAATACTGCAAATGTTCTTTGAGTCATTAAAAAGCTACCTAAAAACATCCGAGCTGACCCTTGGGCTATTGAGAACAGTCTTCGTACACGAAGATAGTCCCTCTCGGGATAGGAGTAGATGGAATTTGATTAGCCGAGTCTCGATAACACGAGAGGAGCAGCATGCAGGTCCATTCGGGAGTGTCGGTCTGAAATCTTAAGCCATGAGCATCACGCTACGATAGGCGCGATGCTTTGAAAAATTCATACTGGGAGGAATTGCGAAAAAAGATAAATACGTCGCACGGAGTATCGCTTGCTGAGTGGAAAATCATCGCTCGAGAAAGAAATAGAGGGCCAGCCGCCTATTTCATGTATTCGTACTCTCCGTTCGGGCCCATGTAAGGGTCGTAGTGGTTGCCTTGTTGGGACTGCTCGGCCCAAGACTGGATGTCTTGGATGGCGACGTCGCGGTCGAGAGGCGGAAACATGGGCTGAGTACGTTGGGGCTGTTGGGCGTATTGACTGGCAGATGTCTGCTGGGTCATCGGTGGTGTGACGTGGGAGGCAGCGTTCATGCTCATACGGTGCGATTGATCGTAGAGGGTGAAGTCATTGCCAGCAGGAGCCTGGAATTGATAATCGTAGTGCTCGTCGGCCTGGCCAGATCTCGGGGAGTACAGCATCAAGTTGCCCTGGGCATTGGGAGAGAGTCCGGAGACCTTGTTGGGAGCCTCGTAACCCATGTAGTTGTTGGCGCACATGGAGTTGTCAACGTAAGGCTTGAGTCCGCTGTGGTCAGAGCTGGGAGTAGGCAGCTGCATGTTCAAAGCCTGCACATCCTCTTGCATAGAGTTGTAGTCCAATCGGCTCCAGTCAAGGTCAAAAGTGACGCTGTTGTCAGTGGTGGCCATGGGGGATCCGTCGAAGGACATAGAGGGTCCCATAAGGTCTGGGACCGAGTCGGCCGAGGGAATAGACATTGAGTTCATCGACTGACGGTGCATCTCGAGAGCCGGAATAAGGCCATCCGGTTCACCTGCTTCAAACTGATTTTGGAAAGCATCGAGGTTCATCGAAGTGGGGAAAGTAAACTCGTTACCCATGCCCACCGACGAGGTCTGGTACGGAGAGTTCTCAAAGAGAGGAGGGAAATCATCACCGCGAACCGGCACAGGAGGATCATTGAAGTTAAACGGCACGTTGTCCTGGAACATAGGATGCTCCTGAGGGGAGGCGCTGGGTGCCGAGAAGGGAGTAGAGAAATCCGCAGAGCGGGAGGCAGGAGTGGACACACTGGGGGTACCTGGGGTGGCCTGAACCGACGAGCCACGCTTGCCAGTGCTACCGCCACGGGCATTGTTCTTGGATCGAACGTACACCCACCCGTGGGCTTTCTCCATGTGCTGCTTGCAGTTGCTCTCGCGCTTGGAGGCATAGGTGCAGGGCTGGAACTGGCATTTGTAGAGGCTAGGAGTATCCGAGTGCTTGTCATTAACATGGCGATCGCGCTCCTTCTCAGTTGGCCAGCCGACTTCGAAATATTTGCAAGTGGACTCGCTGCACTTCCAGGGGCGCGAGTGAGTCTTCTCGTGCTTGCTGCGGGGTGTTAGCCAATCAATTACAATCAATGAAGAGGCTAAAATTGTTGGTACTTACGTCAAATCGCACGGACGCTTGAAGACCTTGTCACAGTGATTGCACTTCTGGTTAATGTCCATAGGAGGAGCGTTCTTCTTGCGACGTGCCATGGACCGCTGGACACCCTCGTCAACCTTCTCGTCGAAGCTGACGGCGCGCTTGAAGGTCGCAGGAGTTGTCATATCATAGGGGAGTCCAGTGGCCATTGAGATGGCCTTGCCGTCCTCTTGGACGACAATAAGTTCAGCGGGCTTCCCGTTTTGAGACATTCCGCCTTCCAGAGTAGCAGTTGGGACACTGTCGTGGATTAGTTCAATAGTCCGGGAGTTGCAGGATCTTCAGGCGGACGATGACTTACAAGGCGGTCGCTTTCTCTTTCTCAGCCTTCGAGTCTGGGGCCTCCTGGGCCTGAGCTGCTTCAACGCGTTCGCGGTTGGAACGAATCAAGGCAGCGTAGCGTCGAACCTGCGACACAAGATCAAGAAAGTACCCGTTAGTATACGGGCGGTCGGCGGGAAGTCGCTGGTCGCGGTCGTTCAAGTGAGAAGCGGAAGTATGAAGACACTGGATCGTGAACTCGGCGAAGTTGAGATAGGCGGATCGTAAGGTTGAAAGCTTCTGGACCAGCCGAAGATTTGTGAGCCCTCGAATTCCAGATCACAGGTGAAGAGGAGAAAAAGAAAAGGAAGAAGAAAGAGGAGAGACCAAAACGATCGGGACAACGGGAGGGTCACCATTGACGCCAATGACGACCTGCATCATTGGACTAATGGGCGACACTATTGTCCCAAATAGACCCACAAATGGATACTTTCAATGGAAACACCATGAACAAGCCAAAACAATAGAATCGTGAAACGCATTGAGATGAAATATCGCAAGACTTACCGGTGCTAGCCACAAAAGGGTCTTTTCAAGGTCCCTGAGGCATGTGATTTGTTTATTCACAATTCGAGCCGGAACACTCTGGACTAGTGGGTGGAAAGGCTTCAGTTTAGGCTCCTTCAGAATCGGCACCAATATAAAGCGCTCGATTTGTTTACAGGCGGCGAGCCCAAGCTGCGGCCGTGAGGACACCTTAAGGGAGGGAGTCGGGTCGGTAATGGCTGACTGAGGACCATCGGTATCGACAGTCACTGATAGGTGGTGAGTTTTATCCTGCGTATACATGTCAGAGGAAAACACACCTTTGCCGTCAACAGACTCGGCGCTACTGACAGATGAGCCCAAGCCGCTGTCAGATTCATGGGAGTGCACAGGCCGTTCAGTCTTCTTCTCAGAGACGTCGTCCTGGCTAGCATTTGAATCGTCGTCACGGTCTTCCAGAGTCAGACGTTCCAAGATGGACGCCATGCGCTGCTCGCTAGCCGCAATACCGTCAAGCGAGGTAGGCGAGCGACGAGGTAGGGAACGGATGTTCAAAATAGGGTCACGCCCAACACAAGGGGGGGAAGTAGGAGTGTTGAATGTTTCTCCCTTCTTCAAACACATCTTAGAAGAAACATCTTCGGTGTCCAGCGAGGGCAGAGTCGAGTTTAAGACGGGACGACGACGGGGGTGAACCCGGACCGGCTCGAGCTGAGAAGCGGTCATATTGGATGAGCTCTGCATGAGGACAATGTTAGCTCGGATACTCTCGGTCTGGAATGAACAGGCTGTCATGGATGATTGGCTCAATCACCGTGACTCACCAGCACTCGTCTAGTTGATTCGAGAAATGACGTACGGACGAGTCAGAACGACGGGAAGATACGTGGGAGATTTTTTATATAAATCGGCCAGCTGCGCCCTTCAAAAAGGTCTATCAAGGACCTGATAGAGATATCCAAACTGCAGGAACAAAGGGCCCTGAGAGAGGTATCCCGGCGGACGAAGATAGCCGTAAAGTTTGCGCAAGTTTCGCAAGGCGTTCGCTCCCGGACAAACCGGTGTCGCACTCGAAGTGGCTCGAGGAGCGAGGGCGGGATAAAGAAGGCAGTTTGCGAGGAGGTAGCCGACTAGGGACGATGTTGCGTGACAGAATATCTTAGACCCCGATATATACGGTGAAAGAGGGGTCAAATGACGAGTATAGCAATTCACGGACGAAATGACGGGCGAAATCTGGCATACAGCGGACAACGATATAATATGGAGTAGACAGAAGATCGAAAAAACGCAGAATGAACAGATATCACCGGTAAAGGGAGAAGGATGACGGCGACGTCGCGTTGGTGTCTGCCTGATAGACGAATGACGCTACGCCCGAATAGGTATCGACCGCGATGGCTGAGTCGTGGGCCGTTTTTTTTTCTTCTCAATTTTCGTTTTTCGTATTTCGTTCCTTGTTCCTTTGGGTATTTTCCCTCCTCTATACGCAGCATGATTGGCTCGGATGACGGCAGTGCGGTTGACGCCTGGGACCCCCCTTTAACGGTAGCCGTAAATTACGGTAATCGTCGGGCTCTTAAAATGGAAACAAACGGGGCCCGCGGAGTTCAGATCGCTCCGTGGGAATCCGTGAATTGAGAGCCTCAAAAACCGAACTGAGTTCTCTGTCGACCAGGGGTCGTCTCGTTCTCACCACGAACATGACTGCCTGCGTCGTCAGCTCCTTCTCCTGCAAGTTGACATCACCGTAGTCCTATCACCTGTCATCTACCGTCTGCTATGTGCTACCGTGCCTCTACACCCTCTACGGCATCTCCAGCATTCTCAGCTTTCAGCCTTACACAGGGTCAGAGGACATCCGCGGGGGAACTCAAGTCCGATCCACAATCCGGAGCGATTCTGGATTGCGATGTGGGCCCCTTCTCACACGTGAATTGAGCCTCCCGGGTGGTTCGGCCCAGGAAAAAAACAATAATGCAATGCGCGCTTTTCTCGTATCAGTCTCGTACACTCCATGTCTGCCTGAATGCTGTTGCCGGGCGGGGCTAGCCCATTACTGCCCGCCAGGTGTCACTGTGGCATTTCACGACTGCTTCGCCACCTTTGGCCCCATCTCACTAGCACTAATGGAGACCGAACAGGGTCAAGGTTTGAACCTTAGTTGGCTTGGCGCTTGCTTTGGGAAAATGAAGAAGAGGCAAATGCGTTTAATTCTACGGGACGCCCTTCGGGGTTTTCCTGATCTCGATCTAGATCGTCAATATCCCGAGCCGTTTCCATGTTATCGTCAGCCGCCATCGCTATCGCGAGCCAGTAATGAATCTGCCTAGATACCGTGTCCGGAGGGAGACGTGGCCTTTTTCTTGGATAACAAATAGTCCTTGATAATTTGATCGAATCTTTTGGAATATTTGATTTCATCATTCATTTGTGATCCTCGCCTACCCTGAGATGCGTAGTACGTGCGTGCCTATCACGTGATATTCACCGGTCTTGAGCTGAGCGGTCAGTGATCAAATGTCGCCTAGACATTTTCTGTCTGTACTGTCCGGACCTATCAATAGATCTGGATGATCCTATTGAGGAACTAGTTACAGACCCAAGCTAACGGCTGGGGTAATGGTTGCCCGACATTGCCCAAATCCAAACTTGGACCCGGTTGCTCGGCTCACACACCATCCTTCCATGATAACCTCATCGCCATCCTTAAACCACTCGATTCCGTCTTTTTTCAAAGCTGATATAGCGGTATGCGGGAGCGAGCGCTCTACAAGGCATGCTAGGCCCGTCTTTTCTCCATTCTCATCTGTGCGCTAAAGTTGTCAAAACGTGTTAGCAAGATCTATCACAAAGGGAGAGAAATAAAAGATCAAAGGCTGGCATACAGCACTTGAAATAGTTCCTGTCCCAAAGATGTCACCCGTGCTCAAACCTTCACCCGCACTTGCAAGGTGAGTAAGCTGTTGATACGGGGTCCAATACAGCTCATTGAGGTTCGTGTCCGTAAGATCATATGATTTCCCATTTCCTCTTCTTGTAAGTCCAGATCTGCACCGGCGAGGAGGATGAACTCACTGATGACATAAGCGGAGAGATTGATATTGAACGTCGCATCTCCACCATCTCCTTTCCATGTAAGATGAGGCAATGGAGCGGGGTCCTGTTGAACCATAACAGCACTTTGCACCGAGTCAAGTGCATCCATAGTGACGATCCACGGTGAAATATAAGTCCCAAATCCTTTACTGTGGAACGGACCGAGAGGAGCCATCTCAAATGCTTGGATATCGCGTGCAGACCAGTCATTCAGAATAACGAATCCAAAGATATGATCTTTGACATCCTTTATATCAAGGATCTGGCCAGAATTCAGAGGCTTGGAAATAAAAACTCCCATTTCAAGTTCCATGTCCAATTTCTTGGTCGGGGTGAAAGCATATTCTCCGGTTTCATCTTTCAAGACGCCGTGCGGGCGGGTCAAAGTAGTAGCTACATTCAGGCTGGATGTGCGGCCATTGTACACGCTCGGAATGACGCGCCAGTTGGGTGACTCGGAAAGACCGAAAATTGCAGAGCACTATGTAGGCGGTCAAATTATTTGTCTTTGTTTGATATGGTGACAGGAGGGATTGAGAGACGGTACATTCTGGGCATGCTCTAGCGAGCAGTAGAAATCCGAGAAGTTGGCCGTCTGCATCGGGTAGTGATTTTGAACCAGATCCAGCGAAATGAAGTATCGATTCGCCTTGGATTTATCTTCTCGGAGCTGAGGTAGGCCGTCACGCAGGCTATTCCGTGCTTGCCGACGGCTTTCAATGGGAAGCGATGCAAAATCATTCAAGTAAGGCTGCGATTGTCCGAGTCAGTGAAGCTGTAAAAGGGCATGTAAAGAAGGAAGGTAACGATCGTCAAACTTTAGTAGCCTTCTCAGCGGGTAGATAATAATAACCTTGGAGAAAATTGATTTCTTGCCAAAACCTTGCATAGATTCAAAAAAGCCATCGTTTTCCAAAGCGCTTAGATCAATAACATCGTGATCAAGTGCAGTTGCACACCTTGGGGCGGGGTTATCGGCCGTCGAAATCACCCCAAAGGGAATGTTGTCGATAGAAAACGGAGTTGAATTAGAATCAGACATTTTATTGGCCAGGTGATCTTGCAAGCCGTGGTTTTAGAGTCTACACGGAAATCGAGGAATCGTGGGCGTACTGTAATATCACTTGGGATGTCTACGCTCGTAGGATAAGCCCCGTTGAGCGGTGAATAAGTGCGGTACGTGCAGGTGAAGCAGGGTCGGCTAATAATGTGTCACTGTCCAGTCCCCCAGATTGGACTATACAGATGCGTAGATTTGTTCCGTATCTGAAGCTAAGGGGGTTTCCCATGTGGGCATGTTGATGACTGGGCGAACCTTGGGGTATTGAGATACCTGGCCCATTCTCCACTCTGTGGCCTCGGGGATCGGTCACACACGAAAGATTCGCCCACTCGGAAAGTGGGCGCTGTGGATACTCGAGCGAATCGATGACCAGCCGCTCAAGACCCTGCGGCAACTTTTTACATCCAGGTGCGCTTATTGGTTAAATTTAACAGTCCCATGTATTTAAAGCGACTAGGTCAAGTGAATGAAGCTTTATAGAGCGGGGATTCAAAGTGGGCGGGATGTGGACGGTTTGGCTGGGGACGGAAATGTGGAGGGGCAAGAACGATAGATACTCAAAAGCTCTACAAATTGGAGGACCTTTGATTATTTTCATTTTAGGCAAGAAAATTGATCATTCTCTACGCACAAAATGACAAACGACAACAAATTGCACATCATCATCGTCGGTGGCGGCATTGCTGGCCTCACGGCCGCAATCGCTCTGCGCGCCTCCAACAGGAAAATCACAGTTCTGGAGCAGTCGCGACTGAGTCGCGAAATTGGTGCATTGATCTCCCTACAGCCAAATGCTTCTCGAATCTTGCGGAAGACGTGGAAACTCGACAAAGAAATGGAAGAAGCACGTGGCCTAGTCGATGAGGGCATGCGTATTTACGATGTGGACGGAAAGCTCGTCAACGAAATCCCACTCTTATCCAAGACCGAATATGGCGGTGATCGCATCGTTTGGCATCGAAATGATTTACATACAGCTCTAAAGTCAGCTGCGACAAGTCCTAATAGAGGGGGAGACCCGGCGACTATTCAGGTAGCATCGAGAGTGACTAGTTGCGATCCTGTTGAGGGCAATGTGACTCTCGAGAGTGGTGAAGTTTTGACGGCCGATGTGATCATTGGCGCAGATGGGATGTAAGGAACTGCTCATTTCTATTGGATTGAGGCGATGCTAAAAGAATATGGCGATGTTAGTCATAGCGCGCTGCGAAAATATGTACTCAACGATGAGCCTGCAGCTATGCCGACTGGATCCTCTGGTACTTCCTCACACACCGTTTCTATCAAGAACTTTACTGACAGCCCAATACAGCTTATCGTCTCATGGTTAGCACTTGCACACCCACTCATTTGATGATGCACAGAAGCTGATCAATGGCAATATAGATACCCTCGGAAGTCCTCGAAGAAAAAGAACCCGAATTCTGTAGCAGAATTAACCCCCGCGACCCATTTACTTCGATGATTGTAGCTCACAACTGCCGGCTCGTTATGGGTCCGGGCAGGCAAGGTGACGTTTACGGCATTACGGCATTGGTACCAGACGGCAAGAAGCACTTGCCCTGCCCTATCATGACCGTTCACTGATAATAATTACAGAGAGGATGAACGAGGATCCGAATTCTGGGGAATCATGGGTCTCGGAAGGAAGTATGGAAAAGATGATGGAGATCTTTGCGGAGTTCCCTAGCTGGGTTAGCAACATTTTCAAGTAAGACCGCTTATCATTTTTTTGGAAGTCAGAGCACTGATATTTTACTCTAAGACACTCGGCAAATATCGGGCTGTGGCAATTACGTGACATGGTGAGCATTGTTGACCCATAATATTGCTAGGTACAAGTCTGACAGCGTATAGGATCCCTTAGCGACCTGGGTTCAAGGTCGCGTCATCCTTATTGGAGATGCCGCTCACCCCATGCTGCCTACACAAGGGCAAGGCGCAAGCCAGTCTATCGAGGATGCAGAAGCATTGGGTGCTTTCTTTGAGGATGTCCAAAAGGCACCATCTCTGGAGCAGCTGGACAATATTTTCAAGGTAACTCTTTATTCTACTGCCCAGCTTTGTTATATTGTTATATCTTCTAAGCAATCATGTAACTATAGCAAGTTTTCCAGTCCCGCTATGAAAGGGTCAGCATTATTCAGGGAGCCAGTCGACAGGCCGCCAAACCCGGCACCAAGAAAGGAGAAAAGACCGTTACAATGTATACAACCCTGGAGACTAATTCGATTGTGAATTCGCTAATTGAGTTTTTAATCAGGAGCCCAGCAGATTCCATGGATTACAATTGCACATACCGAGGAGCGAAGCAATGGGTACATAGTCAAGCTGGATCCGCGGTGTAGACCAGACCTACTCGTTTCAATTCATTGTATACAATTCAAACCGTTCGTTCATTCTACTCTGGGGAGTCATGAAACCGGTGTACCGTAGCTTGATTTATTTCAAGAATGTAGTCCTTGTAGCATACTGTTACCACAAACCACAATTAAATGTCATGGCTCAGGGACCCCCGGGGCTTGTACTTAGCTGGGGCCCTGAGGACATATATGTATACACATTCAAGATAAACCAAGATCAGACCTGGAACTTTACTGAAACTGACCAGTTGACATAAAGGATATGAGTGAAGAAGCTTTATGGCAAACTGGTGAAGACCCAAGTTGATTCAAGTCAAATGGGGAGGTCCGGATCACAGGCCGAGAGCAACCCCGATAGCGGCCAATGGCGTCGCAGCTTGGACGACGACGACGAACACCGAGTCAACCCATCCCTGTAGCCCTTGATTAAAAGATTTGTATTGATTGATCTTGTATGAATATATGAACCCCATCCGATCAAAGTGCCTTCATCTAGATAGTGCTTTAGCTGATTGATCCCCCGTCATAGCCACTTGGACCTCGGCTCCGGAAGTGGCAGAATGTCGGGCGGTGCCGAGATGCCCGCGGGTGTTGACTTCCCCCGGATTCTCCAACCGCCGTTCGCCTTCTCCTCTCTGTCTGACGAAGCTGGTTTCTGAAGCTGTCTGAATGTGATCGGTTGATCTATAGATCTAGATCCCGCACGCCATAACCTTCCCTTTCTCCGACATACGTCCTTTCCATCTTCCCCGACGGCAATTGAGTCCCCCACGCAATGGACTTCGACCACTACGGGCAGAGCTCCCAACAGCCCAGACAACGCCGGAAAAGGGCCGGAAAGAAGCGTATGCGCAACAAGCTTCCGATCGCTGCTCGTATTGCACTAGATCCTCAGCTTCGCGGCAACGTCGGAGTGCTTTCCGAAGACTTGGCCAACGACCTGTTCGCGCAGCAGACACTCCAGGGTAAGTTTGACCGAGCGATAAGCGTCTACCCATCTCGACCGGGGCTTCGCTGACTGAATTGGCTTTCATGATGTAGGTGTTGCGACCGGCGATGGCATTCTCTTTGTTGCGATTTCCCCACAAACTCCGACATCGTCATCTGTGGAGGACCAAGCATGGACCATTCTCCCGGTCCGAGTCCAGACGTCCCATACTCAAATAGCGCATTCGACTGTTCTATTTCCCGACTCGGCCGATTCTCTCCAGCCGTTCCTCCAAGCGCTAGGCAAGATTGATTCGTCGCGGAATTCTTTGCAAACACACCGGTCCGTGGATATTCAGATCTTGGATGTTGCTCCGCTTCATCTGGACACCATCTTCGTCACAGTGGAGCGGGACCTTCTTCGTAATCATGATGATGTACAAAGTAAATTTGGTGGTGGTTTCACGTCTAACGCACATAGCGCAAACGGAGTCTGGCCTAAAGCCGGAAAAGGTGCAGACTCGAGACGTTATTCAAAGAAGGCAGCGGCGGATGCTGAAGTGCGATTGACTGCAGCTGTACGTGAGGCCTTGGCTAGTCAACGCATTGTTCATATGGGAGATGTACTCCCACTTCCCCTTCCACCTCATCCTATTACCTACGCGCCAGCTCCGCCGGCAAGGATCTCATTTTGTGAACCCGTTTCACAAGGTCTTTTGATGCCGGCGACAAAGGTAATCCTTGTCCAGGCCCGTCCACAAGGTCATCGCGCAGCTCAATCGCTTCCTCCACGACATGCACTCCTCAAACAAGTTGCAGAAGATGAAGCCGATGATACTTCCAATGAACAGTTCTACTCCGCCGCGGAAGAGAAGCCCGGCGAGAGCGGAACTGAGATGGAAATTACATCTACAGCAGAAGATTCCGAAACAGATATCTCCGCTGGCTCCGCCAGTGATTCAGACGATTCCCTTGAAGATATGATCTCTCTTTCAGCCCCCGAACTTCCGCAAGCCCCATCCGGCGTTATGTCGTCCATAACATCGGCTACCCCTCGCGCGGGAGGCCGACGAGTGGATGGCGTTCATACTCCGGGCTCTGTTGCTTCGAACTTCACTTCGGCGACTATGCGCCCAGGCCGAAGCGGCGGTAAAACTTTCAAAGTCGAAGGTCTATTGCAACAAGTCCCCAACGAAGTGCTTCACCCTCGACCTCGGGATGACGAGGACGTCGATGCCTTCATCTTTGTCGATATTAGCACCCTCGCAAAGATCGGCTGTTTCTCGGGTGACTGGGTCAGGATTGAAGCGACCGAGGAACCCCAGCTGAACATGTTCGCATCGCTCAAGTTCGGTAGCTTCAACGATTCTCCAGAGGATGCTGGCGACTGGCGACCGGTCAAAGTGTTCGGATTGCCAGGCCTTCCATCACCAAAGCCTCGATATGCTATTAATCATTCGGGCGACCGAAGATCAAGCTTCTCACAACGCCCACAGACGCGTTTGACACCTTCTGTATTTGTGCCGCCCCTGTTGTTGAGCAATATCGACAACCCTAAGTACCTCCGAATTTCCCCCATGACATTTGCGTCGGCCAATGGCGCCTTAAAATCTGGCCTTTTGCACCACATGAAGAACAGTCCGGCCAAGAACCCTCCCCTGGCCAAGGAGGTAAACCTTATGAAGGTCTCGACACCGCTGTCCATGGACCGGGTTCTCCAGCCGGCTCTTTTCGCTGGACTCAAACAATACTTTGAGTCTCGCCGCCGGATACTGAAGAGTGGCGATCTTGTCGGCATCAGTGTCGATGAAGGGCTTGGTAGGGCAGTGTTCTCCGGAACTGCTGGCGGGGAAAATGCAAACCAGGAAGACGATATCACCACCAGATTAGGGCAAGGTCCCGGCGCTGATAACACTGTCGCTCGCAAGGTTGGTGTCGCTTGGTTCCGCGTCGGACAAGTGGCTCCCATCGCCGTTGAAGAAATGGAAGAGACTGGCGAGGATCAATGGGGTGGTGTCGCTGTTATTGACCCGACAAGCACCCGCATGGTCCAGGCCGGTAGCGACATTTCCAGGGTCCCTGGTATTCTGGGTAATGGTTGGGAGTACTGGCTGGGTGTCAAGACCATCCCTAAGGCTATTGGCGATACGCTAGCGCCGCATGGAATCTTTGCAGAGCCTCCTCAGGCATTCATTGCTCCTCTGCAACAAAGAATGCGGGATTTGATGGCCGCAGCGACAAGCCCCCGTGCAATTCAACTGGGAATGAAACCTGTTGTCATTCTCATCAAGTCACAACAGCGACATATCGGTAAGGCGACTGTCGCGACTCGGGCCTGTGCGGATATCGGTCTCCACACTTTTCCCATTGACGCTTATGATATCCTCACCGAGGGTGGTGCTAATGGCGGCGATGTCAAGACCGAGGCCTACCTGAAAGCTCGTGCTGAAAGGGCGTTCCACTGCGGTTCAAACTGTACCGCTCTGCTTATTCGGCATATTGAGGTATTGACCGCTGACCGGATGGTCACGGCTATGACCGATATTGTCAACGAGGCTAGAGTTATCATTGCCACAACTAGCGACGTTGAAGAGATCCCTGAAGGCATCCGAAGCATGTTCACCCATGAGTTTGAAATGGGGGCTCCTGAAGAAAAGGAGCGTGAAGGCATTCTGCGGAATGCGGTTACGGAACGTGGTATCAAGCTTGCTGCCGATGTTGAGCTAGGAACGGTGGCGCTGAAGACTGCTGCTCTGGTTGCCGGCGACCTGGTTGATGTCGTTGAGCGTGCCGCCGCCGCTAGGACAGCTCGTCTCGAGAAGCTTGCCGAGGAAGCCAGCAAACAAGTACCAGACTCACAGGTGTTCATCCGGGATGTTCTGCTCGCCGGAGGCGACGGTGCTCGCGGTGTGACGAAGGCGGACTTTGATACTGCTGTCGAGGCAGCTCGGAAGAATTTTGCCGACTCGATTGGTGCTCCCAAGATCCCTAATGTCGGCTGGGATGATGTCGGTGGACTGAACAATGTCAAGGATGCTCTGATCGAGACTATCCAGCTGCCGCTTGAGCGTCCGGAGCTCTTCGCAAAGGGCATGAAGAAGCGCAGCGGTATTCTCTTCTACGGACCCCCTGGTACCGGCAAGACCTTGCTTGCCAAGGCTATTGCTACCGAGTTCTCTCTCAACTTCTTCTCCGTCAAGGGCCCGGAGCTGCTCAACATGTATATTGGTGAATCCGAAGCCAACGTCCGTCGTGTTTTCCAGCGTGCTCGAGATGCTCGCCCGTGTGTTGTATTTTTTGACGAGCTGGACTCCGTTGCGCCTAAACGTGGCAACCAGGGAGATAGCGGTGGTGTCATGGATCGTATTGTCAGTCAGCTTCTCGCCGAGCTGGACGGAATGAACGGTGGAGAGGAGAATAGTGGCGGGGTGTTCGTCATCGGCGCCACTAACCGCCCGGATCTGCTGGATACGGCCTTGCTTCGACCTGGCCGTTTCGACAAGATGCTGTACCTCGGTGTGTCAGATACACATAGGAAGCAGGCGACTATTCTGGAGGCGCTTACCAGGAAGTTTGCGCTAAACCCAGACGTGTCTTTGGATAGGGTGGCTGAAAAGCTCCCACTGACGTATACTGGTGCCGATTTGTACGCTCTTTGTGGAGATGCCATGCTGAAAGCCATCACGCGAAAGTCCACAGCTGTTGATGAGAAGATCAGGCAGCTACCGGGTGGCCCTGTCACCACTGCGTACTTCTTTGACCACCTAGCCATTCCGGAGGACGTTTCAGTGACGGTAATGGAAGAGGACTTCATGGAGGCACAGGGGGAACTGGTTCCCAGTGTTAGGTACGTCGTAAGCGGGATCTTGAAGGGATAGAATGATGCTCACATCTAGCAGTGCAAAGGAATTGGAACACTTCGAGCGAATTCGGCAAACGTTTGAGTCTGTCGACAAGCAGAAACAAGATCCTGCAGCCGCCGCTCCTCAAACTATTGCAGAGGCCATGGAGGCGTTCAGCTTGGGTGATTCATCCTCCCCCGAAATCCAGACGAGCAATGGTGAAAACGGCTTTTCAGGAAGTATTCATGACCGTATCAAAGGCTTGAAGCAATGGCCTGGTGGTATTGTCCGAAGTGCATCCGGCCAATCCAACACGAGCAGCAAAGGCAAAGGCAAGAGCATCAAGAAGGGCAAAGACTCGCGAGCTGAAGCGGAGTCTGATGGCTCAGTTGACGGCGATGAAGAAGATATGGCAGATGGTCTGGTAGATGACGATGAAGATGACTATATCGTGAGAACCGACCATTTGGCAAATCCTATGGAAGAAGTGGAGTAGATATCTCCTAGGATATGAATCGAAGGCTTGGATCTTAGCTGCACGACTTGGATCGTCACATCTCCCTCTTCGCTTTTGTACTGCTCGCCGACTTGAGCCTCTCTCATCACAAATCCGTTGCTCTTGAGAGACCTACTTCTGGTCGACTGTGGACTGAAATGCGCGCACTTAAGACACCTTCACATCTATCTGAATCGCATTTCCCCGCAAATTTACCCGCCTGTTCTCTCAATCGCTACCTTTTGTCTTCCTCAGCCACTTCACCCTTTTCATTTCCCCTCGTATCCCCCGTTCTGTCTTCTTCCTCCCGATTTCCACCAACTGCTCTTCGCGGTTCGTTGCGCACACCATCGCAGCAAGCTCATCATCTTGTATCGCATCACTACAATCCAACTAATTTTCCCAATCGTCCAGCGTCTTTCACGTATCTCTTTCCAGGTTTCATGTCATGACGTCTTCTCACATCATCAAGCTGATGAAAGCCGCTATAGTCTCGTTTCTGATCGGGACTTCTGACTGGACTGAACGAACCAACCCCGACCAATGGAACAGAATTGAGTTCATGGACCTCGTCTCTAAAGAGGTTCGGGCCCCTCTTGAGGAAATTACCGTGCCCCCCGAACAGTGCCCTCGCGATACATTCACCGTGCCCATCCATGTCGAGCGACTTCCCGAGGATCGCGCCAAACTGGGCCACCTTGCCATGCTGCCCAATGATATCTTGGCTGGAATCATCCTGCCAACGATGGACTACGTTTCCGTTTCTCGATTCTGCCAGACTTGCTCGTTTGCTTACCGTCTTGTGGCTCGGAACAACGAGTATCGTGTCCTGTTGGCTCAAGTCCCGAAGATTTTTCCCGTGCTGCGTGCCCTGCGTCTTCATTTACGGGTTTCACTCAAGGATATTTTACTCGAACTTCATCAAAGCAAGTGCCGGGGATGTGGCGAAAATGGAACTAATATATTTTTGCCCACCGTTGAGCGTGTCTGCTCGAACTGCCTCCGTTACAACCAGGGGTTCTGGACAATTTATCTGCAGGAAGCTCAGCGATGTTTCAATCTCGAGAATCGTGATCTTGCTCGGATTCCTCGGTTCCGGGATCTCTTCAATCTGTTCGATCTGTATGCTGTGCCATATTTTCCACTTGAACCCGCCCGGCACCGAGCTTTCGTGGCAGTGAGATCCGCCCTGCAGCAGGCACTCAAGGTTCACGGCTCAGCCGAGGCGATCGATGTCATGGCTGAAGCGCAATTGTTGGACCCCACGAACCCGTCATCGACTTCGCAGCAGGTTGAAACCCACTTGTACGCTCACCTGCGCCAGGCCACGCTTGGTACGCTCCCGCGTGATCCAACTCAACCCCCCCCAACTGAGCCGCCCAAGGATGTGAGATACAACACCATAGTTGCTGAGATCACCGACAGGGCCTACCACAACACGGCTAATGTCAGCTTTCCCTACGTTCTTCGCGGCCATTCAGAGGCCGTTCAGCTGTACACCTGCAAAGGATGTGCTGGGATTGTGGATCGCTTCAAGGTGATGCCGAATCACCGGGAGTATATGCGGATTCCCAACTGGTGCGGCGAGGCGGATATTCGGCGAAAAATGGTGGGCGCGACCTTCATCACGTACACCGAAGCGGAGCTGGTCGAGCATGCACGCTCCTGTCTGGGTGCGGGTCTGCGGATGTACCGCTACCAGTTGCTGGAGAATCACCCGGGTGGCCTGGGCTCCGAATTCTGAGAAGCAAGGCTTGGACTCGCTTTAGGAGCCCCTTGACAAACACAACTTCGTGCTTCCACCACTCACCTTTTCGTGACATCTGAGCGGCAGGTTCCAGATATTCCCGTTCGGGGCTACAAGTCTACCGAGGGCATAGCCCGTACAGTGAACAGACAGAGAATCCAGCTCCGTCTGAATATGTTTTGTGTATAATAGTACCTTCTCTTCTTCTTTGTGACTTTCTAAGACATCTGCATTCAGAGCCTCCATGTGGGGTCTTCCAAGTATTTAAATTGCCCCCAGTATTCATGTTACTGTTCATAACGTAATTTGCATGCTGTTCTCCGGAGCTCACAAAACGCATACCTTTGTCTCGTAGCCCGCAAAGAACATGTCGCTACTTTGGAGCCTAAGTAGTTGTCATTATCTCCTAATCTGCAGACGTTGCCCTGGCGCTGAAACACGGGGCTCGCGAGTTCGTGCGGAAGCCGCAGAAGTGATGAGCGTCGCGACTTCGGAACTTCGCCCCACCTCTTTACGGGTGACTCTTGCCATATGCGTTAACAACGCCAATATGCACACAACTCTACAAAGACTCGAGACCCTTCTGTTCACATCTCTTGGCCAGAAGGAATCACGATAAGCGCCGTAGGAAGGTGCCGCATACGCCTCCAATCCGCACTTGCCACGATTTGCACAGGGGTGAACTCACATATTTCGAATTGATACCCATCCATCCGACTTCCACCAAACTCTCTTCAGAGCAATGGTCATGTTCTGACTAAGGTCTCTCAGTATTCCTCGAATCATCCTACTGGCCCATCGATATGGCCTCGAACCCCAATCCAGCCGGGGCGGAGACTTGGGCTTGTCCGAAATGCCCGAGGAGTGGATTCAAGTCCCAGGGCGCTGTCAGGACGCACTTCATGGCCAAGGGCCACGATCTCCATTGCACAATTTGCAACAAGGAGTTTCAAACCGCCAAGAGCTTCATTACACACCAGAAGCAACATCTCAATTCCGACAAATCTTCGCTTCCACCCACACGGGCCGGTGTGACGACTGCGGCCTCACTTCCTAAGAAGCCACAGATCACAGTGAACTCTCTTCAGCCCTCAGGTTCAAAACGTCAACTTTCATCACATAAACTTCCTAGGCGTCCGGCTACAAAAAAGCCCCAGGTTCTCCAACATGAGCTTGATGAACTTCCTCAGCGCCCAGCCACGACGCCTATGGTCCAGGATGGGCCAAAGCAAAAGCCCAAATCTCGGCAGAACCGTTCAAAGTCTCCGGTTTCAAAGAACGAAATCTTTCCGCATCCACTTCCTGAGCGCCCGGCCGTGGATTATGCACGCCAGGACATGCTTCCTCGAATAAACCAAGCGGTTCAAAACCGTTCAAAGCCTCTGTCAAAGGGTCCGGCTCCAATGGTAGGACTTGCAATGTGGCTCCCGACATCGGGCTCTGTCGCCGTGGTTCAAGAATCCCGTATGTAGCAAACTCTTTTTTGGAAATGATTTACTGACAAGGTGCTCGTAGGTACAGATCTCTTTCAGGCTCAGTCGATACATCGTCATGTCATTCTTCAAGTTCAGGAGCAAGACGTGGTGTTTCAAGAGCTGTGGATAAGATGCCACTCACTTCAACTCCTCGTCGTGGAGGGCTACAACCTTGGTCCTTTCTTTGCTCCCAAGAAAATACCCGAAAAGCCTCATTACAAGAATGCCAGGAAGACGAACGATAGAAAAGGTCCTCCTCCAGCACCCGTTATTCCGTTAACAAGCTTCGTGGTCACACCTCAGCAGCTACCAAATCAATCCCAGAAAAGAAGAAGGGCTGTCGTGCTTGATTGTGAGATGGTGCAGGTAGAGGGGAACTGCAGAGAACTAGCATACCTAACTGCAGTTGACTTCCTCACTAACGAGATTCTCATCGACAACTACGTGCAACCGACAAAGCGAGTCTGGAGCTGGAACACAAGATATAGTGGAATCTCCTGCGCCGAAATGAATCGTGCCCGTGCAGAAGGGCGAGCATTGAATGGATGGCAACATGCTCGACAGGTCTTGTGGGAATATGTGGATGCAGACACCGTGCTCATGGGCCATTCTCTCCAAAACGATCTCAAGGTCCTGGGCTTCTACCATTCCAGGATTGTGGATTCTCAAATCCTCACCTCCGAGGCTGTCAGCATTCTTCTCCCTTCAGACATGGCCCTGACCCGCAGATGGGGATTGAAGACTCTTGCTAAAGAGCTCCTGGAAGATGACATTCAAGTCGGTAAAAAGGGACACAGCGCTTTGGAAGATACCCTTGCCACAAGAGACGTTGTCATTTGGTGCCTAAGAAACAGAGAACTCCTCGAGGCATGGGCGAAGAGGAACCGAGACGAAGAGGTGCGCAAGATTCTGGCAGCGAGGAAGAAGACCGAAGAGAACAGAAAGAAGAAGTTGGAGGAGGAAAAGAAAAAGGAAGAGGAGGCTGAAAGGATCCTCCAGGCCATGAATGCTTAACTGCAGGAGTCTACTGCAGAAGTTATATGATGATAATGACCGACTGATCCTTTGCTGGATACTGTCCATTTCCATTTCGGTCTCCATTTCCCAAGATGACACCTGACACCACCATGTCTAAGGAAATGCCTCGGCAATACACTTGATATGATAGCATCCATTGACTTCACCGTACCCTGAAAGGGATTAGGCCTAATGGACTCCACTGCCTACATAGATCGGGAATACTATAGGCAAATCTAAACCTCGCAGGTCAGTCAGCTTGGGACCAAGACATGGGATAGTATAGGATGTAAATCACCTGCACGAACCTGAAAGTTCTCGAAACACTGCATCTTCCCTATCCTGTCGTCTTTCAAGAATTATGTACTCAATAGTGAGAGTTCTCAATCAATACACCGTCTTTAATTCCTGTTCCCTCTTCTCTTCCGCAAAGCATGAACAATCTTCTACTCAAATTTTCCATCCCAATTTGACGGTTTGCCCTGCCTGCTCTTTAATTTCCGATCCAAAGTCTGCCAGGGATGAAGATCCTGCTTGGTAATCAAGGGTTGTGAGAATTATACTGGGAGTCTCACGACTCGCCGCTTTGTCGACCTGCCAGTTATACCCGGTGAGAAAGGTGCAGAACACCTCCAGGGCTAGGCATCTTCCTCATTGAGTGGTCGTGTGACATCCAGATTAGGCATAGACCAACTTCTCTGAACATGAGGCGGTCAAGAATCCATGTTGCAGATCAATAGAAACCCCGAATCTTGTAGGGGTTGTTTTCTTTGACCAGGATGAAAACAGAAAATGCTTCATATCAAATAACTACTCTTAGTGATCATCCTCTTGGTAATTATCCCATGAAAAGCACTGTTCTTGTTCCCTGTAGGATTCATCAAAATCACGAGGGTCATCTTCCCAATGAGGTGCCCTGCCATGGAAACCCAGGTTCTAGAAATTCAATCTGGTTAGCAATATCCGCGTATCAACACCTGTTTCTGGACACAGATGTCTCAAGAAGTCATGGTAATCAACCAACCTCAATGGTAGCCTCCCGGTGCCCGTGGCTCTTTGCGACCTCGTTCCAGGTCTCACGAACTTCGTTCGACGGGTGAAATTCACTGGTACTAATCCACGTGGCTTTGCCTTCGGACCGTTGATAGTTAAGCCAGTGCTCGGCCATTTCGTCGAAGAGGTATTCCAGCCCGTTCTCCTCCACTGTAAAAGCAAGAGAGACGATTTTCATGGACTTAAGTTGAGGCATATTTTGGGCAGCCTGCCCAGCAGCAACGTACAATGTATTAATGGCCTCGGTAGGCTTGATACGGAACACATCAGGGAGCATGTAATCGGGGGGAGGAACGTCATCTGGCTCGATTTCACCAGTAAAAGGATTGACCATTTGGGTTCGCCATCTTGGGTCTTTTTCGAGCAGCCATTCTCCCGAACAAGTAGCACTTGCGAACGACAAGTGGAAAGTTTGCAGCTTAGGCCACTGTGTTGTATTGCCAGGTGACCAGAAAAGCTCTGGACTAATCATGATATTCAGCAATTCAATGTAAACCAACTGCTGGCTCATATTGTGTAGAGCCAAACTAAGACTGTCACATCCAGGAAGAGATCTCTGTAACGCGGGGCGTTTCTCGTAGAGGGGAGTTGCAGCGTAGTCTAGCCTGAAAGTGTCCACAGACTGAGGCAGATCGGAAATGCTCCGAGAAAACTCTAGACCTCACAAATCAGTTACTACTCATATATATGTGGGATTAGGTAGACTGCGTAGGACACCCTAGTGTCTTGAGTGACAAACCTTGACGTAGACGATCTCGGAATTTCTCTTCCTTGTCACCATTCAATTCAGGATCGTTGATCTGAAGGTTGACGGTTTTCAGCCGAGGCAGGCGAGATATGATATGGAGTGCAGCAACTGGGGTGATCTGCCGATAGATGATTGTTTCGATAATAAATTCATCGATGATTTTGATCGGTCGCTCCAGGTCCTCCTTCAGCTCCAGGAAGGAATTTTCATATCTGTCGCCAAGGATGTCCCCAGTCTCAAATCTTTCTTGAAATCGAGTGAGCATTGCATCGCTATCATGACGTGCTAGATGATCGCTAGGGGATTGAGCACATAAACGCAAGGAAAGCGGACGCTGACTGCTCTCGGGCCATGTGCTTAGAACTTCCCAGAGAGCCTTCACCCCATCCGTGAAGATCTGGCTATTTTGGTTGCGATCTGTTTTGTTCTCAACTCGCGCACGGGTCTCCACATCATACTCTGGAAGAACCACCTTAAAAGTAAGACTCTTGAGTAGGCGGCGTCGATATTTGGACAAGCTCGAGGGCTCGTGGCTGGAAAGACCGAATATTCGGCAAAACTCCGGGAGCCGAGCAGGGGTGAGGTGTATGTCCGTGAAATTTTTTCTCTCAACAAAAGCTTGCCATTGTTTGCAGACGCTCGCGTAGACATGCCAGTTGAATTGCTGTACGTTAAATAATCCAGCTAAAGCCTGGGACTCTTCCTGCCACTCGGATGTCAGATAAGAGAAAATCTGGTCGAGAATTTCGGGAGGCAGAGAGAGCGCCATATCGAAGCCTAGCACCCATATGGACCATCAATCTTCGAAAAGCAGGGGATATGGAATGGAAGATCGTTATAGATGACCTGGGACAGAAGAGTGATCACTAACTCAGTGGCCCCACTACGCGGTAGCCGACAAAAGCAATCGCGTTTCGTCAGTCTTCAGGCAGAATAGTTTCACCGCCCGTATAGATGCTCCCACCGTAGGCCGACATTCGACTGTCAACTCTCTAGGTACCTAGGTAACTTAAATGGACGGTGTCCGGATCGTGGATACGGAAATTTTCGGTTCTTTCCGAGAACAAATGATGATTATGTATAGCCATTTATTGGTCAACAAGTAACATCTTCTAAAGCTGATGTATAACCCGTTGCGATGTCAGCATCTGAAAAATCTCGAGTCACACTACAGTCCTCTTGCAGAGACGTTCTGCTGATCTAAAATGTTCAGTACATGCACTTGACTTCTTTAATTTGCTTTTATTTTTTTTGCTTGTCTCTTGAAGCCCACGCCTGGCTAATTGTAATCCCAGTACGTAATTGCTTCGCCCTTGAACCGTATACTATTCTCTGATGCAGTTGACAGTGAATCCCGCGACTACCCTCTTCATGGAAGATAGGTAGGTAAATGGAATGGAAGAGTAGCGGGAGCAGTAGTAAACCAGGATACAGCAATCTATGTGCAATTTGAAGAGTTATAAGCCGAGGACGAAATCTTCTTAGATAGGCGACTCCATTGAAGCCTTTGTTCCATAAAGAGATAGCCCATTAGTTGACATAGGCTCCAAGCCCGCTCCAGGGGACTGTTGTTGTGTAATATTCATCAAGCCTGGCTGGTAGGTACTACGACTGCTGATATCATCAGGTTGAGACGAATCAACGATAGCAGTAAGCTTTCCAAGCACAGCAAACTCCAATTTGAGTTTAATGCTGTAAATGGCGCTTTTCAAAAGCACCTGTAAGTAGTAGAGCCCGAGGAACTCGATGGACACTATGACAATGTCCATAAGGATAATGAGAATATTGATCGCGATCAGCTCGTACATGATCGTTCTGCGTCGAGGGTTTTGTTCGGGGTTGAGTCGGAGTAACTTGACTGTCTCGTGAATGTAGAGCGAGGATATGAGAAATTCCTGCACGCAGAACCAGATCACTTGTAGTCGCTCCACAATTGTATATGCTCGGTTCCAGGGGTGACTTTGCACGAATGCAGATCCAAATGTGGTTATGGTAGTCGGCACCGCGATGAATATGGTGCTGAAGATAATTGCGCAAAGCACAAATCGGAGAATCTTTTGGTTGTACAGCACCAAATGGAGTCGCGAGTATAAAACCACCGATTGTGCAGGCACCAAGAAATAGTATCCGAAGCTCGAGACCGCGAGTGCCAGCCATAAGGACCTAATGTTGAAGAAGTGTAAAATATTCCCGATTCCATTTGGTATTAGCCCAAGGATTGTGGATAATGTGAGAGACCAAAAGTATAGTCCACGATAGTGACGGAAGGTCATGAAAATGAGTAGGCTGAGCTCGGCTGCATTGTAGAGGACAATGGCCATAAGCGCTCCCATGATCGCTTTTATGGCCGTGCTATCTCCCTGATAGCCTCCAACAAGCCCTTCCGGGCCATCGCCCGTGGAGGGTAATGCTGGCATTGAAGGTTCTTCTGTATCTCATGGCACGCACTGTTTTTTTGAGCGGCCTTTTGCGTGGCATAAGGATCCAAGGAAAGAGCGAGGGAACAGCGAAAATGCTCTGGTGTTTATTAGTTGATGTTGGAAGCTTTCCATGGTTCTTGTTAAACTTTGACCCCGGACTTATGGAGATGCGGGGGAGCACGTGTTGTTGCTGAGATGTCTGGCGGTCGAGGCCACCGCGAAGGTGAAGCAGTCGGCAAAAAGAATGCTCCAGTTGGATAGGATAGCTTGGTAGCATCGTAGCATGCTTGCCACAAGTAATCCATTGTAGGCGATAGGGGGGAAACAATTCGCCAAGCATTCTCAGAGGTGAGTAGTGCAGAACTCTATCATTCCGGACAAGACGCGCCTTGAATTGCCATTTATCGATCTCATTCACTTCGTGGGGGTATCATAAAATGGGGAAATAAGCGGCTAGCATCCACAGAGCGGGGAATGATTCCCTTTACGATTGAAGAAGGGGCTTTGTGATTAGACTTCTTACTAAAACGGCTGAGGGCACGCAGAAAACGCGGGGGAGATTGCATTTGCCACCCCTCGAATCCGGGCCCTTTTCATTAAGGGAGTTTACTCCGTTGGTCAGTGATGCGACAACTTGGCACTGTAGAGGGTGAATCCAATCATGGGCCAGGACGCTATTGCGGCCCCTCTCTAGCCCCGTGGGGGAAGCCTGCCCCATGGGGGAGGGGGGGGATCTGACGGCATCAAAAGCCGACTAAACTACTAGACTCGGGTGGGCACAGATAGGATCAAATACCGTGCTATTTTGATTGGTATATTCCTATAAAAGAACTCAGAAATCCCATGAACATCGTGAGGCAGATTGTGAAATTTATGCCACAAACACTCCTCTTAGCACAGCTATCATCAACTATGAGTCTTGACAAGAAGGCCGACCTTCCAGATGACCTTATTGAGAATGATGTCCAGGAGATCGAACAAGTCGACACTTTTGACTATAAGAGCCAGACAGACCTGAGCGCCATCGAGGCAACTGCTGCCTCTAAAGCAGCCTGGCTCATTTCCATCGTCGTCTCTATTGGAGGCCTCTTGTTCGGTGAGTGCTAAATAAACTATAAAAGACCTCGTTTAACAAATTTTTACCATAGGATATGACACTGGCTACATCTCCGCAGTTCTTGTTACAATTGAGCAGTCCCTCGGTCACACGCTTAGCTCGAGTGAGCAGGAAATGGTAACCTCCTTGACGAGTGGCGGCGCCTTGGTGGGAGCTGTAGGAGCTGGTCTCACGGCCGATCGCTTTGGTCGTCGCTGGCCCCTTTGGGGCGCTTGTTTGACATTCGTGGTTGGAACGGTTCTTCAGACGTGTGCATTCTCCGTCGAGCAATTTGCTACGGGAAGATTCGTCGTGGGTCTCGGAGTAGGAAGTGCATCCATGATTGTCCCTATGTATAGTGAGTGCTCTTCTCCTGAGAAGAAGTAACTCTACTGATTGGTGTACAGTCGGCGAGCTGGCGCCTGCTCGGTATCGTGGTCGCATGGTTGCGTTCAACAACATGAGCGTCACATTCGGGCAACTTCTTGCAAGTGCCCTAGGCGCTGGCTTTGCTCAGGTCAAAGGGGAAGGATGGCGCGCTACAGTTGGTATTGGAGCTGTTCCGGCTGTTTTACTTGCAGTGCTTCTCTTCTTCTGCCCGGAGTCACCACGACAGCTGGTTTCCCACGGCGATATTGCCGCAGCGGATGCTGTTCTCATCAGAATTTACCCCACGTCAACTGCGGATCAACGCGGGGCAAAGATTAGGTCGATCGAGCTGTCATTGCAAGAAGCAACTCAGGCAATGAGTGAGGAAACACTGTGGAGCACTTTCAAGCGCATCTTTACTACGCCTGCCACCGGTCGCGCAGTTTTGACCGCATGCGTGATCATGGCGATCAGTCAACTTGGTGGATTCAATACCTTGATGTACTATGCCGCGACATTGTTCTCCATTGTCGGCTTCAATAACCCAACAGCAGTCGGGATCACAGTTTCTGCGACTAACTTCGTATTCTCCATTGTCAACCTTGTTCTCGTTGATAAGTTCGGTCGCAGAACCATTCTTACAATCACAGTGCTTGGCATGTCCATTTGCATGATTGTTGCTGTTATTGCATTTCGATATATCCCTATTGATGCAGAAACTTTGAAACTGACAACTGATAATGTCGGCTGGCCTGGAACGCTTGTCCTTGTTGCCATCATTTGTTACGTTGCTTGCTACTCGTCGGGTGTTGCCACGATCGCCTGGATCGGAACAGAGTTGATTCCGCTGGAGGTCCGGGCAGTGGGAACAATGCTGGTAAGTTCTAGCAACAAATAACCATTGCTTACTTGGGCTAATCAGATGGATAGAACACTGTTACTTGTTGGAGCACTAACATCATCATCGCTTCCACCTTCCTGTCGATGATGAAGAGCTGGACACCTAGCGGTGCCTTTGGATTCTACGCAGCTATTTGCTTCTTCGGCTGGGTATTCGTGATCATATTCTTCCCCGAGTGCAAAGGCATGCCATTGGAAGCCATTCGTGAAGTCTTCAGCACTGGGTTCGGTGTTAAGTACTCAAAGAGATGGCAGAAAGAGCACAAGCATGATGCCAAGGTGGAAACTCTGGTCTTGGGACACTGAAATACGCCCTCAGAGTGCGATCACGGATTATCGCAAGGTAGATTATCAATTGATATCGCTGGCGGACATTTGCAAGACTTTGTGATTAATGCATCCCGAGTCTGATTTATTCATTCATGCCGAGAGTGTCAGGTACATTGAATACCCGTATTCTAGCCATGTAGGTTTGTAAAACCTCAAATGAATATCCAATTTTTCTGAACTTAATCAAGATCCCACATAGCTACCAATAATTAGTAGAGAACAAACTCAGGGTAATAACTTTTGGCATGAGAATGTTCAATAGCCCGCGGGCTGATTGGCTTATAGATTTTTGGTTTTTCTATAGTTACGATCTTTTTCCGTTTATATTCATGACAGTCCCTTCCTCCATTTCAAGGCGGCATGTCAAGGTGATCTAGCGACGAAAAGCCAATAAAACACAGATAAGTTGGCTGAGCAAACGTATCATTGGGGGAGTTCCGTGCTGGAAGTATTTAGACATAATCCCACGTCAGAATAATAGACCCCGTACTTGACCCAGAGCATATCAGGAGGGAGTGGGACAGCATTTGAAATCATCACGGTCAGCTTTTGGCGTCAATACTTATATCGACCCGCTTGATCGGCGATCGTGTTTCTAATGTAGGAGAACCTGAAGCTAGAAGCCAACTCGGGGATAGAAAGCCCCCGAATCATTTACCAGTCATATTTGTTCCAGGAAATTCACGAGATTTTAGTGGCATAAACAAGTAAAAGCATTTGAAGAACGACAAAATCTCAATTTCAATCTCCGATATCGGATCAAGTGCATAGTCGGATTGCAACCCGGGGAGAATATAGGGTATTTCTCGCCAGTAATGACTGAGTGCTTCCCTAAATTAAATTGTGGACTGAACAGCCTCGTCACCAATGTGTTTGTTTCTGGCATTTCCATATATACGCAGACCATATCTTACTAGGCCCCTTCGAGCTCAATATACATCCAAATCCAAACAGAGGTCCAAAATAGCTCCACCGGGTAATGAGAGAATACTTAGCCTGGTGCTACCAGCCAAAAAAAGCCTTTCTCAACAATTCAACGAGGGTCGACCAGGAAATTAAATGGCTAACGCCAAAACCTTAAGCTCAGAGGCAAACCCAGTGATCAAGCACCAAATACGCCATGAATCCACCGCTCCGTCAAGTAGCTGATCGTCCCACGTGATCTCGCGATCAAAAAAACTCTACCCGTCGCGCACTTGGTTTTCCACTAATTATCGCTGTTCTATCATCGATTTCCGATCAAGAAAAGCCTGTATCATCTCGGAATACTAGTGCGAAAGGTCGAAGAATCCAATCTCGCGATGTCCGCCAATACCGTTATCGCTGCTGCTGCTGCCGCGGGTGCAGCCAAGAACGGCCAAGGCATGCCGAGCCATGGAGACGATTCTTCGTCTATGATGAACGAGGATGACCGCGATCTGCTGAAGCTTGGGTATAAATCTGTTCTGCAACGCGGATGGGGCTCGTTCGATAACTTCGCCTGCTCTTTCTCCGCGCTCTACTGCATTGGTGGAATTCGCGTGCTGTTCTACATAGCATTGAGTGGTGGTGGACCCGCTGCTTTGTATGTGCACACACCATGTCTGACGACATTTCATCTCTAACATGTTTCACAGGTGGAGCTCTTGGGTCTCCGGTAGTATTTTGTCCATAATCACCGCCGCTTGTCTCGCTGAAGCTTGTTCCGCGTACCCGGCCGCGGGATCTATCTACTACTGGGCTTTCCGATCATGGGGCGGTGGACGTGTCGGTCGCTTTGTCTCGTTTCTGGTTGCTGCCTGGACACTTGTTGCGTGGACAGCCTTCCTTGCCAGTGACTCGTTCGGTGTTGCGAACTACCTAGTCTCGGAGATCGTCGTGTTCAACCCGGACACAACCTTCCCTATCGTCACCTCGGATGTTAAGGCTCGTGCCGTCGCGTGGGCTTTCTCACTGATATTCCTCGGTATTGCGACCTCGTTGAACTTCCTTCCGTCGCGGTGGTACTCCTGGGTGTTCCGTGCTGGTGTCATTGTCATCATTATCGACATGCTGCTCAACTTTATCTGGCTCCCTATCGGTGTGTCCAAGACTTACGGATTCCAATCGGCTGAGTTTGTTTTCACCTCGACATATAACGGTGGTGGTACTAGCCCTGGCCTCAACTGGGTCTTGTCTTGGTATCTGGTCGGTAGCTGTCTCGTGGGTCAGGATGCTTCGGGTCACGTCGCAGAAGAGACTATCTCTGCTAAGAAGGCTGCTGCTAAGGGTATTTTCTGGGCGACTGTCGCTTCGGCCGCCTGCGGGTTCCCGATCATTATCCTGTTCTTGTTTTGCATGCCGCCCATCGAGACCTTCTACGACACGAGCGCTCCTCAGCCGTTTATCAACATGTATGCCATGGCCCTGGGACCTCGTGCGCACGTTGTCATGACGATTATTTCCATGATTGGCGCTATTCTCAATACTTCAATTTCTCTGGTGGCAGTGTCTCGCCTCGTCTTTGCCGTGGCTCGCGATGGTGTCTTTCCGTTCAGTAATGTTCTCTCACGGGTCTCAAAGTCGAAGCAGCCCCATAACGCGGTCATTTTTATCTCAGTCATCGCGGCACTTCTTCTTTGCACACAGCTGCCATCGCAGGTGGCCTTTTCCAGTCTGATCTCAACGTCTGCTGCAGGCTCCATCGCAGCCTACGGCCTTGTGGGCATTGGTCGTGCGTTTATCACGCGCAAGTCTTTCCGTGCCGGTTTCTGGGACATGGGAAGATTCGGCGTCGTGGCAGCCGTCATAACATTCATTTGGAACGGATTTGTATTTGCGGTCCTCTGCGCTCCGGAGTACTCGAACAGTTCCATCGACAAAGACTCCAGCTTGTTCAACTACGCCATTGTCATCATGGGTGGCGTCACAATCATTGCGCTCGCGGAGTGGTGGCGCAAGTCTTCGGGTGATTGGTTCGGGCATCTGAAGATCACTGACTCGGCTTCTGAAACGGATGCCTCGTTCCAACCGCAAGAGAAGATTGAAGCATCTGCGGAATCGAACGCAGTTTGAGGAAGGTGGAATTGGGGGATCTTGGCTCGATAGAGATACCGAGCCAACGTATATAGCTACGTGGTGATGCGGGTGCTCGGTTTCCCATTTGGGGAGCCGGTAAGTATATTCCCTTCGGGAAGCGCGCATGACGGGTGTTCGAGGCTTCGCTGCAAAGTGAGCCTCGTTCTGAGAATTACCGTTAGAACTTGATCTGGACAATACCAGCGAAAGGACATGCTTGCTTTATTCCCTCCACCGAGCTCGGTGTCTCGCCTTTAGGACTTTGTCCGTGAGCAGACACCACTGACAATTACTGCGTATAGGTCCGCGATTTGCTGCCAGTCAGCTGGCCTTAATCCTTGGCCCCGGCTACTGAAAGCTTGAACACATCCTGTGGTGAGTCCCTTGGGGCTATGCTGGTCTGTCTATATTGTTGGAAGACCATCAATTCCTACACGTCACCCAAACGTGCCGAGGGATCCCGTGAACGACACTCCGCCCGTCGCTTCGGGATCTTCTGCTCTGAGGGTCTCCCACAGGATGGATTTCTTGGCCCATCGAGTCGCCTCCGGTTGATACGATTTGAGACTCGGCAGGCTAGGCAAGAAATCGCGGACTGTAGTCCGTAGTTGTAGTTGTAGATGTAATTTTCGCCACGACTCCATGTCGGGACCTCGTTCTAACGAGAAACCCAGTACCCGAGAACGACATCTAGGTGATAGAGAATGCTCGTTGTCCCCGACTCACGACGAGCATTTTTCGTTACTGTGAGGCAATTGGATGTAAGCCCCAGAAAGCAAGGACTTCGAACTTCTCGGTTCACTTTCACCTTGCGTATGTTTGTCTCTGATTTGTGCTTCCACACTTCAAGACTAACAACACAGGAGAGCAGGGTAACTTTAGACCGGAGAATCTGAGGGTAGGCCTGATCAGGCAAAGCTTCGCATTTTTTTCAACAGACAATAAACTTGACGTGTGTCTCTTCTTATTCGATATCTCGCATCCTCAGTAGATCTTCTCTATGATGTCTCTGCTCGGCTTGACAGATGAACTCTTGCTGGCCGTATCATTCTACCTAGACATTGAAGGACGTCAGTTCCTTCGCTTGGACGCACCGCGTTGCTACCCCGTGGTCAACTGATATCTCTATGCATAATCCATCTCAGAACTCAACTACATGGGCTTTTCCTTGGGTACCAGAAAAAAGCGGCCAGGAACGCAAATCTTTCGATCAAGAATGCGAAGAGCGGAGGGACCCGGCTCATCAATGCTACGGCTCATGGACATCACAAGGCTGTCGTACTTTTACTTCGACATGGCGATTGATTGTACGTTGGCATGCAAAAGACTCAAGATGCAATGGAAAGTGCGCTACGATATGGTCGCAGGGACATGATCAGGATCTTGATTGGCAATGGAGTAGATCTAGACTTTGTGAACAAGGATAATAATAGGATTCTACACATTGTGGCTTAAGTAGACCAAGCGGAAATGATCAAGTTTAATCAACCCGGGTGTTGATCTCGATCGCTGGGGTCAATGGAACGAATCAGTATTGCATGTGTCGTCCGTGGCGGGGGTGAGAATGCTGTTCGAAATATCTACCAGACTTTGCCAGAAGAAAGTCACTATCGAGGACCTGGAAGTCTTGGACGATGAATCATGGTGATTCCCTTACTTAGTTTATACTTGTCGCTGGTTTTTCTCCTTATACCTAACTTGACGTGATGCTAGGGAGTAGGACAGCCAATTATCACCACTCAAAGTCATGGAAAGACGGCCATTCCTGACCTCACAAATGTGTCGTATTTTTGTTGCATTAATCAATTGGGGGTGTCAAATTCAAAGCGAATGAGCTTCCCCATGTCCCGGTGTTGAGCTGGTAGATTATAAATTAATTCCATGGCTTCACTATGGGTATGAAGTCATCGCGCCATAGCAATCCAGAACAGAGAAGAGATAGAGACTTTGAATGGAGAAATGTAGCTCACTGCAATTTCCTATTTCCTACCCCAAGGTGACTTGGATAGGGTGGAGATACTTGACGTCAGACGCCAGCTACCCCGGCAAGAACACCGATCCTTGCCCGAACCGGGCGCATGCCCACTCGAATTGAGGGGCCCAGAGTCTGGCCTTGTATTGACACCATTGTTGTTCCTATTACCCCCACGCGCGTTCTGCCTTCCTGAATTGCAGCCGTCCCTCATCTAGTGATCTACAGAGACAATGGCCTTCGCTCGCAGGCTCGCGATCCTCCCAGGAGGTCTAGGTAGGGATGAGATGTGATAAGCACCAAAACCTTGGGAAATCAGCGTTAACTCCCATTGTGTGCCAGGTGGACTTGGCTCAAGCATTGGCAAAAAATTGCAACAGCAAGGAGCTCGTGTTGCCATTTTGTATGCTCCTTTTGAGGCTGCTCGACGAGATGAGCTGCTTGAGCAGGGATACGGTGGAGGCTCTGACATCGATGACATTCGCACCTATGAATGCGATATCACATCCCCCGACTCTGTTCAGTCGGCTTTTGCAACCCTCGAAAAGGACATAGTTTCTCCTGATTCATCGCCTGTGAATGAGAGGGCGTTCCCAAGCATCCTTATCAACACCGCTGGGTATGTGTCTCTGAGTGACATGGAGATCACACCTCCTGAGGAGACCATGAAGCATTTGACAACCAATGTATTCGGTCCGATGCTTTGCTCCCAGGCCTTTGCGCGTCTCTACTTCGCTGCCTCGAAGGCTGCGGAATCCTCGCCTAATCCGCCGCCGCCAGGAAGAATCGTCAGCATCTCGTCGCAGGCGGCGCACGCAGCACTGCATCGTCATGGCGCTTACTGTGCTTCTAAGGCTGCACTCCAGGGCCTCACACGCAGTATGGCTTCGGAATGGGGAGGTCGTGGTATCACCTCCAACACCGTCTCGCCTACTGTAGCATGGACGGCTCTTGGCCAAAAGGCCTGGGGAGAGGACTCTGTCAGGGAGGCATTCCTGGCAAATATTCCAACTGGAAAGTTTGCACTTCCCGAGGAGGTTGCCGATTCGGTTCTATTCCTTTGTCAGGTATGTCACGTTTGTCTATTGTGATTTAATCTGCTCACTTTTCATGTAGGACTCCAGCGGCATGATCAATGGTGCCGACATCCGAGTTGATGGAGGCTTTACCATCCGTTAAACCATGTGGAACTCTTGTTGTGTCATTTTTTTGGTATTCACTGGCCTATTAGCCCATGTAATCATTGTCTCGGGTTGGTATGATGTCTCCTCGGTAACATTTGGGAATCACAGCTCTCAAAGAAGTAAGCATATCTTTGCTCTGTCTCAATTTATTATGTAAACGGCGGACCTGTGAAGTACTGTATCGGGTTAGTTTTGCCTTATAGGTTTAGTGCCCCAATACGCTGTTTTGTAACCTCTCCCGACGTCGCCCTTTCGGCCTCTCTTCCCTCCCTGGAACTCCTCTATATTGCACTCATCACCGCCCCCTTTCTTTCCCTCTAGCCCTCACCGACGCACTGCCCCTTTCATTTTATTGGAGATGCCGCTCGATCCGAGCCCCAGCTTGTTCTCGCTTCTCGGGCTGGAACGGTAATTGCACAGGAGCAGAACCACTGGAACGATCCAGCCCGCAGCTGAATCGTGTGGCTTCATTTCGGTACTCCTACTCCTTCCCCAAGGGAGTTATTACGTACCATGCTACGAAGCTACCTAGGTTTCCCTCTGCCAGTGAGCCTTGTTCGTCTCTGATACCGCTGGCCTTCTTCGCAACTGTACAGTGCTGGTGTACTCACGACGCCACATGCCCCGCTCCGTCCGTTCTATCCGAGGTTACCCTGCACAGCTCCGGTGTCACAGATCGCTCTCGGTTCCCTGGCCACGAATACCATGGCGCCTACTTGTCCCATTGTCGGTCTTCCAGGCTCCACTACATCCAGTAAAGAAATAGAACTGCACTTTTCGGTTTCTTTGCTTCATGATTCAGCTTCAAGGATAAAGCGACATCCACCTACAGAGCGTGTCCACTACGCTTTCCACAGTCCTGGGGTGTGTGTGTGTGTGTGTTGCTGGTGCCCATTCTGCATCGCCAGACAGCCATCGAGCCATCCCCTTTTCAATATTCAGTTATGACAGAATATCTGACACGGAGCAGTCCGCTAGCAAAGCTGCCCACAGATTGCTGGCTGCTAATTCTCAATAAGCTATCGCTCAATGATGTCATTTCGCTCTGTGCTACCTCTCGAGATCTTCGTACCTCATCAGAGGAGACTTTGTACCGTCACATTTTCATTGATTGGATAAATCCTCCATTGGACCGGGTTGTCTCTCTACTAGGGGCTATTTTATACCGGCCTCAGCTCGCTACCTACGTGCAACACGTCGTGATTCTCCCGACAATTCTTTTAAACCCATCTCGTAATGGATATGAGGATTGGACACCGCCCTCTATTCGGAAGGCTGAAGTGAAATCCTCGGCTTATTTTCGAAAGGTGGCCGATATGGCAAAGAACGTTGTTTCTATAGCAGAATTTCCGTTGTCTCGGGATTGGCTGGTAGCCATTGAGGAAGGAGATCCATATGCCCTTGTGGCACTATTCCTCTCGCAGCTTGGTAACCTCCGAACACTCCGTTTGGACTTTACTTTCGTCTGGCAATCCGGATGGCCAGGGAGAATGTTGAGCCATGCATTATCGTCTGCCCAACATGGATTATCCCGATTTTCTCACCTCGCCGATGTCGAATATGGAGTTAATGCCCCCGAGACCCCTTTTTTCGGTGATGAGGTCTACGATTATATGGATGGTTTGCCAAAGTGCAACCCTAATCAATTTCGGGCCTGGTTCTTTCTACCATCTCTGAGATCTCTCGAAATTTGGCTTCAAAGCCTTGATGGGGTCCTCAATGAATTTGCATCGCGACAAACCCTAACGCGGCTGGAGAGGCTTGTCCTCACCCATGTTGCTGCTAGTGAAGAACAAGTTGGTCGTCTCTTGCCTTTGACTGGATCGATCGAGTTCTTCCACCTGGGACTCGTCTATCATATCTTTCACGTACCCCATCTAGAGCCTCTTGCTCAGGGGGAAGCTCTCATAAGAGGATTCACGCCTATTCAACGAACTCTGAAGCACCTGTCGCTTGGGCTCCAATACTATCCCAAAGGAGAGCCTAAGGTTTGGAATAATGGCAATCCACAGGCCCTTTTGGATCCGTTTCAAGGCATTTTGAAGCATTTCACGGCTCTTGAGTCTGCAGAATTACCTGTCAGTATGCTATTTGGGTGGCATCGAGACGGAAAACCAGATATGTCCCGGCTGTTACCAAGCAGTCTCCGAAAGCTCTGCCTACGTGCGGATATGTGCACTGTTCGTGGGAATCAGTGGTATATTTCCTTCCTTATGTCTACTCTGAGATCTTCTATCTTTTCCTTTCAGATTGCTGCACCTCATCTAAAACGGTTGGTTGTGCGCCTGTTCGCAAGCACAAGTCGGTCAATGTGCCGAGATAACATAGAGGAATTCAATTCATTCACTGCGGAAAATGGGATAAATATGAGCCTCAGCCTTATTCATGATTCCCTTCCGCCGGGACTTTGGACAGGGAGTAGAGATTTGACGGAATGGGTACCCTGGGGAACTCCAATCAGTGTAAAGAAACGTCTGCGTGAAAAGGCGAATCGTTGGTGATAATGATACATTTCATCAAGCGAGAAATTAACTCCGACCTTTATCCTTGCTTTTTCTCGTTCCAATTTTATGCAGACTTCGAAAGATATCACCTCTCTAGAGCGGCATGGTCAACAAATTGCCAAATATCTGCTAGAGTTTATCAGGTTGTTTCTGTATTCGCTACTAGTTACGAGCGACGTTTCCGTTTTCAAACCTGTCGGTTTCCCTTCGCGGACTCGAGCTTGAAAATGGTATGTGTCACATAACAAGAAAATTTCCTTTTTATTTCCTTTCTATACTAGAGCGATGATGCTAAATTATCCATGATGTTATTCATATTTATTAAAGGTACAAACAGGTTTTGACACAATCTCTGTAACATTAAAAACCCTAAATCAACAAATCACATAATATCATCTTATATTACCGACTACTACTCGTAGCACGGAGTACGGTAAGAAAATTCAATAATCACTTTATGGGAAGGATTTCACTATCGCAGGTCATATCGTAACAGTGTACTCTTTAGCCAATTCCAAGTTTTTCCAGATTTATCAATGATGTTACTTCATAGATTAAGCGAAAGGGTACGTAGAAACTGCCGCGCCGCGAGAAGAAGGTTCGCAGCTTCTCGCACGGTAGTGGGCCGGGGGCGCCGCTCCGCGCTCATTAAGAGATGAAATCCATTCCCACCGCGCACCGCGCATCACTACAAACACGGTCACAGAAGTCTACCGCTCCTTCAATTGAACTATTAAAATGAACACAAATCTAGTGATTCAACTGTCTACGTCCATGATAGCAACTGTCTGCTATGGGATAGGCTTTTCATGTAGCTTATGTCCATCAGAGCATTTGACCTACGAATAATTACCGCGAAACCACTCGTCTCTAGCCAGGTCATTGTTGGTGCTATCGCGTTCTTGGGGTTAATATCTACACCGCCCGTGTTTATGGAAGCAAAATCGGCGAAGGGCAAGGAGCTACGTTCCCGTAGATTATTATATCTATCTAATCTTTATATCAGGGCTGTCCTAGCTGATAATTCAGTATGAATTAGTAGTTGCAAACTTCTCCTACTTATTTTAAATAAGGTAAGGACGTGCGAGAGGGAGAATGACGCTTATATTGCCAGCATCTATCTATCTCTCTCTTGCATTCCTCAAGAACGCACCCACCCCAACTCTTCAAAAAGGCAGCTCAAGAAAATTCCATAATATTCACTCTCCAGGCAAGTTCTGCAGATCCCCTAGATGCAATAAACTCAGACTTGGATGCAAGTATTTGAGCCTTTGGTACTACTCTCCCCGCTCCCTCTCGAATAGCCTCTTCTATTGCCTCATCCTTGATCCCCGTCATGATAACCAAGAGCTCATCAGGAAGAAGTGGACCTGTGTACCTGCACCGGTAGTTGGTTTCCCTCATCCTTGCATCGATCCTTGTCCTTAAGGTGCTCACATAATCCTAGCCCATGTCCCGCATAGGCAGCGTAGGCTTCCCAAGGGTGGTATTTGTAAAGGCCCGTGAGTTTTGGAAGACCTAGGCACTCCGCCAGGTCGTTGATATCTTCTTTGTAAACTGCCGCAATTCCTGGTTAGCTTATTACGACGTATGGAAGGGTGGCAGATTTGCTCAAAAAAAGGAGCCGTTTGACTAGTTCGCTCACGATTTGGACGTCTAGGGATGCTGCCAGACCTAATTTTTTCCGGAAATATCGCCATGCTTGTCGGGGTGTGTCGTTCCACATATCTTCCATTGAAGAGTAGGGGGGACTATTTGGGTTAATATGGTGTGTCAGAGAGGCATGACTGAATACGGAGATATGTGTAAGAGTGATGAATTAGTGCTATGGGAGAAGTAGGCTATCTAGTCTACAAACATGGTGGAAGTTGTATGTTAGGAAATAGTTCGCTGTGGGAAATGTACCTAGGATGGTATGCAGCACGTGACGAGAGTCGCCTTATCATTTCGATATAGCTGGAGTCATCTTCGACGTGACCAAGGTCCTCGAATGAACCGTCTGGGGTGACGAAGGGATATAATCCTGCGATATGTTTGTGAGTGTGATTTGATTTCCCCGAAGGTAGGTAGCACCCTACCCATATGAAGCCGTGAGAGGAATGCCTATTGATGGTTTCGATAACGTCATTCGATCCATTTCGTATAATACGCTCGAAGGCCAAAGGCAGTAGATGAAGATGAATGTCAGTCCTGTGATGAGGTATTTTGAAAGCATCTTTGTGCTCGGCCGAGTTGGCGCAATCGATGGATTGCGGGGTTGTTTTTGGAACATCGGACGTGGTAGTACTGGTTGCTGACAAATACGTCTCCCTCTGATTGCCTTTGCAGGTGCGTTACAGGGTAGTGGGCGGTTAAGGGGGCGGCCAAAGGGCGGCTGGACGTCCAAAGTTACGGGTGGAAAGGCAGCTATTTCTGGCCTCAAAAGCGGTCATTTTCGGCGTCAACCCCATAGGTCCTCATATTCTAGTTGTAAAGTAATCCTTATATTATTCTATGAAAGACGAAGCCTATAAATGCAACAGTAACTAAAAGAAATACACTTTTACCAGTGTCACGAATACCATCATTCTTTTTACCAGAACTGCTTGATTTAGACTGTAGTTTGGAATCATGGCTTGTGCAAAGCAATGTCAGAACTGGATGTATTCAAAGTGCCAGGAAGATACTCACTTCAAGAATAAAAGGACCGCCTCGGTGTCAGGCACAGACACCTCAATTTTCCCATCAATAACACTTAAAGATTCCTCGACCAATGAGCCGTTGGTATAATGCCCTTTGCCTAGGTCTATGGCATAGGTCCATTGCTCTCCTGCGTAGGATACATTGTTATTGGAGCCGCCCCAATCATAACCTACGGCTGTAGATCCTCCATCTGCATGCATTCGCCGCATGGTAGCCGATGTCACATTCTCACCAACATTGAGAGTGATGGTTGCACTTTCTCGCACAGAGTTGGAATTCTCATTCCACTCTTTCATGTTCACCAGCGCAACCCTCTCCGCTAGATCGGAAGTTAGCCCATGGATCACATAAGCCGTAAACCGATCTTGACCCGTCAGGCTAACTTCGCTCGCTTTGCCCAGATTGGCCGATCCGACAAAGTCGGTGATGAAGGCTGCAGCCGGGAAGATACCCTGCACGATTGGACGCTTCGTGACTGGGCCTGTGTCGTCGGGGACCCAGAATGCATGTGTAGCTTCGGGACGTTGAGTATTCGATACCCGTTTTATACCGCGGCACATAGCCGCGAGATGGAAATCCACGGCCCATATGGCGGCACCAAAGCCGCCGGCGAAGTCGATTGGGACGGGACGGAGAGTTGATCCGACCTCGGACAGGATGAAGGCAGTTCCAGGATCATTCTTTTCGATGTAGTCTATGCTGGATTGGTAGGAAGAAAGCCGCGATTGGATGAAGGTGTGGTCCATCAATGTTTCTAGGGTCTGTTAGGGTGATCTTTTCAATCAGAGAAGCCGATATTCTTACCTTGCAACACCTTTGCAGAGTAGGAATGTTCCTGGTTGATGGTGTAGAAATGCTCCGCTGCAAACTTCCCCCGGCCATTCTTGTTAATGCCATCCTTGAAGATAGCCTCTCTGCATTGGAAAAGTCAGGTACGAGACGGTCGGAAATGGGGAATGATAGTAGACTCACAGGCCAAAGGGGATATTTGAAGCTGAGGCATGATTAGAAATATCGCCTACTTCAAATATAGATGCGGCATCACCGCTGAGGTTGAATTCTTTCGTGATTGCATCCTCGACCTCCAATGCACGAGTCACATACTGTTTGGCTGTCCAGTGATGATAGTATCCCGGCTCATTACCGAGCGCAATTCCCGCGACGCGATCCTTGCCGAGTGCATTCCACGCATTCTTGACGTACGCCATGGTATGAAGGATATCCATTTCACGGCCCATCGGTGCTTGAAAGGTCATGGTCGCATTTTGGAATCGCTTGAATCCATCGAAATAGCTTGGTCCAATGTAAAAGCTGTCCTTGCTGTTGTCTGGGCATCCCGGCCCAGCGAAGCAGTGAGTGGCCATGGTGAGATCCTCCTTGATGCGGAGTAGGTCCCCGCTAGTGCCGCCGACCCGGATGATGAGCGGCTTGCTCATGCGGGAACCTATTGCGTTAACGACGTTTTCTGAGAAGTCGTTGGCAAATTTAGGCAGGAACGCAGCTTCGAACCCAAAACTGAAAAAGTCGGCCGGGACGGCGACCGCTCGGGATGGGCTCGACGTTGGGATGGAGACCGTGAGATAGGTGTTCGCGTACACAAGGGTGCCGAATCCCAGCGGTGCGAGGAGTACAGGGCGCATGCTGAGAAAGAGGTGGGAATGCCTTGATTGTCGAGTCGTGTTTGAAAGATCATGATGCACCATATATTTGTAGAGAAATCGATACGTTGCGATTGACCCCTTGAAGAAAACAGCGAATATTGGGTTTCGAGGATGACTCGGATCGACCTAGACTGCTCGATTCCGCGGGGGCCATTCGGCTCCGAAAGCTTAGCCATCGAGCGGTTGTCTTGGCTATTGGCTGCTATAGATAGGACAGTTATTTCGTTGCCTATTTCTCGGCAGAGATAGACCGGCTATCATTACATTCAATAGTCTAGTCGCGAAGAACCCATGGATTCGACAGCTCAAACGGTACAGCAACCGCGCCTAGGTCGGCCTTCCACAGTCTACTTACTGGAGTGTCCTGTCATCGATAACTGGAAGCCTAGAAGTCAACCCGGAGACTTATATTCAAGTCCGGGCCTGTCTGTACGGACCTGTCTGTGACGACACCTGCAACATTCACGAATCAAGGGGCTGCTGAACCAACGATGGGCTGACAAGAGCCACCCTCGGCTCAGCAGCGGCAAGCACACAATACCCCAAAAAGCATCTACTTGCGGTTATAAAGATTACTCTAGAACCTCGCGAGCTTTCCGTACATGTGATAATCGACGCCAGAGTATACGGTACGATACAAGGTGCCTTATACGGTGTCCGACTCGAAATTAAATGTACCGACCTGTGCCATGACCTGAAAGTCCAGTTGAAACCCGGGTTGGCAACACGCGTGGTGTCAAATGCGGGGCAAGGCGGAACCCGCCGATCATGAGAAGCTCACCCGCCTACACTCTACACTTCCTTAGTTTACTCCCCTTCCTCGACTTCCCGAAGGTTGAAGGTTGAAGGTTAACACATCTCACCATGACCGCTCAGACACTGCGGGAGATCTCCGCGCATAACCTGCGCACCTTCAAGCACCACTATGTTTCTGAAATCTCAGGCTCTCTGGGCGATCTGGGTACCTTTCTGCCCATCGCTATTGCACTTGCGGTGAATGGGACCGTGTCGCTAGCAAGTACTTTGATCTTCTCCGGAGTCTATAACATTTTGACCGGACTTTTCTTTGGAATTCCCCTTCCGGTTCAGCCTATGAAGGCTATTGCTGCGGTGGCTATTGCCCGCAACTTCTCTAACGGTTCGATCGCGGCCGCGGGTATTTTTGTTGGTGCCTGTATCTTGCTGTTCAGTGTCACCGGTCTCCTTCGCTGGTTCGCAAATGCGATCCCAGTCCCTGTGATTAAGGGTATCCAGGTCGGCGCGGGTCTGTCACTAGTCATTTCAGCCTGTGGCGGTATGCTCAAGCCGTTGGGCTGGATCAGCCCATCTTGGGCCGATAACCGCATCTGGGCCATTGCTGCATTTGTCGCCTTGATCGTTACCAACATTTATCGGAGGGTGCCGTATGCGCTTGCATTATTTGCAGTGGGTCTCGTCTTTGCCATTATACGCACCGCGCTGTCTGGCCACATGCCCGGTTTCGAAATCTGGCATCCATACATTGTGATCCCGAACCCTCGACAGTGGCAGGTCGGTGCTTTAGATGCTGGTGTCGGTCAGATCCCTCTAACTACTCTCAACTCTATTGTGGCTGTAGTGCACTTGTCTCATGATCTGCTGCCTGATGTGCGGACCCCGTCGATTACACACATCGGTCTTAGTGTCGCAGCTATGAACCTTCTCGGCTGCTGGTTCGGGGCCATGCCTGTCTGCCACGGATCCGGTGGTCTCGCAGCTCAATACCGCTTTGGCGCACGCTCAGGCGCCAGTGTTATTTTCCTCGGCGTGTTGAAGCTCATCATCGGCTTGCTGTTCGGCGAGACCCTGGTTGATCTTCTGAAGCGCTTCCCTGCTGCCTTCTTGGGCGTCATGGTCGTTGCAGCGGGTCTGGAATTGATCGGCGTCGGCGAGAGTCTCAACACCACTGGCGCTCGGGATCTGGGTCAGGCAGAAAGCACTCTTGGGTCTACGGACCAGCATCTTGGTCCTGTGCTTACAGATCAAGAGCGCAAGCGCCGCTGGACTGTCATGATGATTACGGTTGGTCTTCTGGTCGGATTTAAGAATGATGCCATTGGTTTCATTGCCGGTATGCTGTGCCATTGGGCATATGAGATTCCAAGCTGGTGGGAGAAGCGTCGCAGTCGCTGGTCCGAGGGACGTCTTCGTCTAGACTAGTCTCTACTACATTCGACTCATTTTCGGGGTATCTGGATATTTACACGGCCCGTAGATCGTGAAGCCAATTGCGTGCTGCTCAGACAACATTCATCTTCTGCATTCTAGTTGACAGCGAATTCAAATTGATACCACTAAATCACATCCGAAATATCAACATCCTTATCCGTCTCAAGTCTGATTCCAGTCCTCGGATTCTCATATTCGCGATGCTCCCTCGCCACCCTCCCATCGATATCGAAGTTCCGCTTAAACATCCGTCCATCCACATCCCTCACTTCCCGATGGTGACTGGTTCCACCAGCAGTATCATAATCCATATGCTCATCATAAGCCCCAGAATCTCGATCGAGGATCTTCGTCCCAAATGGATTCGTCTCCAGGTCATACGAGGTAGCTTCATCTATAACCGGTGCAGGCCCGCCATAGGCAGTCGAGATGTCAAGACCCGATGGATCTTCTTCGTCGAGGTCTGTGATGCGCTTTATACCGCCTGCTGATGTGCCATGGTCTGATTCTTTGATTTGGAGCTGTTCCTGGCCTGTGCGGTCATAGCGGCGCTCTTCAACAATGGCGGGTTGGCCGAGGTCTTGGGTTACTGCGCGGACAACGGTTGTTCCATCGTTGTCGGTATATGAAGTTGTTGCATGTCGGCGTCCGGTTGTGGCGCTCCCATCGCCTGCGTTTGTTGTGGAGCTGTAGTAGTAGGAGGAACTGCTGTAGGAATCAAACATCTTGAAAGAGGTTGAGTAGGTAGACTACAAAGGGTATAAGCTGAGTGTATGTGATTCAGTTCATTCAAAGTACTTCTCAGCCGTGGAATAATAATGAAGGTGCCTTATATTATATATTCGTCGGGTTGTCAGGAAGTTTTATGGAAGGTTCGCGTGGCGATTCATGATATAATTTGCCATCCTCGCCTCCTGCGGCGCGTCTGGACAAACGTGGGGCTTGGGGGATGGCTTTTGAGCTGGGGTAAGAGACCAGTTAAATATCAACCTAAGGGCAAGTGCCTCAAGAGACCCCTGGATGGCATTTCGAATCCTAGAACATGCTCAATGGTGGGGTAGACGAATAAGGTTGTCCATGGAAGCGATGTGTATATTTGTCCGCAACTGGAAGCCTCATTTGCGCAAGTGGAACGTGCAGACTCCTCAACCAGCCATCGACAATTTCCATTAGCAAATAGTTCCTGGCTACGAGTATATGTGATAGAAACGTCTTTTGGCAAGGTAGAACAGCGGGGTGTCTAACCAAGGGCCGCAAGACCCGAAGTGGCAAATGAATCAAAAGACGGCCAAACCCCAATTTGTGGCTCGAATAACACGAAGCGAGAGGGATCGAGATCAAATTAACTTAATGAGCTTAGAAATCTACAGATGCCCAGATTCTTCGGAGATTTCAATTCCTAGGTTGATTAATTAGAGCGCGTCGCACTGACCCAAAAAGACGTGAAACCAAACATGGGACTACATATCAGATAAAATGCAGACCTTCAGAATATTCTGGATTGGAAGATAACAAGATTTCCGCGCCCGAAAACAAGAGAATCAAGTAATTGAATTGGATATTCAATGTAACGCGCTGCGACAAGCATATCTTACCGAACTATGGCGTCATGCTTGGAGAATAAGCTCCCACCAACCAATTGACGACAAGCACCTCTATCAACATTCGAAAGCATTGGGTTTTAAAAATGCGGGCGAAAACGAACAACTCCCTTCTCTCTGTCTTTGGTAATAGTATTACCTTGGCGCCCCGTGTCAGAACAAGAATCTCTCCGCCAGATGACGTTCAATATCGATCATTCAATACCTGTTCTTCATAGCTCGAAATACCCCTAGAACTTATTTAACATACAATCCGAATTCCACCAAGGTCCCTCTCCATCTAAACTATTATTCTAAGTTTCAATATCATATATCCAATCATGTCAGACCAAATTCCCAAAACCATGAAAGCAGCCGTCGTCAAGGACTTCAACAAAGGCTACGAGGTCCGCGACATCGATGTCCCATCCGACCTCGGTCCAAATGACATCCTCGTCAAAATCGCCGCAGCAGGTTACTGCCACACAGACCTCCAGGTAATGCAAGGTGTCTACGAATCCGCAGGCGCGAAACCCGGTCTCGTCGGATCCCACGAACCAGCCGGAACGGTCGTCAAAGCTGGATCCGACGCAGGGAAATCGAATATCCACGTCGGGGATCGTGTCGGGTCGATTAATACATACGCATTCTGCGGAGACTGTAACGCGTGCAAGAACCAGGGTCAACAGCTTTGTGAGAAGTTGGTCGGGATGCTCGGGTTGACGATCAATGGTGGTTTCGCGGAGTATATGAAAGCCGATGCCCGTGTTGTGTCGAAGATTCCCGAGTCGATTCCTTGGGATGAAGCTGCGCCGCTTTTCTGCGCGGGTGCTACTGTCTACGGTGCGCTTCTTGCATCGGGTGTTAAAAAGGGCGAGTGGTTGGCGATGATCGGCATTGGTGGACTGGGACACTTAGGCGTGCAATATGCCAAGGCGCTAGGTGCTAATGTCATTGCGATTGACAATCGGAAAGAGGGAATCGAGACGGCTCTTTCGGTTCCGGAACATCTCCGACCGGATAAGACATTCGTGATTGATTCGGAAGATGCGCAGAAGCGAGTTACTGAGGAACTGCAATCTTCCTTCTATGACACTAATCCCGGCGTGGACCGCGTGGTCATCAATGCCGAGGCGCGACACCTCATCAAATTCTCGCAGCAGTTCTTGCGAAAGGGTGGTGTGTTGGTTGATGTTGGCTTGCCTTCGGAGACGATGCTGGAGGTCGATCCGTTTGCATTGAGCTTTAAGGAGCAGACTGTGAAGGGACGGCTGATCTGCACGCCTGAGCAGAGTCAAGAGATGATTAATCTGCATGCGGAGAATGGGTGCAGAGCTCACATCGAAAAGACGTATGGCGTGGAGCAGATTAATGAGATGTTTGAGCATTATCAGAGAAAGGATTTGAAGGGTCGACTTTGCATGGTGTTTTAGCCGAGGTCGACAGGAAAAGGGGTAAGTTCTTCTGTAGATGTTCTCTACAATATGGCCAGACAATAAACGAATGACGAAGTTGATTAAGTATCCGGAGTCATTCTTCAATGTTCATTTAGATTGGTATTCATCAATAGAGGCCAATTGCCTCAGACCATATAGACAGAGACCCAATAGCGCCGGTCCAGAATGTAGGAAACCCAAAATGCATGACTTTTTGATCCTCTACTCATCCCCCTGGTCATTAGAGTCGCCGGTGAGCATACCATCATCGATCTCCATCTTTTGCAGGACCTTGTCGCCATTGCGCCCCTTTTTCTCAGCGGCAAACCAAGCTTCACGTCTCTTCGCTTCCTGTTCCTCTTTCCTTGCATGGCGCTGCACCTTGGCGTGCTGACCTGCTTCCTGCTTCTCGTGCATTTCGTTGATGTAATCCTGCAACTGGGCCAGATCCGAGCGCAACTGAACGACTTCATCGGTAGTAGCGTGCCGAGCCGTGTCATTAACCGCAGCCTTCTTCTTCAACATGGCGATCTCGGCTTCTAATTCTGTGACGTGGTTGTCTCGGGCGGCTGCATTCGAGTCATCGGCAAGGGCTGGAGTTGCGGAGGTAACGTGGGAGACCTGCGCCCCACCACCTTGACGGAGTGCAGCTAATTCTGCAAGGCCATCTTCAATCATAGAATCGGGGAAGGAGGTGTGTGTGAGTGCTTCGGTGAATTCGGCTGTCTTGCGAGGTCGCGGTTGCGACGGAGCAACCAAGTGCGTGTGAAACACGTAGTCCACTGGTACGGCGCCGGGGGCGTGAGCAGGATCGGCGAACGCATTGTCATGACGAGGTTTAACCACGGTGTGCGATATGCGCTTCAATTGTTGCGTATTGGGAAGTCCAGTAGGAGGCAGCACGACCAAATTTGTGACGGGGTGTGTAAAATCGGCCACTGTGGTCGCAAACTTGCGCCGCGCAATGTTCCACGACAGAACCTTTCCATTTCCATGCGCAGATAGTAATGTTGTTCCATCGTACGACAGGGAAACAGCCTTGACGATGCCTGATTCGGCTGAAGGTGGGAGCCATCGGTCTTCGGCAGATGCCTGGGCGGGCGTCGATTGGAGAGAGGGGTCGTGGAGCGGGTTTTGCACGGAGTCATTACGGTAGAAACCGACTGACTGGACACTTCCATCCTCGTAACCCACGTAGAAAGCACGGTCGACTGGGTCCAAAGCTATACAAGTGGCGGAGGAAGGAAGGAGGAAGGTTCGCATGACACGTCCAGTCTGGTAGTCCCACGCAATCGCGGTATTGTCCTTCGCCGTTGAAACGACGATATTGTGCTGGCCATTACTGTGACCGACAGCGAGAGATGTGATAGCGGCGCGGTGATTCGAGAAAGTGCGGACCGGGGCATTGGGGGGCTGACGGTCACCGCTTGGGGCGGGTCGTGAGAAAGAGAGAATGGATGGCAGAGACCAGACGTGTATACTGGCATCGGAGGAGCCCGAGAGGATGAAGTTGGAGGTGGGGTCGACGATGAGAGAAGTAACGGGCTGAAGATGGGACGCGGTAGTAGCCACTACGCGGCCGGTGCAAGTCTATAGAAGCGAATTAGAAGTTTGATACATCGAGAGCTTAATTGTAGACGAGTCATACCTCCCACAGGATCAATCCACCACCTTCGGTTCCCAGAACCAATACATCGCCGTACTTGCCTCCGGCAACTGCAATGCTGTGGATGCGCTGCGGGAACGGCACCAGAGCCTCTTGGTTTCCTTTCTCCCGACTATACACATGAACCACCGCCTTCTCGGCCTGGGCAGCGAAGATATGCGACGGGCTCACGGCGAGACAATTGGGGTTGGTGGAGCTCTTCTTCAAGGTTGATCGCAATTGGGGGGAGGGCAGGTATTCCTGCACGCAAATGCCGACATCGCGCAGAGTGGCTGTGGAGGTCTTCGCGGAGGACAGGGTCGCCGCGACGAACGACTCGGAAAGCATGCTGGGGCCTGCAAGTTGAGTTATGCTACTAAGAAGAATGGAGCCCAAGCTCCCGATTTTTTTCTTTTCGGTGATAAGTTGATAAGGCAGTGTTTGCAGTGTTTGCAGGCGGGTCGGCCCCGTCTACCAGGAAATGCGCGGCATCGTGCCAATGTGATAACTTACAAACTCTACAATGTTTCGATCGGACACTTTGCTTCTGGACCTTAATCTTAAAATCTTACAGAGCGCGTCCAAAAATGACAGATCCAACCACTCCATGAACCGAGTTCCAAGCCCCAGTCGACCTGTCAAGAGATCCCGAGAGCCTGATCAGGTGGATACTTCACATCTATACGACATGGACGGGGCATTTACGAGGGAACCGGAATCCACGCCACTCCGCAAAGATGGATTGCAGAATTCCCCAAGCCATGGCGGAGCATTTCCCTGCATTATATACTCACGTTTCAGACGAAGAGCCGGGCATGAGCTAGGCGGATGCAAGGGATGGCACCCCCGTACGGGCAAAGGGACTCGTCTGCGATTATTGCTGTTGCAACGAGACACAACGCCAATGAAGATCCACTCGCATACATCCTTCCGACGATCCTGTTGCCCTTCTCAAGGGTTTGCGTCCCTCTGATTCGTTCTGATCGCCATGGTTGCCCTGTTCCCCCTCGCCCCATCCCAATTGTCTCATTCCCCATGTCCACTCAATGTTCCACCCCCATTGAACTATGACGCTACGACGCGACAGGCCGAGCGTCCGTCCACGTTGATGACCTGCATCTGCTTGATTTACCCGGATCTAGGGCCAATCGCCGCCCTCACAGTCCGGGATCTCACCCCATCTCGCGGAATGCAAGGACGACGCGAGCTCCATTCTCCTTATTATGATGTTGGCCCGTGCCTGGTGCGAGCTGAGATGAGTTCGTGCCTAGGGAAACGTAAAAAAACCTTGAAGGGGCTATTTTCCACTCTACATACCCGTGTTACTTGATGGCAGGAGTCTTCTTCCTTGACAAGGGATGTTCTCTGCCCCGGTGACCTTCATCCCACCTCAAAGACCTGTGCACTCTTATTGTATAAGGAAGAGTTGAGCCCCTGCATAGCGGAGCTTGCTTTGTTTTTGCCCGATTCCTTCTGCATTTCGTTCTCATCCAGCAGTTGTGCTACATCCTCATTGCTTTTCTCTCCCCCCCCCCCCCCCATCACCATTCAACCCAGACCCAGCATTGTGTTTCCCTCCACGAACGCGCCATGTCCACCATGGACTGCGCCGCTTCTACAATGCCAACTAACGCATGTCGTCCGGCTCGAATCGAAACACATATCAAGAACCAGAGCTCCCATTCGTCGGCTTTAAGCCACGATACTATGGCTACCGAAGACCGCATGCCATCGCCACGCCGATGGTCGCCCACATATCAACGAAGAAGGAGCAGGCAATTTCCGAGCTCTCTGTCATTTTTGCCCTCTTCGGCCCTCGCTCGACCAGAGCAGGAGTATTACACAACATTAACAAGGCGGCCTGCTACTCGTAGCCCCGTCTGTATCTCGCCTTTTCGTTCCGTGCGCAGAATGAAGGAACCATTTCAGCTTGTTTTACCAAAATCTCCAGCATCTGGAGGAGCGTCGCCGGCGACCGCATCATGCGATGGTTCATTCCCTAAATTCTTAAAAAACCATCCTCCGCCAGCCGGTCGTAGGTTACGAACATGGCGATCTGATCAGAACTTGACCGTCGCCAACATGTCAGCATTCGGTCTCCTTCCCAGTCCCCCGATATCAGATTCGCGACCCGCCAGTGCGGGTGCGGAATCTTCTTCGTACTTTGAATGCAAGAGCAACACAACCAGCGAAGAGGATACCCCGACTCCAGAGCTTTCCGAGGAGACGGCAGTTGAGCCAGTTGATGAGCCTATTTCAGCGCCTGTTGAGGAGACGGTACAAGAATCTGTTGAACAACTTATCGATGACACCGCGGACGAGCCTATGGAGGAGCTCATGAAGGAGCCAGAGAAGGGACCGCCGGGGGAGCCTACGCTACCGTTCGAAATGGAAGAAAAAATCCATTACAAAGCCTACCGTCCACCTGGGTGGACACGAGCATTAGAAGAAAGGCGAAGGACGGACGTGACAAATGTTCACGCAGCTCACTCCAATCTCATTCGGCAATGTGAAGAAGCCAGTCAGAAGCAGGATAAACCGCCCACCCCCAATACAAGTCCTGGCAAGATAGCAAAAAGCTCCCTCGCATCACCACGTTCAGTGCTCAGTGCCAAAGCAGTCATCCCAGGCACCTCCCCAAGACCTCAACGGCCGAGGACGGCCACTGACTCAAGCGAAGCGAGCTGGGTCCCCACTAACTTCTCGTATTGTCAGACGTGGCTGCAGGGAGTACCATTCGAGGCGGGTGAGGATAAAGACCAGGCCCCCAAAGAGTTCAACCGTCGCAAGTTCCAGATTGTTGAAACTGATCCGCCAATGCCTAAGCTGGACATCATTCCAGGGGCCAAGGCCTTGGAGGAGCCCGTGGTAAGTTCTTCAGCCTGGTTTGGATCTGAGGCCAACCATGCTCACGTACAACTCCAGCGCTTCGCGGTCGCTTCAAGGCCTAAGCTTGTTGAAGTAACACGGCAATCATCGCCGTCCATGCCTCCATCTATGGCTCCACTCATGCCACCACCGCTACCACCGCCAGCGCTGTTACCTCACCCTCTTCCAATGACGCCTGACCAGCGCCAGGAAGAGGTGTCTGCTTTCAGCCCAGACACTCCGCTTAACATGTCTGACAGCGGCTATGGTACCCGTGAATCTGGCTATTCCATGGATAGCTACCAAGACAGCAAAGATGACGATGCGTATACAGATCCAGGATCATTGACCTCGGACAGTGTCACATCTACCGTCGTATGCGAGAGGCCTGAGTCCGCGCAGGGAGAGCGCAATAGGTCACCCCAACCGGAAATCAGATCGGGCAGTGTCAGCCCCAAAGCATCCTCATCGCCGGGGACCATTTCCTCTGGTCACACGTCAAATCCTTCTGAGAAAGAAGACGAGAAACAGCGATTACTGGACCAGAAATGGACCCTAGATGACCACGAGTGGACTCTCGGAGAACTTGACCACTCAGTCAAAGATTTTCCTCGCCATATGCTGAGGCTCACATCTCCTGTTATTGTTTATCTTCGCCGAAACGATGAAAAGGTACTACTTCGGCCTTTTCGAACTATCTTCCCTCAAGTTGCAGAGAACCTTCTCGATGGTCTCTGCGCTGCACTCATTGCTCGCAACTACCTTGTTTCCTTATCTACACTTCACCGTCGAAAACCATCTATATCGACACGCAGCGATCCTTACACAGTTGATGCCCTCCCTGTCAAGGCATATAGCACGCTCGGTATCCAAATACCCACCGGGTCCCCTGGCCGGATGAAAGACCGCGCCCTCGGTGCTCACAGTATGGACCTACGCCGGCAAGTCGAAGGCATTATCGACAACCTCTTGTTCGCCATTTGCGGTCGAGCAGATGACACACTCAAATCTGCCGTCGAGGTACTCGCGCAAGTACTCGAAGCCAATGTTCAACATTGAGTCTCTCCTCTACACACTATTTCCTTTGAACTTCACATCGAATACACCCCCTTCCTTGATGCTCTACCTTCTGTGTTCATGCAGAGGACGACCCTAATATTCTTCACATGTTGATTCCTTCCACCTTCACATCGACTATATCCTCTCCTTGATCCTTTACTCTCTACGCTTGTCCTGAGGACGATCCTCATTCTTTACGCACTGTCTTCTTTCACATCGACTGCATCATCTCCTTGGACCTCTATTATTTGCACTCATCCTGAGCATGACTCTAATATTCCTTCACATCAATGATTCCCTCTTTTCGATTGACTCGAACTTTCTTTTTACTGTTCTTTCCTGTGACGTTTACCTTCATACCCTTGCATTGCGATTCGCTCCTTGGAAGTTTTGATTTTTTGGGTACATGGAATCTGTACAATTAGAGTGATACTATAATAGCAAAGCATCATCCAAATAGCTCCCTTAGTAAACATTTACCCCATAAAAGTATGTGCAGACTCACCGCCAGAGCCGGGCGATTCGGACTCGCGATTCGGACTTGCGATTCGGACTTGCGATTGCCGCGGACGATCAGCTTAGTCATTTTTGGCCTCAGGTTTCCCGCGGGAATAGATTCGACCTACTATCTCGTCCGCGATCCTCGAACCTCTACTTACCAAGCCACATACACAGCAATGGCCGCACCAGCAAGAAGCCTACGGCATCTCTCGTCCGTGAGAGCGTCCGTCTCTCCGGTCTCATCCACAATCCCCTCATTCTACCGAACCTACGCCACCACCGATGCCTCCTCCGCCGCCTCCAACACACCCGAAGGAACCACACGGCGGCGAGCCACAACCTTCCGCGATAAGATGAATGCCGGCCCCTCGTTTTCGGACTTCGTCTCTGGCAAGGAGGAGCCGCTTGATCCGTCCGAAGCATATGCTCTGAAGACCGCCATGGTTGGTCCGGCCGGCCGCAAGAAGGAAATGACTCGCCTGCCCTCGTGGCTCAAGACACCCATCCCGGACTCGAAGAATTATCAGCGTCTCAAGAAGGATCTTCGTGGATTAAATCTTACCACTGTTTGTGAAGAGGCCCGTTGCCCCAACATTTCCGACTGCTGGGGTGGTGGCGATAAGCAAGCTGCTACGGCTACCATCATGCTGATGGGCGATACCTGCACGCGTGGATGCCGCTTCTGTAGTGTCAAGACCAACCGTGCCCCCGCCCCGCTGGACCCTCATGAGCCCGAGAACACAGCCGAGGCCATTTCGCGCTGGGGTCTCGGATACGTCGTTCTGACGACTGTGGACCGAGACGACCTGGCAGATGGCGGAGCTCGCCACTTTGCCGAGACGGTCATCAAAATCAAGCAGAAAGCGCCCAACATCCTGGTAGAGTGTCTGACGGGTGATTACCGTGGTGATCTAGAAATGGCCAAATTAGTCGCGCGCTCTGGGTTGGATGTCTACGCCCACAACGTCGAGACCGTTGAGGCTCTTACCCCCTTCGTCCGCGATCGCCGCGCCACTTTCCAGCAGTCCATTAGCGTTCTCAAGGCTGCCAAGGAAGCCCGCCCGGACCTCATCACTAAGACCTCCCTCATGCTTGGATTCGGCGAGACAGACGAACAGCTCTGGGATGCTCTCCGCCAGCTCCGTGCTGTTGACGTCGACGTCGTCACTTTCGGCCAGTACATGCGTCCTACGAAGCGCCACATGGCTGTCGAGGAATACGTCACCCCAGACCGATTCGAGGCATGGCGCCAGCGCGCCCTCGACTTGGGCTTCTTGTACTGCGCCTCCGGTCCCCTGGTCCGAAGCAGTTACAAGGCCGGCGAGGCATTCATCGAGAACGTGTTGAAGAAGCGTCGCGGTGGCCCCAGCACTGCTGAGGGTACCGTCGATCAATCGACTGTCGCCACGGCGGATGCCACCCGCTAAGTTTTTCCTATTCAAAAACAATAATAGACGTGGCAGATTCACTCATTTCGAATTCATGTTTTGGCGCCGAGTTTTGCATTGGTTTGGTTTGGGCTGGGGTTAGATTTTCTTTTTTTGCCTTTCAATTGTTCAACACTTCAACGCTAAAGTGTCTTGTACCACCATCAACGGTTCTCTGTACATTCGAGTTACGAATGATCGCGAGGTCATGGTCTCGTGTACTTTTCAAATACAATCATATATCATGAATGGTTTCATTGTGTTCATGCGTCTCCATTTACTACGTATCAGTAAGCTCTATACTACTGGCGGGGGACTCAAACTGAGTATATGACTACGATTCATCAAATGAGGCACGCCCGAGGGGGCTATAGATCACCCCATGTCCAACAGACTCTGCACTGCTCCAATTCCTTGTCACGAGCATAAATCCGGGCGGAGGAATAGAGAAAAGAAATAGAAAAAGAAATGATCGTCGATTTATCTCAAGCAGTATGCAACTGCAACCGACGAAAAGGATATCAAAGCCCAAAGGCGAAAAAGTGGGTATTGTGTTTAGCGCATCTGTTCAAGAGAGCAAACCTTCACTCTTACACGAGGAGCAGGTTGAATGCATCTTAGAGCATTTTGCTTGCAGCAGACAACTCGATAATATCCTCATTATCTAAACCGATCAGGTGGAGAATATCGAGGAGGCTTTCTCCGTTCAGACGGGTCGGAGCTTCGAGCTGGACCTTGGACTTGGCGCGCCAGGCGACGCCTAGGCCGGCTGCGTGGAGCATGAGGAGGTCATTGGCCCCGTCGCCGACAGCCAGTGTCTGGGAGATGGGGATGTTGTTCTCAGCTGCGATGGAAGTGAGCAGGGCGCGTTTCTGGGCGGCATCAATGATGGGCTTGGACTCGACTAGTCTTCCGGTGAGGGTTTGCGTGGTTTCGTCGATTTCGAGCTGGAGGTTGTTAGGGGGCTTGTTTGCGGGGTGGTTCTTATCGGGACTTACATGGTTGGCGACCGCATAGTCGATTCCAAGCTGCTCGGCGAGCCACTCAGCCAAGGGCTGGAAACCTCCGCTCAGGACGGCCATCTTATAGCCCAAAGTCTTCAATGCACGGCAGAGCTCTCGAGCGCCGGGGGCGATGGTAATAACGGACTTGAGCTTCTCAAATACGTCTGCGGGGACACCCTTGAGAAGGCCAACGCGCTCCTTCAAGGATGCGGAGAAGTCCAGCTCGCCGTTCATGGCACGCTCGGTGATTTCCTGACAGGTTAGTTTTAGTTGCTGCCAGCATTGTCAACTTGAATATAGGACACCTACAGAGACTTCCTTCTCCACGCCGATAAACTTGGCGATCTCGTCAATCACCTCGTTCTGAATCAATGTGCTATCCATGTCAAACACGGCCAAGCGCTTATGCCGGCGGAAGACGCCCTCATTCTGCAGAACAACTTCGACGTTCCATTCCCGCTCGAAGCGCCAAATGCTTTCGTGCTTACGGAGATCCGCGAAGGAGAGGTACTCAGGATCCGGTGGCGGGGAAAATGTGACCTCGACCACGCGAGGCTGATCCTCGCGATCCAAGCAGCGGTGTGAAGTATTGGTGCGCTGGTATGGTGTCGGGAGTTGCTCGAGAGTTTGGAGGAAGTTGGTCAAGCAGAGCTGTGACACATGCGCTCCATACAGGTGGTCCAGCGGTTCGGGTTCCGGCGCGGGGGGTTCGCGCGGGATCTTCTCCATGTCATCCGTTGGGGCAGATCCTTCAGGGACTTTGGGCGCCTGTAGTGTATGACCGAGTGCGGCATTGAACGACGCGTCGGGGTGTAAATTGGGGTGGACGGGTTTGGAAGATTTATAGAAAAGAGTCGCGACAATGCGCGCAGTGCCCTGCGGGAGCGGATTGGCATGGTGGTGGAAGAGGCTATGAATAACGCCGCTGTCCTGGACTCTCTGGGGATTGGGGTGAATTGGGTTGGTCAAAATAGGCAAGCTCTCATCCAGCTGAGTTTCCAGCACTTCACCGATGTTTTGGCTGATCGGAATGGGCGGTTTATACTGCTGGTGATCCTGGATGAAGGAATTGCTACGCATCTGGCCCAGGGAGGGCCGCTGGCGGGAGGCGCGAGAATCCATGGTGTACGCGTAAACAAGATATGCTCAGAATCCAGAACGATGCCCCTCCCAAAACCCGTTGGCGATCGGCACGTGGCTCGTGCACGATAGCTGTCACCTGACCCAGAGCACGTGTGGTCACGGGAGAGAGCTCTTTCACCGCTGGGCAGAATGAGCCAGGGTCAAAAGGGTCCCGATCACATCATAGCTGTTCGATGGCAGCTAGTGAGCACGCCAGGGATGTAAGTTCGTATAGAGCCACTCTACACTCCATCGATGACACTACGACGTAGATCAAGCTACGGCGATCCAGTAAAATCCAGTTTCCATCGATTTTCTCGAACACCGCTAACATCATGCGTACGCAGCAGGGTGACCCAACCTAACCCCGGGAACAATGTTGGTCAGCAACCGGGGATAGGGTCGCGGAGATGAGCTTGCGTCCCTTTGGGGTGATTTATCATCCGAGTCACCTCTACTCAACCGTGGGAGACCAAAGCACCGGAATTGTCAGGAAAGCACGAGCTATCGAGCTGCCCTTAATATGGTTCGGGGGCCCACACGAACCAGTTGCGCAGGTATTGCGTGATTCTCCAGAACTTGACCGAAACGAATTTTTCAGCAGTATCGCCCAACCCAGAAGGCGGTAACTCCGAATGATGTGATTGCATTCCGGCAGAATGGACGGCAAAGGAAGGCCGTCGGATGAGATGCCAGGGACGAACATCCGAGATGATGTCGTGATTGCCCCTGTTCTTCTTATATTCCTGCCATTGTCATCTCTTAGTTCCATCTTCAAGCTCTTTTTGGTGTCCCCCGTCCCTGCAGTGTGGTACAATTCATTCATCCTCTTGTATACTCTCATACTTCCCATACATCACTGCACACTTCACCATGCCGGCCAAGATGCCTGTTAGCTACCCCTCCGATGTCGAGGGTGCCATCGACTCTAGAGATAACATGACCGAGTCTGGCTACGTTAGCGGTGGTTCTTCTAGTGAAGAATACATTCCTGAAATCGTCTTCACCAAGCCCCATCTCCAGTTTCTGAACCGCCAGCTGCAATTCCTCGAGCCTCAGGGTATGTCTTGATTCTATACTCATTCCATGTTCAACCCCGCTTTCAATGATGCAAATCTGACTCATGATATTACAGACATCTTGAAATGGTGCATCACATCTCTCCCTCACCTTTTCCAGACTACTGCCTTTGGCCTGACGGGTCTCGTCACGCTGGACATGCTGTCTAAGCTCGAGGTGCCCCGGCCTCAGATGGTCGACCTCATCTTCCTCGACACTCTTCACCACTTCGAAGAGACTCTGAACTTGGTCGACCGTGTCCGGAAGCGCTACCCTAACAACACCGTGCATATGTACAAGCCTGCCGGTGCTGATGACGCCAAAGAATTCGAGTCCAAGTATGGCTCTCGCCTCTGGGAGGCTGACGACCAGCTCTACGACTGGGTCGCCAAGGTCGAGCCCGCTCAGCGTGCCTACCGCGAATTGAACGTCCACGCCGTTCTCACTGGTCGCCGCCGCAGCCAGGGTGGCAAGCGTGGTGACCTTGACGTTATTGAGGTCGATGAGGCTGGCCTGATCAAGATCAACCCCATGGCCAACTGGTCCTTCGACCAGGTCAAGCAGTACGTCAAGGAGAACAACGTTCCCTACAACGAGCTCCTCGATCGTGGCTACAAGAGCGTCGGTGACTGGCACTCCACTCAGCCCGTCGCTGCCGATGAGGACGAGCGCTCTGGTCGCTGGAAGGGCCAGCAGAAGACTGAGTGCGGTATTCACAACCCCCGTTCCAAGTACGCCCAATATCTGATGGAGATGGAACGCAAGCGCCAGGAGGAGGCTCTCACTCAGGCGTTGCACAACCAGTTGTCCACTGCTGCCCAGTGATCTCGTCTCCTCTGCTTGCCTTCCTTCCATTGCATACCCTTGGCGTTTTGTGAATGATACCTCCACCTCCCTTTGCTCCGTTACTTCAGCGAAAAACTCGGCCCTTCTTCACCCTCATGATTTGATGTTTTATTTCAAAAAACCCAGATTACACAAAAAGTGATTTGTGTACTGACTGTTTGCATATCCGCTCCCCGTCCCTTGTTGGGATGCTCCTGTACATAGGGAGCCGGACTGCGCTCTCGGCCCTTAAGGCTGTATTGAGCATGATAATGACCCTTGCATGATAGACGCAAAATTATTCAATTGCATTCTTTTACAACACTCTCTCCAAACCACGTAGTTTTTTCAAAGTTGATCATTAATTTGTACTTGTTGCTTTGGACTGGTTGTGTAGTTGTCGAAGGAGGGGTGGATCACGTGCAGCCTCAACCCTAACTGAGGGGGGTACTTCCCGGTATCTCCATCGGACATCGAGGGGCCGGGATATGCCAAAGGTAGAGGCAATTCAATTGCCGACAATAGCTTCAAGTTTCAAAATAGATATTGATTTTCTAGCTATTATAAATTGCATCTCTGCTACACTCCACCCTTCCTTGTCCCTGAGCAGCCTTATTACTAGCAACTGCAAAAATCAAATCCACAGCACTCTGGCTACTTTACTGGCAATATTTTTGCAAATGAATGCCGCGACGTGAGTAGGTGTGGCTGCCACCACTGGCAGGCCACCTTTTATGGTCACGCCACCGTTAGATCCGATACCCCTTTAGCACGTTCTGCCCCTAGTCAAGGTATGTAATGACAACCCCGTGGTAGTTCAACAGTCCGTGAATATAGTGTCACTCGAGTAAATTGACAATTCTGTCCCTTGTCTAAGCTAGTTCAACGCGTACTTGATTTTGTCGATATCTGTGTAGCCGACAGGGCCGTTTTCGTTGCTGTGAGGGTTTAGTGCACAGACACCGAGGTGAGGCTATCAGTCAGAACTAGTACTAGATTGTCTTTAGTAGGAGTAAGGAATGCCTCCAATTTTGTCGGCTAGATCTGGGCGGAGAACCGGAAGTTGTGTACGCCTGAAATAAGTACAAAGGCCCAGGAGATACAACATCTCATTGATGATCGTCAATTCCTTTAAACTATGGGGCTTAAAACATTTATAAACACAGTTGCCCTTGTTTATCGACCCACGAGCTCACTCTAGCTGGATGCCGGAAGCACCCAGGTAGTGACCGACTCACTGGGGACATTACCACTCCACTCCTGTCCACCCTGGGTGGTGAGGGTCAAATAAACATCGTTGCTGAAAGTGTTCTCGATGACAACGGAACGAGTTCCATCCGGGTTCAGCGAGGCTACAGACTGGATACCTTCACCACTGGAGTAGGTGTAGCTACCAGTACCGCTCAAGACAATGGCACCAGGAGGCATGAACTTGCTGAACTGCGCCATCATGTAATAGGCCGGCTGGTAGATGACAGCACCATTGTTGATGGTAACCAGGCCCTGGCAGGTAGCACATCCGCCGCTGGAGAGGTGCGGGCCGTCGCTGGAGTCGGTGCCGAGAGTCCATGCTGTTACACCGACAGCCCAGTTCTGCAACGGTCCCATAGTGAAGTCGGCTGCTTGGTTCCAGGTTCCCGACGGGGTCCAGCACTCGGTCATGTACTGCTTCACGGATGGGTTACTGTTGTGGAAGGTGGTGAGGACGGTCCAGTCCACTGGGTTGGCGTAGCAGTGCCAGGCGACTGAGTCGACGTATTCACTGGCGCCGTTGATGACAGTCTGGGGGTAGCTGGGGACATCGGTGTTGTGGTCATACGCCCAGATGTCCGTGTCCAGGCCGGCCTTTGAGATAGCAGGACCAATATAGTTCTGAATGAGCTGTGCAGACTCGTCGGCATAGACATACATCGTGGGGTAGCCAGACTGGCTGTTCAAAGGCTCGTTTTGAATAGTGATTGCGTCGATAGGGGCTCCAAGGTTCTTGAAGGCCTGGATGTACTTGACAAAGTACTGTGCGAATGCACTGGCATATCCCGAGGTTCCGGTACCACTACTCAAGTAGCCATCATTCAGATTATTGTTAGTCGTGGATCCGTCGATGACACCGTTCAGCTTCATCCAGCCAGGGGCGCTCCAGGGAGAGCCGAAGATCTTGAGGTTGGATTGCAATGACTTCATCGAGGCCAACATCTTGGCCATCGCATTTCCACGATCGCCAATATTGAAGCCCGAGAGTGATGTGTCTGCTGAGCCTCCGTTGTCATCGTAGGTGTATGCCGGGTCACCAGACAGGTCTGAAGCTCCGATGGTGTGGCGCATCAAAGAGAAGTCGGCACCCGATCCGGTCATGAGCTGATTCAGGAGTGTCTGCAGACTCGAACTCGATAGCGAGTTGAAAGAAGTCACAGTTGCATCGGTAACAGCAGCACCAAAGCCGACAATGGTCTGCTTGTGACCGGAACTTGTGTCATCGATAGTAAGCTTCCAGGTCGACTCGGAGCCAGGACTACCAGCACCTTGAACCGGCGCGGCGATGGAAGACAACTTGTAGTTTCCTGCAGAGTTGGAGCTGAATGCAGAGGCAGTGCCTGCCCGCTTCTCAGCAGGTGAAGCCTGGCTGACAGCAGCCAGGCCAAGAAGGGTATAGACGGCAGGCTTCATGCCGTCGGTATGAGATGATCCAATTATCAAAGAATGATTAGAATATCCGATGTCTTGAAACAAATCTTTTCAGGAAACTCTTCTCAATTTATAACACTCCTTCCGGTCTTCCATTAGGGTCCACATGAACGCGGCGTTAAGCCTATGCCGCTGATCTGATTCAATTCGAGTGTCAGACTCATCTTCTGGGCAAATGGTTGACCTCCAATCATAGTTGAAACGAATGCACTTGGTTGCAACCTCGACCCAAGCGGAGTTAAGATGCTTGATTCCAAGAATCTTTCTGCAATCGCAGCGGGTGCATGGCCCATCGAGGATTAGTTTCAGGGTATTCAGGGCCTAGCTTTACCCCGCAATTTCCACCCAGCCACCACACTACCTAACAATACTACCGCGATCGGATCCTGCAGGTTTTGCAGGCTTTGAATCGGACTTCAGTTGCCGGCACTCCCGGACACCAATTACTCGATTGGGAAATTGGTGAAGAAACAGCCCCTCGTTTTCGTGTTCACGTCGGTCCCCAAATCTTGAAACCGAGCTACGTGGGGCTGTATGCAAGCCGCATGGTCCAAGTTAGCTCGGACTTCTAATTGCCGGCGCCCATTTTGGCTAAACAGATGTACGCAGCATAAATAGCGCCTTTCCACCTGCAGCCTGCGACCAGAACCGATGACTTGCCCGTAAAGGTGATGATTAGCGCATTAGGGAGAGACCCCGCTGCGACGATGGCAACCTCGGATCCCCACGATCTTCAGATCGCCTACACTGATGACTATTCTTCGTTGTCGGAAAGCCAATATCATCACTTGCTGCCTGCAATTGTTTGTCGTTTTATATCTGGTGGCCTAAGGGACACGCGTTGCCGAAATCCAGATGCCTGTCCGCTTCTGAGTACTTAAGTCTTCCTTGATGGATGCGAAGAGCCTGCAGCTTAGGAATATAAGCTTTGATCCCTGACTTTTCCCTTGTGAAACACAATGGCGGCTCCAAATTACACTATCGCCCCTGTTTTGGAATCCGACCTTCCATTTTTGGCCAATTTCCTTCACGTCGCTAAATTAAGCCTGAGTATCAATCGTCTCATCTTCAAGGACTGGCCAAACGATGCCGTCCAAATGCAAATGTATACTGGTGCTGTCAGAGGTGGATTTTCCGATCCGTCGATGGAGAGTTTCAAAGCAGTTGATTCCGATTCCGACGAAATCATTGGCTATTTTGCCCTTGCACGGAAGCAACCAGTTGAAGAGACATCAGTCGACGCAGAGAATAAGGACTCCAATCAAGTCATTCCTGACGGACTGAATCCTGGTCTCTTTGAAGAGGTGGTGAAGGCGACCGATCAAATTTCCAAGAAGGTAGAAGCGATGGATCGATTTGGTATGTGCGCTAATTGATTATAGCGCTGACTCATGCTAATCCTCAGTGCAGAGCTTGTCTACATGTGTGTCAAGCCATCCTGTCAGCGTAATGGAATTGGCTCCAAGCTGGTCCAATTAGGCTTTGATCGGGCCAAGGCCGAAGGCATCCCACTGGCCGTCTGTGCCGAAGCACCAGCGTATGGGTTTTTTGTCAAGCTAGGCTTCAAAGACACAACTCACTGTGATATGGATATTCGAAGATATGCACCTGCTAACAGCGGGTTTGGAATATTCCGACTTAGTGGAATGATATGGCGGCCCTGATTTCGTGGACATAACCATGGAAGTTCGATTTAGATTGAATGGATGAGATGAGATTGTTTATGAAATTGGACGAAGACATTGTTCCTGAAGGGTCTTAACGTGACTTGCTCTCTCGACTCCGTCAATTATCAACCCGATTAAAGAGAGAACTATCTTGAGTAAATACAACGTCTCAAATCACCACGTTAAACCAAACCATATCACCGTAAGCTACCCATTCTTAGAATTTAGCTATGAAATCTTTCTCGCTGGCGATCAGAGGCGATAAAGAGTGGCTCGTAATGTTAGAATTGGAGATACTCTGAATATTTGGAGTGAATGTAACCCGGGAGGAACGGGAAGCAAATGTTAGTATCGAGACCGGGATACTGTCCAGTTGACTTCTATTTAGGTTTGTAACGACAAATCTGGGTAATTTCTAACCTAGGCATCCCATATGGGGTAACGGCTAGCCTAACCGTCTTTCACACGGTAGACCCGGGTTCGACTCCCGGTATGGGAAAACTCATACAGTTGCTTTTTTTTTGTTTTTTTGCCCTTTTCTTTTTAGCGGAAATGATGGATGGGTAATGATGGGTCATGGTTACTACTGTACCTGGAGCTACTTTCACTTTAATGAAAATGAAGGCCTCGTGCAATTACCCAGCTACTGCGTAGGATTTTTGGTAGCCCGCTACATATTCTATCCGAGTAGACTAATATATATAGCAGATCCATGGATGATATTCTTCCTGGCACACTGTGCATTCTATCCATTGACATATCAATTCCAAGTGACAGGGCTTTCACCTGTGTAGTATATCATGTCCCCTGCATACACAGTGGGGGAATGGGGAAGGGGGAAAGGAAACAAAGCCGAGATGCCCATGCTGGCGCTTCAAAGATGTACGAACTGTAGATCAAGAGGATGGACGGTGGGGATGGACGCCTCGAGGGATTGATGTATCACGAAGTTGGAAACCATTCACAATGCAAATCCGCGACTCGGCTATGCGTGAGTTGGCTTTGATTCATTCACTTGGCCCATACACTTCTATCGTCACGGCGATGACTCGAACTTTGAAGGAAGTTTCCGCAAAGTGAAGGTGAGTATAAAATCCAGAAATTCTCCATCTTATTCCTTCTTCCTGGTCATTCTCATCCTTCGTCAGATCTCATCAAACTTCAGCAAACCTTATCAAATATCTTCATATTTTCCACCTCTATCATCCATCAACAACACCAGCATCCTCTCCTGTCATCTCCAACGAGATGGGCTCACACACTCCCATCAAACCTTTTCTTGGGCCTGAGGAAGACAATCTTCCATCTACCCCACGCCCTCCTAAACATGCGTTGATCCAAGACGTGTTGTCCTCCATCAAAGATGAAACAGAGGTTCACGATGCTCCCATCTCCACTTCCCTCTTGGGAAGATCGTTCAACAAAAACGGGTTCGACCCAGATGAGGCCCACCGAGCCCAGAGAAGAAGAGTGATCCGGGATTCAAACCCGTTTGTCGATAATCTACGATCTCATTCGAAGGATTCCTTACCATCTCCAACTCCCGTGATTTCAGATGTCATCCTTCCACCAATCGATGAAACTCGCTGCGATCATGGCCTTTCTCCCACAGCCAACGGGGACGGTCAATCTCTCCACCTGCCAAGCCTACCCTTCGACTTTGACCCCAATGGCTTGGGTCGGTCCATGCTACCCCCAGATGGTTGTCACAAGGAACCGGATGTGATGATTGAGGGAAGCCCAGATGATTGCAGTTTACAGCCTCCACACGAGGCCGAAGTCCCCCAAGGCACGAAGTGTGAGTTCGCCTCTCCATGCAGAATGCAACCTTCTCCGGACGGCATGCACTACCGCAAGGTTATCTCGCATATCTTCGGTCGCAACAAAGCCACAACAAAGCTCTTCCCTTGTTGGGTCTGGACCCATTACTGTCGGAAGCACTACCAGCGTGCCAGATACCGCGCTGACCAGTGGCCTTTCACCCAGTGTGAGCTCCTCCTGGAATCACTGGGCCGCATGGAATCTTGGGGTGGAGTGCGCAGCTTTCAACTCGTCCTTCGTCGCCGTGAACAGCTCCGATTGGCCAATGCAGACACCGTAGGCCAGGCACCTGGAAATGTTGATCGTCTCGCGACTGGACGCAAACACCCCACGGCAATCACCTCGCCTGTTCCGGATTGGCTCCACCGTTGCACGAATCGCGAGATGAATTTTGCCGACATCCGGCAGTTGGTCTTGAGGGCCCGCACATGGATGACTCAGTTGCGAGAGAAGGAAAAGGCTCGACAGGCTGAAGCTTCTGGATTTGGACACGATGGGTCTGGTGAACAGAGACCGGTGCGCCAGCAGCCGAGTCGTGTTCGCTTCCCGGATGTTGAAATCCTTCCTGTATTCGAGCGTTGGGTCGTTGATGAGGCCCTTCGTCAAAGAAACAATCGGGGTCATGCTGATCAGGACCATGATGCTCGCAATGGACACAATCATGGTGGCGAGGACGACGACGAGGAGGTTGCTGATGATGAGGATGATGCTCCAGCTCCAGCTCCTGCTCTTGCAACCACTCGCGAGATCGGCAGAACTGGCACGAACAGTGGTCGCTCAGCCAGCCAGCGCCGCCGATCCGAGCGCAACTTTACCAACCAGGTCTCTGGTAGGAATGGCTCCCATGTCGCCAAACATGGTGCAGTGAAGAAGCCGAAAAAACTCACAAAAAAGCAGTGAAGGGACTTCCCTGTAAGCTCTCGTATCTTGGCTTCATGGATCTTGCAGAGCGATGCGAAACAAGGCTTCCAATTTGTCCGTTACTGGCTGGCCTTGATAAACCTTTGAATGCCATTTGAATAGTATTCGAAAGGTATCTGACCGAGCTCGTTGTCACTTTGGCGTCACTTCCACCTTGTTTCCTCTGGTATGCCGATCCAATTATCGACATTTTCTGACCTAGATAATGCATAACGAAGTGATCTGTCTCCGTTATTAACTCCTAGGCTTGTAAGCAATTTTGCCCCATCAAGGCAAATACTAAACGCGAAAAAAGGACTACAGAACATATATGCAACCATTAAAGGAGTAAGCATTTTCTTATAGGTAAGTAACTCCACGAGATGTGCAAGATCAAAAAAAAGATTACGCTTGCTATGACACCAAATGCGAACAGACCCGATGTACAAACACTCCACGCCTCCAGCAAGAATAAATATCCAACAAGATTAAAGCATTATTATGATGATCATAATGGTCGTCGGGGTCGAGACTAACTAGCCACAGCCAGCTGGGCGACAAGATCAGAGGCCACATCGAGGAATGGGTACGGACTGGTGACCTCCTTCTCCTTATTCATGAGGCGCTTGCTGATTGGGTGCCATTCAGTGTCGCCTTGGGCGCGGATCACATTTTGGTAGCCGTCGCACTTGAAGTCGACCATGTAGTTGTTTTCCTCCAGTTGGTACAGCTGGATGTCTAGGAAGACCCAGACGCCGTGGGAAATGCTTGGTAGACCACCGGGTTGATTTGCTGACGAAGGGGCAGAGGGTGTGCTGTTCTCGGGTGTAGAGGTCTTTCCATCCTTGTCCTTGTCCTTGTCCTCGAATGGGGTGGAGATACCGGAGATGTGGAAGCGACGACGGAGTTCCTCGAGATCGCTGCGGCTATTGTAGACGCTGGTCGAGGCACCTGGGGCCTTAACACCCTCCTTCAGAAGGCGCGCACGAATGAACCAGGGATCATTGGGGATGTAGTAGTCTGAGGGAAGATCGGGGTATTTACTCTGCAGAGGCTTTGGCTTGTCAGGGTCGGGGGTTGCATCAGGTCCAATATTTGTGCCTTCATTTAAGTTAGCACAGTTGTTTTGAGTTAGCGAGCAAGAAACATACCTGACTCCACCGGCTTGATATCCCACAATCCGCCCTGGGCAGCGATGGCCCTGTACAAGTACAACATCGCCTCATAGGGTTGGTTCCGCGAACGAATGCCAAACTGCCACTTCCGAGACCTCTTAGGCTGCTGGGTGATAGGATGGCCAATCGGCGGCTCAAATCGCAACTTATCCAAATCGACGACGCTGCGCGAGTGAGGCTTCAGTGCCCGAGCCGAAAGGGCCTGGTCCTCTTGTGATAATTCCTGCTGAGGAGCGCTGGGGTCAGCCCGTGCAGCTTCTTGCCGGGCTCTTTGTTCACGATCCCGTTGTTCCATGAGCTGGTCATGAACATACGGCAGACTCGTAGGTAAAATTCGGACATGGCTCAAACGAGGTGGCTCAAAGTCTTCAGTATCGGCTGATTGGTAGTCTTCGGGGTGCGCACGCCGCGTGCTGGGAGTTCTGGCAACGGGTGGGGCGCGCGCTGGTGCCGGGGCTAGAGGAGTTTGAACTTTACGCGCGGGGACCCGCTCAGCGGCTGGAGAAGCGTTCTTCGGGTGAGAAACGCTCTGTGCCATCAAATTGTCTTCGGTTGGGGCTGTGGTGATGATTAGCATAGCTCACGTAGCAATATCCAAAAAGTACATACAGTTCGTCTGCATCATCTCGTTCTCAACAACAATGGAGAATGCGTCTTTGATAGCACTAGGCTCCGGGTGCCGCAATGCGTCCTCAATATCGTCTTTATCGTATCCCATGCTTCGCTCAAGCTTTGAGACGGCAATCTGGTGAATTTTGTGCTGCACGGGATGCGGTTTGCCCGGAATGACTTTGCCCGCATCGATGGGCTTATTCGTATCCACTCCCGTCGCGATGTATTCCTCCGGCGGGGGCTCCAAATATTTGGGAATATTCTTGGTAAACCATGGGTCTTCCCGGATCTCCGCAATTGTGATTCTGTGAACCGGGTGAACCTGGAGCATCGCCCGGATAAGGCGGGCAGCTCCGGGAGAGATGTATCCAGGGATATGGAAATTGCCCGCAGCGATCTTCTTGAACAGAGCCGGGATATAGTCATCGTCAAAGGGTAATCGACCCACCAGCAGTACATAAAGGATCACACCGCAACTCCAAACATCCACCTCAGGCCCCGCATAGAGCTTTCCCGAGATCACCTCGGGAGCGGCATAGTTCGGGCTACCACAGCTGGTCTTAAGGAAATTTCCGTCTGTCATAATGTTACTCAAACCAAAATCGGCGATTTTGACGTTCTTCTGACTATCGATAAGCAGATTCTCGGGCTTCAAATCACGGTGAACGATCTTGTGTCGGTGGCAGTACTCGACGGCGCAGATGATTTGCTGGAAAAACTTGCGGGCCTCGTCGTCGTTGCATTTTCCTTTGCGGACCAGATAATCAAATAATTCTCGTTCGGCGTATTCGAGGACCATGACAATGTCGGTCTTGGTGGCAATGACGGTGTATCTACGGGAAGGCGGGGCATGAGTCAGTGGGAACGCACAACGTTGGGAAAGATGGAAGGAGCAATTCGCACAATTTAATAATATGAGGATGTCGTAGCAATTGCAAGTACTGGATCTCTCGCTCTACACGACCGACCATGTCCCGGGAAAGGAGCTTGCGGCGGGAGATGATTTTCAGGGCGACCTGCCGGCCACTGGGCTGGTGAATGGCAAGCTTCACCTTTCCGAAGGAACCCTCTCCGAGTATCTTGATCGTCTGATACTGATCAAGACGCTGCATGTCTCGCGTGGTCGCGGGGGATTGCGTCGAGGGCTCGCTCCGCCCGGTCGGGCGCGGCGGCGGCATTGCCATGGCGGAGGGGTTCGCGGGCTTAGTGACACGTTCACGAGGAGTAGCGGAAGAAGGAAGAGGGATCGAGAGGTCTTCCTCGTCGAAGGCGGACGCCATGATGAAGATGGCAACGTGACGTGATTGATTTTCTGGGTCCGGACTTGCTGACTGTGCCGTGGTTCCCTGGCTTCTTTGGGATATTTTTCTTTCCTCAGGGCATTGCCAATCAATCGGTCTCGACCATCCCCACAATAGAGCCGAGGGTGGAGATGGGACAGCTGGTGCTCAGGAGAAGAGGGGCGGGGCAGCTACAGATTCCTCTTTTTCTGCCAAGCGTCGTAGCCGAAAGGATGTACGGTGTGGAATGTCTGTGTCTCGGATATTGTGAGATCTCGAGATAAGGCGATGAAACAAAAGGTGCTAGGGATGCAACGTTGTAAGATTGAAGAGAGATCTGTCGCATGGACCTTTCCTAAGGTTAGGTTAGGTTAGGTTGAGTTGGGTCGAGTTTGCCCCAGTGCTTAGGCTTAGTGTCCTGATTACTCGGATACTTCTCCGACCCCTACACCGAAGCACGCCATCCATAAGTAGGTCACTCTACGTACTGTATTTCCACTCCCGCGTGGGGCATTCCTATCCCAGCTGCCGCCGATTTTATGAGGGCGCTCAGAGTCAGGCTCAGTGAGTAAATCTCAGTCCAGGCTCAGGCTCAGGCTCAGTGAGTGTGATTGGCTGCTCACTGATCCATCACTGATTACTCAGAGATCGATCAGACGCATCTATCGAGCACTCAGTCCACGCTCAGTCCGACCCAAAGGAGCACTTTACCCAACTATACTGTTTATTTCGTGACTTCTTTTTCTTTCCTACTTAAAATCCTGTATACTTCAATCTAATACTTCCAAGTTTTCTGTCGTTGGATTTGCAAAAGAGATACCGCGCTCAGGGAGTCACAGGAACTCTATATGTATGAACAGGATGAGATTCCCCACGCTTCACTGTTTATACCGCCGCCCTACAGTCCCCAGGAACCGAGGAAATTTCATAGCCGGTCAACTGGGAGGAATAGCCAAAACCACGGATGGGCAATGGCGAACGTCAAATCCTGTGGCAATGAAGAGCTTCCTTCGATTGAAGAGGTAGTAGTGGTGGCGGGCCATCTGATGAAGGCCGCTGACGCCCAAAAACGATCGATGATGGAGAACCCTTCAGAAACCTTCGATCGTGTTTCCCCGGCGAGTGTCGCTATTTCCCTGGCTTTATTGTCACCACTTTCTGAACAGGATATATAGACTCGTCGTCGTTGTTGATTGGTCGGGGCGCTGTCGCATTCTTTCCGCATACTATGACGGAACACTCCACGTTCACTTTACGCGGATCTTGAATTTTCAAGAGTTCGCTGCTAGGCCACCGACAGGCAAAAAATATCTTGATAGCATCGACAAGGAAAAGTATTTCCAAATGATGAATCTCATTCTGAAATGGGCATGGCCAATCGCGGTTGGAACCACACACGGAGAAGCACGATTACCAGTGATCTCGGAAACGAAAAAAGAATCATCAGAAGCTCTGGTCACTCGCTCTGAGGGTCAATAGGTCGGGTGAGAATCATCAATCGATGGTGAATAGGATCATGGCTAGGATGGCGACTACGTAAGGGCTGAACAGGAAAAGTTCCGGTGGCCAACGAAGCCGTTTCGCTACAATTTATGGATGATATTACCAGCAGAGGTACTACTTCAAGTATTCTAACCCCCTTGAACCAGGTAGACTATACGCTGGCTCATACGTCAGTATCATTAGAATGATCGAATGAAGCTTGCTACTCGCACCCAGTAATACTGCTGTGATATACCCCAACTGAAATCGTTTATCTGAATCATAGTCTTTTGCACCATATCGTAAATCAGAGGAGGTACTTGCTATCCAGCTTGGAGGAGCATTTGTTTGAAATCGATTGTGCGTGGCTCCGTCGAGACGGCGCCGAAGTGCACAACATTGACTCGAACAGAGGCCAATGGTCGAAGTTCCGGGATAAGGGGACTGACCTAGGCATTCTGGGCGTGGATTTAAACTCTGGCTCTGGGGTCGCCACGGTCGGTGCGAACAACAGCTATTTCAGAAGCGTTATTTTCTAGAATTGAATAAACAGTGGCGTTTGTCTGGACGAGTCGGTATCTCGTAATAGGAAGGCGGATAGCGTCCACATAGCGCTCGAATAATTTCATTTCGTTCTATAGGTAGGCTGGTTCTTTGCAATTCGGAATACCTAATGAATAAATGTGAAGATCAAGATAAAGCTTCCGAACTCCCATACAATTACATGAGTACGTTTTCCTATTCCAAGCCATCCAAATATAAACATATACATAGGGGTTTAAAAGCCGGTGCACTAGTTAAGGGCGTTCTTGCGGTGTGAGGTTTAGATGCTTCGAATATCTATAAATTAATCTATTCAATCCTTTAAAGATATTCAGTACATAAAAATAAGGTGCACAAAATGATGGTTCTGATTGACAAGGCGTTATGTCGAGCTAATCCTTATGCGCCTGCTTTCCAAGGTTGCATAATAGTTCAAAGAAGGTACACATTGGCTATTGCTGCCAACTCCAACACAACACTTTCCAAACTTTCTCTCTCAGGCCGCTCACCCCTAGGCTCAGCTCAGACTTAGTGAGCAAATCAGGGCGCTCGGGGGCGGTACGTAGGTCTCCATTTTTTCAGTAGGGACTACTATATCAGGACTAATTTCATGTATACAGTCAGACTTTTTCTTTATGCAATTCTGTACAAATAATCAATGCCCGCCATGTGCACCAATGGTAAATCCCAGACACCTGCCCAAAAACTCCAAGCCGTACATGGTTCACTCTTAGCTCGCCTTCAACATGTCCAGCATTCCTTTTGTCTGGCAGGCGTGCTGCGCCATTTCCACTTCATCACGCACACGGCGGTGTAGCCGCTCAATCTGCTTGTCGATCTGGGCGGACTGGCCCAGATTGCCAGAGTAGATATCAAGCAAGTTCAGGGCGACCTCCACGCTGAGATCAACCAGGCGGGGTTCACGGATGTGCTTGTAGATCCATTGAAGCACGGGCTGCAGAGTAACTTCGTCGCGGCCTTTAAGCGAGGTTCGCAAAGCCGAGCGGTGGCGCAGGGCTGTGAGGAGAGTGAGTTGGGCGGTCTTGTCGCTCGTTGACAGAACCTGATCCAGGGCGACCGAGTACCGTCCCTTGCGGAGGTCGTTCTCCCACGGCTGCTCCTTCTTGCGTCGCTTGCTGTCCTGTCCCTCGATCACAATGTCCACTCCCTCTCCAATGAAGTCACGACCACGGAGACGCTTGTCCCACCCGGAGCCGCGGAGCTTCTGCTTCTTTGCGACTTGTCGGTCGTGTTCCTCCAGCTTTCCTTCCAAAAGCGCGGTCATTTCCTTTCGACGCTCACGCTCCTTGATCTTTTGTTGACCTGAAAGGCGGGTCTTGACGGAGAGAAGACCCGACTGCATACCAACAGCAATGTGCTTGTCCTCGTAGGCCATGCCGGACGTGATGACTTGAAGCGACAGAATGGGCGAAGGGTACTTAGATCCAGAAACTGCATTCCACCCCGTAGTCTCAAAGACCTTCATGTGTCCATCAAGAGCACCACTGAGCAGGCGCTCGCCGTTGGATGCCAGTGCAAGCGAGGTGACTGTCTTCTGGTGGTTTTGAATCATGTGCAGGGGCTTTCCAGCCACGATATCGAGGACCGCGATCTTGTTGTCGGCGGCGGCCAGAACCGTTGTGCCGGCAGGCATAGGCAGGACGCTCTCAATGGGTGCAGCCATTTTGAACGTCATAGCCGCACGGCTCTCCACACGTGGATCCCAGATGCGCACGGTGCGATCGTAGGAACCGGACACCAAGAGTCCAGATGAAGCCATTGAACCAGGCATGAAAGCACCAGTGCGCACGTAATCTGTGTGGCCAACAAAGGTTCGCGCACTAGATTCCGAAGGAAGATCCCACAACCGGACGGTACGGTCGTCACTGGCGGAGAAAACGGAGGTCGGGTCGCTAGGCGAGAACTTGGTCACCCAGACCGGCTGCTTGTGCTCCTTCCACGTCTTCAAAATTGCGCGCGAGCCGACGTCGAAAACCTGCACGACACCAGTATCGTCACCAGTCACCACCACGCGGCCATCTGGTCGAACATCTGTACCCCGAACTACATCCTCAAAGCGAGTGATTGTCCTCAGCAGCTTGCGCGTGCGAATCGAATAGATCTGGACCCGAGCACCAGTTGTCACTGTGAAGACATCCGGAGGTTGTGTGAGGGAGGGAACGCTGAAGCGGAAGACGGAACGGATGGCTGAGTGATAAGATTGACAGGTCCATTGGCCGGAGAAGGAATCAGGAGGGGGTTCTTGAAGGTGCGCCAGTACTGCTGCTCTGGCGTCAGGCGGGTTGAGGGCAGCGAGGCGAGCTTAACCTGCTGCAGAGGCAGGACGGGCGCCGCCATAATGGTTGATTAAGTTTGATCGCGGATTATAGTCTGCGGCCAGGAAATCAAAAAGCAATGAGCCAAAACCTCGTTGCTCGCGGAGGCGTTTTGATCGTGAAAGTTGAGGGATCTTTTTTCTGCCGATCAAAAAAGTTCGGCCAGCCCAATTGGGCATGGCGGCGGTAGCTGTTGTCGCCTGAGGCAGAAATATAATATCTTAAGGCATTAAGGCACTAACTTTTTCGCTCCATATACTCTCTATACACAAGCTCTATCTGTATTGAAGATATTATCTACAAAGCCCGCATGCCTCTGCAATCTTTGAAACTTTGTCGGCATAGAAACCTGAAAATGTTAGCCTTTGACTCGTCATATTGTTATGCAATACCATACTCCCCGCCACCCATTTCTTGCTAATGTGTTCCAATAGACTCATTAACGTCCTTATAGGAAGCGCCGCATCGCGCCTTTCAAGGCTGCTCAACTCTTGGAGAAAGAGCAAGGCGGTCCTACAAATGAAGTGAGGAATGAACACAGATAGGCTGTCGGGATTTGCCGCAGCCAAATTGGAGAGAACGGAAGATGCCCCTTCAACTGTCTCGTCGACCATGGTCGTCAAAATATTCCTCGACACCATGTTGCAAATATCACTATCTGGCCGATTGACATGACAACCAAAATCTAGGAGCTCCAACATTGCACTAGGATTGTCGATTAGCCCATTGCCAGACAGGAAATGTTGGAAATCAACCTTCGACACACAGCCATGGCGCTGTTCATTATATCCCGTGACGGGTAGTCTTCTTGGAGTCTTGTCAAGAATGTTGTCAGAGTTTTAAAAGTTTGCAGCGATTCTTCAATATTGTAATTCTGGTGTGAATTTCCCTCGTAGACGTGGACTAGAACCTGTTGTAACAACTGGGATGCCTCTGTCTGGTCTTTCCACGAGGCATTTTGGAGACCCAGCTATCTCATTCAATACCTTGCATGACCCGATGGAAATAGTGGGTAATACTTACGCTCTGACTTCCGGCATTTTCCAAAGATACCATGTGAACAGAACTGAGCCCTTTGCCACTCTCAAGAGAAGCGTATCTGTCAACCATGACAAGACCTTGCCAAGTCATTTGAGCCTCTTCCGTCCGTTCATGAGAAAGAACCGATTCAAGCTGCTTGTATGATGCTTTATTCGCACCAAGGGCTACTGCAGCTCGGACATTGGCGCCCGCCGAGATGTAGGCCGCTGGGTACATGGCGTGGCCCACTTCGAATATGGTTATGAGTAAACGACACTGTAGCATGTCCAAGGAAATGATCCCAACGGTTTCTACCATGGAATAAAGACTCTTGATCTGTACATAAATAGATCTTGTTCTGGGGGAGATTTCGCCAGCCACTGGCGCTTGACAAACAAGAAACATACTCAAGGTCAGAAGACTAAAGTCTGCCGGGGCTGAACCAACCCGGGCTTGTGACAGTCGACTGAAGTATAGAGACTCCGAAATTATCGGGAGCCAGGTATGAATGGTTTGAAAATATGTTGCAGCCGCTGAGTGGAGTTGCAAGCCATTTCCAATATTTTTTGAAACTTGCCCTTCTAGGGTACTGCTGATATTCAACTGCGTCAAATCCAGCGAATCTGGCAAGTAGAATGGTCGACCACAATGCTTTTCGGTGCTATCTTCATGCACCGGATAGCGACAGACTCGGCTCAGTCTGTGTGAACGTGTCAACATTCACTGCCCTGAATCTCTTGGTGCGGTATCCAGAATAAGCACACCTCTTGCATAAAGCACACACCGGCAAGACCTTGTCACACTTTCGCTTCTGTTGCCTACAACGAATACAAGCTTGATTGGATCGAGAGGACATCATATGGGCATTTGAAGCGATACGAATGCAGACGGTATTGCGAATGTGGGGATATTCCGAGTTCTTTGTTTTGAGGTACTCCGTAAACTCCGTGAGCTTACCATAGGCGCTAAGAAAGCGAGGCTGACTCCCCGCTTTACCCGATCAAGTTTGGCATCCGCACGTACGTCCGCACGCCCCACTATAGATATCACATTTTGCCTTTAAAATGGATAGCAAGGTGTGAGAATATCGGTGTTGAGAACGCTAAGGTCGGAGATCTATTGCGGCTCGGAGTATCTACTACCACCTCAAACTATATATACCTGGGTGTAAGAAGACCAGAGGCATCCGGAATCTGTAAGATTAATCACCGACATTATGAGCACTATTACAAACGTCGTGCTTGTTGGAGTACGTTGAGTGAAAGCCCCTCCCGTGTCATTTATTATGAAGTTTCAATATTCTAAAATTCCCTAGGCATCAGGGGCCCTTGGATCTCGTGTGCTCGAGGCCCTTATCGACGCAGCAGTCTTTAACATAACCGTTCTGGCCCGAAAATCATCCGAGGCTCAATTCCCTTCATCGGTCCAGGTTTCTCACGTTGACTATGCATCCATTGCTGAATTGACTGTCGCTTTAAAGGGTCAGGACGCAGTTGTATCAACTGTAGGGGGCGCAGGGCTGATGAACCAAATTCCCTTGATCGAGGCGTCCATTGCCGCAGGAGTCAAGCGTTTCATCCCTTCTGAGTTTGGCGCTGACGCTGGCAACCCCAATTCAGCCAAGCTGCCTGTTTACCAGCGCAGTATTGCTATACACAAGGCTCTTCAGGAGCAAGCTAAGGTCCATCCAGAATTCAGCTACACTTTGATTCGAAATGGCATGTTTTTGGACTGGGGTCTTGTCCGTCAGTACCACTTCGCCTTTAGTTCGGAGACACCTCCCTTCTACGATGGCGGAGACCGTCCATTTAGTACCACGACATTATATACTGTTGGTCGGGCGGTAGCTGGGGTACTTGGTCATCTGGACGAGACCAAGAACAGAGTGGTTTATGTGCACGATATGATAGTCACGCAACGCCAGATTATGGGTATTGCGCAGAAGTTTGCGCCGGAGAAGAAGTGGAATCCAGTGACCGTCGATATTGCCGATCTGGTGGCTAAGTCGAAGGAGAGCTATGCCAAGGGGGTATTTGACTTGAACGCTTCCATTGGCTTCCTCTGCCAGGCGGTCTATGGAGAGGGCTATGGAGGAGAGTTCCAGAATGTGGACAATGAGCTCTTGGGAATTCCACTGAAGACCGAGGCTGATCTGGAGGAGTTGGTGCGAGACGCGATGTCTCGGTCTGGTCCAAAATAGATGCCATCGCTGAATTGAGCCCTCGGGCAGAATTTCAAGCATGCAAAGCCTGGGGGTCTTCTCAATTCCTTAAAATCAGCCACAAATGCCTTCCTATCCACATCGGAGAATACTGCATATCCACAGGCACATGTGCCCGCTCTCTTGGAGCTAAACTCAATCTCTCAATCTTTACAAGCTTACCTTTTTCCTGAATGCTGGTATGCGTTGGCTGCAAATGGCAGATAAGTAGAATCAATATTGAAATCGGAAGAATGAGAGGGCGCAAAATGCTTTACAGAGACGGAGTATCAACTCCATTGAATTGAGTAACGTGAAGCGCTTTAGTAACTCGAAAGGTACTTCTTGGTGGCTGGTCATCAGTATCTTAGCAATCGGACCGCTCGAGGATCTTCCCCGCGAATACCGAATGGCCCGGTCGTACAAGGTAGGCTGCTAGATACTTTTCCTGGGGCACTCTTTTAAATAGAAAATTGCCCAGTATGTATGGTTGATGATCGTAACCCGGGCTTGGTGGGCCCGGGCTGTGAGGCAGGCAGCACCATTATGTCTGACAACGGCTGCAGGGGGTTATTAGAAAATCTGTCTCAGCTCCAAGCCATCTCGGTGCGAATCCAAGCCATACTGTGCTCGGCAATTAGAGTAGCGGTGGGATGGCTGAAGTGTTTTGGCTGTCGCCATGGCAATTGGCAGATCAAGTGGGGAGGTGAGGGGCGCGACGCAGCAGCTTTAACCTTACAAGTGGAGAGAAGCGTTGACACTTGCGAGGCCTCGACTGAAACCGGATTCGGATACAGCGGCGTTGATTGATGACGATCACTGCTCTGGACCAGTCGCCAATCGTTGCTCTCGCGCCCCCTGTCTCCTGTCGGGGATGTTTCGATCGGGTGGATCGCGGTGGCTGGGGTGATCGAAGCTGACGCTGCTGCTCCACCGTCTGGATTTCTCCGGTCGAAGACGGCTTTGACGAGTCATGATATGGAGACTTAATCTATCGCCTCCTTGGCCGTAAGTGCGCAAGAGGCTGGAAAATGGTGTAGAGATGCAGCTTTGGACCAAAATTGAAGCAACGAAGTAAATAGTGGGACAAAGCGTCATTGTTTATCGATAATGTGTATTGTCACGTATGGTCATACAGCCCCGTGTCCAGACTCTTTCTCAGGGGAAGCAGCCAACCGTAAGCCGTAACCAGGCCGTCCCCAGCCACCTCGAATACCGCAAATACTGTCACAAACATTCCGTCAGGCACCTTTATCTTTCTTTTTCCCCCCTCGCTTCTTCCTTTCCAAGATATCGCCGATGCTGCTCACGCACTTATACCTCGTGTGCTTGACAGGTTGAGAGTATCCGCGCCATCATGTCCAAACTCTCCAAGACTAACGTTAACCATGCTGCGGGCATCTTCGCCGACATGTCGGTCGATGGGCCCGCCATTGGTACCCTCGTCGCCATTGTTGACCGTGCGAAGAACCTGCCCAACCGCAAGACCATGGGCAAGCAGAACCCCTATTGTGCCGCTCGCCTGGGCAAAGAAGCGAAGAAGACTCCTACCGATCTGCGAGGTGGGCAAACACCTCGATGGTACGTTTACACACCCGAAGCCATCTAACCGAGCTGACAGATTATGTTTTAGGGATCACGAGCTTCGGTTTACAGTACACCAGTCCCCGGACTACTACAGAATGAAACTCTCGATCTTCAACGACGACAAGAGGTCTGATTTGATTGGCGAAGCCTGGGTCGACCTGCAGAACTTGATCATCCCCGGCGGTAGCCAGAACGACCATTGGCACGTCCTACAGAGCCGAGGCAAATATGCAGGCGAGGTCCGCCTTGAGATGACATATTACGACACCCGTGAGCAAGACGAGACGGTCATTGAGCGACGGAAAGGTGCAGCCGAAAGAGCACAGGGCAAGGTTGCAAGCCCGTCGACAAGCTCCATGCTATCTGGCGCATCTTCAATGTCTGCCGCGTCTGGACTTTCTGGACCCCGTCAATTAGAAAAGGTCAAGAGACGACCTCTGCCTACAGATCCGTCTGGGGCCGCCCCTGTCAGACCTCCAGCTCCAGAGCACGTCCAGTCAGCCCCTCCGCTGCACCACCCCATGCCAGCCATGCCGGCCAGGCCAGCCGTCCGTGATCTTGCCCAGACCATGCCACAGGCTGCTGCACCCGAACCTTTCTCCTATGCCCCCAGACACCCCGAACCTTCTTACGATACCCAATCATATGCTCCACCTTCCAACATGCAACCCAGAGGGGGTTACGACGGCCCTGATGATTACCAGATGGAATGGAGTGCTCCTCCATCTCTCCCTCCTGCGGGCATGGTGAGAAGCAACACACAGGAACTCCCTTACCATACCCCTGAAGCCCCCGACCACGTGTACGACTCGCGTCACCAACAGCCACGCAGTCACTCTGACTACGATCATCCTCCCTCGCGTGACTATCGGTCAGCATCAGAACCCCCCTTCGAATCTGAAATGGATGGACGGATGCAGTATGGTGCTGTGCCTCAGTCGCAGGATGCCTATAATCAAATGGTCTCACCTCAGTATAACGTGAACCCAATGACATTCGGGCAGGTGTCAACCTTTTCACCACGCTTGGCGGAAGACATGCCTGCGCCGTTGAACTATGGCCGTCCTGGTTCATCCTCCGGACCGGCGGATGATCCTCGATACCAACCGCGCTTTAAAGCTTTGCCACCCGCCCATGTCGACGAGTATCATCCAGAGTATGCTGGAATGCAGCCGAGTGTGGAAGATGAAGAAGATTTTGACAAGCCTCCACCCCCGCCGCCCGTTCACCGTTCTCGAATGGCACAGCAGGCACCGCCGGCACCACAGGCACCGCCAGCAGTATCTCCAACAAATCAGTTGCCATCTTCGTATAGGCCATACAATCCTTCCGTGCCTGCAAGTCTGGTCGCTGGGTACGAGGCCCAGAGTCAGCCTGATCGTGCGGTGTATGAAGATCGAAGCGGCCGGAGACGCAGCGCACTTTTCGATGATGAAATGATGCTAGCCCAGCAGCCTGCACCAGCACCGGCACCCTCACCCTACGAGGCTCCTATCTATCCTCTTCGCACATCTCCTCGGCCTATGGGCGAGCAATCAGGCTCTGTTGTAAGCCGAGCAAGCCAAGCTAGATCGGTGAGTCCAGATACGCGGATGATTACCCGAAAATCGGTAAGCCCTCGACCTTCGTCTTCGGATAGCCGGGCAGGCTCCTCGGTCCCTTTCTCTCCCGACTCCTACAACTCCTTCAACCAGCATTCCTCCCGACCTGGAAGCTCTCGAGGGGTTTCCCCTGCGTATGAAACGCCATCGCAAGTCAGAGCCCCGTCGTCTCGGTCTGAGTTTGAATCCGTCCGAGACTTGAATGAGCCTATCATCGGTGATGATGGTCGCGAGATTGACCCCTCAGACCACCTGCCTACAGAAACATGGGCCCCTGAGCCGGAGAAGAAGAACCGCAAACCGGAGGTCATTATCCGATTCAAGAATTCACCCCGGCCGACATCCCGTGGCAACGACACGCCTGTCCGGAGCACACCGCCGCGTGTAGGATTCCGCACTACGCCCGACACTCCGAGTGACTACAGGCGGTACAATCCGTCTGTGCATGCCGACTCTGTGGACCGCACTCCCCCTCGGGCTGATCGGGGACACGAAAGTCATGGCAGTTACACACACGGTCGAGGCTACAGCACCCCGACATCTGTTGACCGGCCACGCTCCTCCCATCGAGTCTCGGTTTCTCCCACGCCCAGCGCTCGCTCACCATTGTATGACTACAGCCCTGGACCGCCTATACCTTCCAAGGTACCGGTCTCCCAAGGAGCACCAGCCTACCCCGTTGCATCCAGCAATGTGAGAGGTGGGCGACCGGGAATGGATGCCCTGAGCCGTGAGCTCAGCACAATCGACATCGGCTCAGCGGGCTGCAGTCCGAGTCGAGCCGTTCGGAGATACGCACCACCTCGGCCGTCGGCGTCAATGGGCTATGCCAGTTAAAAATCTTTTATGATTCATGCATTACGTGCTTCACGGTGGCCAACTTCTTATATCCCGCTTCTTCTGGTCATACTTCAGACTGTATTTGACTACCTTTTTTCGATATCCGGCACTGGCGGCGTTTGTGGTTTTTTGTTTTGTGATGCATTTCAGTATCTATGTACACATGAAGACTTGACCCCTGATGGTCTTGAGAAATGATACCATTATTGTTTTCTTCCAATTAGCCGAGCAGTCTATAGCCGAACAGTGAATTTGTCCTAATGTAACTCGATGCCCCATAGTTGTTCGGGTTAACGCTATACACGCTAGTTGGCAGGTCGCAGCCAATCCGGCCGTCGATACATATCGCTTATCTTGACTTTCCCCCGCCTTTTTAATCTCCGATCTCCAACACATTCCCGACATCTTCTCTTCACCACAATGGCCGGCCTCACTCCTGAACAACTAGCTACCTTTCAGGAGAATGGATTCCTCGTCATCCCAGACTATCTCAGCCAGTCTGAGATCGAGTCTGCACTCAAGGAAACCGACACACTGCTTAATGATTTTGACCTCGACACGCACCCTCTGACCCAATTCACCACCGGTGATGGCGATGACACCGCCGACCATGTCGGTGATGACTACTTCTTGAACTCCGGCGACAAGATCCGCTTCTTCTTCGAGCCGGAAGCGTTCACCACCGAACCCGATCCCTTGACCGGCCGCGCGGCCCTGATCAAGCCCAAGCATGTCGCCGTGAACAAGATCGGCCACTCTCTGCACACCCTTTCTCCGCCTTTCAAAGCTATTTCTCTGACTGAGCGCAATGCGTCCGTCGCACGCTCCCTGGGCTTCTCAGACCCCCGCGTCCTGCAGAGCATGGTCATCTGCAAACAACCCTCCATCGGCGGCGCCGTCCCCTCGCACCGTGATTCTGAATTCCTTTACACCGATCCCCCATCCGCTGTAGGCTGGTGGTATGCCCTTCAGGATGCAACACCCGGCAACGCGACCCTAGGATTCTGGAAGGGATCTCACAAAGGCCGCAAAGGCGGGCACATCACCCGGCGATTCGTGAGAAAGGCTGATGATAAGGGGACGGAGTTTATTGAGAATCAGGGACCTGCGTTACCGAGGGGGGTGGAGGAGGAGAAGATTTCTGGGCCTGCGGATGAGGATTTGGAGATTTTGAATGTTAAAGCCGGTTCGTTGGTGCTGATTCATGGGAATGTGTTGCATAAGAGTGAGAAGAACACAAGTCCGCGCAGTCGGTTTGCGTATACATTCCATGTTATTGAGGGGGCTGAGGGGTGGGATTATGATAATCGGAACTGGTTGCAGCCGCCGGAGGGAGGGTTTTCGAAGTTGAGCCAATGATTTTGATTATTGAAACTTGATTGAGTACAATATGAACAACCTTTCAAGAACATACTTGGTATATTCTCAATCCCGACGATAACTAAATGGGAGATCCCAACGCTCGGTTGGAGTGACAATACTTTCAATATAGACGTCGTTGTGTGCTCTTGTCCCTTTGAAAACACGCTCGAATAAGTCATGTCGATCGGTATTTAAAGATCTTGAAATAACGTTAAGCTTTGGCTGAAACACCTCCAGATTAGATAGCGCCATTAGCTCAGTTAATTCCAGCAAGTCAAGAGTGTAAGACTCTTGGCCCTCCTGGTTGTCGTTATGAGCGAGTTCATCCCGAATGTCTTCACCTAGCATATTTCGCTCTCTTTATGATAAAATCCACGTCTAAATCAACACCCTTTCCCGAGGGGACCGACCCTCACGCAATAGCTCTACCATGAGGCCCATTTTATTTTCCATTGCTGCCTCCAGGAGCACATTTGGCCCAGATATCAACTTCTCTCTCTTCAGACGGGCGAGAAGGGGAGGAGGTAGATGTGAGTAGAGGTCAAGGTTCACAGTTTGACAAAGAAAGCAGGGTCTTAAGTTTTCCAGAGTTTGGAATATCTCTTTCGACAGCGTATGGCAGTTGGTAGCTAGGATGCAGAGCTTCTTTTCGTTTTCTGTCCCTGGGGGGACATCTGAAATGATATCCTTAGTGACACCGTTCGAATCTTCCACTAAAGCACCGAGATTGGCGTTCTCTGGTGTCATCCCACTAGAGGAGACGAGAACTTTGTTCACTCCAGAAATGAGGTTGAACGAGAAGTCGATAAAGGCGATGAGGCTCCCTGCCGGGCCGATGGCTGTGAGATGGTCCATTTTATCGGTGCCCTTTGCCTTTGGCTCTAAAGCTAAACACTCTTATGCGATAGCTCTTCTGTCATGAATGATGCCCAAAGGTATGAACACGATGAAATCGGAGTAGACGAGGGGCAAACGACGGCGAAATGCATGCTGATACGCCGCGTGGGGGCTGAACAACTTGCGCCTCAACGATCAAGTCAGCCCCGTGGCTAACGATTGGCTATTGATTGACTATAAGACTGTCCCTAAGCTTTTCCCACTATTGTATAAAGGCTGCCGGGCTATTGATCCTAGGTTTAAGAGAAACTTATGAAGAGTCATTGATTAATACGTGGACACTCTCTTGATAGGCATTAACTTGAAACGCCCGTTAAATCATGTGGTATCCACCCGCTCTCTGCCTTCTTTCACCAAACTATCATAAAATCGTTTCCCATCTCATGCCTTCGAAGCCTCGACCTGAGAGAGTCTCCGAGCCTGATCAGCCTCCTTGGCAGTCGCAATGATCTGCGGCGGCCTAGGGATGTTCTGGCGGAAAATGTATCGCTTGATGAACCAAGGCAGCCAAACTGTCAGCTCGTAATTGATGAACTTCTTTGTTGGCACCGAGAAAACCTCTGCCAGATGTTAGTAGGTGGTCATCACGGGGGTGAATCTCGTGTAACTTACGGTCAATTTCTTCCAGGGTGAGCTGCTTGGTCTCTCTGACGAAGCAGAAAATCATGAACCAGGCTATGATGTTGAGGCCAGCGTAGAATCCGACTAATCTCATCGTTAGCTATCAGCATGCAGTATAGTACTATGGATCGACTTACAGGCTCCAGTGGGAGTCATGACGGTCTTCATTCGAGGGAATGTGAAGCTCAGAATACCGGCTTTGTAATATGTTAGTAATGACATGGTTAATTCAGGCATGAAAGTACTTACCGAAAGTGTTGTTGATGCAGACAGCCCAAGCCATGCCTTGCTCACGCTGGATGGTGGGGAACACCTCGGCAGAGTACTGGAAAGCCACTGGGCCTTCACCCAAAGAGTAGCAGACGGTGAAGAGGTAGATGAACCTAGTAAGAGCAATTAGCCAAATATCGTTCAAGTTACCGTGCTAGAACTTACAAGACGACTGGCCCAATTTGCGCGCCCTGACTGCCGTGATGGTTCAAAAGAGAGAGACCGGCTGCCAACAGGAAAATGCACATGAGGGGGAAGGTCTACAGCATGATTAGTTACGGTCCAGCATAGAGGTCTTGATTACTTACAATCAAGGTTAGAGTCCTTCGGCCTTTGGTATCGATGAGGAACAGAGTGGGAATGGTGGACACGACTTGAACAGCACCATAGCCGAGCGATGCATACAAGGCCTGGGTAGGCGAGTAGCCAACATTCTCAAAGATGGTGGAGCTGTAGAAGGAGATGACTAAAGAGAGTCAGCGATAGTGACTGGCGCAAGAAAAGAGGCAACGTACCGTTAATGCCGCACATCTGCTGAGCAATCATGACAGTCGAGGCACCGTAGTTGGCTCGTCTGATTCTTGGCACAGTGAAACAGTCCCGAAGACGAGCAAAGTAGCCCGTGCCGCGAGCCTCCTTCAACTCCTCCTGATAGATGATGTTCGAGTAGTAGAAGTCTCTTGCAGCGATGATGGGGTGGGCTCTCAGGCGTGCCATTGATTTGAATCCTTTGGCATATTTACCATGCTTCATGAGCCAACGAGGCGACTCGGGGCAGAACCAGATGCCACACATGAGGACGAAGGAAGGAATGAAGGCCGAGCCAAGCTGGAGACGCCACGCGATATCACCGGTGTTCATGACAATAACGTTGGCTGCAAAGCCCAAGAAGATACCTGCGACAACCCAAAGCTGCCAGAACATGACGAGAGCACCTCGTGTCCGGGCCGGAGCCATCTCGGCTGAGTAGATGGGGACTGTGGCATTCTTTGCACCGATACCAATACCCATCACAAATCGTGCAGCAAACAGCCCCTGCCATGACTGCGCAAAAGCAGAACCAATTGGTGTGGCAACAAGACAGCAAGCCGTGAGGAAAAGCTCGCCTCTTCGACCGAGATAGTGGTTAAGTGGATCGACGATGAAAGCACCACTGTACAAAATGTTAGCCAAGGGTGTATAAACAAAGAAATTGCCACCATGTACTGACATGAGCCCGGCCGACAAGAAAATGATGGCATTGACAATTCCCACAATCCACTCGTCGTTTCCCTTGCCATCAATACCAAATTCCTTAGGGAAAGACAAATTGGCTCCGTTGGATCCAGTCTGATCCCAACCTTGTGTTGCAGCTCCAACAGCGCACAGGCCAATAGAATACCAGAGCATGAAAGGGCCGTGCCATTTGTGATCTCTCTCATAGATGAGTGCGGCGCGTTCCACTTCATCAAGTTCACCAAGTGTTTCGAACATCTCAGGGTCTCGCGCAACCAAAGCTGCCCGACCAAACAGTGCCGCATGCTCGGGCATGCCGTGCAAGTCGGCAAAGGTTTGAGCATCGATGACAGCTTGTTCCTTAGTCACAGCCTAGAAACCTATCGTCAGTAAGAGGGTTTCATAGCGCAGCCTCACGAAGCTCACCGTCAAAGGGTTATGAATAATATTCAGAGCGCCAGCTTGACGAGGACCCCCCGCATCGGCGCGGTCTGACTTTGCAGACTGAGAAATGTACTCATCGTGAGCAAGAACGCCCGTAGTAGGCTTTTCAGACATGTTGATCGTGCACTCGTAGCTTGAGTAGATCTGAAAATCTTCTGAAGAAACCCCGCGGGGAGGAAATCGGCTACTCCACAGAATTTAAAGAAAATCCCCGTGGGGTAATCCTAAACTCAGAACACACCCGGGAGCAACATGGGGGTTTCAAAGCTTGGCATCTAGTCCAAAAACTGCCCAGCGGCAAGCCTCTAAGCACTAGAGGGGCCTTAAGGAAGGTCATAGCACCACGGGTAAGACGGTCACGCCGTATCATAGGATTGTGCGGCAATTAAGGAGTCTTTTCTGCAAGACAACAGTGCAGCGAGCTGGCAGAGAACATGGTTCTATGCAGTTCCGTGGGCTTGGCGGTCGATTCACAAAGGGGGCAGGCTGACAATGAAATCGAGCGATATAGCTAATCCCTGTTATTACTTGGCCACTGGTCGTGTGATGAGGGATTGGGTCTCGGGGCCCCGCTGAAGGTGCTCAAGCCGTCCAAGCGTATACGGGGAAAGGATTTCCCTGTTCCAAGCTGGTGCCGATAGGCCGCCATCGCCTGTGGCTTGGGCCAGCGCCCGGACGCCTTCCGTGAGCCTTTCATACGGCGGGGCGTCGGTCTCTATCTATAGGGAGGTATCGGTATCGCCGAAATGGCGGAGAGAAATGGTAGCATATCCCGAGAGCAGAATACGGTGACACGGTATACTTCGGATCGGCAAAACGTGGGAGACCCGCACTGGCCCGTCTCTGCCCACGCGCTCGTGACTTTCCCCCACGGCACAGCCTTTAGGAGCCTGAGAACCGGGGAATCTAACCCTGGCCAAGTTTCCACCCTTGCAGCATGGATCAGATTGCCTCCGGGGTGCGGTCCCACCTCATCGTCGTTTGCTGCCACGCGATTTACCTGGGAGGTCCCAACCGAGGCCGTGCCGAGAACGAATGGTCTGCTCTATACCTCCGTCTCGATCATGGTCATTGCCGAAAAATTAATTGATGACGAACAGGTTAATAGAGCCCTTCCAAAGGGGAGAAACTGACACTTTTATGAGGCACGCCGAGGCCGCAGTGGAATTACTGGTGAATACCCCGGGTGCATTGCTGGTGGTCTCGGGGTGGGCTTTCCCAATCGCAACCGTTTCGGTCTAGATGCAGCGCTAAAATTACCAAACAGGGGTCCCACTAAACGACCAAGAACTGAACTCTCCGAGGGGCAGTCATACTTTGTAAGCTACTATGGATGGCACCGTTCATTCCGAATGGCGCTGGGATGGAGCCTGTGTACTGACTTGACGAATAGAACCTTGTCAAAGATAACAAGTACTTCAACATGGCTCACCAGATTGACATAGAGAGGATCATTGTTGAGCCTCATGCGACAGACTCTTATCAGAACGTCTTATTCTCATTGCTGGAATTTCGCTTGTGCACAGGGTATTACCCAGACTCTGTCACCGTCTTCACGCACAAGTTCAAGTCGATGCGGTTCCTGGAATATCATTTCCCTGCCATTGGATTACTTCCCAACTTACCTGCCGCCGTAACGGAAGGGAGCCGAGACGCTGATGTGAGGGGCGTTGATCCTCCGGAGCATGTCACTTCGCAAGAATCCTTAATCAAGGGCGAGGCAGTGAGAGGAATCGGACTATGGGCGAAAGATCTATACGGAGTCGGAGATGAACTCGCCCGTAAACGGAAGGACAGAGGTTGGGAGCCCGGCATAGAGGGCGTCTTCCTCAATCGAGGGCTGGGGGAAGTCGTAGAGCACCTGGTTTGTTGGAATGGCGGGGCAGGAAGCGAGTGGTTTCCGAGGATGCAGGAATTGCCCTGGTTCTACGGAAATAAAGAACACTCATGACAATCATGACTATGGACATAATGCAGTATTCATTAGACATCATATCTCTGGTGATAAAATGACAATCGCCATTCCCTTAAACGCCAATGCAGAGAGCATTCCTCATATCTGATCATAACAAGCCCGATGGGTTTAGTCTGCCAGTCGGTAGCTGACGAGGGTACCGACACGGTGGTTGTTGGTGCTGAAGCTGCGCAGTTGAACCTTCTCCGCATTCTTGATCTCCTTGGCATCACTGTCGCCCCATTCGACCGGCACTTCTGAATCGGCATCGGCGTAGACGAGGACGTTGAAGGTGCAGTCTCCATCGAGGACGGGGAGGAAGGTGACGGAGGCGGTAATTTGCCGGAAGATGGCTTGGATCTCTTCTTGGATCTCCTTTTCGGTCTTTTCAATGATCTCCTCTGCTTGCGGGGCCGCGTCTCTATGCATTGCAAATAATCATGGTCAGCCAAGTGTGGTACACCGGATATTCTAGGGTTCTGGAGTCTTACCCAGGAGCGGCATTCTCCTTGTCACTAGCTTTGCGAGCACTTGAGCTCTTCGACGATTTGAAAATCTCAACCTATGTAGCAACCACCGTTAGACAAGCAAATGCCATAGACCGACACTGCAGAACATACCTCGAACTGCCAGCGCTCCACATGCTCACCGGTCTCTTTATCGGTGATAACGACCACAAGCTTAGAGATCTTTCCGCCGACCATCCACCTGTTCAATTGTGACATGATTTTCTTTATGTAGGCTTTCACCTGGTCATCGGCCGATACTATCGTGGGTTAGATGGTTGACATGGGGCAGGCGGAGGGCAGAGGCCGAGGAAACGAACCGAGCATGTTGAGACCATACTTCTTGACACTGATAACTGTCAGCTTGCTGAAGCCGTCTGTTAGGTGTCGAGCGGGACTCACGTTGTGAAATCATCAGGAGGGTAAACACCACGTTGGAAGCTAGGTAGGGACTGGGATGAGCTCCAATCACTGTAGATCTCTCATAATACGACTCACAGGATGGAATTGATCGAGTATTCAAACTGCATTACCATTAGCACACAAGCTCAACGTTTCAATGTGGGAAGGGCGACTCACGAACTCGGACACAAGCTTAGCCGATCCTGGCAACCTGTAAGTTTAGGGTATCAAAAGAAGAGCAACTGTCACTAACCTCTGATGGCCAGCTTGTGCACCTTGGATTTATCTTTGGTTTCCGGCATTGTGTGTGGTTGAAGAAAAGAAAAGGAGCCCGAGGTTTGTTTATGTCGATAGTCGCCGCAGCGATCGGAGTCACCGCCCGCGAGCCCGTTTTTTTCTCCGCAGGCCCCGTTCGGAGCGAACCTAAGTCACCCCTCTCGAATTGCTCTTGATCACGAAACAACCAAGGGAGCTACCCTCTTCCATGTCACCGCGCGAATCCTGATGCGGGGATGTCTGCAGTTAGCCCGATGGCTGAGCGCAGCGCCGAATTCCCCGGCTGCGAGCCTCAAGTCGTCGGCTGGCTTTCCATCCCGATTTAATTACCTCCGATCATTCACGACCTCCACAGTATGGAGCGCGGCTCGGTCTAAATTAAGCGCGCCTGACAGAGATCTCGAATCACGAATTGCGGCCATTCCCATTGAACGGTACCGCAACTTCTGCATTGTCGCACACGTCGACCATGGCAAGAGCACATTATCCGATCGGCTGCTCGAGCTTACTGGCACGATTAAGCCTGGAATGAATAAGCAGGTGCTGGACAAGCTTGATGTTGAGCGAGAGCGAGGAATCACTGTCAAGGCGCAGACGTGTACGATGATATACAACCATGAGGGCGAGGACTATTTGTTACATTTGGTGGATACCCCAGGGCACGTTGATTTCCGTGCGGAAGTGTCGCGCAGTTATGCTAGCTGTGGAGGAGCCTTGCTCTTGGTCGATGCCAGTCAAGGTGTCCAGGCGCAGACTGTCGCCAATTTCTACTTGGCCTTCGCACAGGGTCTCGAATTGATACCCGTCATTAACAAGGTCGACTTGCCTTCAGCAGATCCGGAGCGGGCTCTGGAACAGATGAAGAGCACCTTCGAGTTGGAATCCGAGAATGCGGTCTTGGTCTCGGCCAAAACTGGCTTGAACGTTGGGGCTATTCTTCCGACAGTCGTTGAGAAGATTCCTGCGTACGTGAATTTTAATTTCTCTGGTATATTGGACCTTCACTAACATCTAGACAGTCCCATCGGTGACACTCAGAAGCCCCTTCGTATGTTGCTAGTCGATTCGTGGTATGATTCCTATAAAGGTGTTATTCTTCTGGTGCGCGTTTTCGATGGCGAGGTGCGCGCAGGTCAGCAGCTCATCTCGTTTGCCACGGGTATCAAGTACTATGTGGGTGAGGTCGGGATCATGTATCCCCTCGAAACCGCTCAAACGGTTCTCCGCGCAGGCCAAGTCGGATACATCTACTTCAACCCCGGCATGAAACGAAGCAAGGAAGCCAAGATCGGAGATACTTTCGCCAGAGTTGGTCAGGAAAAGGAAGTCGAGCCACTTCCAGGTTTCATCGAGCCCAAGTCTATGGTCTTCGTGGCAGTGTATCCGGTGAACGCTGACCATTTCGAGCATTTGGAAGATAGTATCAACCAACTCATGCTGAACGATCGAAGTATCACGGTTCAAAAGGAGTCTTCCGAGGCTCTGGGTGCTGGGTTCCGCATGGGTTTCTTAGGCACCCTTCACTGTTCAGTTTTCGAAGATCGCCTGAAGCAGGAGCATGGTGCCAGTATCATCATCACCCCGCCCTCCGTTCCGGTCAAGGTTGTGTGGAAAGACGGAACCGAGGAAATCATCACCAACCCGGCTAAATTTCCTGATGACGATAGTGTGCGCCTCAAAGTCCAAGAGGTTCAAGAGCCTTATGTGTTGGCCACATTGACCTTCCCCGACGAGTATCTTGGAAAAGTCATTGAGCTTTGTGAAGTCAACCGCGGTGAGCAAGAAAGCATTGAATACTTCACCTCGAGTCAGGTTATTATGAAGTATCAGCTTCCCTTGGCGCATCTGGTCGATGACTTCTTCGGCAAGCTCAAGGGAGGCACCAAGGGCTACGCCAGTCTTGACTATGAAGAATCTGCCTGGCGAGCGGGCAACATTGTCAAGCTACAGCTCCTGGTCAACAAGGTGCCAGTGGACGCCGTGTCGCGACTAATGCACATGAGCCAGGTCGCTCGGCAGGGCAGAATTTGGGTCACCAAATTCAAAGAGCATGTCGATCGACAGCTCTTCGAGATTATTATCCAGGCTGCTGTTGGCAAAAAGATCATTGCCCGCGAAACCATCAAGCCATACCGCAAGGACGTTCTGGCTAAGTTGCACGCCGCTGATGTGAGTCGGCGACGGAAGCTGTTGGAGAAGCAGAAAGAAGGCCGCAAGAAGCTCAAGGCTGTCGGAAATGTGGTGATTGAACACAAGGCATTCCAGGCGTTCCTAGCCAAATAAATGTATCATAGAAAATATACCATTCTGTACAATACCAAGACTTTATACTACTTCTGACTTTAACTCGTATCTATACTTTGTCCATCTGGCGGTGAGAGCTTCGCCGGCAGAAAAAAAGTTCGTGGCCGACCCCGCCGTTTATTCTTCTTCTCTTTTTCGTCCCATCGCCAATCGTTACCGCATTACTTGTCACCGAGATCTTTTAGGTCTCCTGGGGATTTGCTTACAAATAAGAACCACGGTGCTTACCCCTGATTGTCTCTCATCCCCCGAATCGCGGTGGTTTGGCAGCTCGACAGCCGCCCGTGCCGATCGCGTTAGCTTGAGTCATCTTGCCATGTTCTGCACTTGACAACGGCGCGATGCAGCCTCCAGAAGGTGCACAGGCCGACCTGGGCAAGGCCCAGGTCATTGATCGTGTTCCTAAAGTCATCAAGGAATTGAAGTTCGGTGTACTGTAAGGGCTTCCCTTGTTTTATTCCTAGGACTTGCCTGGAATGTCGTCGCGCGGAACCGATCGCTAACTCGCATTTGCTGCCTTCAGGACAAACGATGATATTGTTGGCCAAGCTGTGGTGGAGGTCTCCGACCGAAAGTTTTTCGATCTCGAACATGACCGCGCAGTAGTTGCCCATGGTCCTCTCGATGCGCGCATGGGTATCTCGAACAAAACTTCCGAGTGCAAAACATGTGGACTTCATCTGAAAGAGTGCAACGGTCACTTCGGACATGTCAGATTGGTCTTACCTGCTTTCCACGTCGGTTATTTCAAGCGTGTTATTGGGATCCTTCAGGAAATTTGCAAAGAATGCTCGCACATCCTCCTCCCCGAGGCAGAGCGGCGGTCCTTCCTGCGTGAAATGCGCCGCCCAGGACTAGACAACTTACGACGGACACAAATCGCCAAGCGGATCAACGAACGCTGCCGGAAAACTCGAGTATGCGACCACTGCAGTGCGATCAACGGAGTGGTGAAAAAGGCCGGCACAAGCGCTCTCAAAATCACCCACGACAAGTTCCGCGCCTTCAACGCTTCGACTTCTGTCAAGAAGATCCCCCCGCTCAGCAAAACGGCATTTGACGACACCTTTGCCGAGGCCAGACACTCCAACTCCGAGGTTGAGAAGCACTTCAAGAAGGCACAGGACGATATGAATGCTCTGCGTGTGCTCAAGCTCTTCAAGAAGATTTCTGATACCGATTGTGAACTTATGGCTTTGGATCCGAAAGAAGCACGCCCGGAGATGTTCCTTTGGCAATTCATCCCGGCCCCTCCTGTCTGTATTCGTCCGTCCGTAGGACAAGATGCCGCCTCAACAGAAGACGACCTTACTGCAAAGCTGGGTGATATTGTTCAGAGTAACATCAACCTCAAGAACGCTCTACTGAAGGGTGCCCCCGTTCAAACAATTATGGAATGTTGGGATTACATGCAGCTTCAGATCGCCGTCTACATCAACAGCGACGTACCAGGTCTTAACAAGGCAGATCTGGGAAAGCCTATTCGAGGTTTTGTTCAGCGACTCAAGGGTAAGCAGGGTCGATTCCGTGGTAATTTGTCCGGAAAGCGTGTCGATTTCTCTGGCCGTACGGTCATTTCCCCTGACCCGAACTTGAGGGTCGATGAGGTTGCAGTTCCAGAGTTGGTTGCCAAGAATATGACCTATCCCGAGCGCGTGACCCGATATAATAAGGAAAAGCTACAGGAGCGTGTGCGAAATGGACAGAAGAAATGGCCGGGAGCGAACTACCTTTACAAGAAGGGCTCTAACTTCAGGACCATGTTGAAGTATGGTAACTTGAAGCACATTGCCAACGACCTGCAAGAGGGTGACTTAGTTGAGCGTCATATTGAGGACGGTGATATCGTGCTCTTCAACCGACAACCCTCTCTTCACAAGCTCAGTATTCTGTCTCATTTTGCCAGAGTCCGACCCCACCGAACTTTCCGGCTCAACGAATGTGTTTGCAATCCTTACAATGCCGATTTCGACGGAGATGAGATGAATTTGCACGTCCCGCAGACGGAAGAAGCTAGAGCAGAGGCTATGGAGTTGATGGGAGTCAAGAATAACTTGGCTACTCCGAAGAACGGAGAGCCCATTATTTCCGCTATCCAGGATTTCATCAGTGCTGCTTTCCTGTTGAGTAGCAAGGATAACTTCTTTGACCGTGCCTCCTTCTGTCAGATTTGTCTCTACATGCTGGGCCCTGAAACACCGTTTGATCTTCCTCCTCCGTCAGTCGTCAAGCCTCAGATGCTCTGGACCGGGAAACAGGTTTTCAATATCATGATGCACCCCAACAAGAGTGACCCTGTCTTGGTCAACCTCGATGCTCAATGTCGTCAGTTCAAGATGCCCAAGGACGGCCGACCCAAAGATCTGGATCCTCATGATGCTTGGCTGGTAATTCGCAACTCGGAGATCATGTGTGGTGTCATGGATAAATCTACTATTGGTTCCGGAAAGAAAGACAATGTGTTCTACATCATGCTTCGTGATTATGGGCCTGCAGCGGCTGCCGAAGGCATGAACCGTCTCTCTAAGCTGTCTGCTAGATGGTTTACCAACATGGGTTTCTCCATTGGTATCGGAGACGTCTACCCCAGTCAAAGGCTGGTTCAGTCCAAGAACGACCTGGTGGAAAGCGCTTACGCAGCTTGTGACGAAGTCATTGCCAAATACAAGGCTGGCACCCTGGAGAAGTACCCTGGCTGTGACGAATTGCAGACCATGGAGAACCAGATCTCTGGTATCCTCAGTAAAGTCCGTCAACAGGCTGGTGACGAGTGTATTGACCAGCTCAGCAAGTACAACTCGCCGCTGATCATGGCCACGTCCGGATCTAAGGGCTCCAGCATCAACGTGTCCCAGATGGTTGCTCTTGTCGGACAACAAATTATCGGTGGTCAGCGTGTTCAGGACGGTTTCCAGGATCGTACCTTGCCTCATTTCCCCAAGAACGCACGCCAGCCTCCTTCCAAGGGTTTCGTTAGGAACAGTTTCTTCTCTGGTCTTGAGCCCACTGAGTTCATTTTCCACGCCATGTCTGGTCGTGAAGGTCTGGTCGATACCGCTGTCAAGACTGCCGAAACCGGTTACATGTCTCGTCGGTTGATGAAGTCTCTTGAAGATTTGTCTACGCAGTATGACGACACCGTGCGCAACTCGTCGTCTGCAATTGTGCAATTCCAGTACGGTGACGATAAGTTGGACCCCGTGGACATGGAAGGCAAAGCCAAGCCTGTCCACTTCGACCGAACTTTCATCCACTGTGAAGCTACCACTTACAACAACGACGAGCGAAGCTTGTTGCCTGCTGAAATCATGGAGCTCTGTCAGGAGATGCTCGGAAAGGAACGTGCCAAGTTGGCTCGCAAGGACCTGCTGGGCAACGAGCTTGGCTATATGGACCGGAGCGATCATGGCATTGATCAGTTCGAGAGTGCCCGTGACTTCCTGGACTCTATTGAACAATACGTGTCTACCAAAGCTGACAGGCTTGTCTCTCGCGGTGGTGACATTGACCCATCGGACCAGAGAAGCCGAAAGGGCTTGGACCACACTGGAAAGCTGACAGAAAAGACTCTGAGGGCTTTCATCCTTGAGTGCCTGCTGAAGTACAAGAAGGCACAGGTCGAACCCGGTCATGCCGTCGGCGCCGTCGGTGCTCAGTCTATCGGTGAGCCCGGTACGCAGATGACTCTGAAAACTTTCCATTTCGCTGGTGTCGCCGGTATGAGTATCACGCAAGGTGTGCCCCGTATCAAGGAAATTATCAACGCTTCCAGAGAGATCAGTACTCCTGTCGTTGCTTGTGACCTTGTCACTAAGGACAGCATCGTTGCGGCGCGAATTGTGAAGGGACGTATTGAGAAGACTTATCTTCGTGATGTTATCAAGTATGTCAACGAAAGGTGGTCTGGTGATGAGGCATCCGTCAAAGTTCGGATCAACTGGGATACGATCAACCAACTGCAGCTCGAGCTGGATATGCATAAAATCCTTGCAGCTATCAAGAGCCACAAGCGCTTCAAGGGCGAGGATCTTAAGTTCCGAACCACCCGGCGCTCGATTGAGGTTATCATCGATCTCGATCCGACCAGCAAGCAGGGCCTATCAAAGACCGAGATCGCTGCCACAAGCATCGATCCCTTCCTGCGTCTCAAGCACTTGAAGCGCATGCTGCCCAACATTCAGATCCTGGGTCACCCCCTGGCCCACCGTGCCATTATCCGGACGGATGAGACATCTACAACCAACACCCTGCTTGTGGAAGGATACGGTCTAAGAGCATGCATGAACACTATGGGTGTCAACGGTCTTCAGACCACAACCAACAACGTTATGGAGGCACGTGAAGTTCTTGGCATCGAAGCCGCGCGCAGCACCATCGTCACTGAAATCAGTGAAGTCATGAAGGACATGGACATCGATCCTCGCCACATGCAGCTCCTAGCTGATGTGATGACCTACAAGGGTGAGGTGCTCGGTATCACTCGATTCGGCCTGGCCAAGATGCGTGACTCTGTGCTCCAACTGGCCTCTTTCGAGAAGACCGCCGACCATCTATTCGACGCCGGTGGTGCCGGTCGGACCGATTTGATCGAGGGTGTTTCCGAGTGTATTATTATGGGCAAGACCGTTGGCCTTGGTACCGGTGCCATGGAGGTCGCGCGCAAATTGAACTTCTACGAAGGACAGATTGGCCCGCGCAAGACTACCTTCGAGGACGCCTGGTCGGAGGTGTGCGAAGTCCCCGTGACGAGACGGACCAAGAGAAAGGTCCGGCAGGGGTAATCACTCCCGGTCTCGCCTCTGCATTTCTCTCGGCGTTGGATTCTTATTTTTTCTGCCTGAACGTGACCTTTTCGGGCACAACTTTGTACATGTACTCCACCGGAGCTTGTAACTTCCGTGCACGTTAGCGATAGTGATGATTAAATGGACGAGTTCTATCTCTTCAGCGAGTTTTCGTTCGTAGATCTGTGTAGTCATATTCGCAATCGGATATACCTCGGTTTTTTCGCGAAGGAATTGTCTGAACTATAACATGACCCGCTCGATTCTTCATTAATTACCTGTAGGTCTGTACCATAACGAATAAAGGGTAATAGCACTTGAGATAGATGCATAGGTAGGTTTCAAGCAGAAGCCGGACTATAGCCGCGCATATTTGCCCCGGTCGAAGAGGCGCAGGTAGCCAACAAGTGCCGACGACGGATTGGCTGCATGGATTGTAATCTGTTAGACGCCATCCCACCAACGTTCGGGGAGTGAGAGATCCCCTCCTCTTACGCTCGGGGCCAAGTCCCAATCAGCACTGGACTCTCGAGTGCTAACCCCCTAGCACCGTTCTCAGGTGGAAATCACGCATTTTCTTTGTTTCGTGACTTTTTCCTAACCTGATCGAGTGACGCCACGGCCGACAAAGTTGAAGCACGCCGGCTTTTGGAACGAGGATTCCCTCGGCTTTCTTTGTTTCCAATCCGGGGACACTTGGCGACTCGCCCCCTCTAAGTAGGCCTGTTTGCGCTCTTGAGACTTCCATATCCTCTTGGGCTCCCCGATGCTCCCCGACATTGGCATTGAACTATGGACTTCGATTCCAGATTGTCCGGGAAGCGCGAAAGTCGCACGAGAGCCCCGACCGCGTGTCAAACATGCCGCCTACGCAAGACTCGGTGTGACAATGTTCGTCCTATTTGTAGCTACTGCACGCTACAGGAGGTGGTCTGTATCTATCCAGAAGCTTCACCCCGAGCAGCACCGTAAGTTGTGGCTTGTGCTTTGACGTTTTTTTTTTCTATTGTTCGACAGCCCCAGGCTGAGACCATGCCCCCATAGACCCAGTCTGAAATCGGCCAACTCTGAGATTCTTCAGCGCCTGAGCCATATCACGTCCATGCTCGAGGATATCAAACAAGACAATGAATCCATAACCTCTTCCAATCGATCTATTAGAGGCTCCTGTGTCGAAGTGGCCATGCCCCATTCGAGCCCCCACGCCGACTCCGTCCAAGGAAAACATACTCTTCGGGGAAATGATGCCAAGGAGCAGGCCTACAGACACGATCCACTGACTTTGTATGCGGCCAATTCTCCTGAGTATATGCTTCGCTGGCCCATTTTTAACAGGGTGGTCACCGATGCAGAGAAGCATATTCGGTCATTCCTCCTCGACTCTTTGGATAGCCAGGCTCAGTCCAGAATCCCACCGCTCCGCCAGGCAAGCACTGGGTCATTCCTAGACAATATCCAGATGTTTGTTCGAAAATATCTTCATTTGGTCCATCGCCGAAATCCAGTAGTTGATGCAGAGCAACTCGAGCGCTATGCCCGCGAGGTGACAGTGCAAGGGCTTGGGTGGGACGGTCCGTCGTGCCAAGTGGTGCGTTCCATACATGCAAATCGATAATTAGCGTCGCACGCTAACTGTGCCACTAGTTGCTTGCATGCGCTCTAGGCTGCTGCACATCAGATTACGTGCCACATGATAACCCTGAAGATCTAGACCGTCTTCAGAAGCCGCCGTTGTGTGATGCTAGTATTGAAATCGCCGAAGCTTATTTCCATGCTGCCAAGCAAAGGCTAGGCTCATTACATACGTCTCCCATCGATATACAGTGTTTCTTGCTTGCAGGTTTCTATCACAGACATGCCATGCGCCCTTTGCAGGCCTGGTTTTGCTTTCAGCAAGCCTCCTGCCGATTGGAGGTAAGATTGCGGTCATTGTGTCGAGAACAGTGGACTGCCGATGTCCACTATCACAATCTCGAGTCACGACTGTACTGGTCTTGCATTCAAGCTGAACAGTGAGTCCTTATCTGATCCACCAACCTGCGGTTAGTGTCCTAAGAGTCCCAGTGAAATGCAATCTGAGCTCCCTCTCTGGAGCAGTGGTCTTGAAAGCCTTGGATATGCAGACCCGTTCCCAAAATTCCCGAAAACTAGCAGCAACTCACTGGATGAAATAGTGGACGACGAGACTTCAACAAAGCCACCACCAGAGATCAACGGTACCGATGAGGAAAAAGGATGGAGATTCTACATCGGCTCGATCTGCAATCGCCGAACAGTCAACGACATGCTAGAGGATATGTGGCGCTCCGGCGAGCAGGCTTGGATCACCAATATCACCAGCATTGTCGAAAAAACAAGTCAAGCCGAGAGTGTAGTATTCAACTGGTATGTCTTGTCATTGCCAACCTTCCAATCTGTTCCAATCGTACTATCCACTCACCGGCATCCAGGTACCACATGTCAACAGCCGGACTCCCTAATCCAGAACAGAAGAACCAAGACCTCGAATCCCTAATGCTAGGCCGCCTGTACTTCTGCCTCGAAAAGATCTACCGTCCCATATTCTACCTAGCCCTACACTATCCATCCCTACCCTCCTACCTCCAAAACGACGAAAACTTTAGCACAATCTTCGACCAAGCCCAAAAAGCCCTAGATAATTGCGTCCGCCTCATCCCACGACTATGGTACAACTGGCGCCATGAGTGGATCTGGAACTGCATGCGCATTACCTTTAGCGCCGCGATTCAGATCATGGCGGCGGTCCTGAGTAAAATGCAGAGTGCTCGCAATCCGTCCCGGTGGACTTTAAATCTGCCTTATAATTGGCCTGCACTGGTTAGATTGTCTATTAGGACGTTGGTGCTTTGGGAGAGGGAGTCGATCGATTTGGAAATTATGCGGTCTACGCTTGAGAGGATGTATCAGGGGACTTGTCGGTTGGCTGGGGTGAGGCCAGAGTTGTATTCGTTGTAATGTCGCTATATAATTAATAGATTTACTAAGGCTGATAGGGTTAAAGAATGGAATGTAATTTCCTATTCTTCTTACTACCAAGGTTGGTTTCTTTATTGTCTAGTCTACTGGAGAAGCAAAGCTTTCGTTGCTCTGCCAGGAGACGGATTGCAAATCTTACGTCGATGACAATCGAATCAAAAGTTATCATAATCTTGTGCATTGAATCTCCATTGCAAGAAGATAAAATCCTAATGTACATTTCCCATCCCACTTGTGCGCCATAAAATGATCACCACATCCCGAAATGCAAGCCTAGATACGCCAGCCGACCCAAGGCAAACAAATCATCTCCAGGAAACAGGATGGAAGGGGATAAAAATGCAGGGGGAAACGCCCTTGTCAACAAGGTAATGATGCAATGTCGAGGTCTTGGTTGCACAGGTACCATCTCAACGCCATGTAATATCCGCCCAGAAGTATGCTATGCATCGCCATGACAAGATATGGAATAAAGAAATTACAAGAATGAATGGTGGCAAAATAGAGAAATGGAAGGGTGTCGTGGCGCATATTAGGGTAGAGTGTCCGGTGAAAGACATGTGTTCTTCCAGAAAGTGATTTAGGTGTCGTGGCGAAATGTGCAATTCTCGCCTTTTCTGCACTTGCCTTCAGCCCAGAACCTGCACGGGACCAATCCGACTTTGTAGGGCTTGGAGTCGCCTGATTTTGTGCGCTTACCTCGGCTCCATGAGTCTTCGTACTGGCTGGTCTCGCACATTCGCTTGCGCTCTGGGTCTTCGATACTGTTGAGGTCTGGATGACCACCTGGTTGCTGCTGGTTTTGTCCAGCGAACTGAGAGAACATGGCGCCGAAATTTGGCGCCATATTTGCTTGGGTTTGTTGAGGTTGAGCGAATCCTGCCGCAGGGTTCTGGAATTGTTTCATGACGTTCAGAATCTGGGTGAAGTCCACACCGCCGGCCGCCGGCGCTTGAGGAGCCGCCTGGGTGACTGGAATTTGGGGAGGTTGGACAGGAGGCTGAGTCTGCTGCTGGCGGAACATGCTGATTGTCCGTTCCAGGTCAGACATCGGGGTTTGCTGAGGCTGGGGAGGGGGAGTGGTCTGAGGCTGCTGTCCAGTCTGGATCATCTTGAGCAGGTTGGAAATGTCAAAGTTGCCACCAGGGGTGGAGTTCGGCTGCCCGGGAGCTGCTGCGGGAGCGGCAGGTTTCGGATTCATGAAAGAGAAGTACCGTTCCTGTCGAGTTTTGATGTGGTCTGGGATTTCTCCGAACGGAACCTCGTCTGGAACAATCTCTTCGGCATCAGGCGCAGGAGGTTCTTTGGGCGAGGACGGAACATCCGCGGGGGAAGTGTAGAACACCATGAGGGTAGTTGACTCGCGATGCTCTTGGGCTGCTTTCTCCGGGCTGGAAGGTTGTTGTTCACCTCCACGCTTGATGAAGTTGGCCCCCTTTTGCTCCTCAGATTCGATGACGACTTCCGAGAGACCACTGTACTCATTGAGAGTGGTCTCTCGAATTCCACCGAGGTCTTCTTCTTCAAGCTCATCCATGTCTTTGTGAAGCTTAAGAACGCTTCCCTCTCCCTTGACATCCCCAACGCCGCGCATGGAGCCATCACCAGGCCCAAGCTCTTCATCGGGGTCATGAGTAAAGAGTCGCACTTCAGTGAGCGAGTCGTCGGGCTTCCAGGTAACACGCAACTTGCGTCGCGCCTCCTTTCGCAGTCTCTTTTCACGCTCCTCTTCTGTCTCTGGCGGGCTGTCTTCAACGGGTTTGGCAACGACGACCTCCTTTGGTTTGCTGAGATCGGCCATAATGTCACCAAAAGAGAATGCAGGCTTGGGGGGTGGAGCAACCGGTTTATCCTTCTTCTCTGCAGGCTTCGCGGCCGCTTGCGCAGCCGCTCTCTCGGCATTGGTAGTTCCTGGTCTCTTGGAGGCAGAACTCAAAGCACCAAAGAGACTTGATGGCTTGGGAGCGATAATATTGGCTCTCGGGCGCGGGGCTGCTGCATTGGCTGGCTTTCCATTTAGAACGCCCGGTTTAGTCAACCCATTTGCTGCCGTAGAAGGCTTCCCTGTATTGGAGCCAACAACCATCCTCTTCGTTGCAGGTTGAGAGTTACTTTCACCTTCACGGGGACGCTTAGCCCCCGTGAGTTCTGCTGAAGGGGAGTCTGCACCAGACCCTTTGGACGAAGAATCTTCTTTACCAGACTGCTGTTTCCGCTTTGTAGATGCTACGGCATTATCCTGAATCTGCTGTGCAAGTTCCTTGACTGCTGGTCCGCCTTTCTTAACAAATCTGGGGAGCAGTTTGGCAATGTTTGTTTTTTGAAGGAGCTCTTCGTCGACAGTGACGAATCGTACAAGAAGCTAAATGAATTTAATTAATCTGAGAATTCAAGAGGAGTGGGATGCTTACCTTCAGAATGTTGACCGTCAAAGAGCCCTCAAAGTCTGCAGCCTGGAAACGGTCTACCAGAAACGAGTAAAAAATTGACAAAGCCAGAGGATGCTCACCCAGCCTATATGAGAAACAACAGTTAGCAATCTGCCAGACAATCACATGGAATGAGGGGACAACATGAAGTGACTGGGATTCATGAGGCAGGCACCAGCGATTCTTAAACGGGGTTATTGGCCTCTTAGATGGCTTTGCACGGCACACCTGGAAAGATCTTAAGGTTGAAGGCTTTAGGCTATTCCGAGAATTCACCCTCATGGCTCTGGTTCAAACAAAACCAGATGTGTTGAACCTGGAGCCATGAAGAGTGCCCTTATTCAGCCATATTAAGATTCGATTCATGATCACAGAGGCTTTACACGAGTGAAGTTCTCAATTGGGTTCCGACTTCTATGGCCATGATAACCACGTGGAATGGGACGTGAAAGGGAAGTGAAAGGGGATTCAAAGGGAAGAAATTCATACTTCTCAACGATTGTGGGATGCCCAACGTTCAAGGCAGTGTCCACAATTTTATCCATAATGCGGCGTTGCAAAGCCACTGATTCCTTCAGCTGGGCTGCCTTGGTATCATCTCCTTGGTTTTCTGCCAACTTCATAGCCTGTACTAGATCCTTCCAGGCGTCTCGTAGCACTTTGATGACATCTTTGAAAGCGACCAAGGCTCCTTTCACTTTATCCGCTGAGGGCCACTTATTCCGGGGGGACCATACAGCCTTCATAGAATCATATATTCCAGCTTCGACTGGGTCACTTGGGCGATTGGGTGGGAGAGGAGATGGTTCGTCAGGAGCTTCGATCTCAAGCTCCGAATCGTCAGAGCTGTCACTTTCCGCCTGACTTTGTACTTTCTTTTGTGCCTTCGGTCCCGTCTTTTTGGCCGCAGGCTTCTTGGCCGGCTTCTTCGCAGGGATAACCACTTCGGGTTGAGGGAGCCCAGTGGACCTATCATAACCTGCTAAATGTGTAAGCAAGATATCAAGCAATGATGATGTGAGCATACCAAACGTTGGTCCTGCATTAACGGGGGTTGTACCAAACGGTGGCTGTTGCAAAGAGAGCCCGTTCTGATAAAAATTGAATGCCTCTCGCTCGGCGTGTTGAAATTCAGAAGCTCCATACAGACTGTTGGGTTGGATGTGGGACGGTTGGCGGGGGTTCTGAGGATCGGGATTTGGAAAGACGGCCCCTGGGTCGATGTGCTGCGGCACGCGGGGTTGAAGGCTGGGGAAGTCGTCGGTGAGATCAATGGAATAGGAAGCCGGGGGATACCCGGAAGAAAGAGGGAATTGAGATATGGTGGATTGCGACTGTTGGAGGGGCGGACGTCCCGTGAAAGAATCCTGGGGGTAGTATTGTTGGTAGTTCAATGAGGGGAAAGTCGAGGTCTCCGTAGCATTAAGGGCACGCGAGTCGAAGGTCATCTGGCCCTGTTGGTATTGAGGTGTGTGCTGAGAGTGAGAGACTGGGGCTTGTGGGTGAGACTGGTATTGTGAGGAAACTGGATAACCTCGTGCCGGAGCCTGCAGAGGGTTGGCCTGCCAAGCCTCAGGGATGTACATGGCATGGTTGGATTCGGTCGAGGACAAATGGCTTTGCTGTCGCTGCTGCTGCGGCTGTGACTGTTGAGGGTTCTGGAACATATGGTGCTCCCAACTCATTCCCATGGGAGCTTGTGAGGATTGCCCTTGCGGTTGCTGGAGCTGGAGCTGCGGGTCGTAGATCGGATCCAGGGTATTCCAATACTCAGGCGGTATTGATTCATGGCTTGTACCATGTGGAAGACCCTGCAGAGGGTTCTGAGCGGAGGACTGCTCCATGCCTTATTTCACACCCCCCAACAATCAACAATCAACAATCAACGAGCAAGATCACTCGATCACTCTCGACGCGTTTAAGCTACTGGCAGGTCACGTGCACGGTTGCATTCACCGCCTGCTGTTTGTGGATCGGAGATCGGAATTGAAATTCAACCGGTTCAGGGGTGGGGTCGGGAGCTCTGATTGGCAGGGAACCTTGAAGCTGAAGAAAACCGGACTTGAATAAGAATCACGCGAATCAAATACAGCTAGGCAGAGGATGGAGACGTCTGGTGATGATGAGTGCTCCCGTACCTGACAAATATAACAGTTCTTCCTGCGAATTGCACGGATGTTTTAAGATGTTGCCTCAGGCACCAATCTGGGATGCGAGGTGACGCGAGTTGGCGTCTCCCTGGTCGTGTAGACCTTTTAATATGACGACTGTTCTGCAGCGTAATACGCCGCAAATTGGATATCAATCACAGAGCCGGGATCTTCGTGGATCTTCCTGGTCTCCGGTCTTTCCTCACTTGTATTTTGTCCCTGACTTCAAGTGTCCCTGCAGAGCTTTTTTGCTCCTCTCTGTGCTTTAAGCTTTAAGCCTCCTGAGAAAGAGAAGAGAAACAGCTCCTATACAAAGAGCCACTCTAGCATAATAGCCATTCGCTTTACGAAGAAACGAGGGGATGGGGGGAATGGGGGGAAAGGGGGAGGTGATGTTGGATGGAAGATGGAGAGAGTTGAGGTGGAAGGAGGAAAAGATGTAGGCGCCGGGCGGTTGCCTGTATCAGTTGTGACAAATGTGACGTCTCAGTACTGATGTTTGAGTATGGGCAAGGAGGGATAAATGACAGTACGGTGGTAACAGGACTGCTGCCCTGACTGCATGTGATCGTCGGCGTTTGAACCGTTTGCAGACTTTACGTCAGCCGGAGTGCCAGCCACGGTGGAGCGAGAGAGGGTGTCAACACCGAGCATCCTCGTCTCCCTGTACTTCTTTGTGGGCAGGCTCATGTGTTGAAGCTGCTGCAATCAAGAGTGTATCCTCGAATAAGCCCGAGGTGTCTGCTCTGTCATGGCGCATCCGATGTCCCTCCGAGACCGCCAGGTCGGTACGTGAATGCCATGCTCCCCCGCGGCAATTGCCCCGGACTGACCGTTTTACGATAGCTTCCATTCAAAAGCTTCTCAATTTAAACCATGACCCTCGTCCGGCCGATGATGCTTCGCACGATTCGTCCGCCCAGGGTGGTCTGGTCTCTCACTCCACCCCCATCTTGAATGAAGATGGCGACCCCATCTGGAAGGTCCTGGTCTTCGATGGCATGGGCCGCGATGTCATCAGCAGTGTCCTGCGAGTCAATGACCTCCGCGCATGGGGAATCACTATCCATCTGTATGATCCGAAGCACTGGTCTTCATGTGTGTCGAGGAGGCCGCTGACAGTATCCCGGTATCTAGGAGCCTTAATTCGCAAAGATACCCCATCCCCGACGTCCCCGTTGTCTATCTGGTGGAGCCGAATCCTGCCAACATCCAAGCGATCACGCGCGATCTCTCTCAGGGTCTATATTCCCCGGCCTACGTGAACTTCCTCTCCTCCGTTCCCCGCCCCCTTCTCGAGGACTTTGCTTCTCAAATAGCCACGTCTGGCGCATCGGAGAACATTGCTCAAGTGTTTGATCAATATCTCAACTTTATTGTGGCCGAGCCGGATCTTTTCAGCCTAGGCCTCGGAAACGATGCATACTACAAGATCAACAGCCCGAAAACGAGCGATGAGGATCTGGACGCAATCGTGGATAAGGTAGTGAGCGGTCTATTTAGCGTAAGCGTCACAATGGGTAAGCTAATTCCTCTGTGCAATTTTTCAAGATCTAATGATAGCACAGGTACCATTCCTATTATTCGATGCCCGAAGGGTGGAGCCGCGGAGTTGATCGCAACCAAGCTGGACCGGAAACTGCGTGACCATATTCTCAACTCCAAGGACAACTTGTTCTCGGGCAACCAGAAAGCCTTACCCGGGGTTCCCTCGGCTCGACCGGTTTTGATCATTATGGACCGGAATGTCGATCTGGTCCCCATGCTCTCACACTCCTGGACATACCAGTCCCTCGTACAGGACGTACTTCAAATGCGCTTGAATCGTATTACTTTGGACACGGACGAGCAGGACTCAGGCAAGGTCACCAAGAAGTCATACGATTTGAACAGCAGCGACTACTTCTGGCAGCGAAATGCTGGAGCGCCGTTCCCTCAGGTCGCCGAGGATATCGATACTGAGTTGACACGGTACAAGGAGGACGCAAACGATATTACAAAGAAGACAGGCGCTTCCTCGATCGAAGATCTCCAAAATGATACCAGCGCCTCCGCGCAGCACTTGAAGGCTGCCATCACCCTGCTCCCGGAGCTGCGGGAGCGTAAATCCGTTCTCGATATGCACATGAACATCGCCACTGCCCTACTCAAGGGAATCAAAGACCGTCAGTTGGACAACTTCTTCGAGCTGGAGGAGAACATTGTCAAGCAGTCCAAGGCACAGCTACTGGAGCTGATCAATGATCCTGCCAAGGGTAGCAACCCGCAGGACAAGCTGCGCATTTTCATCATCTGGTTCCTTAGCACAGAGACTGAGCTTAGCCGCACTGATATGACTCAGTTTGAAGAGGCTCTGACCAATGCCGGCGTCACGGACGTCACTCCTCTTTCTTATGTGCGCCAGGTCCGCGAGATCACCCGCATGACCATGATGACTACAGCAGCTCCCGAACAGCAATCTAACGACATCTTCCGCGGTTTCTCCTCGCTCTCCAACCGTCTAACAGACAGAATTACCTCCGGTGCTCTCGGTGCCAATTTTGACTCGCTCATTTCCGGTGTCAAGAACTTCCTGCCTGCGAACAAGGATCTGACCGTGACCAAGATCACCGAATCTATCATGGATCCTTCCGCTGCCTCCAGTTCCGCTATCGCGAAGACAGAGAACTACCTCTACTTCGACCCCCGCAGTGCCAATGCCCGCGGCGCCATGCCTCCCGCCTCTGCGTCACGAAACCAGCAGATGCCCGGTACCATGGGCGGTGTAGGCCCCGGCACCGGCGCCAGCTTCGGCCAGCGCCGCCAGGCCTTCAATGAAGCAATCGTCTTCACGGTCGGTGGTGGCAGCATGGATGAATATGGTAACTTGCAAGATTGGGTGCACCGGACAAGCGGCCAGACTGGACCCGATGGCAACCCATCGGCCAACCGCGTACCGGCTGGTGGCCGCCGCCGTGTCGTCTACGGAAGTACGGACTTGATGAACGCTAGTGAATTCCTGTCGGACTCTTTGGCTCCGTTGGGTCGGGAGAGTTGAATGTGAATACCCAGTTTGCAAGATGGACAAGATTGGGCGAGCTAAATCTTATGGCTGTAAAACATACTTATAATTCAAGCACTTTATGCATGTCTTCGAACATTTTCTTCCAGGCTCGTATCGCATATTTAACCTCAGTGAGCAGTAAGGATTTCCGGCTGGGTTCCCGAGCATGTGGTTATTCTCCAAATGTCTTTTAGGTGGCACCTGGTTGAGCCCTGGAATGGACGCTCAGGCCAAGTACGCCATCATTGTCGAACATCTTCTGTGGCATCTGGTCTCATATGCATGACCTTTCTGAAGCAATTGGTTGGCTTTTGAAGAGAGTGGCAAGATCAAGCTGCACTCAATTTCTCTCTCTTGCCACATGAGCACTTTTTTCGACAGCTTTCAGGTAAGTCCTCCTGCGTCCTCCATGTGTTGTATCTACTGTTTCTGTTTTGTAAGTGAGCATGAGCCTCATTTCCTATAAACTTGATTGCAATGTAACTTAGAAGCTACCGAAGAAAACAAAGCGATTGAGACTTGCTTTCTTTATGAACGTTTCAATTCTGTTTCAACATATGTGACACTCAGGTATCTGGAAGAACCTATACCCTCTCTGTCCCAATCACAGATGCATATGAGCGGATTGGTTCATGGCGGGAGTATGCACTTGGTTATGTGGATCCCCAACCTTCAGCTTAACACCATCCGCCTCCCGAGAAGACGGTCTGGAACACGTTCCCCAGAAAATCGATCAATGATGGAATCACCCGTGTTTCAAGGTCACCTTCTTGTTCGTCATTCCAGTCATCCATTTTGCCTCGCAGGTCGCAATTCTATAGCTTGAGGAGTGATGTCAGACGAAGTCATACTCGTGATAATAACGCCACGGGAAAGTAATATAAGACTCGATCTGCCGTGTTTGTCTCCTAACATCTTTTACATATCGGTTACATATCTCCAACAGATCCTTCAGATCAAGATTGTTCATAATTCTTAGCTTCATCGGAAGCTGATCACGCCTTCAAGATGAGTAGCCGTTACGTGGACGACGATACCTACAATAACTACGACTACGATGCTTCTGCTGGTACCACATATGATAGTGTCGGAACCACCTATGATACTATAAGCACGGCATATGGTACTGCGGGCTACGACACCGGATATGGTGTAACAACCTACGACCCAGGTAGCGGCGCCTACGACCAGCACCTCGACTACCAGACCGACTCCTCACGACGACACCATCGGGAGCGACTTGATGATAATGGCGTCTATCGACACCGAGATGTTGACCGCCGCGATGACGGAACCACACACGTCCATCGGGAATACGACAACCCCAATACGGGTACCAGCTACCATCGCGATATTGAGCGGTAAAAGAGTACGTTACCGGCATTTATTAGGAGCAAGTATCGGGCATTGGTCCAAATTTGTGTTTAACGATTTTACGACTTTCAACAACCAAGAAAGCATACAATTCCTTAAAATAGAAAAGACGGGACAATGGGACCGACGCAAAAAAAGTGTGAAAAGGTGAAAAAGTCTCAAAAAAATCACCAAGGCATCATCACTCTTTTGGCCTGAAGCGAGCTAAACACGATCGTTACCAAGAACACTTTCAATCGTTCAAATGTTGATTTAGAAGAAAATTAGAGCTTCAAGGCTTTCTCCAACTAGTCCGAGAGTTTTTCTTGTAGAAAGATGGTTATTGCAGCCGCTCTCGACCGAGGTAAAGAGACTACAGACGCAGACAGACGGCATGATGGAGAATACATATACATAACCAAAAAAGAAAAAGATCAATATAAACATTGAATGCAATGAGCTTATCAGGAGTATCTTCCAGATGTCATTATTAGAATTCCCACAATGAAACAGTCCGTGTCTAGAAGCAACAGCGAAAGGGGATAGAGTTCCCAAAGAGGCTTAACACTATACGATCACCTGACAAGCAAAGTCGTGGGCATTTCTTTCGAATTTGCTGAGTTTGAACGGTCAAAATGTGTCCAGAGCCGAGCTTTTCGACCTAATACAGTCATACGTGACTAGAAACTCCCTTACTTCTACCTATTTTATAGTTTTGCTGCAACTTTATGGATTAATGCCTCAGGCATCCAAACAGGCTCCACCGCATCGTCACGGCGAACACCCCCATTCGACTCCATCCTGCCCTAACTGACGCGTCGCCCTGAATCTGGCCAACTTGAATGTTGGGTTGAGCAACCACCGATTCCTAGCTTTCATGTCCCCGTAACCATGTCCCGGAGGACGCTGGGCGGAGGTCGTGTTCTGGGCACCCCGGGCGCGCTCTCATCTGCCCCGTCCCCGCAGCCGAAGCCAAGGGTGCTGTCGCCGACCGCCAGCAGTGTTTCCCTCAGCTCGCAGACTTCTGTGTCTCAGTTTTCATCGGCAACCCAAGATCTCACGTCGCGTATCTCTCTCGAGAATGGTGATACCTCCATTTCTGCAGCCCCGGCTGCCCCCGGAGCCCTGCTCACCTGTCCGATCTGCAATGAGGAGATGGTATGTTTTGTTGCCCCTATGCCTGCTCGCCGATGCAGCGAAAATAAAGCTAACTTGCTTCAGGTAACTCTACTACAGCTCAACAGGTACCTTACAATTCTCGCCCAATCCCATGCATCCCCACGGCGTCAACTAACAACCCGACAGGCACCTCGACGACATCCACCAAAACCTAGAGGACGACAGACAAGATGAGGTCAAGGACTGGTTCAAGGTCCAGATGGAAAAAGCGAGGAAATTTCAGCCTCTCGCCGTACTCAATCAGAAGCTCAAGGGCTTGGACGTCTTCGAATCGAACGAGAATCAAACGACCTCGGCTTCAAGTCGCCCATTCGCAGCTCATGCCGTAGTCCCTGAAGCTTCAGCCCCAGCACTGACTCCAGCCCCGAGACTACTCGATCCCGAAGACCTCATTACAAAGGCACACTGGCAAACTAGTTCTCTTTATGACATGTGTCTGGAACCCTCCTGCGGAAAACGACTTAATTCCACCAATGGGTGCGTCAATTGTCGAAAGTGTGGCAAGCTCTTCTGCGAGGAGCATACTATGTACCAAATGAAATTATCACGATCTGCGCACCACGAACCCGTGAGGGGTATTTGGGCGCGAGTGTGTGAGACCTGTTACAAGTCAAGGGAAGGCTATAATGATCATAACGGTAAGGAGGTCCGACCTCTCAGGTTGCGAATCATGCTGACGGACAACAGGTACGATAAGGGATCAAACCTCGGCTTTCAAGTCCATTCGCAAGCAAACGGTCGACAAGGATTTCCTGGAAGTTTCCCGACTTGAGAAGCGATTAACTCGACTCACGCAATTGCTGGCTAGTTTACCGCCTGATCAGATACATCCTAGTGCAACTAAGTTGTTCTCTATAGCATGGCAGAGTGACCAGCGGAAGACACTAGAACAAACCATTGTTAGTTGGCAGGACGACGCGAGTGTTTCTCGGTGTCCGTTTTGTCAACAGGACTTTTCTGGCTACTCTTTTCGGAGGCATCATTGCAGGACTTGCGGGCGGGTTGTCTGTGGTGATCCGAATACTGGCTGCTCCAGTGAGGTGGGGTTGAGCATCGCGCCTCGTAAGTTTCCAGGTCGTCCTTCCATAAATTGACATCTAACATCTCGAAAGCCTCCGAGAAATCTGCCACTGCAAATATGATCAATGTCGATGTCAGGCTTTGCAAAGACTGCAAGACTACATTGTTCGACCGACGAGACTTCCAGGCGGATATCTCACGGAAACCTGCTGAAGTCAGAGCGTACGAAAACCTGGTGCAATTCGAGAGAGGCATCCGTCTGCACCTTCCCCGGTTTCAGAAACTTCTCACTTCATTACAGTATGTTTAGCCGCCGGCTTCTTTGTGTAATTACTAATACAGTAACAGAGACCCAAGACGGCCACCAACTTCTATCCAAATAGCAGATGCGTCCAAGGTCCGAAAGCGACTTATGGACTCATTTGCCAAGTACGATGTCGCAGCTCGACGGATCCGCGACCTACCCACTCAGTCACCAACCCAACAGCGCTTACAGAAAGCTATATACCAACAAGCCAGCAATTTCCTTCACCTTCACATGTTACCCTTGAAGTCCCTTCCCAAGGTTCTCAAGCATGCTTCTCCTGCTGCGGACCGTATCCCCAGTCGCACATCCTCTCCAGCGATCCCAGTCAACGGGTCACCAGCTCCCCGACCGCAAGAGTCGGCTCTTGCATCTATCAAATATAACAACCGCGTCGCCGCTAGTGGCAGCACCAGCAGTCTAGCTAGCGAATCAAGCAGCGCCGTCTCTGCCCTCGAAGCAGAAGAGAAATCCCTCCGTGAGCGCCTAATCGTGCTAGAAGAGCAGAAATTCTTCGTCTCCGAAATGATCGCCGATGCCAACCGACGACGCAAATTCGACGAAGTGAGCAGTCTCGCCGTGAACGTTGAGGACCTAAGCCGTGAAATCGACAAGGTAAACGGGATGCTCTCCGGACTAGATTTCGAGGGCGTCTACACTGGCACTTTGCAAGCCAGTACCTAGTTTCGTTTGAGCTGCCAGTCGTTTCATTCATTCTGCACAGAAGCATGGCGTGTTGTCACTTAGCTTTCTATGTTTCATTTTCCTTGTGTTTTCTCCCATCTTTGCTATTCTGTGGGCGTGTTCGAGCTCCTTCGATGATATGTGCATAGCATCGGGCGTTGGCGGTTGTTCGGGATTTATAATCAATTGAATTAGCTACATTGTTGAATAGGATTGTGCGTATTCGCATGGTTCTTCCCATGTTCAGTACGTAGAGGAGATTCCAAATTTTGAACTGGTTCAGACTCATCTTCCGGTTATAGCTGTCCCTTGCATGTCGATTGAGAAGCCTATAAAGGATTCCTACCGATCCGATAGTTTTCAAATTTCATGAAATAATCCAAATTCCAAAAAAATTCAAGTTCGATTACTCCCTCCAGTGTAAGAGGAGACAAAAAAGAAATATCTCAGGTTGTTCTGTAGGAATAGCCGAACGCGGGGGTCGAACCCGCAACCTTGAGATTAAGAGTCTCACGCTCTACCGATTGAGCTAGCCCGGCAGGGCTTGGTGGAAGGCACAGCCAATTATGGATTTATGAAGCACTAGGCTTAGAATTGGCAGCACAGTAGGACAAACAGTCAAGTATCGGTGGAGTCCACAGTATGCATGCAAGTATTCCGGGTCTCGCATGTGGCTTGGCGATGCAGTCTATTTTGAAATTCGACTTTTAATCTCGCATCGATCCACGTGCTTATTTGATAATATTGGAGCGTAAATTATTAACTCCAGAGCTTGTGGGGAAGTAAGAGGTGTACGAGGCGGACTATATATACCTGGTCTGATCCAGTGTGGCGTGATCTTCGGTTTAGATTAGTTACATGCAATTCCTGACTTCGTCTAGTTATACTTCAAATTAATTGGTACAAAATACACCCCGCATTTCATCACTGGGACCCATCCTCAGAAACAAAGAAGGTCTTCTGCACGTTCACACCAGAAAAGAAGGTCCCGTTGTGTTGCTTGGGGTTCAGATCTTCCTGGCTACTCGTGCGACTTCCATGATTCGAGGTATGAATGGTGGTAATAACCGCCTGAGTGTCTTCCGGATCTAAATCCGGGCGCCAATACTGCGGCCCAGAGGGGTCCGCCGACCGTCCAGGGTTTATACTGGATAGCGGTAGGCTGCCTCCAGTCCGCTTGCTTTTGCGAGCGCTGCTACCGTAGCTGGAGTCGCGAAACCAGCGGAAGAGTGGTCGGAGAGTGACGAGACTACCGGCAGCAATGCCAAGGCTAGCCTCGACATTAGACCAGATGGAAATCTGGGCGGTGGCATCTGTTGAGATTGTCAGTATTGGTTCGTTTTGGCTCTTGTCTCCCGAGGCGATTCAGAATCATCCACAAATGGGACTCACATAAGAAATCAGGGTCCTTGTAGTCATGCAAGAATGGAATACGGACAATGACGGCTGCACTGGCACTAGATTGAAGACAAATCAGCATCGAACGATGAAACCAGAGAAGTATAGAAACGTACACGCAACCCATGCCCAAAATCCCAGCCAGCGCGGCCTTGGTCCGTACGTTCATTTGCAGATTCCATACGAGGAACACTGGCAAGAGTCCAAGAGTCATATCGCACAATGTGGCGGTGACACTGTACACGTAGGCAATGTTGATGATACTATCGAGGTTCATGCAATGGCCGGTAATATCGCTGTTCTTCTCAGTTAATACTCGTACTCGCTGCCAAAAGAACGAAACAGGCGTGCACTGCAGGGTCAACATGAAGAAGAAGACGAGACCAATAACGGTGGTCACGCCGATGACGACCCATAAGATAGCGGTATGCGTTTTAGCGACAGTGAGACGGAGAAGCGCAACGGCGATCGATATCTTTGCGATTGCGACGACCCAGACGTATGTGGTTTGACCGAGCCACCACCACTGGTAAATGTTAGATGCAATCAATGACCCATGTGATTCCGTCAATTGGAATTATATCAAAAACATACAAACATGGCAGTTTCCATCGTGCCTCGGCCTATCGGCTCAGGCCCAAGTACCTCTGTTTTCTGGCCGATTCCATATAACGCACCAGTGATACCGCAAAGCGCGAACAGAGTGTTCAAGACCTAGTGATCATGTTAGCAGGCGCGCAAGTATACAGCCAAGATATCAAAAGTACCATTGCAAAGACCATCAGCGCATCATCCCAGCCAAAGGCCTTGACGATTCTGAGGCGGACAAAGCATCGCAGGCAAACCGCAATAAATGAGATGCCCAAGAAGATAGTAGTGACGATGAAGATCGTCTGGCTGCGACCCTCGAGAGGTAACATAGTGATAGATCAGAGAGCGTGGTCAGTCCCAATTCATGATTCCCACCGAAACCTGCAGACCCGTAAACCAGCGACAAGGGGGGGGGGTGTATGTCAAACGAGTACGAGAAGAAAAGGAGGGAGAAGAGACTAGAAATGATTGTCACAAGCCAAGCATAGGGACGTCCCAGTGGCAACGGGGTCAAGCCGCAACACGGGTCCGCCGTTCTCCGTCTTTAGACGAAACCTAGCTGAGGCTCGCGGGTGATATTCACAGTGAGCTAGTGGGACGGAACAAGATGGGATCGGAGTATCCGCCATTGTTTAAGGCGTTCCACGGAGACAGATTGAGCTACGAGCCGTGGAGGGGTGGGTCATCCGATGTTCCTCGCTTGTTTCTTGCTCCAAGTTGCATCTACCTGCTCCTTGAGATCCATAGAATCGATCGGAGGCCGCCTAAATCCCGTCCGAATGTAGATGTCACTTCTCCAGAGTTTTCCAAAGTGTAATTGCGCAGACGAGCAACGTCCGTGTTCCATCCATGGACGCCATGTGGAGAAGAAAGTCTAATCTGACAAATTTGCCTTGTCATTCGCAAAAAGCATATGAAACACGTTTCTACCAATATTCCTACTGACAGGTTGAACATAGCTTCATGCAGGGTCAGTTTCATCCACCGAGGCACGGCGACATGACTCGAATAAGTTTGCTGCCAAAACGTGTCGACTTCGCCCGCCAACAGGAATCGGTTAATATCAGCCCATGTGGGACTGCGCTCTTGGCGATGTGCCCCGAACGCAGCCGAGCAGAGCTAGTCTAATCCCGGTGGCTCTAGTGAGGAAACGAGGCCGTAGCTACCTTAGCGTGAAGACAGACGCTGTTAGGGAAATTTGCCCCGGCCCGAAACGCGCCGTCTTGTCCTCAGGGGCTGTCAGAAAACCGGCAGGTGAGCTTAATGCCCCAGCTAGAGTTCATGGGTCCTTTGGTAGGGACGATCCCTGTTGCAGCATGGGTTCCAAGGTCTAGACTAGGAAGTCAGTCTCGTGAATTGGGGGATGAACTCTTGGTACTTGCGATCTCCTTAAGACTCGATGTATCGAATCGAGATCGCCGATATATGTGGCCGGCAATCACTGTTGAGCTCCATCCCGAGCACTACTGGCTTAGCACGGCTGAGTAAAACACGCCCGCACAGATCGGCAGGGAGAAGGCTCCGCGGCACAATAACGCGGCATGATCGGCGTCAAGGAGGACAGACGGGAAATTACTTGATATTTCTGTCGTCCCCACCGTCCAGGGAGCCGTTTAGGATGGACGGTCGTTCTGAGACCCTGATTCTTGCACGGTCTAAGACATTGTGGCCTCGTTCTAGGCCTTTTAGGCCGTCAATCATGCACGGTTACAATAGCATTGTCTTGGCTGGTTGTTAGTGCACAAAGTGCAATCCAATTCAATATTACTTAACTGATTTCTATACTTCTCCCTATCGTTAGTCGCCGTAAAACATTTGATCTCGGCAAAAACTAAAGATAGAATCCCGAACATCGAGGGAAGGTTTGGGTGGATCGCCGCGACGCACATCTGGTAATTTAAACGCTTGATCTTCAGCAAACACCCCCGGTCTAATTTAATTTCCAAGTGCCGTGGTAATTTGTCTATCAAGCTACTGTGGCTGTTCCAAGGTTCCAGGTGGCCCCCTCTAACCCCCTTCAGGTCAGTGGTAATGCCCTAACCCTGAGGCGTCGTGTTCAAAATAGGCTATTGAGAACTACCGGACGCCGCCTACATGATCCATGGACTCGGCGGCTAATCGATGAACGCGATTAGAGAGCATATAATCTTATCCAGAGCAGCCAGTTTAGCGAAGTCCCAGCGGCCTGAGCGTAGCCCTGAAGTAGCGGGACCTTACTCCTTGTACCATTAATACGTGCAATACATCCCCCATTTGTAATGACAGAGAACAGCATTCGCAGCAAAGGCTAAGTTGGATTCGCTATATCGCGCTATATCGATGATTATCACGTGCTCGCAGAGACACAGATCCAATCCAATATGTACATATCATATTCACACTGCAGACGTTTCTGACAGTCAAACCAGAAAATCTATCAAGTGCATTTACTTCCACTGGGCGTCCTTGCGCGCCTGGAAAGTCTTCAGGATGGCTACAACCTTCTCCAGAGCCGCGACCTCCTTCTCCATAGAGGTGTTGACCTTGGACTGGTCGCTACCCAGCTTCTTGTAGAAGTCGGCGCGGTACGGTGTAGCGGACATGGCAGCACTGAAGATGGGCTTGACCAAGAAGCTGTGGTGGGGCTTGAGGGTGCCGCCGTAGGCATGGCGGAAGGAAGCAGACAGCTCTTCCTTGGGGTTTTCGAGGTTGTGGCGGAGAGCCTGGGCAGTAAAGTCGAGACCGCTGTTGATATCAGATGAGGTCAGTGACATATTCGCAAGGTGGATTTCCAATTCACCTGATGCAAGAGGTGTCCGAAGGGTGCAAAAGTACGCAGGAGAACTCACCGGACGAGCCAGACCAGACCCTCGGTGGCAGTGTGCTTGCCAGTCTTCAATTCGTTCAGGACAAGTTCCTGCAGAGTTTGGGACTCAGCGGGAGCAGCCAGCATGCGGTCCTTGACTTTCTATTGTAGATATCAGCACCTGTCCATGTCTTGGAGGGGAACAGGGAGCTTCGGACCTTGATGTTGCCTGTCAGGTCACTCTTGACGGGGCTGAAAGCTGCGGAGCCGATGACATCTGCAGAACATATTGCATCAGTATCACCATCCACGTGCAGCAAGACAACATTACTCACCAAACAGAGTCACTAGGGCCTCAGCGGCCTCGAGGAACTCGGCAGTGGAGATAGCATCGTCGTTGGCGGCGTCAATAGGGACATCCGCGAAGGACCTGTTGAGGGTGTCGAACCAGGTACTGTCAGCGGGAATAGCAGCCATGATGAATATCAATTGAATTAATTGGGGGGGGGGGAAATAAAGAAAGAGAACGGGCAGTTGTATCAACAACTGTCCCGTACTCCTCTCACCGCTGCATGCCACGCAAGCCAATCGCTCGCCGCGGGGCTCGCAAACTGTCAACAAACAGTGCAAACACAGTCACCATCCACGTGATGGAAGTTCCATGTTTGCATAGACGACGTCATCGGAGCAGGTTGCACCGCGATTTGATCGATCGCGCTATGCAGTTTCCCCCGTACCTGGTAGATCTCCCCGCTCTTGGTATTATCCCTTGATGTGCAGCCCGCTGAATTCAAGTCAACCAACCGCTCGGTCGGTAACGCGTTGGTGCCATGAGTGCTCCCGATCAGGCCAACGGCTCGGCACAGGAAGCTCCCCACGCTGCGGAGTCTGAGCGATATCAGGGTTTATTGCCTGGGTCCTATACGGATCTGAAGCTGGTAGGTCAATTGCACCCCCACAAGGCTGGTATTCGCCCCAAGACTAATCAATATACTGTAGCGCCATGCTTCCGCTCATCATTTGCATCTGACAAGCAGGCGTTTCTTTATCGGACCGATCCCTGAAGGCTGGATCCATGGACACCGCAAGTCCTGGTATAAATCCCGGCTGCGATTCAAGAATTACACCTCCCAGACCTTGTCGTTCTCTGCAGATCCAGTTTCCTCCCATTACAGTCAACTTGGCGAGAACCAAAGTCAGGGTCAAAGTCAGGCTGTTGTCTCACCGCCTACATTGGAAGAGGTCGCTCTTACCTTCACCCATACCAATGAAGATCCTGGAACCGGACAAGATGACACAGAGGCCGAGGAAGAGGATGAGCCAGAGTCAAGCGAAGAGCCTACGGGCGAGCTTCGCACTCTCACTCATCCCGAAGAAACACAGGACACAGAGCCCGCCGGGACCGAGACGGAGGTAGCGGAGCAGATCGAAGATGAACAGCCTTTAGTCGATGACACCTTAGATGAAGATTCTGATGCTACGCCAAGGGCAAGCTCAAGAGCACAAGAGCAGATGTACGACAGTACGATTGCATCGTCTTCTTTCGTGACCGCCAGAGAGTTTGAGTCTAGTTCCGCAGACACTGATCAAACATCATCTACGGTACATGCTCCAGGATTGCAGATTCCTAGCCAGCGGCCCCAGTCGCAAGGATCGCAGGCCGTGAGTATTGCAGGTCGGAATGGCCAGAGTCCGTTGATATCTACCAATTCTGCCGCAGTAAGCGACGCCGACTCTATCACGCCATTGTTCAAATCGAAAGCCAAAGCGCAGAAGCTGAAGAACAAATCCAATAAGATTTCTGGCATAACTCGCTTCACGCTGGAGCACCAGGAGCCCCAGAATGAGGATGAAACGCACCGAGAAAGTATTGAGCCTGGAAGGAACGTACCTCGGCGATTGACCAAGAAGTTTGCGAATTACAACGCGAAACATAACTTGGACGACAACGTCAAAGATAAGCAGCAAAGGCTTCGCTCTCGTATCGCCAAGACAGGAGATACCATCGCCGCGAACCGTCCTCGTCGACGAAAAATACAGGATGGGGAGATCGTCAAAGCCGAGAGAATGCTTGTTTGCGTTGAAGAGACACTCAACGAAAATCTGCCTTCTGATTATAACGAGAATGACAGCTTCCGCATGGAATCCCGCAGCGTGGACAAGTGGCGAGAGTATTTGGTTGTCTGTCGAAAGAGTTCAGCGGAGCATGCACCGTTTGCCTTGCAAATGTATCGCACACGCGTGATTCCTGACGCACAGAGCCTAAATAACAAAACACGCCCTTACTACGAGATCCGGTTGAATCATAGGAACACTAATGTCAACCTCTACTCTGCTCTTGATAAGACCCTCGTGGTCTGGCATCCTCGCAGGCACGGCACCAAAATCTACATCATCCGTCCCAAATCAACTGCCCATGCTTCCGAATGGTACACATTTATCCGGCAAGTGCTGGGCTGGCGGCGGCCGACCAAACTACCTATCAACGTTCCCGATTTTGGAGTCTCTTTGGTATTTAAAAATCCGTTTGAGCAACTAGAGGCTCGCCTCGGAGCAACACAGGACGACAGTCACCACACTACACTTATGACTCGGTCTACGGCGGGTGGGAGGTTTGCCGCTGAATCCATTATCCGCGGCTGTATGGAAATGCTCGAGGGTCGTCCTGAATGGGCAGAGATTTTACGCGCTTGGTCCAAGACGGAGAAAATGGGTCTTGCCTGGAAACGTTATGATCGTTTAGAGTGGGTATTTGGGACCAATGAGGAGAACATGTACGGGTCGATGGCGATGGAGTCGTCGCATGAGCTTGAACTGCGCCCTCGCCAGCATTATTCTACCACGATAAAGCAGGCAGGCAAGAAGGAAGAAGAGCCATCACCGGTCGAAGGGTTCTTGATCCGGCTTACCTCTCAGAAGGGTGTGCACCAAAAGAAGAATAAGATGTTCTTCAAGCGGTTGTACTTCTTCACGCAAGATCATTATTTGCTGTTCTGCAGGCCAGCCAAAGCTTACCCCCCAACACCGCCGAAACTTGCTCCGACAGGCGAGGATGAGAGCGTGCCAAGCTATCGCCAGATCATAGATGAGATGCCGAATTCTTGGGAGATTAACCCATACCCAATTCTTGATGGTGATATTGCGTGGTTGTCAAGCGGAAACCCCGAGTTTGTCCAAAGGCATGATGAGGAAGCTTACGCCCAACTGCAAAGAAATGTGCACAATATCAGTCGTGCAGATGGATATATTGATCTTTGTCGAGTGAAAGAAGTGCGCCGCGTTCAGCGCGGAAGTAGTCCTGCGGACCCCAATATTTCAGAAGGTCCCGCTGTGGACTTCCAACCGGAAGCAGAATACTCCAGACGGGACGATGGTTCAACGAAGCAATTCGACGACGACAGAATATTCGAAATAAAGTTGGACAATGACCTGGTTATTCGCTTGCAGTCGTACGACACTACCTCTCGAGATGAATGGATCAAGCGCCTAGATGCTTTGGTAAAATATTGGAAAACACGCATCGCGGACGATTTTCACGAACTCCAAGCCGTGCGACAACGGAACCTCAAGTTGCTGGACATCGATGAGGAAATGGAGTCGATCGTGGGGCAATTCGCGAAGAAGTGGGAGGTGAAAAAGGCCGAGGCGTCGCCTCACCTTCACAACATTTGCTCGTTAGTGGGTTGTCGTACGATCAAGATGTCTGGCCATCTGTATCGCAAACCTCGTCGGCACTCCACTTTTACCCGGTGCAATGTGCTCCTCACTGCCGGACAACTTCTCATCTTCCGTAGCACGCTGCGCAAAGGGAATGGTGCCCAGATCCCACACATTCACCAAGAGCACGAAGCTACTATCGACCTTCGTGACTGCTACATCTACTCCGGACTTGCCACTGAGGCTGATCTACTGTACGCCAACCAGACATTCGACAGCAATAACCCAGGTCTCCACGCTCTGCCGCGCGTATATCTCACTTCCGGTGCCTACACCAGCCGTGACGAGGATACGGCTATCACCTTTGTTGTTTGGCAACCTCTCAGCAAGAGCTACTTCCGCGCCCGTGAGGAAGGGGCAAAGGGCGAAGCCAAACGCTCTTTACACCACGTCTCGACCCTGGGCAAGCACGGCCGTACCATTGTGTTCAAGGCACGCAGTCGTGTCGAGAAAGACCGCTGGGTGTTGAGTATCTCGTCGGAGATCGATCGACTCCAAGAAGAGAAACAGGAAGACATCCGCATTGTTTCTCTGTGATGGCATTTATTCTCTCGCATTCCCTGCACGAACACGCATAGCATCGGGTCTACATGAATTTTGTATCGTCTAGGGGTTTCATCTTTCCTGCTCTAGCTTGTATACATGAGAGCTCGCCATTAAATAGTAATACAAGATATCCACATATTTACACACGCATCGCAGGTTCCAAACCCAGCGTAGATGCTCTCTTACTCAAATGCAGGCTCCTCCATTCTTACAGCCTCCTTCAAAACCCGGCCCCGCACACTCTGGCGGTACTTATCGTCGTCGTCTAGCTTCCCGGACTCCCAATCCTGCCATTTCAACAACCGGAAGCGCGGGGATACCACGCCAACCACTCGACCCGTGATCAAACTGATACTAACCGGTCCGTACGTATTACTATCAAGCGTCCTCCTCGGGTCCTCCGCATCGCCTTCCAACCAAACATGGTTGTACGGAACAATCTGACTGCTTTTCATGCACGGCTCACGAGTCATAATCCGGTCCCCAGGGAGTCCAACAACGCGCTTAATAGCGACATGCGAAGAATTGGCCGGCGATCTGCAAAGGCACCATTAGTCTCTTTGTCTATCGCACGAAATCCAAAAGTCTCATACCGGAACGTCACAACCATTCCCCGCTCAAGACGTCTCTTTATTTGTCTCTGCCATGGCCATGTTGCACCAAACGGCCACATGCTGACCAGTATCATATCGCTCTTTGTCTGTGTCTGCTCGTAGTCTTCGTTCAGGTATGGTGTCATCGACGGTCCGCGCACCCACATCAGTCGCGCCACGTGCTCTGAGAAGAATAGACCAATTGGAACAAGGGTTCCGAATATTCGGAGCGCGCGACACGTTCGTCGGATTGGTGTTGGGAGGGCACTATAGCGCTCGCGTATGCTGGATATGAAAGTTGGGAGGAAGCGTTTGCGCACGAGGCTTGGGCCTGCGGTGTCGCGGGCGGCTAATGAGGGGTATTTGTGTAATCCTGGGGCGGCGGTTGCTGTGATAGGTTTCTTGGAGAGTCTTTTAGCCTCGTATGGGTCGAGGATGCGCATGGGTTTTGAGGGTGGTTGGTTTGGGGGTGGCATGGTGGCGGTGTTGAGCGGAGCAGATGAGGCGGAATTTGGGTTGGTTGGAGATGAATTGAGTGGGATTCCGATCAAATGATCATTTTTAAAGGGTTCGGGAAGCAATGAGAGTAGGATGCTGCGAGTTCAAGGGAATCTGAAGCTCGCGCGATCTTCGGAGTCGATAATTGATAGCGGAGCTGGCTGTTTGCATTATGTTTGCACCGACGACAGGACAACTAGCGCTGCTCTAGTCAGAGGAATATTTCTCTATACGATTTTCCAGAAGATTTAATCATGATTCCTTCATATTTTTTATGAGATATTGCTAGAACAAGCTGGTATTCGGAGATCATGGAGCAGCGATAGCCTAATGGTGAACACTAGTCCTCCGTCAAACCTCCGTAATCATTAATCGTTACTCGTTTATAGAGAGTCCAAGGTGCAAGGTTCGAGAAGAACCAGAAATAAGCAGAGGCTCTGGCATAATATGAGAAATATGCAACTTGTGCCCATGTAATCACGGTGTACTCCCGCGCAGCTTCTTTGGCATCTTTAGAAAACTCGCTGACATCTTCGGCTGAGACATTCATAGCTTGATCGACAGTTTCGTGGACAGCTTTCTCGGCAATCTTGACGGTGTCTTCTGCCCCCGACTTTGTCGACTTCTTGGTGATCTACTCGATAGCAGACAGATCTTGTTCAGTAGGAGGGAATATTTGGCTGTCTAATGTTAGCTTCTACGCTCAAGACCAGAAGCAAACATGGAAGTCACTCACGGAATCACATCCTCATATGCATTTTCATCCTTCTGCTCGAAGTTGCAAAAGATGACCCGCTCAAGCTTGCCCTTGTTTCCAGGTGCCTCCAGGAACTTGCGCACCTCATCAGCAGCAGCCAGTGCAGCCTTGCCACTGGGATAGCCATAGACTCCAGTGCTGATAGCTGCAAATGCGATGCTCTTCACATTGTACTCGACCGCCTCTTCCAGACTGCGTCGGTAGCAAGACCGAAGCAGAATCTCAGGACGGGCTGGATCTGTGCGCTTCTCCTTGTGGTAGATGGGACCCACGGTATGAATTACATTCTTACAGGGGAGCTCGTAAGCTGCGGTGGTTTTGGCATCCCCGATGTCACATCCGTCCAGGTCCTCGCATTCATCAAGCAGCTCGGGACCTGCAGCGCGGTGGATTGCACCATCGACACCGCCACCGCCGAGAAGAGATTGGTTGGCAGCATTGACGATGCCATCGACTTGCAGCTTGGTGATGTCGGAGCGGATGAGCGAGATGATGTCATTGAGGGTCTGAGATGGGATGTTGCTGGATGAAGATGCCGGGATTAGCTTCTTAAGCTGGTACAGGCGCGAGACAGTGGGGATATCTGCCAGCGAAATGAGAGGGGCCATTCTCAGCGAATATAATTGGTGAATCTGGAGAGGTGACAGGTAAGTGTTTCGACGAGGTTATGTCAGTGACTTCTCAAGGTCACTTTACTCGTAAATTCACCATCACGTGATAAGGCAACTACAAGGCAACACTTGCAGTTGTTATAGATCGATTGTTTCGTGAGAAAGTCTAATTGCTGCAGAGGCCTGCATGCCCTATTTTCTGTGTCTGGTGGATTTATCTCACATTGGGGTCGTGTTGGTGGTACATGTGGTGAAAGACCTCCAGTGAGATGTATACATATCCACCACCCAATATTGAACGCTTGAACAACCACCAGATCCAAAAGGAGAACCCACCTAACACAAATGGATCCCACCAATGGAACCCACCAATGGAACCCGCGATTAATATTAATCACCTGGCTACTCTGCTTACAATCAATAAGGAAATGCGACCAGAGACTACTCTCAGTTAGGTATAGAGCGTGGCATCTAGACCTGCCTCCTGCGACTAACTCAGATCGAGCACCAGTAAGACAGCTGCATATGATACTAGCCACCCAGCAGTCAAGCCCAGAAACAAGGCATGGCGCCAACCCGAAGGCAAAGCTTAAAGAGCGGGAATCATATGATTTCCGCAGCGGATGCCAACTCTGCGCGCAGCTCTCTGCGGGCCTGTCCCCCCGCGATGGGACAGCGAGATGTCATATTGAAGATGGACTCGATCGCCTTCTTCATTCGGATGCATGCATTGCATGAGCTGCACGCTCACCAAAGGAACTTCGTCCATGCACTCCGGTTTCTTGATTAGCTTTCCGCCCTGCCCCATCTCCCTGGTCTACTGGTCTACAGGTCTACTGCCCACAAAGGTACCGGGCATCCAGGCCGCACTGCCCAGCCACGGACATCGGGGTTTGGTCAAGGAACCCTCCCGCTTGGAGCTGGATAGTGGCGGGTTAGCCCAGTGGGCGAGACATTCTCGTTTCTCCAACACCAAGACCTCGGTGACACATGAATTCCCAGACCGATCCCATCGCCACCTGAGTTTTATTTTTTTTCCTGCTGTTCCTTGGTTGGGAACTGAACAACACTGACTGCAGACCCGAATGGGGCAGAGGCATGGGCATGGACTCGCGTGAAAGGCAAAAAGTACGGCCTGTTGGGGGCAAGGCCAGATCACCGCCCTAAGGGCCTCTTTGGCCCCGATGCGCAGATACTGTCTTTCCCAGTCGGCACTAGGACGATTCCAGCATCCGCAATTAAACAGCCACCACGCACACTCTGGTAAATGAGGCAGATTGGACCCATCAGGCCGGGACAGTTTCTCCCTGTTTGTTCCAGACCTTGTCAGACCCGGCCGCCCACCCCATTCCATCCCCTTCCCACGGACGAGGATCGATAGACTCGGGACTCAAATTACGGGGAGTTCCAAGAAGAGCAGGAGTGGGTTTGCGCTCCAACTCGAACCTGGAGTGGAGCACGCAAACCCTTACCGAAGGCGGTTCAAGCGTGGCGGGTGGAGAAAAAAGTGTCCGAGAGAAGACACCGTTTAGATGTCATGGCCGCCATGGTCAGATTTGTACGTGGATCGGTTGCGGGGCCTCCATGTGCCATGAGTCTAGTCGATAGTCGCGCTGGTTGATTTGATTGAAGATTGCCGATCCTTCGGCTGTCGTGTTCCTTGTCGATCGCACGGATCTGCTCATTTCGCTGATGTCCACTAGTGACTCCCGTCTCCTTCCTGTTGAAGCAGTTTCATACCTTTGAGTGAGCTCGCTATTGGCCGGGAAGTTGGGTAGGTTCATGAGATGAGCTTCCTTCCTCGTAGCTCCAGCGGCTAAGGAGGAGGAGGGGGGTGGGTTAGGTATTTGAGAGTGGTGAGTGGTGAGTGGACCGAACCTGTTCCCTCATTTCCTCGTGTCAGTTCTCGTGGAGACAGAACCCGTCCTTGGTTCGAGATGGGGACCTTCAGTGGGGATGGGGTTTCGCCCATCATTGGCTGTTCGGATGCTTCCATTTTTAGGATTGTAGAAGCGTGGAAACGTGACACGTGTAAACGTGTAAACGGGGAGACTTGGAGACTAGGAAGTTCACCTGAGATGCATAAAACTACAAAGGTACGAATGATACGGCAACATGTTTCGTGTTTGGAAATCAGCATAAAGTTTCCCATTCGTAGGTAGCTCAGCTGTCACTCGAACTCTTTTATCGGGCGGCTCTGGAAAGCGGTCTGGACGGCTGGCTAATGTGGAGACCCATGCAACCGGCAGCTGTCAAACACGCAAGCGGGAACATGCGCCCTGCAGCGTGCGTATGATATAGGCTTAACAGAATATGCTCGGGAAAATCCAGTGAACGATAAAGGTCTCGAAATGGGGTTGATATTCACTTCATTTTCTATTTCTATCTCTATCTAGCTTTGTTGTGATGAAGTGGTGGAACACGTTCTAGTCTTTGGCACCGTTTCTTCGCTTCTTCGGGGTGTATACATCTGAGTCTTTTGCGTATTTGGAATACATCCTTGTCCAGAAGCCCAGGAGCATAAGATTTATAGTTTGTGGGGTTACAATGTTCTTGGTACTTTGGCGTTCTGGGCTGTTTCGAAATTCCGATAGTTTATAGCATAGTGAGCGCTTGGATAGACCCGAAACCTATAACTACAGTCCACAAGTGTTTAGGAACTTGGCTACCCCTCAAGCCACCAGGGCTTGCCGCCCGCCAGGGGCGTCAGAAACAACCTTTCTTAGGGTCACGCCACTGTTGGCAATGCCAGTCTGGTCGGGTTGATCCAACGGAAGTACGGACGACTCAGTTTTCAAGGCTAACCCCGGTATTTGTGATACATGAACACGCGCAAGGCTGCACCGGACCCTGAAGAAGACACGCAAAGTACGCGGAAGATCCCCGGCACCATAGATTTCCCTGATCCAAGTCGAGGCATATCGCCGTCTCGGTATAGTTTCGGCCGGCGCTACCAGGCAATCGAGGATCCGTATCGAGGACGAAGATCAAAGACTGTCATATGCAGGCCTGATCCTGCAGATGCATGCCTAGCGTAATTGACACAGAATCTCTCGATCGCTGGATCACAACGAGAGCTCAAGAGCTCGTAAGGACCCTGGAAAGGGGAAAAGCCAAAAACTCCGTTATTCAGGGCTCGTGCGAGACTGATCGACCATCGCCACTGACTCATTTGGTAGCAACTTGATTTAGTAGGCCCCTTGTCTTCCGTTGGACCGAGGAAGGAGGGCTGTTGTCAAAGTTCTGACACGTCTCCTGTCAGTTTCTTGACCCCGGTCAAGAAATTGGGCCCAGCACCTTGAATCATGCCGAGCGTATCTACAGTAAGCACTATGTGACGCGCACCACTGCGCACTGTTCAAGATGACGGAGCGATCAGTAATTGCCACAGCAGAGTCCACTGGGCACGGAATCAAGCAAAACAGATACTAGCGGATGATTATCTCCTTTCTTTCTTTCCTTCCCAGATAGGTGTGTACCAGACGCATCGCCAGAAAAACACTAGTTGCTGTTAGGCCTATGGTAGTCGGTTTACCCAGGTGCGGATGTTGATGTTCTGGAAGACGGGCCATAGAAAACATGGAGCAATAGTCGCATCCACTCGCGCCCC